TCCTCCTCCTCCTCCTCCTCCTCCTCCTCCTCCTCCGCCGCCGCCGCCGCCGCCGCCTCGACGACTTCTTCACTGGGGTGCTATCAATCTAGTTGCGCGAGCCAGCTACTTCGCTGTTTCTTTCTGCCACTTGGCTTCTTGTTATTTTTATTATGTTGAAGCGTAGCTCTTTCTGGACCTATGACAAGATTTAGGACCTGTAAATTGTGGCTGAAATGGATGATCTCGTCCGCAACCTGGAACGAGGAGAGCCGGGCATTCCTCGAATGTCATATGCAACACCCTGCGGAGAGATCTCGGGGTCGGATTCGGATTCGGGTGTGAAACTCCTCGACAGTACTACACCTGCAACGACCGACAGTTACAAAGTGGACGCGACCATCATTCCGACCGCGGTCAAGCTGACGGTTACGAGGTATTCCGGCAGTAGCGACATGAGAGCGTAGGCAGCCGTCGAACCTTGCACTCCGCGCCAAGTGCGAGATGTCGGATCGAAGACCATGAGGAGGCCGTAGACAAGGCGGATGGCCATCAAGATTGTCGCGAACGCGGCCACCGCAATGGTCTAGCAACTTCAGGTTAGATGATGTCTGGTTGGGCAAGGTATGACGCTGAGATGGGATAGAACACACCATAGTAATGTTGAATGACAGGGCAGGATGGTCTCGCCATATCACAACTTCCACCACGAAGAGAGCCGCCACGATAGTGGCGAGAATGACATAGCCGGCCTTGACGAGGTCATCCCCGACACGCATTTGAGACGTTGAGTCTGCGGTTCCCTTGACCACGCCGCCGGCACTGATGAGGGAGATGGCGACAACAAACAACAGTCGAAGGGCAAGCAAGAGACGGGTCCAGATTGGCTTGGAAGAGAACCATTTGGACATCCTGAATGGTGAATATACCCTTGTGTCAGCGGCTGTTCGATTTGAGACATGTATAAAGGCGGCAAAGGGGCAGAGAGTCAACTCATACGTGTGCCACAAGATCAGAGTGATGGTGATCAGCAAAGGCCCCATTCCAATGCCAGACAGAACTGAAATGCCAATGGCCACTCCCAGCTTAGGCGTGTGCTCGTATACAAGCTCCAGAATTGCCATTGCCATTCGGACTGCTCGGTTCAACAGGTAGTCAGCCTCTGCTCTTTCCACAGGATCCTGGATCCAACTACACTTACTGGAGCAGAATGCAAATATGAAGCACCATGCCACTCTTAGTTTCCCCCGGCTTTTGACTGTGAGATAGGCCGGGAACGGAATGACCAGGCTGTACAGGACCAGTTGGGCAATGCCGAACTTCTCATACGTGGACGGCATAGTAGACGCGATCAGCTTCGAAGGACTGACTATTGCACTGGGGTGATTCTGCGAACGACAACAAGATCCAGCAGTTGACTGTCTTTGCTGTTGCTTGATGCTGGAGGGCGTAGGCGTATGCTTCGACGCGCGGGTGCTGAGGCTGTCTTCGGCAGTCGGGAGCGGGAGATGTCCATCTTTATAGCTACCGGCAGGTGTTCAGGTACGTGCGCTATAGTGGAGGATGGTGTGGGATTGTGGGATTCTGTATCTGCTACGCACGAGACGACCGCTGTGTCCGTATCAGCTTTCTCTCGGTGGAAGAAGGCAAAATGCGTTTCCATCTATCTGGTCGAGTCCGTATGCGGCTTCGCCTTTCGCCCATTGCTTCCGGAAAAGGTTTAGCGTGGCCTGGTGGAGCCTCGCCTGCGCCTCCGCCTCGCGAATCTTGCACCTCGAATATTTAACAGTCACCACCATCACTCTCACTTGCACCGTCACTATCACTGAAGGTAACAAGCTTTGTGCTGGTCTGCGTGGCGATGCCGCCCCTGCAACACCTCGGGCCCCCGCCTCCCTCTGTTGCACCATGGTCAATGTGGCAGGGCGCTCGAAAGGATGCCATACTTGCAGGAAGAGGAAAATAGCAGTACGTCATTCTCCTCCGTCCGTGTCCATGTCCATGTCCATGTCCACCCACCCGGCAGCTCTACTATAGTAGTTACAAGTGGCTACCACAGGACTCCGTACTGACGCGGCAGCTTCCTGAGCAGTGCGATCTCCAGAAACCCGTCTGTGCCAAATGCATCAAATCCAAGCGAGTGTGTCTCGGCTACGAGCGCAATTTGGTCTTTATTGCTGATCCCCAATCATCGACGGCCCGACCAACACCTACTACTACTGCAGTGGAGGACGACGCCAGTCCTACCTGGGCCACCACTTCTCCATATGGAAGATCAGCCAGATCTCCCTCTCAAGGGTCTTCTGTGCGACCCGCTGCTCTGAAGAGACGGAGCCAGGGCAGTCAGATGGCCAAGGCCGTCCTCAGCCTGCCCGTCTCTTCAGCTCCAGCTTGCCGGCGTCAGTTGTTCGCCGCCTACCTCGAGGTCCACGTTCCCTTCGACCACATCCAGCCCCAGGAAGATTCTTGGATGCCATTACTGTGGCAATACGAAGGCTGGCCCCTGTGCCTGGAGTATGCAGTCTTGTCGGTTTGTCTGGCCAAACTCGGTCGCGCATCCAATGACGCCTCCTTCACCCACGAAGCCATGACATGTTATGCAAATGGATTGCGCGGACTTCGCGTGGCGCTTCTGAACTCAGACATGGCCAAGCGAGACGAGGTCCTCGCCGCCTGTATGCTTTTGGCAACCTACGAGACCATGGAGTGCCCGGAAGATTCGAGGTCGGCATATATATGCCACCTTCAGGGTTGCGGCCGTCTGATTCAATTTCGCGGGCCTCGGGCGCATACCTCTGCCTTAGCCCATCAACTTTTCCGAATGTATCGGGCGCAAGCGGTAAGTCTACTTCAAGTTTCAGGTTTAATGGTGTGGCCGTGATTGCTCCCCTACTTGAAAGACTCGGATCCCTACCAGTACCACTAACAAATGGCTGGCGTAGATTTTAGAAGCTCTGCGTCCACCTCACACAAGTTTCCTACTCGAGCCTGACTGGATGAACGTGCCTTGGCAAAAGTCAAGGAAATCCTCTCTCGACCGGATCTTGGATCTGCTTTCATCGGGCCCCGTCATCTTCCAACAGGTCCGGCAGTTTCAACATCTCCAGGAGCGGCCAAAAGAGCTCGTGTCTGTGGCGCTAGACATCCTAGACCAATGCTTAAGGCTACACAAGGAGCTCGAGCGATTCTATGAAAGGCTGGCCAAGAGCCACAAATCTCGGGGCCAGCTGTACTGGCCGCGCTTTTCTCAATCGCAATTCGTATCCGTGTCTGCGCCTGCCGTCGATAACTTGAATGTCTTCCCTGTATGCTATGAATTCCCCGACCTCACCACCGCCAATATCCTGATGTTCTATTGGGCCACTCTCACAATGCTCAACTCGGGCATCTCCTCTCTACACAAGCTCCTTTCTAGCTTGACAGGAGAGACGGGTTTCCAGAAACCCTTTCTACGGACACACCGTCTGCCGCGGCGGAATTCAGACGTGCCGCTTTCCAGCGGTGACGAGGACTATGGAACAAAACTCTCCCCCAGCCATGGGCAATCAAGCAAGTCGACGCCCGAGCCCGAGCCCGAGCCCGTTCCGAACATGAAGTCCAGTCTAGATCTGGATACGGATACGGGTACGGATATGGATATAGATCCCATCGCCCCAGCCCGCAACGTCTTCCAGTCGGTGGAATACTGTCTGCACGAACAGATGTTGGGACTGGGGCCGGCAGTTGCGGTTGCTCCCATCATGATTGTGTTGGAGACGCTTCATGATCGGAGTGATTTCCAGCGTGAACGGCAATGGGCACAAGCTGTCCTCGACTATGTCGCCAGCAGAGGCGCTCGAATAGTTACCACCAAGGACTGAATTGATGCTTTTCTCTCTGTCTCTCTTCATTTCTAGTTGTTCCCCGTCGCCCGAAACCCACCCAAGTCTCGTCGTCGCTACATCCTAGAAAGTTGACCATCTACTCATACATGGCCTTTGTGGGTGTAAACATTTTATATTTGTGCTGTCTAGACATTCCCACACCTCTATATACCAGGTAGGTATCCAAGCAGATTGATTTGGTGTCTGCCCCATACTTGTTGGCAGCCCAGCTTTTCTCCAGCCAGCACATACAGCACGGTAGACCTTGAAGCTCGACCGTCCATGGCATCGGGTTAGAGGCCAGCAGGGCGATACTCTCGTCCGCCCAGGCACCGCTGACGGCGGGGAGGGGCAGTATCAGGGCTAATGGGCCTCAAGGGGTAGCACGAGGAGGCTAATCAGGAACGTGCATTGGAAATGGAATAAAGAAATCAAAATGCCAGAGGAAAAAAGGTCAATGGGATCGGTGACCTAGTGACTTGGCGTTCACATGCATGCAGCGTTGTATATTCTCCCATCTTCTATCAACGTCACTCAATTCATAAATATGTGGCATCTTTTCCTTCATTCCAAGAGCCCGGCTGCGACTGTCTCTCCGTTCGCTCGTAGGATAACCCGGGACGGAGCTTCCAGAGGTACAGGTTGGTCCAATTGCACCACAACTCGAACGACACTTCCTGGTTGAACAATCTTTGGCTTCTTCTTGAGAATCGTGCCCGTTGATTTGTCCAATAGTCCGATAAGCTGGCCGATTCGACCTGGAACATGAAGACGGCCTTTATGTACCTCGATGTTCATAGGAGTGATGTGGTCAAAAGCTAGAACCTTGGCTTTGAATTCCCGAACGTTCAGGATCGGTGAAACACCACTGCACAAGACGTCTCCAGTCTTCAGGTGAATGGGGTCGATATCTGTCAAGTTAATCACCACGTTCTGCCCTGCCACGGCCCAGTCCTGGGGTTCGTCGTCGACCTCCAGGCTTCGGATCTGTGCTCTTTCGCCACTAGGCATGACAACCACATGCTCGCCGACCTGGACATTGCCAGCCTCAATTCGTCCCGATACGGACAGAGGATTCTGCATGCTGCCTCTGAATACATCGTTGATGGTCATCCTCAAAGGTTTGTCAAGTGCATAGGTTGACGGTTCTGATTGATCCAGTTCTTCGACCAGCGTTGGCCCAGCATACCAGGATGCCTTTGGATTCGAAGGCTTTTCAAGGATGTTCCCACCCTCCAAACCTGAGCAGGGAACAAAAGTGACGTTCTTGGACTGGAAGCCCGCGCTGGTCAAAAACGCCGACATTTGTTGACTGATCTCTTCAAACCGGCCTTGAGACCAGTCGACCGCGTCCATCTTGTTAACGGCAACTATGATTCGTTGCACACCGATAGACCGCACCAGCAGAGCATGCTCCTTAGTCTGACCCTTGAGTCCAGATTCAAAGTTGCCGGTCGAAGCATCTATGACGAGAACCGCAAAGTCTGCCTGACTTGCTCCAGCAATCATGTTGGGCACAAAGTCGCGATGGCCGGGCGCGTCGAGAATGGTAAAGTTGGTCTTGTCCGTTTCGAATTTGTTGGTGGCGATGTCTATGGTCACCCCTCTCTCCCTTTCTTCCGTACCTTGATCCAATACCCAGGCAAACGCGAACGATCCTTTGCCGATGCGTTCTGCCTCCTTCCGATACTTGTCCATCGTCCGTTCATCGACAGCTTTTAAGTCAAACAAAAGTCTCCCCATTAGGGTGCTTTTCCCGGCGTCAACATGGCCTTCGCCAAATCAGTAAAATCGCCGCAGACGAGGGTTCCATGGGGTTTACCAATGACGACAAAATTTGCGGCCTTTTTCCTCTTGACCTTCTTATATTCTGCAAGCACATCAATGTTCTTGCTCTTAACCTTGGGAGTCTCCTGGACGGATAATTGTTGCACGCCCTGGGCCAAGCCGGTGGATTTCGCTTTCGCTGGTTCCTTCGCTTTCGCTTTGGCCGGCGTCGCCGCTGTAAAGTCTCCAGTGTCAGTCCATCTTCTTGACGAGTCAAGTTTGATGCCGACCTTTTGGATTCTGTGCGCCCCTCACGACATCGTCGGGACTTGGTTCTGTAAAGTCGAATGATTTAGCAATTTCTCCAAGAGCAAGCAGATCAGGTGATGCTGAGAGACGGATGTCAGCGTCGTGGCTGGTCATGATGCTGGCAAAAGGTGATGGTCGGCCTCTTATGCATGGCTCTACTGAAATCGACAGATCAGAAGACACCACTGTTCCCACATCGCTGGATGGCTCGGACCTGTGCTGTTCATTGAGTTGTTCGGTGACTTCAGAATCGGGCCTAACGCCGACGCCTGTCTTTCTTGGGGTGTCTGCCTCTCTACCGGCAACGGGCTTGGCTCTGTTGTCTACGCTTATCCGGAGTTTGTTCAAGCGGGCCGTATAGCCATCCTGTGACTCAGCACTGCTTGTAGCAGTTGACTCGCTGCGCTCGCCCTCCTTCTGTCTTCTTTTGGCGGCCAGAGCAGCAAGTTTGGACATCTTGCCCCCGGTTGAAGCACCTCCAAGAAGACCTAGGCGGGGATAGAGGGGCTCGATAAGAATTTCAGCTTTGCGGTTCTCAGGAATCCGCAGCCAAGGACAGTCTTTAAAGAATTCTGCAGCTGAGAATTGGATTGAGGGGATGGTAGAGCTGGTGAACTCTTGGTCCCCATCAGCATTCTTGTGAGAAATTGTCGCTTGCAAGCCATCATGACCACCACGATCTGTCTGGTACGTACGAGGCAGTGCTGTAGGGCAATACGAAGTGGAAAGCTTACTCGTTGGCTCCTCCTTTTTGGTCTTCGCGGGCGTACCAGGGGACTTGTGCTGACCTGACTGGGTAAGCAAATGAATGAAAGCTTCAGTGTTGGAAGCCGTACTTTTCAGGTAGGTGACAGTCTTGCCCACGTCGTAGTAGTAGTGCCAGAGGGATTCGTGGATCTCCTTGTCCGTAGATGGAAATGCCGACCCTAGAGCCTCACGAACTTTAATGGTACCTTGACGCAACTGTTCCTTGTCTTCCGGAGAAAGATCCTCGTCGTCGTCATCATCATAGTCCTCAAAGTCGTCGTAATCGTCCTCGTCAATTGCCAAAGACTTGACCCGGCGGTTGGACATGCTGGCAGAAGTGGACGAATGTGCGGCAAGGTTGAAAGATGCTGGGCCGGCTCAGTTGTCGTGTCCTGCAATGGTTGGCGTTTGGGGTCAGATCGTGAATGACCAGAATGCCCTGCAACCGCCACCTTGCTGAGAAAGAAGCAAATGGTGGGGGGGGGGCGGGTTCGGTAAGCCTGGTTTCGCTCACCAGCCTGCAATCAGGCAGTCAACATGCGGACCGTGGGGCTAACACGCTGTTGATGGAACAAGGGCATGGAATAAGTAGACAGAGAGACAAGGACGTGCTTCTGTCTGTCTGTGTGTGCTCAGTGTGCTCAAGCAGTGAGGTCAAGCGTTGGAGAAGTCGGAGAAGTCGTCCGCAGCTGCGCCGTGAATAATGTCGAACACGTGAATTTGCGTGCTGCCCGCCAACTGCGTCTCAATTGAACCTCAACTTGCCAACTCCCGCGCAGCCGCCCAGCTCCCAGCTCGCGACAGACTACATGTACTGTGCGGTCCCTTCATCCATCTCCCACCGCGCGACAGCTCCTATCATCCGTCATGTGAACTGCATCTTCTTTCGTGACATGACTGTCATCCTCGTATCCTAGCCACAGCGCGACATGTCTACATCTATCATGCATGCCCCGCTTGTGGGCGTGGGCAGGCCAGACTCGCCCTCGAGCAAGTCGGCGTTGACCCAGCAGATCGAGCAGAACGAGGGCGAACGCACTCCAAGATCAAGATCATCTGCAATCTCGGCCAGAGGCTCGCCAAAACCTCGATCCCTCTCCGATGCTCCGAAGCCTGTCCTCTCCCCGTCCCCGACTATTCGAGAATCTCTCCGGCGAGTTTCTCAAGATGACTCGACCATTGCAGGCTCACCAGTCCCTGCTCGGCCCCCGCCCTTTCACATTCGAGGTCTCTCCCTCCATGTACCATTGAAAGATGCCTCAGAAGGGGCGGCCGGGCCAAATATCTCTCGGATCCCCCTGTCACCCAAGCTGGACAGTTCCCAGATTTATGGCTCACCATCGTCCATGCTTCCCCGAAGATCCAGAGGTCTGGACTATACAAGAGCATGTACAAACCTCCATCATTCAACTCTAGCAGAGGCTTCTCCGGATGCCTCCCCAATTACTGGACGGGGCATTCAGATCCCCTCCAGGAGAAGCTTTGTTAACAACGTGCTTGACTCACCGAGCAATCAGTCCAACACTTTGTGGACTTCTTTGTCCAACGAAAAGACAAACATGTCTAGTTCTGTCAGCAGTGTTAATATGTTTGGGTCGGATTCGGATTCGGATTCAGATTCTTCTTCAGAGGACATGGCGATTGACCGGGAGATGGAGGACGCCATCCTCAACACACCTGCAGCGTCTAGGATTAATGGGGGATTGGTGCCGGGAAATGTGAGCAGTCCGGGCCTTGAGTGGATGAACAACCAGCCATCTCCGGCACAAGCAAGTCTCATGAGTTTCCAGCCAAGTCTGCTGAGCTTCAGGAGGGCGCGGACCCGCAAAGGGAAGAGCCAACACAGTTCCAGCAGTGTTAGCATGAAAAGTTCCAAGCCTTCACCTGGCCCCTTGTCACCTGGTGTACTAAAGAGCGTGGAAACCGCTGGTAGTGGCTACTTTGGTACAGGGCTAACCAAACAACAACTCCAATCGAGGCGCGAAAGTCTAAGTCTAGGTACAAACGACTTACACCTTTCAGACAGTGAAGAAAGCAACACCAACAAACCTGCGACTGGACAATCTCTTTCCGACATGGACGGCCCAGGGAACGACGGCCCCAGAGGTGTCATCCGCAGAGCGGTCACTCGTCGTGCTAATCTCTTCCCAAAGACCAAGGGCTTCGCCCGCATCCGTGCCCAACTCCTCGAAGAGTCCGCACCCATCGAAAGCGAGGCTCGACGTGAGGCAGAGGTTATTCGTCAAGTCCATGAAAATGATCCGGACGCCCCACATTCGCCTACTCTTCAAGCCAACAGCGCGTTCACGTCCGAGCCTGTTGAAGATTCTATTGAGGATATGGCCGTCGACACAGGACCTACGCTCCCACTTGATAGTTTCAGTCGACACGCTGAGAGAAACTCCGCCGGCTCAGCCTTTTGGAACAATTTCGACGGACGCTACAGAACTCCTCCACCTGGTTTGCTACCGCGCGACAGTATTTCAGCCGCCAGCGACGATGCCATGGACACTCCCAATTCCTCTCTGGCCGACAATCTTGCTCTTCGAAACTTCAACAGACGTTCCCGGTCCAGCACTCCACTAGCCTCCAACCCTCCTACTGCCGGGGATGTGGCGCGACGAGTCAACAACAAGCGACGACGAGAAGAAGACTTTGACGAAGCCTACACCAAACGCCGAGCAGTCTCTCCTGGCATGAGCGTGCAGAGCAGTCCTATCCTATCGCAGAGCCCTCTCCTGAACAACGACAAAGCTTGGGCTAAACTCCCACCAAAGATGAATAGCCACGCTCATGCACACGGTGATCGCAGCAATAGTGGAGGAAGCTCGAATGGTATTAAGAAGGTTGGCCTGCAGGGCATGACTGAAACTAGTGATGGCATGATGAGTATGACCATCGATTGAGAGGCACCCATTGAAGGTCACGTTCCAACTTGATTTGCATACTAGCAAGGCGTTCACGGGTTGCAACTAGGATGAGCGCCAGCTCCACGATACGATACAGTTCGATCCAAGTCGTTTTATGTATGATTCTTGGAATTGGAGGCGACCGGCGGCGTCTATGTAGTTCTTCTGGTGCTGATAGTGGTACCGATCCAATACTTGTCTCACATTACACTGTAATCTTCTCAATCATCGCCGCCCGTAGCCACGAGAAGGCGTATTCGACATCTGACAACGACAGTAAGGTCTACTACTGTAGATAGACAGCATCAGACGACTTTATGAGCGAGGTATGCCTTGGCGCGAAACCTGCCTATTGGGGCGGGGCACCCGTCGAAGGGACTGCGACCCAAACAACTCGAACTACCCACTGTAACCGTTGGTCTACACCTGACGCCCAACTCCAGCTCTCCTTGAAATCTAGAACTTTGTTGTCTGTGCAAGAAGATGGGTTCGACAGTGGACATCGCGTCGGCATTCGTTCAGGGTGCACCGCCGGGGGAGTTGCAAGAAGTTGTCAAAGACATCCGGGGGCTTACGGCCGACGACGACCCGGCGCTGATTGCGAAACTGAAGCCCGCCTTCGAGCGATACAATGAAGAGCAGCTGACCTCGGTGAAACTACCGGGATCGAATGATTATGTATGTGCAAACCACACATTCTCCACGCCATGACCGTCTCGGCTGTCTCAGCGAGAGACCTAATACAGGTCCTTAAAGGCTCTGCTGGATCTGGACCAGTGTCTAGACCTGCCGTGTGCTGGTCTCAGATGTCGTTCAATGATCAAGACCGAGGATTCAGCTGAGCTGAGCTGAGCCGGAGCTGGAGCTGACTCGTTTGACTCACAGGTCCTGATATCCAAATACAACAAGCTTCCTTCCTCGTCCTCTTCGAGTCGCTACTACGACACCCAGTCCTCCACATCTTTCGAGTTCGACCACACCACGAGCAAAGCCAGCGCGACCCAGTCGTACACGCACGAAACCCAACACACGGCGCTGATCCAGTCCATACTGAAATCCCTCGCGGGCCATTTCGCAGACCACTACCCTCCCACCACGGCGGCGGCTTACACAGTCTGTGCGACGCCAGACGACGACAAGCACATCGCGGTGCTGGTGTCGACCACCAAAGCCTCGCCGAAAAACTTCCTCAGTGGACGCTGGCGGAGTGTGTTTCTATACGACCCGTCAGCGGGCACTCTGAGCGGCGAAACCAAGATTGACGTACACTACTACGAGGACGGGAATGTGGCGCTGACGACGGGCAAGAAATTCGACGCCGTGTCCGTGGGCGGTGCGGCCGATGGCGCGGCAATAGTGCGCAAGATTGCCGTGATTGAGAACCAGTATCAGGAAGAAGTCAACCGGACCATTGTGGGCATGAATGAGACCAGCTTCAGACACCTGCGCAGGCAGTTGCCCGTCACGAGACAAAAGGTCGAGTGGGAGAAGGTGAAAGGATACTCGCTGGGAAGTGATCTCAAGGGAGAGGCCAAGAGATGAAGCTACTCGTCAGCCAGGTTGGGCGGACCGAGAAATACTTTCCCCAAAGCCCAAAGGATGGAATCGAAAGGCACTGATGAACTCGGAGAAGAGCCATCCCATGAGCATTGAGCATTGAGCATGAGCATGAGCATATGAAGTATTAGCGAGGCGTCTTCAAGCCGAGCATTTAGACGAAGAAAACAACGACATGTCAAGCATTCATTGTCAGACTGCGGTCACTTGGGTTGCCTATCAGGCCGAATACTGTACACGCAGCTTTGTCTTTGGTAGTACAGTCCCCCAAGGGGGGGAAGAGATGGACACTAGGGCAAACGTCTCCCCGCCCTCGTCGCCTGCGCGACCTGACTCTGTGTCGTGTCTTCGGCGTATCTCCTGTACGCATCGATATATTGTCTGCGCTCGCTGAGAGTATCCAGCACGCTCTGTCTCTCCTCGGTGGCCTTGGCCCACCTCCTCCAGCGCTGCCAGACCGGCTCATCCGCCCCACCCTTACCTTCGGCGGGAATGCCCAGGCCGCCTTTGAACACGTCGAAGAGAAACAGCCTGCACAGCCAGGGGGCGAGCATGACGTCGACCATGCTGAACTGATCGCCCAGAAAGAACGGCCCAGTGGGATCGGCCTCTTGGACGAAGGTCTTGATATGATGCAGAAACTCGGCGCGCGCCTCATCAAGCGTGTACGGAGAGAGGTCTGAATGTTGATGCTGCATGAACCGGTAGAACGCAGGCACGATCCGGCCGCTGATGTGGTCGATCCAAATCCTGCATCGCGCCCTTTCATAGGCATTGGCCGGTAGCAATGACGGACCGTGCTCGGTTGGGTCGGTGTACACTTCGTCCAAATACTCGCAGATGACGACGCTCTCGTACAGCGGTTTCTGTTCTTTGCGGGCCGGGTCGACCGGGACGGCGAGCGTAGGGACGAGCCCGCGCGGGTTGAGTTTGAGAAATTCCGCGTCCTTCTCGTACGGGTTGATCTCGACGTACTGATGCGGGATGTTCTTCTCGTGTAATGTGATCCATGTGCGCTGGACAAAGGGGCAAAACCATCCGCCATACAGAACCAGAGGGTTAGGAGTCGAATGCGCTTTGGCAAACTGCGCGGCCCGCCTGCTCGTGTGTGGATGCAGAGATGTGTCGACTGAGCTCATCCTGAACGACGTGCTCCGCCAGTGGTGGGATAGAGAGTAGTGGAGGGATCGGAATTGAGTCTGCTTTGCTAGTATGTGTATGTGTAGTCGAGCGAAGCAACTGGTTGTGCGAGCAGTTTGATGAGAAGGAGAAAAGAGCTTGAACATGCCACCAGCTCGTTAGACACGAGTGTCAAAGGGAGCAGGACGATGGTCATTGCAGGGAGGTCACCTGTACGTATGTACTCCGTAGAGCAGCCGGAAATACCGCAAGTCTAGGGTATGGGGACCATGGGGACCTTGCCAGTGTGTGTTTATTATTCATGTAAATGCGGAGATGCTCCAACTGGAAGTGTCACCAGTCTGTCACACGACGATGACGTCTCAACACGTGACGACATCGGAGCAGTTCTCACCAGGTACGGAGTCGTTGGATAACAAGCTGGGGGGAGTGCAGCCTCGTACGTACCCTCTCAAGGCAGAGCTATGGCGCGAAGAGGGCAAGATTCATTTACATTGCATGCACAAGGAGGTGAATGTAGATTTGGCATACAGATCTAAACATAGAGCTCGGTCTTTGTGACAGACCTCAGCATCCGGGTTTGTGAAAAAGGGTTCAAGAATCCAGTTTCTTGTAAATCTTCCACCCTTCACGTTGGAGCCGGTGCTCTTTCTCCATATTCTCATCGTCCATTGTCTGCAGATGCGTTGCTACCCATTCCTGAACCTTTGCTTCGCTGGTCCCTACAATCCGTGCCGCCAAGATAGCAGCATTGGTACTATTGCCGATGCCCACCGTGGCGACGGGGACCCCGCGAGGCATCTGTACAATGCTAAGCAAGCTGTCAAGTCCGTCGAGGCTGCTGGCCTTGACGGGGACACCGATCACAGGGACTGGGGTCTCAGAAGCCATCATGCCGGGAAGATGTGCTGCGCCCCCGGCCGCGGCAATGATGGCTTTGAGGCCGCGAGCGGCGGCGGATTTGCCAAAGTCGAGCATGTACTGCGGGGTACGATGCGCCGAAGTGATGTGGACTTCGTAAGGGATGTCCATGGTGTCTAGGATGGTGAGGCCCGGCCTGAGCGTTGCAAGGTCGGTGTCGGAGCCCATGACGACTGCAACAACCGGTCGGGGAGTGGGTGGAGGGTTTTTCTTCTCCAGGTCTGCGGCAGTGGCAGCTATTGAGGCGGCAGATGCGGGTGATGAATCAGTGCGGTGAGCACGAACAGCGTCAACCATCTGGATGAGAGGGTGGATTTTCGTCTCGCACTCGGACACGCTCGAACCGAGGATGGTGATGTGGCCCATCTTGCGGCCAGGCCGTCCAGCGCCTTTCCCGTACAAATGGATCTTCGCTCCTGGGATGCTGAGTGCAGCTTTCGCGACGAGCAGGTGTGAGTCCGGCTGCGGACCGCCGAGGATGTTCAGCATGACGGCTGCGGGCACGGCCAAGTCAGTTGCCCCTGGACGGATTGTGGGTGCTAGGTCCGGCAGGATTGCTCGGATTTGGGCCTCGTATTGAGACATGTGACACGCTTCGATTGTGTAGTGGCCTGAATTGTGTGGCCGTGGGGCAATCTCGTTGACGACCAAGTTGTCGTCCTGCAGAAGGAACAACTCGACGCCGAAAACCCCAGTACCGGGAAAAGATGCCACGGCACGTCTAGCAAGGTCTTGGGCAGCCCGAGCCACTTTCTTTGACACGCCGCGAGCAGGCACGTACACAAGTTTGCATATGCTATCCTCGTGGATGGTCTCAACTGTGGGATACGCCAAGGTTCTCGACTCCCAGGCGTCGATGGAATCTTCCTGAGCCGTCTTGACCACCATGACCGCCAGCTCCATTTGGAAGTTCGCCCATTTCTCGGCGTATAGAGGACGGTTCTCCAAAGCTTTCAAGGCAGGCTCGATGTCAGACACTGACCTGACCGGATAGTTGCCTCTTCCATCGTAAGCTTCGGTGCGGGATTTCAGCATCAGGGGATATCCGAGCTGGTCGGCAGTCTCCTTCAAGCCCTGGGGATGCGATGTCCCAACCGCAATGGATTTGGCCGTAGGGATGCCGAACTTGGCCAAGTGCTGTTTCTGCACAAACTTGTCTTGAATCGTTCTTACCGTCTTCCAACTAGGCTGGATCCTCGACCACTTCGAGCCGTCGAGAAAGGGCTTCTCCTCCTCCAGCTCCTCGAGGATTTTGGTGTCGACGTGCTCGATCTCGTATGTGAGGACGTCACATCTGGACGCCAGCTGTTTGACGTCCGAGGCTTTTGCGAAAGACCCGGTGACATGCTTATCAGATGCGGCGGCATTGATTTGCTTTGCAGGGGCGTTGTCGCTGTCGAGGATGGCCACCTGGATGTTCAGTCTGCTGGCCGCTTCTACCAGCATGCGGCCGAGCTGCCCGCCACCCAGGACGCCGACCACATGGTTATCCATCTCACTGCGGTTCAGTTGATATAGTGCAGACGAGAATCTGCCTTTGCCACAAAATACTGTGTCACCCTAGGTAGCCTTTCATAAAAAATCGTGAACGAAATTAGGGCGGCTTTGAGGAAGAACTCGTGGTAGGAATCTTTAGGGGTAGCGCAATGGACGCGACCTGGAGACCGTTCCACTGTGTGAAATGTCTGCTTTCTACCTTCAGTGAAAGTGAAAGTGCAAGTGATGATTGCAAGATATCAAATATTCGAGGTGGTGCTCCCACACTAAACCCTTCCCGGAAGCAGTAGGCGTAGGGCGAAGCCGTATAGAGGGAGCCTCTGAAGGCTTGGCATAGCCTTGTCGCACTTGGCACGTGACCGAAAAGAGAGCCTTATGCTCGTACGAAGACCGCAACTTTTCTTAAATACCTCTCTCTGTCTTAGTATTCATATCATTTTGAGCATACACGTTTACTCGCTGCCTGTGCACTCCGTGATAGATACGCGTATTAGTAGGTACAATGAAAGGTGATGTACCACACGGGTGGCGTATTACGAGGGTGGCCGACTCAGAGGATGCCAAAGGAGCAATATTAGACTACGAACTCTGGATCTCTATACTCCGTACAACTAACATTTGATGGTCATGGAAGGCTCTAGCAACTACGTACTCCGTACTTGAGGCCAGGCTGGCATCCAGGGGCAATAATGGGGCAAAGGGGCAAAGGGGCAAAGGGACGAAAAGGACACTTTTCCACAGACTGCCAAGCCCGGGTTAGGGGTTGGGCTTACCCTTAGACCTTGGGAGCCCCTAAAGGCCCCAGCAGCGCCCGTGCCTATAGAATTAGAGGGTTCAAAAGTCCCCAGGGCAAAGGGGCCAGTGCCCGGTCACACTGCTTGGGGCGCCACCCCTGCTCCTGCAAACTGCGGTGGCCAACTGCGGTGGCCAACTGCACTGCGGCGATTCGAAGAGGACAGCGTATCGATAACTCGCTCCATAAATATTTCCTTCCCTTCAACCAGCATTCTCTCTGTCTTGCTCCCTCTCCTCCCTCACGACCTCTTCCAAACATCTCTCCTCCCTCACGACATCATCCAACATGGCGCGTCGTGCGGCCAGATCCTCCGCTTTCCAGTGGACTAGCATCTGCTACCTCCTCCTCATCTTCGTTTGTCCCCTTGCATTCATGTGCTTTGTCCAAGCCGAATCACAAGTTCCTGTGAATGAGTCTGACGCCAACTATGGCACCGTCATCGGCATCGATCTGGGTACCACCTACTCTTGCGTTGGTGTGATGCAGAATGGACATGTCGAAATCATCGTCAACGACCAAGGAAACCGAATAACACCCTCATACGTGGCCTTCACCGATGAAGAGCGGTTAGTAGGCGACGCGGCCAAGAATCAATACGCGGCGAATCCCACGAGGACCATCTTTGATATCAAGTAAGTTTCCCTCCGTCCCCTGTCGACATGGTCTGGAGCGGCCCTCTAACAGTCACCCACAGGCGATTAATCGGTCGAAAATTCGCAGAAAAGGATATCCAACGAGACATCAAACACTTCCCTTTCAAGGTCATCAACAAGGATGGAAAGCCTGCGGTCAACGTTGAGGTTGCTGGTCAACCCAAGGTCTTCACCCCAGAGGAGATTTCCGCCATGGTGTTGGGCAAGATGAAGGAAGCCGCCGAAGCATACCTGGGCAAAAAGGTGACCCACGCCGTTGTGACGGTCCCAGCCTACTTCAACGACAATCAGCGACAGGCAACCAAGGATGCTGGAGTAATCGCCGGCTTGACGGTGCTCCGTGTGGTCAACGAGCCCACGGCCGCCGCTATCGCCTACGGACTAGACAAGAAGGGCAAAGAGAGCAAAATCATTGTCTACGATCTAGGTGGTGGAACCTTTGATGTGTCTCTCTTGTCGATCGAAGACGGTGTCTTCGAGGTTTTGGCCACTGCCGGTGACACTCACCTGGGTGGTGAAGATTTTGATCAGCGAGTCATTGACCACTTTGTCAAGCAATACAACAAGAAGAACGATGTGGACATCCGCACTGATCTCAAGACCATGGGCAAGCTGAAGCGAGAGGTGGAACGAGCCAAGCGACTTCTGTCTTCCCAGATGACCACTCACATCGAAATCGAGAACTTCCACAACGGCAAAGACTTCTCCGAGACCTTGACCCGAGCCAAATTCGACGAATTGAACGCTGACTTGTTCAAAAAGACCCTCAAGCCCGTTGAACAGGTCATCAAGGATGCCAAGGTGAAGAAGTCCGACATTGATGATATCGTTCTGGTTGGCGGTTCCACTCGTATTCCCAAGATTCAATCCTTGATCGAAGAGTTCTTTGGTGGCAAGAAGGCCAGCAGGGGCATCAACCCTGACGAGGCCGTGGCTTATGGTGCGGCCGTTCAGGCTGGTATTCTCTCCGGCGAGGCTGGCACCGAAGAAATCGTCCTTCTGGATGTCAACCCGCTCACTCTTGGAATTGAAACGACCGGAGGTGTCATGACGAGACTGATCCCTCGAAACACCGGCATCCCGACCAAAAAGTCTCAAATCTTCTCCACGGCGGCGGACAACCAACCAGTCGTCTTGATCCAGGTTTACGAAGGCGAACGGTCGCTGACCAAGGACAACAATCTACTCGGCAAATTCGAGCTTACCGGCATTCCCCCTGCGCCGCGCGGTGTCCCACAGATCGAAGTTTCTTTCGAACTAGACGCCAACGGCATTCTCAAAGTGTCGGCCATTGACAAAGGGACTGGCAAATCCGAGGCCATTACTATCAGTAACGACAAGGGCAGACTGACGCCTGAGGAGATCGAGAGAATGGTCGCCGAGGCTGAGCAGTTTGCCGAAGAAGACAGACAGATCCGGGAAAAGATTGAGGCCCGTAACAAACTGGAAAACTATGCTGTCTCCCTCAAGAACCAGGCCAATGATGAGGAGGGCCTGGGTGGCAAGATTGACGAAGAGGACAAGGAGACCCTTCTGGAAGCCGTCAAGGAGACCCAAGACTGGCTCAGTGAAAATGCCGATACGGCGGAGAAGGATGACCTGGAAGAACAATACGAAAAGCTGTCGAACGTGGCCTACCCGATCTCCAGCAAGTTGTACGGCGGTGGGGCAGGTGGCATGCCTGACTATGGCGATGATGATGACGAGCCGGCCGGCCACGACGAGCTGTGATTGAATTGTTGGGATTGTTTTTTTACGAGTGGAAACTTGCATTTAGACTCCTCGGCTGGAAAATGGTCGAGGGTGAGGCACGGCGTTTCTCTTTTCATGCTTGAGCCCATCATAGGGGCGAGGGCGGTGACATAGATACCACAAAAATCGATTCAATGTTCTGAATATGTGTGTTCTTATGAGACTCCCTGGTGGTACCACCAGCGCTGGCGTGCTGTGGTAAAGCCAGAGCGCTGTTAGTGGTAGTAACCACCACTGCATGTGCCAACAAAGCCTTGGGTCCCCTCACGTGCCCTGGGCTTCGGGCTTAGGTAATAGTGCCATTCTAGATGGCGCTTTAAGTCGCGCTAATCACAACGCGTGTTTCAGCAGCGCGTCTTTGATGCTGCTTCTCGTCTTCAATCATCGACCTGCCTCTTCATGGCGTCTTACTAACAAAATCTAGTCCACTTCACAATGGGAAGAAAGAGGTGCCGTTCGGAGGCATCCGTTAGCCTACAGGCGCCATCTTCGCCGCGTAAAAAGTACCAAGAGGTGGATACGCCTCGTCGAGTACGAATCATTCACGCCGTCAACCAATTTGAAGGGCAGGTGCCACAACGAGATATATTCAGTCATCACGGGGTCTCTGTTCGTACAGGACAACGTATCATCGCGTCAGGACAGCCTCGACGTACTCGGCGAGGAGGCCGTGGCCGTGGTCGCGGCCGCGGCCACAATCCTAACGCCCAAGCTGAAGCGCAAGCTGAAGACCAAGACCAAGCACAAGCCGAAGACCAAGCACAACCCCAAGCCGAAGACCAAGACCAAGCTCAGATCTACCAGCTCGTCTTCTACGTGCCGCAAACCCATACCCAGCAGTGTCTGGATGCACTGTTTGCCGTTGGGGCGGGGATATGGCCGAATCCACCAAAACCGACATCAACAGAAACATCATCCACAACGAACCCAACATCATCGACACCGACACCGACACCGGCACCAGCAGCCGAGCCCGAGGCCGAAGTTGAGGTCAAGGTCTCCAACCAGAACCAGACCCAGATCCAAGATCAGAACGACGTGGGGGACGAAGATGAACCAAAATACACCGACTCCTGCTTCATCTCGTCGGGCACCGGCCAGTTCCGGCCCAGCGCCAGCGCCGACCCTCACATCGGCACCGCCGGCGGCCAGGTCGAGCATGTGCTGGAAGACCGGGTCGAGATGGTGGTGGCGGGAGGGCCGGACGCGGTCAGGAGCGCGGTGGCGGCGTTGAGACGCGCCCATCCCTATGAAGTGGCTGCCTTCTTTGTGTTTAAGAGCGAATTCTTTTGAGATGAATGAACGTGGAGGGGGGGTATCTACCTGGTAACCTGATCAATGACTATGAATATGAATGATTTACAGCTGCTTCATTGGGGGGTGCTGTTTACCCTTACTTGACCTTTCGGCTTCAGCTTCACTATACGAACTACATACACGAACACCATCTCCTTCACCCTCACTACCTAATCTGTATACGGATGAACACCTTAATACCTGAATACATGAACACATGAGCACCTTAATACCTGAAGACATGAACACCTGAACACATGAACGAAGCTATGAATTACGGTCTAGCTAGCTATATCTCGAGAGATCGATCCATTGGATGATATTGCGAGCCACGTCTCCTATTGTCTCGTGTCGTTTCATCTCTCATAGGCTTGATTAAGTGTATTGTATTGTATGATGATTATTATTATAACAATAACAATAATAGATGCAGTGCGACATATAGGCACCTTATGTACCTAAATACTTACAGTAGGTCCACATGACTGGGAAATATATATATATATATATATATATATGATTCCTGACACCGACGTCGTATATACATCACATAGGAATAATATCAACCTACACGCACTCTCCTAGACTACTATACATACATGCACATACCTACTGGGAAGGTTGTAAAGCACACATTCCCCGACATTGGACAGTGGGTGGACATAGTCATTCTCATCCTATTAGTATTAGTACGCAGCATATACTCCGTGGTCAGTAATCAAAAGTCTCATAGACTATAGTCTTGCCCGGCATCCAGTCCTGCACGACCTTGCGCATCGCCGGTGCCGTGCAGAGATACCATCTGTCCACGTCGTCCTGCGACCCGGTCAGATCTGTCGGTTGCATTCTCCTCCGCTCGATGGTGACGCCCGTGTCGATCAGTTTGTGAAGCTTCGTCCGTTCTTCCTGCTTGTCTTGGTCTGCCACCAAGCCCGCATCTCCATCTCCATCTCCCGTCAGGTAGATGGTCAAGACTGGGGCCAGGTCAGGATACCGTGTGAGAATGTCGAGCGCCAGGCCAATGTCGAGGATGCCCACACTCCACCAGACCTTGAGCCGCGTCAGGTCCAGACCACTAGCACCAGTACCGGCGCCCATCTGCCCAAGCAACGGCGTGATCCCAATCCCCGCGGCTACGAAGCCAGTCTTCTTAAAGCTTCCATCACCGCCACGATCCTGCGCCTGCCCCTGCGCGAAGGCGAACTCGCCTCCAAACCCGCGCACTCCCACCTCGCATCTGCCGGGACGCTGCCACTCGAGCCAGCGGGTGACGCTGCCGACCTTGCGCACTGTGATTTCGAATTCCTCGCCGTGCTCGCCTAGAGAATTGGGGGCCGACGAAACCGTGAATGAGCGGATGAAGTCGTCGTTCAAGCTCGTCGGGTCGTCGTCCCGCATGTGCGAGTAGCCCATGTCCAGCTCGTCGGTGAAGTCCATCGCCACGTACTGTCCGGGCTTCCAAGGTCCGAATACAGTGGGTTCCGCCAGCGCAAACCGGTACCGCGTGATCGTCGGTGTCAGTCTCCACTTGCCTACTAGCTGCGCTGTGACTCGGCTTTCTTCACCTGGCACTGGGGCCGTCCCGTCGGTCTGCTCGCTTGTCAGATATCGCACGCGCGGGTTGTACGGTGACCGGCCTTCTGAGGCGTCCTTCATCAATGTCCCGCGGAAAGGTAACCCTTCTTGCACAAGCCTTGCTTCTGTCACCTTTAGTCGCACTGCTAATTTGCTCTTCGCCATTACCGCGCTCGCGTCCGCCCCGACTAGTGTTTCCGTGTTGCCGGTCACGTAGAGGACGTCGCCGGTTTCAAAATCTGGGATGACGAGTCCGGCGCGAGGCGTGGTTTCGAGGTTCCCCAGTGTCTGATACAGGTTGTTCCCGCTGTATTCTGGCCAGATGATGATTGTTCCTTCATCAGGGTTATCCGGCTGATGTGTGCGCATGAAGCCCTGGGGCCCGCCCCGATGGTTGACGTCCATGTCTTCATGTCTATGCGCAGAGGCAACGAAAAACAAATCGGCACGGTGAATGAGGTCGATCGCTTCCTGTGTGAGGCGTGGTGAGGAGGACACGAGTCGAGGGTTTGGGCGTACGGAGCTGATCCTTTTCCGATTCAAGTATTTTGGACAGTTTCCCAGGCTCTGGTCAATCTTGACCACCAGTTGCACCTCGCCTGACTGTCCCGTCGGCAAGTTACCTCGGTACTTCGTCTGGTCAGGTGGGCTCGTGTCAGCGTTCAGAGCCCCAGCGATGATTTTCCCAGCCAGCTTGACTCGACCTCGTTCTTCCAGCTGAATGCTCAGGCCAGCCATCATTTTCCCGTCCCCTTCGAGTCGCAAGACCTCCCCGTCGGTTTTCCCTTTCCAGATGGCTTCCGTCACCGGGTCAAACGTGGCGTCGACGTTTGTCCGAATACCAATGATGCTCTGCCCAATTGGCTGTGCCATAGGGGGCTGACCGGAGCCCCAGACGGTGCACCACGGCCGGTCGTTCTCATCCAATGTCCCAATCGCCATAAGCTGGTAGCGCTGTATTTGTTGTGCTGCTCGGGGAGTCAAGAATGGTGTCGTCGGGTTGTCTCGGTCGAACTGGCCGTGGGTGCGCTTATGGATCGCCTTTTCTCCATCGTTCCACGCAGCAGGCTGGAAAATGCTCATTTTGTCACTCGAGGCGGGATGGTGTTCGATGAGTTGGTCCAGGAGCCAGTTCTTAAATGCTGATCCCCCAGAGTGGCGGTAGTTGTGAGACTGGACATAGATGCTACGTCTTGGATTGTCAATAGTTATATGGGCCTTGATACCTTCTCGTAAGTTCGAACGCCCACTCCTGGAGCCGCTGGTCTCATGTGGACAAAGAGCTCGCTCGTCATCGCGGAGGGGTATGTGGACAGCCAGCCAAGCAGGTCACTCGGCCTCCGAGTGTGAGTGGTAGCTTCGCCTTCCGCCCTGCTGATTGCTGCAACAGAGCGTAGTTCAAATGCCGGGCTGTCCGTAAGCAGCATTGTACCCCTGCCACTTCTCGCTCCTTTACCATTCTGCTCAAAGCGGCGGGTGATTTGCAACCAGCTTAAAGAGAGATCGGGGGTGGATTAGTCAACACCAACATCAGCGAGCGGCAGCCATGTCAATGTCGCCCTCAGCAAGGTCTGACATTCTCCGGAGTCTCGTCGCTCATTGAGCCTAGAACTTTCAGCTTCGTTGACCGTGTCGAGGAGGCAGGAATGAATAAGTGTGTGAGAGAGGACAAGGCGACCAGAAACCAGCAGCGCAGGACGGAGTACGGATACAGGGTAAAAAGCGGCAAGTTTCTCCGTACCAGATCACATGGCCCTAGTATTACTTCGGATACGCGTCTACGCGTTAAGTGGCCCGGCGCTTCTTCTCAAAGCTGCCAATCGTAGAAATATAGACCAGAGACCTCTACTCTCTTCTCAGCGCCTGATCCCAAGTATTAATCTCAGGCCGCCTCCTGAGAGCCGTGAAAGCGAGCCCCGAACGCCCAACCACCCACGAGGCAAAGTCCCGACGACTCTCCTGCGATCTCTCGAGAGTACAAACAAAGCAACGCTAGCTAACCATGAATGCCCTCAGCCTGACTCAGGAGCTGATTCCTCTCGTCCGCCAAACTGATTCCAACTCGCGAAGAAAAAGGAGTTCTTCCGAAGAGTACATCTTATGGAACCGCTGGTCCAGGTCCGTCCTAACCACGGCGACATGCTCGGGCCTGTCGACCGCATACCCAAAGATCAACGATGGCCATGAGCCAAGATAGCATCGTGATAACTCTTCATGTGCCTGTGAACAGCGCATGATTTGCAATGCCCTCCGAATCTGCCACGAGTTACACGGGGGTGGAAGGTGTGGTTCGGCTTCATACGAGACCTCTTGAGATCTTGAGACCCAGTCCAAAAGCAAGGAGGCCGCAAGAATATAAAGGCTCGTTGAGTGCTGGTGGAATAAATGCGCTCTGTCTGCCGGCGTGGTGCAGACGTGGCTGGGGCTCTCCTCCTTGTCGCACTGTCCATCTTCAACAACGGTACTCTCCCAATATTCCATTCGATGTTGCAGGCTTCGCAAAACCTCGGGTTTGGGCTGGTGTGGACTTTTGCAGAGTGGCACTATCTCGATGATGAGTTTCTGCAGACTCAGCGGGAACCCGATGACAGGACTGTTTGCGGCCGGGGAAGCATCCGGAAATGTGAGTGATTGTAAAACACTTTCTGCTCTGTCCCAAAAGACGAAATCAGGCTGGAAATCTACTGAGAACGGGTGTCGGACAGTCTGACGAAACATCTGGTAGAGGATGCTCTCCCAGATGATCCTGTGTATCGGGCGGGCCATGGGCGGCTTCCGTGACTGGGCGTAGCGAAGATTGATGAGCCGAACAGCTCCCGTCACATGCTTGGGAATATCGCGGTTGGTGTCGACTGCAAATATCTGTTCATCGCATATTGTCAGTGCAATCCGAACAGACGCGCATCAGCAGACACCCATTTGCCGCAGACCACTTACTCCGTGAATATACAAGAAAGTGATGGCCAGCAAGACTGCGACATTATAGTCGTCCCGACTCCAGTCGATGTTCGTCAGTGCCTGATTGACTTTGGACACAGCACGAGAATAATACATGATGCCAGCCGCGTTCATCTGCGAACTCCCTGTGACAAGATGCGTATGCGACGCCCCACACGCCAATACTGCATATTTTAGGCCGTCAAACTGTAACAGCATATCGACCACCTCTGAGACGTAGGCGGAAGAGAAGCCAGGATGTGCGTTTGAAAGAATGAGCAACGGCAGTGTGGTGTGGAGGAAATGTCGAATACTATCTACTTCAAGATCTGACTTGAAGATTGGCGAGTTGAACAGATCTGTGTTGTAGGAGATCTCGCGACAGACAAAAAAGGGCCATGAATCGACCTTTGCTGGCTGTCTGGCTGCCACCGAGACCGAGGACCCTCTGCGAATGCGTACCAACTCTGGCGACTTTGGGGTCAAGCGAGGAGACTTGGAGACGCGACGATGGCGTCGATCGAAGAGGTCATCCTCGGCAGGCCACGAACACTCTCGGTTGGATTTGGTGCATTTCTCACACCGCGGCCTCTGCTCATTGCACTTTTTCCGTCGGGAGCGACCTAGCACGGGGCTGCGGGTTAGCTGTTTGCTGCCTTCTTGACGGTTCCTCGCCGCGACGGCGATACACAAGATGGGGTGGAGGGATTCGACTGACAAGTCAAGCAGCCAGTCTTAGTGCGAAGACTGGCCTGAGACGCTCCCACCATAGCCCAATCACCCAGGGGCTGTAGGCCGCTACCACACTCTGCAGAAGGTTCGTCAACAATATGATTAGTGATCCAAGAGGCTGTCTTTGCCCATTTTACAGAGTTAATAATGACAGTGATTTCTCAACCCAAAAGCCACGAAGTTCCATCGAGGTTGCAAAGAGTGGGCGCACGGCGGAGCTGTCTTATCAGTTGGCCTAAGGGGGCTGATAGTACGGAGTAGATACCGGCCACGCTAACACCCCACAGCACCCAGGGTAAGAGATACGGAGATATGGCGTGGGATGAGGCTGGGTAAAGTAGACCGAGTCTCCGATGATGATGGAATTGTCTCTTGATTGGAGCACCTGGACGACATGGGCGATCATTCTTCCTCCAGCCAACAGTTCGTTATCTTGTTCGAACCGCACAACGGTCTAGTTTGTAGGTGTGCGAGGTTGAGCGATTGCCCCCTCGGTCGCGAGTTTCCTCCATTTTGTGAGGCTGCACTCGTTCTTAGCTCAGCGTTCTGGTCATCATGGATATTCATTGTCAATGGAGCTCCAGTGTTATCCAAGCGGCCAAATATGTGACGAGGCTGTATGCAGTAGGCAACGAGGCTGCGCTAGTCTATAACGGGAAGTGCCGCGCGGGAAAAATTTCATGAGCCTCGCCGACGAGACTGAACTCTCAGAGGTTCAGAGTAGTGCGTAGTGTGTTCAATCCCTGATCACTCATCCCTGATCTCTGATTTGCATCATACTTTCAGCTCACTCACACGCAGTCCACTGTCGCCCCTGGAACGACGCCAGCATGTGTTAGCTAGCCTGAGTCCACCATCTTCGACATCGACACCGCGCCACTGCTTGACGACCAAACGGTTTTGGCAAGAGGTTCAATATGCTGAACCCCTCGACCTCATTATTTGCCTTCAGTCACTGGCCCATCCCTTGCCGGAGCACATCATCTTCCTGGCGTCCAGGTTGAGATTGATATCAATTTTTATGCGACCGCAGACATCCCATCTTCTCCGCTCGACAGTTACCACTCCGCCATATCAACTATCACCATCACCGAGCGTACACAGGCTCATCTCGACACATCCACCGCGTCGTACCGCACAGGCTCGGACGGCCTCGACACCCACGACCACGCCCACGATGGAGGAGATCATCCGCAACGGCCAACGGCTGGCATTCGTGCCCTACACGAACTGCGACACGCGCATCGTCAGCCTGAAAGAGCTCGATCTCCCGGAGACGGCGTCGGACGAGGAATACCGGCAAATCTACCTCGAATACACCCAAGGCGCCGGTTCCAACCGGAACGCCTCTCTTCTGCGAGACGCGGTCGAGTCGATCAGACATGGAATCGCTCCACCGGTCGCATTCCCCACCGAGACGGTGTACGGGCTCGGGGCGGATGCGACCAACGAGGCTGCCATCTCGGGCATCTTTGCGGCCAAGGGCCGACCCAGCGACAACCCTCTGATCGTGCACGCCGCCTCGATCGCGCACCTGGAGCGGCTCACGGGTGAACGGCTGCCGGAGATCTATCACGCTCTAGCCCAGAGGTTCTGGCCCGGCCCGCTGACCATCTTGCTCCCCGTGCCCAAGGATCCCAGGTTCAGGTTCGCTCGAAACGTGCATCCCGGCCAATCGACCATCGGCTTCCGCATCCCGGCGTCCAAGTCCGCGCGGTTTTTCATTGCCGCGACCGACCGGCCGGTCGCGGGGCCGTCGGCAAACTCGTCGGGCAAGCCGTCGCCCACCACGGCGCAGCACGTCTTCGATGATCTGAAGGGCAAGATCAACTTCGTCCTCGACGCCGGGCCCTGCGACGTCGGCGTCGAGAGCACCGTCGTCGACGGCCTGCATGACCCGCCTCTGATCCTGCGCCCGGGCGGCGTCTCGCAGTCCGAGCTGGTCGCCCATGGACGCCAGTTCGCAAACCGCTTCGCCCACACGGCTATCGGCTACAAACGCCACGACACGACCGGCTCGGGAGATAAAGACCTCCTGGACGACGTGGACGCAGCACCGCGCGCCCCGGGCATGAAATACAAACACTACGCCCCCCGCGGCCGGCTCGTCTTGTTCTCCGAACCTGCCGTCGCGGCCGGCAGAGTCGCGGCCAAGTTTGACGAGCTCGTCCGCGCCTTCGCCCACAGCCACACCGGCGGCGAAGACAAAGATGGTCTGGCCGTCGGCCTGATCTCATGCCATTGGCCTCCATTCGCCGGTCTGCCTGTGACGCCTTCCTCCGCAACGCCGTCCTCCGTGGTCTCCGAGTCCGTATACGGCCCGATCACGTCGGTCGCTACATACACTCTCGCTCTCACCCCGGTCCCGGTCCCGCAGCCATCCACCCGCCTGGAACAGGTTGTCAAAGTGACTCTGTACAACGTCCACATCGGCCCCGACATCATGCACCTTGCACACTCGCTCTTCGGCGTGCTGCGGCTGTTCGACCATCTCGACTGCACCTTCATCTTCGCCGAGGCGGTCAGACGTAGTGGCGGGGTGGGTGACGGCATTTTAAGACCCAATGCAGACGCAGACGCAGACGCAGACGCAGCCGTGGATGGGAATGGGATTGGGATTGCAAGCGCTGAGTCACCCACTCGAGATATCGAAGACGCAGTAATTGATCGCATCGAGAAGGCCGCGACGGAAAGAGTCGAGTCCTAGACGTCTTCAAAAGAACAAGTCCACGTAGGAACGAGCCTAGGGCCCGTTGGTCGACTGGTGGCCGCCCACCAGCACCAGGACCAGGACAGAAATTAGAGCTGCCATTGTGTTCGCAAACTCAAACTCGCCGCGAACTGCTTGTCGCCGGTTCTTATACCTCTACCATAGATCATAGAAACAAATAGACCGTCTGCATCACTAGACTACAGCTAAGTCTCGGCCCTGTCATGCGTGCTTCCTGTTCTTTCATTCGCTTTGGACATTCACCCAATCTGTAGATCCGGTGGCGGCGAGGCTGCCCGAGGCTGCCTTGGACTGGTCAGTTCTTGACTGGCTACGTAGTTTCGGTATAGTATGATCCAAGGTACATGCTGTAGGCTATGCATTAAAACAAAAATCTTCTGTCCCCGGTTGACTTTCGGCACTTCTATCTCCCCTTCCTGCCAGAACTGCCTTTCGACTTGCCTTTCCCGCCGGCACCGGCCTTGCCCTTGCCGGCACCGCTTCCGCCGCCGCCGCCCAGTGAGCCCGTCATGCCGCCCCCCTGCACAATCCGGCACCCTTTGACGGGGACAAGGCTGACAACCTCTTCGACACGCCACTCCTTGAGCAGGTCGACCTCGCGCCTCCACACGCGCTCCTTATCACGGTTTGACTCGTCCACCACCTTAGGGCCCTTGGTACCCAAAGATGTCCAGAAGCCTAGGATCTCTTTGACGGCCTTGCCCTTCTTGGCGTTGCCCGGCTGTAACTTGATCTTGTATTTCTGCCGTGAGAGTGCCGTCCAGGGTGCGCATACTGGTATCGCAGCCAGAAGCTCGTCTCCCGGTTCCGGCATGGCCACCAGCCGGTCAATGTCCAGCAGGTCACGGCGTTCTTGTTCCAGTTGCTCCCGACTCAGCTCGTCATCTTCGTCAAGCTCGGCAATGCCGGTCCCGTCTGCTGTACCTCCAGTCTGCGCCGCATTTTCAAGTCTCTCGCGCCGCTGACGTTCCTTTTCCGCGGCTTTGGCGTGCTGCGCTTTGCGTCGCTCTCGGTCGGCTTCCGCCTTGGCTTCACGCGCTGCCCTTTCGGCTTCTACTGCCTGTTTTCGTTCTTGGCCGCGATTAGACCCGAGCAGTAGCATGGCAAGAGCACGGTCCTCTTCATCTTGATCCGCGTACTTTTTCTGGGCTCGCTTAGCCTTCGTTCTCTTGCCACGCGTGAGCTGTGGCGGTTTGGGCTTGGATTGGGACTGCGGTTGTGAAGATGCCGAGGGGGATGGTCCTGTGGATGTCTCGCGGCCGGGGTCCCCGCTGTTGAAGCCATCTTCAATATCGCCATCCTCTGACCTGCCCTCAGAGTCCGTATCGAGACCAACCTCAGGCCTTTGGTCTCCTGCCTCATTTGTATCTTGTTGAAGACCGACACTGTCGAGCTGTAGAGGGTTCGAGCGACTATTGTCGGCTTCAGAATACGCAACTGAATCGTTGTCGTCATCGTCGCTGTCACCGCCAACTTCTGCCCCCTGACCTTGAGGGTCGTCCTCTGTATTTGCCCCTCGATTGTCGTCTTTCTCTTCCTCCTCAGCGTAGTCGGCGGCAGATTCAACGTCGGGGACTGCATTTCCATGCCCATCTGCAGCTTCTTGCTCATCTATGCTTAGGCCTCTTGCATCGTTTGCCAGCGCGTCCTCTTCTCCTGAGATAATGCTCTCAGTCCTTCCAAGACGGTGTTTCCCATGGTTAGCTCTGCTCTCTTCGCTGATCAGCCATAAGACTCCGAAGCCTAACAGAAGCTGACTTGGAGGCAGCAGGTTTTTGTGACCTCTGATAATGAAGCCACCAGTTGTAAGATACTCTCCTGTCGGCGCGGTCTTGCTCACCTGTTCGGCATTTACCCACCATGCACCCATCAAGGCCTTGGAATCCCAGGCGCTACTTGTGCAGACAGTGAGAGCACCTGCCTGCGACAAAGTCGATGGGGGGATGGGTGCATCGGGGCTTCGCGGGTTGTTCTTCACAACCACACTCGATGCGCCTTGGAGATCAGCGTGGACATAGACGTCACCCTTCTTCAGGTGCCGTCTGTATAGCAGCTCGTTCTGCTGTGCGTCCTTCCCTCCAATCACAAGATAGCCGTCACTGGAGATGAAGTACAGAAACTTTTCAAACCAGAACTGCCTCCTTGCCGGCCTGAGAGCTGCTTTTTCCTGCTTGAGACCCTTCTTCAGATCTGCTTCTATCTTCTTCTCGGCTGATCGAAGTGCCATTGTAGATGCTTCCTTCGTCTTCCATTCCTTAACCGCAGCAGTCTTCTTTTGCTCATAGTACTGTCTAGCATTTGCCCATGGTGATAGCCCGAGGTCGATATCAATTGGCAGTCGTTTATCTGCAACCGGTTTAGCGGTGGGCTTGCGGGAGTCTTCGTCTGAATCTTCTTCTTCGTCTGACTTGTAATCCTCATCCTCTTCGTCTTCCTCGTCGAATCCAGGCTCATTGAGCAACAGGGTGACGGTGTTTTCTTCCAGTTTCAACGGAAGCTTGATCATTTGTGCCACAACATTCCCCCGCTTCTGTTCATTCTCGATCAGCTTTCCGATGTCGACCCAGTCCATGCCTTGTCCGATCAATCCGTTGACGGCAGCACATGCCTCCTCGACGCGGTGAACATTGGCTTCGACAGCTTGAGCTTTTCGAACGTGGAGCTCTTGGACTTGCTTAAGTGCGCCTATTCTTTTACCGTGCTCGTCTTTTGCGTTCTCCAGCTTCTTTTTTGCAGCCTGCTCTCGTTCGGTAAGTCGAGATTCTAGCTTTTGGGATTCTATTGAAGAGTAGAACTCGTCGACCGTACGGTTGAACCCGTCAAACTCTAAAATGTGAATGCCAGGTTTGTCTTGAAATTGGCACGGCTTGAAGGGATGAAAGTCGTCATAAAGCAGGGTGTCTCGATCGGGATTTCGGGCGTCTGAGGGTTGGTCGTCAGGGGGAGTCTTCGTCTTCGCAATAATAAACCCTTTGGACTGTCCAGTTCCCAAGGTCTTAAAGATGCTCTGCGCACGATCCAGAGCCTTCATAACCAATTCAATTTGTTGGGTGACCGCTAGAATATCCTCTGCCTTCGCGCTTCCGTCCACACCTGTCTCTCGAAAAACGTGCTCCAACAGATGAGCAGGAAACTCTGGGAAGCCCGCGCTCAGTGCCTTTCTCAGATCATCTCCTCCTTTTGCTCGTTTCGCCTTTTTGCCTCCAATCTCATTTGCTGCTTTTGTTCTCTGTGTAGCCTTTTCGAGAGTCTCTTTTACACGGTCAATTGTGATGGGAGGAATTCCGTGGAAGTTCTGTTTCGCCTCAAGGATATATTTCCCACCCAGCTTGACATCAACCTGCTCATCCCCCTCGCTCACCTGCCGCAGCAGAGCAAGGACATTCAAGTCCGCGTCTGTTACAATTATGTTTCCGGCTGCAAAAAACTCCAGAAACAGCCGGTATTGTCCATCACTGAACGTTATTTCGATGACTCTATCTGTGCCAACTTGGCGTACATTTGTCACCCGCCTGCTCTTGAGGTACTTCCGCAGCCGACTGACGAAGGCCGAGGGTGCGCTTGCCGCGGTTCGCGAGAAAGAGGTCAAGTGACATCGGAATCCAGAGTCAACAAGGAGCTGCTCCCGTCGGCCGGGTTTGGCAAATTTGACCAGGAATATTCGACTGGAAAGATCGTAGATGTTCGAAACACGCAATGTAGGAAGACATGTGGCCAATTCAGCCGCAATAACCTGTTCAACAACATTTCCATCAGCCTGGATGGGATCGCCATTGGGGAAAGAGGTTGGAGCAACTCACCTTTACATCAAGGGAAGAGAAACGCTGCTTCATGGTGAGAACTTGTCTGGTGAAATACTGAAATGGCCACCTTCTTATAGAGGAAGGGAGGAGGGTGATATGTACAAATTAAATAACCCTGTTAGGTGCCTGTGACTTTTGGGAGCAGTGTATAGCATGCACTTTTTGGGTGCCGTGGGCAAATGACGTCGGCTTAGGCTCGTAGTTCACGAAACGCTCCCACGTTTGGGTGCTAGAACACCTTACCGAAGGTATCCATCTAACCGTAGATACTCTACGGTCGCGAAGCTGCTTCACTTGAGCTCTGGCCTGTGACTAACAAATGTGTCGGCCACAACAGCATACTTCTAGTGCATAGTCTTCATGACAATGCAATATTTCCCCACCGTAACGCCACACCGTGTTCCCAGCGCCAGTGGATTCAAATCCCAACAGCTTTCCCACATGCCTGCTTCGTCCCAAGACCACGGTCATAAATTTCTCCGGACAAACTCCATCCCCTGCTTCTTGCCGAATTCCCACAGATTTTGGATGCCTTGTTCGCTCAAATCGAGATTCTTCATGTTTGGTGCGTCCTGAGCAGGGGCCTTGGTTACTCTCGATGCCACCATCACTGGGTCTGTCTCCAACACAATGCCGTCATCCACTATCTCGTCAATGGCAAGCGTAACAAGGTCGTAGTTCTCCATGATTGTCCGCTTGTCTGTCGAACTCCTATGATTGTCTCGTCAGCCTAGTATCGCCATCTTGTGGACGAGGACAGTGTACTTCAGTAGAATGCTCAGTGTATCCCGTAGCGCCAGCACCACGTTGTACAGCAGGATCTCGTTCTCTTCGGGACCTCCCACCACGTAAAGCATGACGTCGCTCTCCATCTTGAATAGCACAACCTTGTTGTCATAAAGGATCACATCTGAGGTTTGTTTGGCAGTCTTTTCCAGCAACCCCTTCTCGAAAGCCTTCTGCTCCTTGAGCGTGGAGTACGGTTGAGTAGGTGTAGGAAGCACGGCCGACGTATGTGGTGGAGTGTAGTATTTGGCGAACAACCGAGAGGACTCCGGGGATGTGTCTGTGGAGAGGATCAAGATCGCGATCACGCTGTGAAGCGACATGCTAGGGGCCATATCTGCTAAAATCGGCCTTGATCCAGACACCAGGCGCTCGTTGCTGTGGGTTTGCTAGGGAAAATTTGGACAGTGGCCGGTAGAGTCTCAACTGTTGCAAAAGCCCTCGCGCCTCAACTGCGAAAGGACACTCATCTGGCATTGAACGCGGTGGCAGTTACAGCCCAATTGGCCTGCCGTATTATCTTGGCTCCTTCTCGGGCGGAAGCCCACAAGGCTGACAACGGCGGATCATATTCTGTTTTGCTACATTGCTACATTTTTTCCGCCAGTTGGTCGATGCCTCGCTATACGGAGTACTCACAAACACAATGGGGAAATCATCCAAGGACAAAAGAGACGCCTATTATAGGCTCGCCAAAGAGCAGAATTGGCGGGCCAGATCGGCATTCAAGCTCATCCAAATCGACGAGCAATTTGATCTCTTCTCATATGCAGAGCCAGCCAAATGTACGCGCGTGGTGGATTTGTGCGCCGCTCCTGGGAGTTGGAGCCAGGTGCTTTCGCGCGTCCTTATTAAGGGTGAAAGCTTCGGCCGAAGGGCGTGGGTAGAGAGGATGGAGAGATTCCGGAACCAAACAGGCCCACAGATGGACTTGGCCTCGGAGGACAATCTCGCTGCAGTGACGAAGTCGCCTGAAATGCGAGGGTCTGCTGCTTCTGTGTTGAACCCTCGCCCAAATGTGAGGATCGTGGCTATCGATCTGCAACCAATGGCTCCCCTGGAAGGCATCATCCAGCTGAAGGCCGACATCACCCATCCTTCGACTGTGCCACTTCTCCTGAGGGCCATCGATCCCGACTTCGACCAACACAACGAGACACACAGAGTCGACTTGGTCATCAGCGACGGCGCTCCCGATGTCACTGGCCTCCATGATCTGGATATTTATGTACAATCTCAGTTACTGTATTCCGCCCTGACTTTGGCGATGAAAGTGCTCAGGCCAGGCGGCAAGTTTGTTGCGAAGATCTTCCGTGGACGCAACGTGGATCTGATTTTCGCACAGCTCAAACCCGTCTTTGACAAAGTTCACATTGCCAAACCCCGGTCCAGTCGAGCGAGCAGCATCGAGGCTTTTGTCGTGTGCGAGGGATACCGGCCTGTCAAGGACTGGACTCCCGAAATTGGAGACGAGCTAAATATCCTCCAACCCACCGTCCAGCAACTGGCCTCTTCTGAAACATCGACCAGACATCTTCGCCAGGATGGCACTGTCGAGCTTCACTTTGAAGATGAAGAGACTGATCCGCGCAGGTGGATTGCACCGTTCCTTGCTTGTGGAGATTTGTCTGCCTGGGACGCTGACGCCACATATAAATTGCCGGAGGATTATGTTTCTCTCCCACCAGTGCAGCCACCCACGGCGCCACCATACAAGCAGGCAATTGAGCACAGGAGGGCCGAAGGTGGTGCTTATGGAAGGACAAAGAGCCGATTGAGAGCAACACAGGAAGATGTGACATGACAAAGTTGTGCATCACTAGGATAACAACCACACTTGTTCGACGCTACATTTGAAGCAAATGGTTTCCATCAACAATCCATTGTCGGGAAAGGGTCGTCACTATCGCCCGGTTCGTCAGATATATGGGTTGGAGATCTCTACATGACTACTAGCAAGGGAAGCTACTCAAAGACGCCGTCCGGGAGTTGTTGCGGCTCATGGCAGGCCGGTTTGGATGTTGTTTGATTGAGCAGGCCGTCTAGATCTCACGAGATAGTGGTACTAATATGGTGATGTCCACCAGGCCAACTTCGAGGCCTTACCACGGAATCAACGGCCATTACGCTCAGCACATATCACCCCTCAATGGAGTCATGCAAAGAAGTTTGGCCCGAACGTTCAAGGAAGAACCCATCGAGGCACTGGTAAGCTCACTCCAGTGCTTGTGGCAACATTCCGTGCGATCAGGACCAGTGCCTTCTAGTTGCACCATTTTGGCTGTGGCTCACGCCTAATACAGTCAGGATACCGGCACAAAGCTCGAGAGCGCGGTGACTAGCCACGAATTGGGTACATGTTCGCAGGTGGACCTCAATTTCGACAGATGAAGGACGTGTTGGAAGACAGCTCGAATGCTTGTGCGGAGCCAGGAAACCACCAAGAATGGACCTCGCGGGAAGATACAGATCCGACATATTGCGACCATCTTCACGATGGAGCAAGGCACATCATGGGAGTGATCGATTCCGCAATGGGACATGTTCTGCATATGTGAACCCGAGAAGGTGACTTGAGCACGCGATAGTTCTGGTGCGGACTGGGTAGAGAATAAATACTCACGACGTTGGTTCAGACCCAATTGATCGAGGACGGACATGCAGCTATGGTAGATAGACGTGTACTCCGTACTGGCTATTACCACGTATACACATTAGTAGCACCAGTAATTGCCAGGTATGTACGAGTCCGCCGGACCCTGTAGTAGAACCTCATAGTACAGCGTCCACAGATAACTACCTAGGTAGAGTCTGATAGGGCCGAAGGCCTAGCGCAGAGTGTATTGTGACTTCAGACATCCTTCGCCCCTTTTCCTCTTCAACTCCTCGACGCTGGCTATCTATCTCAATCTACTGTAGAGCCCCAACAAATGGCTTCAAAACAACAAGTGTAAGAGCGCACGAAATTCTCCATCGAGCGCCTTCCCTCGCAGTACAGCCGACATCTTGCCCTGGTTGACATGATTCCCTCATCTTCGAGCACCAGGACAGGCAGTTGCGCGCCCAGCACCTCCCTCTTGTGGCAGAGATGCCTGCCTCAATCTTGCTGAATCACGTCACGGCGTCCAAGATGCCCCGGTAGGCAGTGTTCGGTCCTTCCTCTGTCTCGATCAGCTTGCACACTCCAGGCCTATAAAGCAGTGCTCTTCTCTCACTCTCTTCCCTCTTCTCTCTTCCTCTCTTCCACATCCCACAGCTGACCACCACCAGCATTCATTCCTTCACAGCATCTGTACCCTCCCCACTATCATCATATCATCAAGATGCATTTCTCCCATCTCGTTCTTTTTCTCGCTGGTGCCAGTGCGGCTGCCATCAAGGGTCGCGCCGAAAATGGCCAGAAAGGGCTTCTCTACGCCCGTCAAGATGCTAGCACGGTAAGTACTACTCCTCGCTAGGTTCTCCAGACATTGAAAGCTCACTGAAGTCAAGACGATGACCGCCACCGTGACCAACGCCGACGGATCGACAGACACTATCACGGCCACCTTCACTGAGAGTGCTTCTGTTTCGACCACCACCTCTACTGCCACCGAGACCCTCAGTAGCATCAGCACCACGACCGACGTCTCTACGTCCACCCAGACTGTGTCTGGCGATGCCACCCTGACCGTCACCACCACTGAATCTGAGACTGTTTCCGGCAGTGCCGCCGTGACCGTGACCACCGCCAAAACCACGACTGTCACCGACGAAAGCACCACGACGGTTAGCGGGAGTGCAACCGAATCTCTCACCACCACTGCAACTCGGACGGTCACCGACGAAAGCACCAAGACGGTCACCGACGACAGCACCAAGACGGTCACCGACGAAAGCACCAAGACGGTCACTAGCAGTGCTACCGAGACCGAAACCATTACTAGCATCTCCACGCTGACCGTCAGCACCACCCAAGATTCCACGCAGACGGTCACTTCGACCGAGACCACAACTACAACGGCGACACGACCTTTTGCACCACCCGCGTTCCGCCCAGGCCGTCCAGGCCGTCCAGGACGCCCTGGACCTCCATTCGGCCCGAAGAGACGTAGCTAGGTCGTCTTACGGGGTGGTCATGCTTTGGGAACAAGTGAATAGAAGGCACACAGCAAGGATAGAGAAGGATGTCAGCCCGGTTATTCATACAACTGGAGATGAGGTGTGAATGCATGCAAGGGTCGGAAGAGGGAGTGGCACAGCAGGCTGTGGCGGAGGATAGGGGACCTGTTTCGTTGAGAGGTGGCCTTGCTTGAGCCGGCAGCCGCAGGCTACAGAGTGGGTGTATCAATACTTCTTTCCGTATCCCCTAGGCAGCAGCTGCTGGGTAGCTGGCTTGCAAGGAAGGCTTCGTGTCATGACCCATAGTAATGCAGACACGCTGGTTGTGTCTTTTTAACCACTGGCCATTGATCAAGTTCAGTCTGTTTCACGCTGCCACCTGTTGATGGGATGTTGGTTCGCATCGGTCAGGACCAGTGCCTTGTCCAGCAGAGTCGATGACAATTCAACTAGCAGTATTCAACTTTGAGGTGTAATACCAGTACCTCGCTATCCAGTCCACCAAGAAGACATGCCGCCACAAGATGCCGCTCAATGCTCGCTGTGAGAAAGGACGCTATCAAATCGACTGCAGATGGAGGAGTGAGTCCGCTTTGACCGTCTAAATTCAGCGGTGTAGAACAAATTTCCCGCATAGATCCAGCAGGCGTCAGTCTGTCGAACAATCTCGAACAATCACCACTTGGCCTCGGCCTGCGCAATCTGGGGGGCAACCTTTGAGGGCTGGCCAACGCCGCCTGATTGCTGACGGCTCCTGTCAAATTCTCTAACAATGATTTCACACTTGACCTCCCTGCAAAGTTGTTTTCTCCTCTCCGCCGGCAGCTTTTCACCAAACGTCAGCCCACTCGCCCGCTCTACTGCTTCGATTGGGACTTCAAAATCGCTCAAACTCTTTTGATTGGGGATCTCAGCGTTCGGTAGGACGAACGCACCCAGGGCGACCTTGCCACTGGGACTGTCGGCTGCCTCTTCGGCGAAAATGATTTTGAAGAAATGAGTCGGCACCGCCACATTCGGGGGGTTTCCAATGACTTCGTAGGTAACCCTCCATTTACCATCTTTTTCATCTCTTTTGGGCAAATATAATGGGCCGGTGACTACCCTGACGCTTGGATACTTCTTGACCAACCCTCGACAAAAGTCTTCGAAATGGGCCCAGTAATCTCGGTTGAAGCCCTCCCCAACTTGGGGGCACATGTTGCTCAAGGAAAATGTCGAATCCATCGCCTCTTGTGACCACTTTGCATCTGCCGCCGGCACTTGGTGACCACGGTCGTATCCGCTTCGTGCGTAATCCGCCAATTTTGCTCGGAACCTTGGAGGCAGTCTTGGGTCCTCGAAAAAGATGCTTTTCCGGCGAGATGCATTGTTCAGAAGTAACGACTGCGCCGTGAAATGTTCTGCCACCCAGTGGGGATTTCGGGTTGCCCGGTTGAAGGCGGCGAGGAAGGACGGCGTGGACAAGGGGTCCGCAATAGGTCCCGGGAGGCCATATCGCAATATCCCAGACGGGTCAACGGGATGGACCAGGATGGTGGTAGGAGCAGGAGGAGCTGAGACGGCGACTGGTACAGGAACTGGGACTGGGACTGGAGCAACAGGGATCGAAGGCGACTCTGTCAGTGTTCGTGTCGGGGCAGGAAATGGTTCATGTTGTCGAGATCTGGACAATAGCAGGGCAGTGACTGATGCGCCTGCGGCGGCAGAGGCCGCTGCGACAATCGCAAGGGAGGCGTTGGGCATGTGGTGGATTTCAATGCGAGGAGGGATCCGTCCACATATGGTTACGCGTATATCAACAGATGAGCATTTTCTGTCTCGGGAATAATGGAGCACGAGGAGGTCAGCACTGCAGGCACCTTAGCTATTCGACTAAAAGGCTTAGGGGCCAAGGGACCCCAGTCCGAAGCTTAGGTAAGGAGTTAGGGGTGCGCAAAACGTTCTGTGTAAGCGACAAGGCTTAGGGTGCCCATCTTGTTGCGGGCCACTCATAGGCCCTCTTTTACCTATACGTACCTAGTATGTACGGAGTATCCGTACCTGGGAACCATCGTCATACGCATGCGGCTATTACGGAGTACTCAGTACTGTACTTCTTCGCGCCACCGCGCTTTCCCGTACCTGCGAATCTCGACCCTCGACCCTCAGTACCTGTAGCAGCAATGCGGCGACCGGTCCAGCTCGCCATTTCTTGAGCCGCAATGCGTTGTACGTCTTCAGTCATATCCCACGTCCCGAACGAATAAGCCTATACTGCTATTACAACATCTGGACTCGAGTCAGCTTTCCACATACCACGAACCTTGCCTCAGAGGTGTGACTCTCAAAATGCCTTTGGACAACGATACCCGCGGGTGGATTATGACATGTATCAGTGGGATTGGTAAGGAGGTGCATTTCCTTATACAAGGGGTACTAACATGTTCAGCATGCGTGCTCGGTGCTACAATCATCTGCGTCGACATAGTAGTTCGCCGATTCCCACGCTGGCATGACTTTTCAATAGCGGAAAGCGATGGCTTCCTTTCCGCATCGCTAAGTCTGAGCTTTGGCGTCATGGTAAGAGTTACGCTCTTTGAGGCTGTTGATCTTGCTGACAGTGGTATTAGTTATTCTCCTCCCTGTATTCAATGCTACCGCAGTCAAAGACCTATCTCAAAGATGCAGGATACTCCCCCCGAGCCGCCTCTTTCCTCTTGATAGGGCTATTCTTGGGCGGTGTGGTTGGTATACGAGTCCTATCGCTTATGATCCATCGACTATTACCGTCGCATGTTGTGGACTGTGACCATAGTCACGATGACGAAGAGAACTTGATGAAGCAGCGCGAGGGGATCGCGGAGCAATCACAGGACGACGCATACACCAATGGACTTTCACTCTCAAAATCACATTCCGCGCCAGCCATGGAAGAGGACGAAGACACACCGTTACTTGCACGCACATCCACTCTGAAGCCTCACTATGAGGAGAATGGAAACAACGAGGGCGACCGTAAACAGTCGTTCCACACAGCACCAGGTAGTCGAAGAGTTTCCGTGATACCAAACACACTCACAAGAACCTTCTCCAAATATGTCGTCGGACAGAAGGAAAACTGTGACGAGACAGGCCCTTGCATGGGCTTTACCGATCCTTGCGGGCAGGATTGCTTCAAGGTTGTGCATCGACGAGGTTCCGTGTTGCCGGGCCATGGCCCTTTTATCAGGAATCAAACATGGCGGAGTCTCTCTAACGATGGCCGCGCGGCGCCTTTCCTGGAAGATGTTGAAGAGAGCCCGTCCGAGAACGGTCCCGAGCTGACTCATTCCCACACTGAGAGCTGTTCGAGGAGCATGATACCGTCTGCCGGGCGGACGCGTTCCTCGACGCATATCACACATCACCTTCACCATCCTGAACATGAACATTCAGAGGCGAGCAACAGCCTCCGCCGGGTGTCTGGACATTCCTACTCTGTCGCCCGAGAACACCACCATCATGTCCCCACCAACGCGTTCATGTCTATAGGGCTTCAAACGTCTTTGGCTATCGCACTGCACAAAGCCCCCGAGGGTTTTATCACATATGCGACTAACCATGCCAACCCGCAGCTAGGCCTCTCTGTGTTCATGGCTCTCTTCATTCACAACATCACAGAAGGGTTTGCCATGTCGTTGCCGCTCTATCTCGCCCTGGACTCCCGGTTCAAGGCAATCGCATGGTCATCCTTCTTTGGAGGGGTGTCACAGCCTCTTGGAGCCGGAATTGCAGCATTGTGGTTCAAATTGGCCAACAAGAGCAGTTTTGGCGCCCCTACTGAAGGGGTATATGGCGGAATGTTTGCAGTGACAGCTGGCGTCATGACGAGTGTAGCTCTGTCCCTGTTTTCCGAGAGCCTGCAATTAACTCATAACAAGGGCACTTGTATAGCATTTGCCTTTTTGGGCATGGGGATTCTGGGAGTGAGCTTTGCATTGACGGCAAGTTAGGTTCCAAGCAAGGACAGGACGGGGTCGGTCCTTGTCGGGCTGGGAACGACGTTGATATTATTATGATGATAGGAGAATGACAGGTTTATCCCAATTGCAGTGTGCCAACTGCCTCTATACCGGTAATTCTCACTACACACCTGTAACCATTCGCTGAGCGCCACCAGGTACAGTAGGCACCTAAGGTACATAAGGTAATAAGGTGTCAGGTTACTAAGTAGTAGTACGGAGTACTGATATCAGTATGGAGAGGAGTATCCGTACTCGTAAATGACAGACCCTGTTGCGCCATAGACGCACTTGCCTCACCGTTCCCAGTGTACTATCTATTTATAGAGCATACTGCAGATACTGGTCGCTCCTCATGCCCATGCCCCTAGATGCAAATTTTGCCACGCCCGCCATGCTTGATTTGTACAATGCCTCATCTGCGTTAACTACCTCATCATATAGCTCCCTTGGGACGGAGCAAAGTACCCGCCGTATAGGGATTGGTGCCCTGGACTTGGCTGCTGAAGTAGCCCCGGTTGAGCCTCGACATATGACGGTTGCCCGCGAGCGGAAGCAGGGTCAGCGACGGTCCAGGGAACACCAGACTGGGGGTTCATCCACTGCCCAACCTGTCGGGGATCCGTGGGAGACTGGTATCCCGGGTAGTGCGGGAATCCATACATGCGTTCAGCCGCCTGTCTCTGCGCGATTGCTTCCTGAACCATGTGGCCGGCTACCCCTTCTTTTATGTTCCTTCTCTCCTGTTCTCGTGCTTCGATGGCGCCAATCAATCCAATCGTTGGATCCGGCGTCTTGTTTCTTTCGTTCACCTGGATCAACGGACCTCCGGTCATCCGTGCCACGTGTTCTTGTTCTCGCGCTGACAAATGAGGAGAATAGTCCAGGAGAAGTGAGTTTCTTGAACTGGGTCGACCCAAGGATTCCCTCTTTTTCTGGAGTTTGCTCGGAGACCGCTCAATTTGGCTGGATGAGAAGCTTCGGTGTGGGACATAACCGTTCGGCAATCGTGCAGCAGCAGCGCGATGTTGAACAAATTCCTCAGCAGTCAATCCTCCACCTGGACTATGCCTACCGGTCGTGGCGGGTTGCCAGGCATAGCTACGAGACCGGGAATGGCTAAGCTGCGGGCTCATTCCACCCAGAAAGGACAGCCTTCTGTCTTCTGTCGGCGTGTGGCGTCCTCCCGACGTTCGTTCGTCAGGAGACGATTTCATCAGTGGAGTTCCAGGAGACGTGGCAGGAAGATCGAACGGGGACTGTCGGCCCGTGAGCCCGCTTGCAGTCGGAGGACGACTATGGCCAGGTGTCAAGCTTGGGGTGAAGGTTGTGCCAAAGTCGACTTCCGGTATATCGGCGGACACCATGAGAGAGGCCTGCGAGGCATTGCCGGAGTATCCGAAGCTGGGGTCTCCCACGGTTTTGAGCACGCCTGTCCGCCTCCTTCTAGGAAGGGTAGCCGTTGTGGCATCCTCGGGAGGGCTATCATAATCTGGAGTTCCGCTGGATTCGTTGTCGTAATTGGAGGGTGCATATCGAGACATCCTATCTGGGGACTGAGAACGTTGGAGTGGAGGCTGAACGGATGAGTTAAGCACCGGGACAGGCTTTCGAGGGATCGATTTTCGAGTGGTCCAATGCTCACTGGGCACTTGTGCACTCTCTGGTCTGAGATCAGTAATGCTCACTGCATAGGCCCCATCTGCTACCGCCGCTTCAGAGGTACGAAGATTAGCAGACATTTCTTTTTCGTCGTGAGGAGTCTCAGTATTTACCCCTCGGAGCCCCTGATCTCCTGTCTCCCCCTGTCTCCCGGCGTTCCACGTTACCATCGCAGCCTGCCCCGCCCCCCCACTGCTCGCCATTTTGTTGACATCAGCGATCTGAGACAAAGTCGCATTTGACATGCGACTTTTTTCGCGTCTCAAATCTGGTCTCACAGCTGGTCGTTTCTGAGGCACTTGGCCAGCCTGATGCTGGAAGTCTGGAGGCGCCGCCACCGGTGCAGGTGGTGTTGATTCCCCCACGTCGGCTTGGATCTCTTCTGCATGAGCTCGCCGTCCTTGACTATCACTGTCGGAACTGTATCGGCTGTCAGATGCGTCCACTTCACTGTATAGAGCGTTGTTCTTGTATTGATATCGATGACCCGGAGGCGGTGGTGGAGGTTGGATGGGTTCCGTGTCAGTGAATTCGTTAGACAATCTGGAAGGATGATAATTGTCGATTTGTCGGCGTGTTTTGGTAGGGGACACGTATGCCACAGATTCCGAGACAGACCTTGAATGCTGATTTTGAGAAGGAGCGAGATACCCACCACTGGTTGACACCGTAGTGGCCTTCTTGGGCAAAGGAAACGTAGTTTCGGTAGATTGGTTATGCTGGTGTCGCGAGGGTGTCGAGCGGATCGAGGCACTGTCGTCGTATTGAATGCCGTGTCTGGACTCCGAAACGGCCCGGCCTGTCCTCCTTGCTTCCAAAGTGCTACTTGACCGGCTCTGCGCCGTCATCGCCATCCTCTTGGAGGTCATCTCTTTCATCTGTTTCCGCCACTCGCGCTCGCTCCACTTGTCACTGCCTTGTGTATGTATCAGTGCTGCCACGTCCATGATATCCAAATATCCATATCTCCGCTCCTTCGGCATAGCAAACATGATTCCCCTGGTGTCCCACGTATCGGCAATCAATCGTTGAGGACGACCATATAGATGGAAAACGTCGAATACAGGGAAGAGCCAACGCAGCATCATCTCAAAGCCGGACACAGCAGGATGGAGCTCGGGCATCACAAAGACAAACCCTTCAGTCTTTGACTCCGGATTAGAATGTATCGTGATTTGGCCTTCAACCTTTACCAGGGTTGATTGATCGATCAATGGCTTTGATTGAGGATATATGGCATAGGCGGAATATGCGTCGGTGATGGTAGCTATAGGCGTAGCCTTTTTGGTCTTTTTGGTGTCATAAAATTTGATGTCTCCTTTGGGAAGAGAGGGTCTTTCGTATGCAGATTTCTTCTTCAAGGACTTGTTGGACTTGTGCCATTCCTTCTCGTCAGGCGGTTCAATCACACACCAGCAGCGTCTCCAAGGGGTTCCAGCGCCAAATCGCACCCGCGTCCAGTCCTCTGTCTTGTGCTTTGTCCTCTCCATAATTGTCCGAATATTGTTCAGATACTTTCCTTTACCAGCGATCAAAGACCCGGTGTACAATTCTTGCAGAGATGCGTTCTCAAAGATTGACAGACGTATCCCGGCTGTCCATTGTGTTAGGGAATGTAGCGAGTTAAAATGTAGCAAGTAGCGATTCTTGCCCGCGGTGGAGATTGAGAGAACATTTTGAAGAGGCTGAACGCCCGGATTTCGTGTGGGGAGGGTTTCGATCTGCTCATCAGTCAGTCATCAAGCTCACAAAGTCATCAGTCGTGGTCTAGGGGCATACCATCTTGATCGAGGCATCTGCGAGGTTGATAAATGTGGGGGCAACCTCTCCATCCTGACCAGCTGCATCAAGAGCAGCTGCGTCCCAAAACGAAAGCACCGTTCCGACCAACTGAGCAAAGCATTCGGTCCAACTTCGATCGGCGTAAGGGCGCCCGTCTAAATCGGTAAAGTCAAAACGTATCCTCCGGCATGGAGGGCATGCTGGAAACTTACGTGTGTCAAGGTCATTGAGCTTCAGGAAGTAGCCTATCCCGGAAAGATCAGTACACTTCTGATTCGGGTGAGGAGTTCATCTGCACCTTCTTGATAAAGCTTGTTGGCATGGCTCGAGAGAAAACTAGCGAGAGTGGTCAGCGCTAGAACGTAGCCAGTATATCATGCGCATCAATGCCAACCTGAAGACGGGGACCAGCTCTTCAACGTGATATTCCTTCACCACCGACTCCTGTGGGGATGTATACACCATGGATGCGGGACGAGAGGCCGGCCGGTCTGGCCGGCAAGTCGGAGGAGGGGTTTCGTTGTACGGTGGGACGGGAGAATTTGGGGACGGAGATGCTGAGTCTTTGCGGACTATTTCAGTCTGGCCATTAGGCGAAGTCTTAGAAAGAGACGGCGTTGAGGCATTGGAAGAGTGGAAGGCAGCAGCTTTGAAGCTCTGGGATAAGTTGCGAAGTCGGCCCATTGTTGTGCTTGTCACAGTTGACTGGCACCTGCGACGTCAGACCCTTAGCGAAAGAGTCAGGAACCAGCAGGGCCGTGCAGCAAATCTTCACCACTGCGACAACTTCACCCAGCACCTGGCTGGCTTGTGTACGGATACGACTGTTATGTTCGACCGGCCATGAACGAGCGAGAAAAGGACAGGTCAGACGCAAAATCCGCTGGACTGGGAGTCTGGCGCAGAGCAGCAAGCAGAGACTTCTGGCCAAAGCTGCGAAAATGCCGGCCAAGATGGTCAACGAGTGTATAACGAGGCTGAGGAAGAAAATGAGAGGCGAAGGAAGTGAAAGCACCGTTTGGTTCGGAACAACAGAGAAGGAAACAAAGTGGGCGAGTCTACGTATTGGCTTTCCATCAGGTAGTTGTAGTGGTGTGGTCCTGCTTGTCCATCCACCTGTTAGCCGTTCAGCGCAGCTTGAGAGTAGGAAGAGGGCGGAGCCACTACTTCGACTACGACGTCCGGATACGGAGAGCTGATTCTCATAGCAATATTATGTTTTACTTGAGTGGGATCGCCCTCGTGGCGAATGGCCAGCCCGCTAGACAGGATCAGGTCAAGCAGTTGTACCGTGTACGGCGTACGCGGTAATAGCCTAGTACAGCGTGGCCCGCGACGAGTTCTCAGTGAGAGGCCACGGCTCACCTACTCTTGCTCCAAGTTGCCAGGCACCTTAGGTACAGGTGCGGGCGGATTGACAACCAAGCGACACCACACAGACCGGGGCATGAGAGACATTTGCTGTGAGCTACACGCAGCTCAGAGAGGGGGTACAGTGCTGGTCACACTCGAACCTGGGTTGACTGAGATCAGTATTGGCGTATTGGCCCATCCAAAACAAGAACATGGAGACGCAATCAACTGCGTCGGCTGACGTCTCTCGGTTCGATATGACGGGTGGTAGGCTGGCACAGGCCGCAGGGACGCCTGTCGTGCAGTGGTCTGGCACCTGTGGCACCGTCTAAGTTGGACCCATGAAATCATCCTGGCTGCTGGGTACGTCCTCTAGAGTCTAACTACGTAGTCGATACCACTAGCGGGCAGCCGCTCCCGATCTTGGGGGCGCGCTTGGCTCCGAGTTGGCAGCTGCAGTTGTGACTTGTTGGCGCTGGCTGCGCTCCTCCGGAGAGTCGGATCTGCTGGTGCTCTTGGTAAACGAGTGCGTGCGCCATCGATGTCACTTAGGTCGATAATTAAATATTAGGTACACGCTGACGCCGACTTCTGTCATCCAAACAAACACAAGAGAATGAATAAATTGGCTGGGGTGGTCTTTTGCCCGGAATCAGTTAAGCGAGCACTGAAGATTGCTTTCCCCATCGATTATTGTTGGCATTAGACTTCCAAACAGGTCTGTATTGCCATCTCCGGGTGGCATTCCAAGAAACGAATGGATGAGTCTTTCTCCTAGGTGTCTGCTAGTATGAGAATGAATCGAATGATACTCTTCTGCTCCGGCGAAGGCGACTTATGTAGGTGTCGAACACCAACCATTGATGGTTCGGCTCTCACCGGCACAACACGCATACGTACGTCGTACCTTGTATCTCTCTTGTTGGCAAGACCCCACGACTGAGACTCGGGTGGATCTTTGTCTAATTATCACTCTGAGTCAGCTGCCCATCCGTGGCTAGCAGGTGTCTACTGTTCTCGGCCTGAAACAATTGAGAAGAACATGTGCAGCATTATTTTGGAATGCAATGTGAGATTAGGCCTTAGCAGGCTCAGCTTGACTTCACAGAGCCAGCGAATCTCAGTGCGAAATGACACGAGCTATTTGTACAGGGGATCTCGCGTTTCTGCCTGCTGGAAACAGGACGACCACCACCCATCATCATGAGCATCGTAAACCGAGCATCGTAAACCCCTCCTTGGAACCTGTCCTGGTATCTGAACTCCCATGGAAACTCCGCCATACGCCCCATCCAGGCCCATCCCGTATGCAAATCATAGGCGTGCGTGCCTGCGCGCAAGAACAATCGTGGCGGTCGTTAGGCTGAAGCTTCGTTGTATTTTCTCAACATCGCAACGTCTGAATCGCCCATGGCTTCGTCTTGACCCTCGAGCGGTTCATGCATGTCATGCGAATGCTCTGCCTCAAAATGATCGCCGACTCTTATCTCATGTTTCATGTCAACAGCTTGTTCAGCAGCTTGGGCGACGGTTGCCTCGAGGTTTGGGTCGATTAGAGAAGACGGGGTTTGACCTTGCGGATTGAGTAGAAAATTAATGTTGTTGTTCTGTCCGCCAATTCCACTTCCTGGTTCTCCTCGAACAAATGCATAGTCAGGGTGCGCATCCTGTGAAGCCACTGTTGTGTAGTATGCCGTGGCCTGTGGCGGGTATGAAACATGGTCTGCAGCGGCCGTCGACAGTGCTTCCAAGGTGTGTGCTGCGACTTGCTGATATGAGTCGGACGGGGTTTGTGTCTGCGGTGGTGGTGGTGTGGTTGAATCTTCCGCGGTCGGGTCCGTCACGTAGATCCAGGTCACTGCGGCTGGTCAGGTCATGAGGAAATGAAAGTCAGATGTAGGGTTAAATACACTGCTGTGGCACCGGCAGGAAAGTGCGCACTTCCTCCTCTGTGTATGACTGGGCGTATTTGTAGAAGCTGTCGAGGGAGTGGTCTTGTCCTTCTCTAGCGAAGGCGGCGTTCTGGTGATGGCGGAAGGTGATCCCTATCACATATTAGTCTCGAAATAAGCCTTCTTCGTTGATATTGGCCTCACCCTCCGAGCGTACACACTCACGGTGTGATTTCAGGCATTGCCCGCAGATGGGCCTCACCTGGACGCGTTCCGTTAACAACGGATCTCAAATCTGAACGTATCTGACTCACCTCATCACACTTAAGTTTTCGGCTGCGGCAAGTTTGACAACCTGTCCGGCTGCGGTGTGCCGCCACACCGGTGGCGGTCTTGGGCTTGACGGCTTTGGTGGCCATCTTTTCGAAGTTGTTTGTTTTATGATCTCCAGCGAAAGGAAGCTGTGAAAGGAAAGTCAGACGACAGGCAGTTTCGGCACCGGAACCGGAATAAAGTTCTTCCGGTGCCGAAGAGCCGCCAAGCGTTCACAGCTTCCTTTCACAGCTTCCTTTCGCTGGAGACCATTGTATGGACTCCAGTGGATGGTATCGACGTCTCCTGGGCGTGACATAGTGAAAGTTGAGTGTGTAAGAAGATAGAGTGCGAGTTGGGTGTGTGAGGAGATATTTATACCTCTCACGGGACGCCGAGAGATAGTACTCGGCATACTACATCTACATGTACTTTCGTCTCTTCTAGTACTATACATATTAGCACTGTCCGCGCTGACAAAACCACGACAGGGCAAACAGATCAGCCTAGATATCTTCAGGTATGAAGCTGTTTAAGTCAGGTACGTGAAGATACACAAAGAATCGTGCCTACTTCTTTGCCTTCTTCTTGGGCCTTGTGTCCTCGTCCTCGCTGGCGCCCTCATCATTATCTCCATCAGCATCAGCCATCTCTGCATCGCTACCCGCATCACTGCCACTGCTTTCGTGTGCTGAATCAAACTCCTCGGCTACATCGCTCTCAGATGACGCTTCAAAATCTTCGTCGGGCGAGTCGTCATCCTCGTCAGCTGAACCCCGATTGGCGCCGGCGTTGTCATCCTCGTCTGACGAGGCAAGATCCTGGTCCACCAGAGCTGCTTTCAAAAGCGTAGACGAGTCATCCAGCATCTCATTCTTAAAGCGGATGCCTTTAGCCTGAGAATTTCGTTAGATCATAAATTCCACCACGCGCAATGGTGACTCACCTGGAAAAATGCTTCTAGTGGCTGTTGCTCCTCGCGGTTGATGTTGCTGAATTGATGCTCTCCCTGGCCGCCTTTCAGGGTCATGGTAATGTCGAATGTGCGGCTGGCTGCAAGAGCTCCTCCCACCCGCGACATAGTGATGCTCTGTATAGAATCGATCGGCACGTAGGTGGCAGGCTTAGGCACAAAGATGAAACTCTTGTCCAGGCAGAAAAGCAAGCCTTCATTGGCCTTGATGGAGCACTTAACCCCGTTCATGTTGTGATGACTGACAAAGTCCTTGGAGGGCATGATTATCTTCTTTCCGGATAGACCCTTGAAGACTTTGGCGATAACATGATGGATCGGTGCTTCGTAGTGCGCCTCCAGCTTGTCTTTATACTTGGTCTCAAGGAGCTCATCCGTCATGTTGAGATCTAGGTTCACCTCATCATCGAGCTTGAGTTGCATCACAATGAAAGGATATCTTGTTTGTCCTTGTCGAAGTGGCGGATCCAGCCCCAGGGTGATCATTGTGTGCATTTCGTCGTTCTTGGGCAGAATGAAAAACTTTTTGATCGACTGGTACTGGATCTTGTAATCATACGTCTTACCACGTAATCGGAACGAGTTTTCGTACATGTCGATATCGAAACGTCCTCTGGATCCGACCCGAGTCAGTATTTTCCGAAAACCCCAATTATCCATGGAAACATTGAATACGTACCTGGGTGTGAGATGCAAGATGTCCTGGAAGGTCGCGAACGTAGCACCGGCGACTTCCCCAATCTCTGCCTTATCCATCAAGGTCTCATAAAACAAGTTGGCGGCATTTTGCTCCTCTTCCTCTTCTTGTTCTGTGCCACTTCCCTCTTCCCCGTTGACATCTTTCTTGGAAACTGTGCCTGGGATATAAAATCGCATCTCCACCAGTTCGTCTCGTCCAGCGGCTGCCTTGCGGCCCCGATTCTTAGTATTCCCGGCTTTCTGACCATTCGTGCCATTCTGGGTGGGCTCCGAGTCGAGGTTGAATTCGACGGCAATCTCATTCTTTCCCGCCAGATTCGTGTTGGAGATCTCGGAGTAAGGGATTTCGAACGCTGGTCTGTTCTGGACATTGAATGCTAATTCCGCACGCCCAAACTCGGCCTTGCCCCAATTCCAGCCTCGCAGCGCATGCTCCTTGTGTTCTAGGTTAATGCCGTACCAAATCTTAAAGGCTTTGGCAGCACGATCAAAGTCTTCCTGCTCAAACCCGTCTAGTTGGATAACGGCAGCATCCCGAGTGATAATTTTTATTTCATATCCTTTTGACGCTCTGCTCCACTGCGCCGCACTGATCTGGTTGCCGTCGAGAGTGAAAGGTTCGCTGCCACCACTGGATTTCCATCCTAAACCGCTTTCCGCAAGTCTACACCGTCCAGACTGTTTCGACAGATCGAGATAGATGTTTTCAAACGTCTCCCTGCGACTGCAGTTAGAGGTGAGTTCACAATCTGTAGAGGCTAGACTCACATGGTTCGCAACGCTGCGCCGATGGCGACAGCAAGGGTTTGCGGCGCAATCGAGGAAAACGACTGAAATTTGGCAGTCTTTGAAACTTGTTGCCGTCTGAGCAGAGGGATAGAAGAAACCGATGGAGATCAGGCTGAGGCAAGGTCAAGAGGGCACAGGTCGGAGGTGTAGTTTACTAGTAGCCTGAATATGAGGCCGGGGGTTTGGATGGGTGGAGGGCACCTCAACTTCACGTCGTCGCGCCACGCGAACGTAGCCTTGGCGCGTCCTTCTCTCAACTTAGCTACTCCGGAGTACTACTACAACATACGACGTCCTAAAAGCAGCGTGGCTGGACCTATATCCGTATCTCTGATCTGGAGGTGCATGGGCAACCCGGTGCATGGGCAACCCGGTGCATGGGCAACCCCTAAGCAAGCAAGAGAGTCAGGACTCAATGATATCAGTTGTCGAGATAGTATCTATCATTAGAGGTATAAGTATGCATGCCTTGAACTGCAGTGACCAGAATCAAGATCTCTCTTGAAATGCCTGTCGCAGAGCCTCGCGCAGCGAGTTTATTGTATTCCTTCCCGGCATCGATGACAGCGTCGAATAACGGGAAAGGATGAGGTACACCCTTCATACTCACACATATGGCTTCGACCCCTTCAGCCCTAAGTCTTTCAGCATAAGCCTCTCCCTCGTCGCCAAGAACATCGATTCAGCTGTGACTACTAAAGCTGGAGGCAGACCCTTGTGGTACCAGAGGTAAGAAACCACTGTTTTACCGCAACGTCACTCTATACTATACAGTTAACTGGTTGGGGAGAGCTAAGGAATGTTTCTTGTCAGAATGCCGATAAGGCACTTTGCGCAGCATGTCCAGAGCTCAGCCCCCCCCCAAAATATGGCAATGTGTCTTTACCATGACCTTCTACTTGGTTGGACAGATGTCGTCAGAAGTCAGAACGCCTCTAGATTCGGTCGCGAAATCATATCTGGGAGATCATCGTCCTGAAGGGAGGGCAGTCCAGGGGAGACATGCTTGTTGAATCTCCACCCGATGAGAGCCTGAGGAGCCCTCCGGATGAACAGATGAGGGACACGGATGACGAAGAGGTCGAGATTTCCGACGCACACATGCATGGCAATGGTAATGGCATCGGTACAGAAGATATCTATTCCTTTCCCCTGGAAATGAATAAACCAGCCTTCACTTTCAGGTCTGGGTTCTGCTTCTGCCGGCTAACGCCACAGTCGGAGACGGAAACACAGTGACGCGGCAAAGCTTGAAGGTCAACGCGATTTCACCTTCCTGGACAGTATAACAAGCGCGCCTCTTGTTACAGTACGAGTTAGAGAAGGAATGTCGGGTGATCTTGGCCATCATCTCTAAAGCTCCTAATACAAGTACACCACCGACCATACCGAGTCCGAGGCCGCAATCTTTACCGCTGTGAATACACCAGGTAGAAGCCACAATCAATCACGCCCAGCAGTCAAGAAGAACACCCACCTTCTCCCTCATTAGTATTGCGCCTGAACCCTGGATTTCGATATCAGTCCAACCATGTACCACTCTCGCGTTGTGAAGCGGGGATAGTTATCCCAGTACGCATGCAAACTAAACCATCTTGCACCGGCGTTCCACAATCACGACTCATACAATCGCCGGAATTCCCATTCAATCCTTCAGGAATTCAATATCTTTTCCAGAATCCTGATACACTCTAACTTTGCGTTGGAGTTTGGCGCGCCTGGTGGGCGAACTCAAGGCTAGCGTTGGAGTTGATCTCGCAGCTCGTTCTTGCAGAACGGCCAGGGTTCGTTGATCACCACTCACGGGTCTTTCTGGAACACGAGCTTTGGTCTGCCTACGGACAAACGTTGGACACCGTTTCAGTGTAGTGGCGACACCTCTCGCTTCAGTCTTTGTTGCCGAGTTGTGGTGCCCATCATGACACATGGAAGCGTGCGGGCTGCTCCCGATAGCATGGCCCTCGCGCCTGTCTTCAACATGAGCCCTTTTCCGGCCTCCCTCTGTATCGACGACTGGCGTGGGGAGCTCCTCTTCCCCTCCCGCTTTCCCTTCTTCTTGTACAGAATAGGGGGGGTTTTCAGTATCCCTTCTCGACTGAGACATTTTTTCAGGGGTGGTCTGAATACTGACAGTACGGTAACGATGTTCTGCAGGTGGATCTAGCAGGTTCGGTTGGTCATCGGCACGGTTTTCGGTTGGGTCGAGAGGACCTTGACAGATCAGGGGCTGGCTATTCTGAGCCGCCGGTGGAGTTTTCATATTTCTTTCGAACGCGGCGAGGATGTCGTCCAGAGTACTTCCGTTGTGGAGTGCCGCATGGTAGATTTGGGAAGCCCTTCCTGCCGCCTCCAGTTGAGAGTCTGCCCAGTCACTCTCGAAGACTTTTGAATCCCTTTCGCGATGGCTGCGGACGTCTATTGCACTATCAGGCGCGCCAAGCAACAGCACGGGGTCAGGCTGCAAGACATTCGGATCATCGCCAATGAGCTTTCCCAGAGAATAGAGTGCCCTGACTACTCCAAGAGTGGTGAAGATGCAGTTCCGGATGTTCTTCCATGTCTCTACCAGTGACACATTGCCATCTCTCTTACAACCACGGGCGCATAAGGCCAGCGTGCGACCGGGATATCGCAGAAAGTGCCAGGTGGTAGTGTGCCAGGCGTCATTGCGTGTGGCAAGTTTGCTGGATATGTATAGCAGAGGAAGCATGTACAGCCTCAGGGTGAGCAGGGGAATAAACACGATGTGCTGTAAGAGTCTGCGGACGGTGTCACAGAACTCGTAAAAGAGGCTGGAGTCTGTTCCCGCCGTACTAGAAGGATTCAGTCCAACATTGCGTATAGATCTGGATATCGGAGTTGTCTGCTGAGGGGAGGACTGGGACATTGTGAGAAGATCTGTAAGAGTAGAGCCAGCGCCAGCACTTGTTTGTGCCATGCGATCCTTCTGATGGCTGGAGGAGCCCTTGGAAAAGAAGCATGCAGGGAGAGAAGGGGCAGGGGATACAAACTATGTAGCATAAGAGGATATGCCAGAAAACACACGGGGAGAGATGAGAGTTCGGAACCAAATGCCGGAAGTATAAAGTCTGCCGCGGGAGCATTGTAGGCTTTGAGGAGAGTGTTCTGACCAACACATGCCTGACAGCTCCATTGAATGTCAACCTGGGGATGGAAGGTGTGTTGGAGCTTTTGACATACGGCCCCTGCACCAAGACAATGTGTAGAGAGTCCCTCGTACTTTCCCCATTTCCCCCCGTCCTGTGCGCCTGGTCGATCACACACTCGACTGACTGTGAGCTAATTCGACGGCGACGGCGACAGCGACACGGGCGAGTCTCGAGTGTGAAGGACGAGCGACTTTCTGTCTACGGCCTTGAAGAGGGACACGGAGAGGGTGGCTGCCATGGGGGTATGCTCGTCGTGAACGAGACCAACCATGTTTATTTAAATTGGACACGGCATGTCGATCAACAGAGGCGGCTGGCGCTGTCAGACTGTCAGAGCGCATGGACTCCCGTGGCGCCCGTCCTCCATGTCTAGGCGAGAGACATGCGGAGATGTATACAGAGTATCCGTGTTCCGTAGGCGAAGAAGAGCAGTAACAACAAGAAAGTCGAAGTTGGCGCAAGTGACTTGATGGTCGCTGTGCTTGGCCGCAGTGGCTTACGTAGGCGCATGCTAACACGTGATACACACGGCACGTGAAACGATACTCATAGTGCGGTCACAGGAACTCGCAGGCTGCAAGAGGTGAGTACCTACCTAGGTAGTAGTATAGTATCAGCTACCTACTGGTAGTACATACCTGGGTATCCCTAGTATTGACTATTATCAGGCCCCAATGGTCGAGAGCGTCACGGTCAGTCACATTCCACCATCACGGGCGAAAACCCGAACGTCCGAATCCTTTGCGAATCCTCTCCAACCGCCCTCACAGGCAGGGATGCAGCCAATTCCGCTCCTCAGAGACGTGCCTGTTCAGATCGAGACAGTTTTCGTCGTGGGGGACCTCTTCTACTGCCATCATTACACACGATAGGTTCGGAGGCAGAAAGTTGGGCTGGAAGTTTCCATTTCGTGCGTGTCTCAGCTGAAGCCTTGTTCTCGAAGCAGTCTGCGATGTGGCGCCCGAGGACCGGCAAGAACTTGAAAGCACTGTCGACTGGTTAGACAAGGGCATGATTGTAGAACCAGGTCAACTTACTGGCCTGCACCTCCTGCTGCAATGAAGAGACCGTCTATCTTAGGGTGGAAGTCGACCACGAAATTTCCCTCGGGTGTATCGGTATACCAGCAAAGCCGCCTTCTCTTCCAAGGATAGTTGGCGAACTGAGGGAGGATGAACCGAAGCCCTTCTCTGAGACCAGCATCTGCATCAGAGGGGAGAAATGACGAGGTTGCACCGTTGGACAGTTTCGGCGTCGAAACTATACGTCCGTCCTTGGTTTCATGTTCTGCCTGAAAGCCGTGACTATGTCTGGCAATCTTGAGCAGATGAGTGTCCGGCGTTGGAGGGAAAACGAAACAGCCCGAGGTGAGATCAATGAGAACTGGCATCTGGGACAATGACCTGCTTTCCTCGGGGCTGAGCTGGATGAAGCCAACTGGCTGACCCGAGGAAGACATAGCAGCGGAGACGTCCGTCAGTTTGTTCGTCCATGCGCCCGTCGCAAGGATGACTGTTGTCCCGTCTATAGAACCAGTGGTAGTTTCCACCCCGACAACTCGTGAACGATCCACACGAAGCCGCCGAACCGTCCCTCGAGGGCCAACAATAAAGGAGACACCAAGCTCGCTGCATCGACCGGCTAGACGTTGGATCGACCCTGCCGCATCTGCCCAACCGCCTGAGGTGTTGATATAGCCGCTGGATTGATTCAGGCCTCCTTTCAAAGCTGGATACTTGAGAAACAGTTCCGACACGTTCTCAAAGCTGGTGAATGGCTGTTGCTGGCTCTTGAGGACTGTCTTGCACTTCTCGATGTACGGTTCGTTGGGCGTTTGCGATGACATGACAAAGCCAGAACCATGGTATAATCCTGTCCAAGCATCCGAGGTCCATTCGTGCATAGCTTCCGTGGCCAATTTGCCATAGAATGGATCGGCATAGTCGTACCGAATCACTCGCGATACGTCCACACTGCTCCCGTCCGGCACTGGAGGCATCATCCTATCCAGGACAGTGATATTTTCATATCCTCGAGTGCGCAGTTCAAAGGCGGTGGAGAGGCCGAAGACCCCAGCACCTACTATAAGAATTTTGTCGTCCTTCGAGGGCGCTCTGGACAGAGGTTGAGCCATGATGCTGTTCGGGCGTTGTTCCGGAGAAGGGTGGTGGAAGAGGGCCCCTGGCCGCGTTTGCAGTTGAGACGAACGATTGCACGGGGTGAGTCTCGATCGAGAGAGAGCCTGAATTGAACCCCCATGGCACTGGCCAGACTCAACATCTTAGAACAGGGCACCAGCGGAACCAGGGGAGGCATAAGCGGAGCTCTATCACGAGCCGGAGCGGACGGGCCTTCCGTGCACGTGACCGGCGACTCTTGCCTGTTAGCAGCCAGGCATATCTGTCCCATCCTTGCACTAACACAACTGTACCTATCAATTGCCGCAAGCATTCACCGTCAGCAGCCAACAACAACCCAATAAGGTCGTCGGGAGTGAGAGGCCAGGACCCCGGCGACGGCTTCGCGTGGCGGGGTAGTGCGGTAGTGCCTATCTTTGCTTCTGGTATCAGGTCTTTGAGATAAGGTCACTCAGTTAGGAGGGCGAAGGGCGAGGCACTGCAGTCTGGCAGTATTTATATGACGCCCATGCCGCAGGATGACAGGATCAACCTACCCTCTACTGCCAGCCAAGTGTCTCGACTCTTTCCACGCAAGCAAGCCGAGGAGATGGACACTGTAACAAAAGACGAGACTAAGACTCCTTACGAAGTTGGCATGACCCCCAAGCCGGAGGGATCGATTGAGGTCATCGCGAGTACAGAGCTCATCTCATTCCGCCATGTGGACGAAGCCCTTGACGCGAAGATGCACCTGGTCAACCAGGTAATCTATCTTCTATGTTCTAAGGAAACTTTCACAAGCTGACTTTCCTCAAGGCAATCAATCAGATTGAACTTACTCCCTACCACTGGAAGCTATTTTGCCTGAACGGAATGGGGTAAGTTTTGGCCCTCCATGTTCTTCGGACCAGCCGCAGCAGCAGCAGCAGCAGTAACGGCAGGCTGATCTTCTTAGCTATGCCGTCGACTCTTTGTTACCAATTCTCATGAGCATTGCCAACACGCAAGTGGTTCTCGAGTACCAGCCGTCGTACAATCGTGGCGGACAGATCGGGCTCTACGTCGGCCTCCTGGTCGGGGCTCTATTCTGGGGTATCTCTGCGGACATCATCGGGCGAAAATGGGCATTCAATATGAGTTTGTTCCTGGCTTCCGTCTTCTCCATTGGAGCTGGAGCTGCCCCGAACTATATCGGATGGGCCTCCCTGGTTGCCCTGGGAGGGTCTGGAGCTGGAGGCAATCTTGTTCGACACGACCGTTTTCCTGGAATATTTACCGGCCGTAGAGCAATGGCTGGTCACCTTTATGGCCTTATGGTGGGGTGTTGGTCAAACAGTAGCCGGCCTGTTCGCATGGGCCTTTATGCGTAAGAACAAACATGCTCAAAATGGAGGGGCATAGATGGCTAACTGGTCTTTCAGCGAACTTCAGCTGCACGTCTGCTGACGATTGCCCTCGATCCAGCAACCCTGGCTGGCGCTACTTGTACTACACTTCTGGCGGCTTTGTGTTGCTGATGAGCATAGCCCGGATTACGGTTATTCGCTTCCACGACACGCCGAAGTATCTACTTTGCAAAGGCGAGGACGAGAAGGTGGTGACTCTTCTCCGAAACCTGGCCACCAAATATGGCCGCGAGTGCGACCTCACCGTCGAGAGCCTCGCCAGTCAGGGCAAGATCACCAGCACGCACTCCAAGAAGGTGTTTTCTTTGAGCGAAATCGGCGTCCATTATCGGGGGTTGTTTAGCACCAAAAGACTCGGAATCTCGACCCTCCTGATCTGGTTCTCCTGGCTCTTGATCGCGCTGGGCTATCCCTTGTTCTATGTCTTTCTGCCCGAATATCTAGCCAGCCGAGGTGCCGAGTTTGGACAGACGTCTACCTACATCACATGGAGAAACTATGTGCTTGCCCAGTTTTCCTCCGTCTTTGGTCCAGTGCTTGCAGGGTACATGTGCAAAGTCCCCGTTATTGGTCGCAAGTACACCATGGCCATCGGGGCCGTCATCTCGAGTAAGTCTCTAGTCTCTTGTTTTTGCTTCGTTTTGGCTCCACGGCCGGTCACCCATGCTCATGCTCTGCAGTGGTCTTCTTCTTCGCCTACACGGCGGTGCGGAACAACGCCGAAAACGTCGGCTTCAACTGCGCCACCTCCTTTGCCATCAACATCTACTATGGTACCTTGTATGCATATTCTCCCGAGGTGCTGCCCACCGCCCATCGCGCCACCGGCAATGGTACGGCGGTGGCGCTGAACCGGATCATGGGGATCATGTCAGCCGTCATCGCTACCTACGCGGACACCTCCACCTCGGTGCCCTTCTACATTTGCGCGGCTCTCTTCGGTTGGATGGCCCTTGTGTCGGTGCTGTTCCCGTACGAGCCGCAGACCTCGCAAAGTGTGTGAATGTGGGCGAGGGGGTTTCTGACCAGAGTGATAATTGCCAGTGGCGGTCGTTGGGTCTCTATAGGAGGGCTCTACGAAACCCGAGTCTGGCGGCGGGTGATTTTGCGGTGCTCCGGGCATGGGGGGTTTAAATTTCTAAGATTTCTATTTCTGTTTCTATGCTCAGCAGACACCCATAGGGTTTCATTATGTTTGACGCCGCGAGGGGCTCAGGAGACTCTCGCCGCTGTTCGCTAGTGAATCTTAGTCTTAGGCCTATATCGATGTCGAGGACTTGGTTATCGACAGTACAGTACAGTACATGGTATTTAGTATTCAGTTCTATGTACCCAAGGCAGCGACTCCCGCGAGGTGAGCTTCCACCGTATTCCAACCGGCCGTGTCCTCGCTCGAGAGGTCCGTGTCCGATCGGGGGGGAAACACAGACGACGACGACGACGACGAGGAGGAGGAGGAAGGGGAGGGGGACGAGGCGAGCTCACTGTCCACCCTTGGCTTCGGGAGCATTGGCTGGCGGCTGTAGCCTCTGGAAGAAAGGTAATAGGCCTCCAAGGGCAGATTGGCATGCGGCTCGATGTAGTAAGCCAGATCCTTCGGCTTAGGTTCGTGCGTGTCTGGGGCAGGGTCAGGGTCCGGGCGGCGCTCGATGTGCGACAGACCGTCGCCCCAGTGGGCGAAGCGGTTGGCGTCATATTTCCATTCAAAGTCCTCCCAGCGATTGGAGTCGAGGACCTGGCGGTAATGCAGCGAGGAGCCGGGCCACAGGGCCAGGATCTTGCCGGAGGACTTGGACTTGTACCAGGACGAACAGGGGCCGGACCAGACCATGTTCTGCATCAGCTGCTGGGTGTGGGCGTCAAAGTCGGCCTGGACGTCCGGGCGCACGGCGAAGGAGCGGACGCGCTGGGCGGCGACCTTGGTCATGATGCGGATGAAGAAGTCGGCCGTGGCCTCGAGCGTGCCCATCAGGCTGCCGTTGGAGATGGGCGTGTTCGGGCCCAGAAACAACAGATAGTTGGGGAAGCCGGCGACGGCGAGCCCGCAGTACGCGGTGGCGTCGTCCTTCCACAGCTCGCGGAGATCGCGGCCGCCGGCGCCGATGATGGGGAAGCGCGGGCGGAACGAGGTGTCGAAGCCCGTGGCGGCGATGATCACGTCCGCCGGTCGCAGCTGGCCGCCGGCCGTGACGATGCCGGAGCCGTCCTCGGCCACGTGGTCGATGGCGTCAAACACCGCGCTCACGTTGGCCTGTTGCAGAGCTTCCAGGTAGGCCTCGCCGGGGTTGATGCGTCGGCAGCCGACGTCGAAGGTCGGGATCATCTTGGTCTGGAGATGCGGCTCTGGGATCCGAGCCTTCATGTAGGCGGCGAACCGGCGTCGCAGCTCCTGCTGCTCGGGGCTGCCTTTGATGAAGGCCCGGAACATGGAGTTGTACGCGGTTTCCATGTCCTTGCGCACGCGCACCGAATACGCCGCGTCCGTCTTGAACCGCTCGATCTCCTCGGCCGTGTAGACGTGATTCCGCTCCGGGTTGATCGCCGCCCCGGGCGGCGGCGAGATCCACGACGGCGTACGGATGTAGATGTCGGCGTGCTCGACCTGGGCCTGGATCGCCGGCAGACACTGGATGGCACTGGCGCCCGCGCCCACCACCGCCACCCGTTTCCCCCAGAGGTCGACGTCGCCGTCCCAGGCGGCCGTGTGGAGGACCGGCCCTTTGAATCGGTCCAAGTTCCGAAGCTGGGGATACGCCACGTTGTTCAAGATGCCGCCCGCATTCACCAGGATCTCACATTCGAACTGGCCCTTGTTCTCCACCCTCACCGTCCACACGTCCCGCTGGTCATCCCATTCCGCCCCGGCGATTTTGCTCTTGAAGCTGATATGTCGGTCGATGCCGTAATGGAAGACCACCGCCCTCAGGTACGACTGGATCTCGGCGGATGAAGCATAACTGTGGCACGTCCCACTGTTAGCGATGGCGATCGGGGTCAGGTCATACACATAGAGCCGGCCCAAGGCCCGACCCTCAAGAATGAGGTACCTACAAGCTGGACCAGTAAGGGTTGGGACAAAAGCTGTATTGATAAATGTGACTGGGCACGTCACAAGCACAGCCTTTCAGCATCTCCAGCGTCAGTGTCAGTCCATCATGGATGGAGTCGGATTCGAGTTGGGTCTTGCTGACCTGGATATCGGTTTTCAAACCAAGTGCCGCCCACGTCTTCATTCTTCTCGAAGATCTGGAACTCGACATAGTCTCCAAAGGCTTGTTTGATTTTGATTCCTGGACCAGTCAAGTCAGTGGTTTGCTCTGGTATACGTATCTGTCACACCCTATCCATATTCCATATTGAACATTGAACAGTGCTATATGATATGTGATATACACACCCATCAAGATGCCCGACACTCTGTGCACAATGGTAATGGTCAGCCACGGCCATCCTGACACTGACAGGCGAGCACGGGTTTGGTTCATGCCTCATGGTTCATGCTTACCCAGCCCCGATGATGATGCACCGCAGTCTCTTTGTACTTGGCTCTGCCATGTCTATGTTCACTGTGCGTTCCTCGCTGGTGATGGTGATGGTGACTTTCTCTTCTCAGACCTCAGATTCGACGGACAATGGCGGGGGCAGGGCCAGAGGCAGGAAGCGTTCAATTTGTGCGCCTGGAGTGGCAACCGGCTACGTACACATAATACACCTTCTGTCCACGTGTCTGTGTCTGTGTCTGCTGCTCCATTCTGCATCTGGACCCGGTTGACGTTGGCCACCCACACAAAGGGCATTGCCGATGACCAGCGGGCCTGACCAGCATTATGCCGCAGTGTCTCCCCGGTTCTGTCCTGGTCCTGTCCTCAAGATCGCCCAACTCGAAAGCATGTTCCACTTTTTCAGAGGCAGCGAGCGATAAGAAACGCACCAGGCCAACGTCCAGGGGCCAGAGCCCACCTGTCGCCGGGGCACATCCGACCACGTGACCGGCTTTTCCGTGGCGCCCGATGGACAGCCCCTTCGTCTGTGGAGGTGGAGGGAGTTGTACCATTTGCTCACCCGTTAGCTTCCGGCCGCGGTGATGGTGAGAGGTGGCAGGCGGGGACATGGGCGATATACAGAGTACTATTCAAGTGAGGAGCAGGCCGAGAGAGGTCGTCTCATCGATTCCAGACAAAGGGCCCCGGGCAGCATAGCATCGAGGAGCAGTGGAAAGATACTTCGACCTAGCTACTTGAAACTGGGACATTTCACTGCCATAGCCAAACCAACACGACCAACAAACAGTTTGCAGGCCCATGATGGCTTCAGCCTTGAAATGGATCCTCGGCCAACCATCACCATCGCCATCGGAAACCGCCTCGCTCAAGACCAAAACCACGAAACGAGGGCTGCCTGCGTCGTGGTACCGAAGTCCCGAGCTCTATCAGCTTGAAAGAAGGGCGATTTTCTCCCGGAAGTGGCTGCTCGTCACGCATAAGAACCGGTTCGGCCAGCCGGGAGACCTGTTGCGCTTCACCGAGGCCGGCTTCGACTTCTTTCTCTGCCTGGACCGCGAGGGAAAGCTGGGCGGGTTCTTCAACATCTGTCGGCATCGAGGATTCCCCCTGGTGCACAAGGAGCAAGACCATGTAAAGATTCTGGCATGCAAGTACCACGGCTGGTCGTACGGGCTCAACGGCAAGCTGGCCAAGGCACCACACTTTGAACAATTCCCGGACTTCGACAAGGAGGAGAATGGATTGCTGCCGATCCACGTCCACATCGACGCCTTGGGGTTCGTGTGGGTGAACCTGGATACCTCCTCCCCGACGCCGGAGCCGTGGAGCGAGCAGTTCGAAGGGGTCGACACGCAAGACCGGCTCCAGTCGTTCAACTTCCAAGAGTATCGCTTCGACCATACCTGGGGCATGCAGGGCGACTACAACTGGAAAACCCTGGCGGACAACTACAACGAATGCCTGCACTGCCGGACCGCGCATCCCGACACGAACGGCGTGGTGGACGTGACGGTGTACCGCGTGGCCGGGAGCAAGAGCCACCTGCAACACTTCAACTAAAGACAGGAGACGGGGTTGAACGAGGGCAAGGTGCAGATCGCAAGCACCTTCTTCTACCCGAATGCCTGTACGACGGTGTCGTAAGTGGCCTCTCTGATGTCTGATGTCTATCCGATCCCAAACCCAAGACTAATTACCATCCTAGGCCTCACTATTTCTACATGATGAGATGCGTGCCGACCTCGGCCACGACGTGCTCGATGGAGTACGAGGTCTACCGACATCAGGACGCGTCCGACGAGGACTTTAACAACATCGACCAGATTTACAAACGCGTGCTCACCGAAGACAAGTGGCTGTGCAACAACACGCAGAGAAACCTGGAGGCCGGCGTCTTCGTCAACGGCCAGATGCATCCGGACTACGAATTTGGGCCGTTGTATTTCCAGAGTCTGGTCAAGGAGTGGGTGCTGCAGCATCACGCCGAGGAGCAGAAGCAGAAGAAACAGATCTGGCCGGCCGCTCAGCAGTTGGCCACGGACACGGACACCAACACCCGCACCACCCAAGACGAAATCGCCTTCTGCGCCGGCCTGGAGTGTGGTCCCGACGCCGAGCCTAGATTGGCCTGGTAGAGGTAGAGGTAGACGGAGACATCGACCATCCCGGCCTTGCCACTATCATGTCTGTCTATAGTATATACAATACAACCAGCCCCTGGGCCCGGTAATAAAGAATACAGAATATAAAGAAATTACATGTGTACTCGGTACAGAATGTGTATTTCGATGTATGTGTACCAAGTACTCCGTACTCCGTATTAATGGCCGGAAGTGGATTGTGTGGTAAGCAGGACCCGCGCCTACGCCATTACTCTGGTTAGCCCGGCCATTATCATTGTGATTGTCATTGACTTCCTCTTGTTATCTGTGGATCTCAGATGCTTCCCAGGCTCTGTGCTCGCTTGGACTCAACCTCACTGTCCAGTATCCAGTGTCCAGGTACAGTCACAGTCACAGTCACAGTCACAGCTACCGGCACCGGCACCGGCACCAGCACCGGCAACGGCAACGGCAACGGCAACGGCAACGGTAACGGAACATACAGTCCGGACTACGTACTACAAACAGGTGCTCTGGCCCCGAGCCCCGAGCGGCGAGCGGCGATGAGCTCGCGCGCGAGAACCGCACAGCGCACCCTCCAGGCGTGCGAGAATTGCAGGTTTGATTGATGACTTCTGGCGGACTGAGGTCATGGACATTGACGCCTACCGCCTCCAGACGCAAGAAGACACGATGTCCAGGAGAAAGACCGAAATGCTCGACGTGTGTGCGCCTGCGACAGAATTGTCAGTATGCGCGGACCGGCTGGGATCAGGATCGGGAGCAGGAGCAACCGCGCCAGGAGCACTCGGAGTATCTCACCTGGCCCGGGTGCACGTGGCTCTGGCAAAGAGCCTGATGCAGTGCTCCGGCCTCGACACGGGCACAGCCTCGTCCTCCTCCCTGGGGCGGACGAAACTACAGGACGATCAGGCCCGATTGTTCTGGAGCGTCTTCACCCTCGACCAACTGTTTGGCATGCCGGTGCGAGTGCCGGTGCTGTCGGACAGTCTGGCCACTCCCCACTATGCGGCGATGCCCAAGACGCAGACGCCGACGCCGGGGCTGCTAGCCTCGTCGATTCCATGCCCGGCGTTCCCGCACGAGGCGTACAACGAATACGACGAACCGGGGATCGGCATGTGGTCGCACATGGTGCAGCTGATCAACGTCTGGAGCTCGACCCGGAACTACGTGTGGTCGTGTGCCAACGCCAGCAACGCGTCGCCCTGGAGCCCGGATTCCGAATACACGCGGATCGGTTCGCAGCTGCTCGACGTCGAATGCATCCTGCCGTCGTTCGTGCGGCTCGACAACGCCAAGATCCGCGAGCGGCCGGCGGCGGACGTCCAGGCTCATCGGGAGTACTGGCTGCCCTGGTTCACGCTGCAGGTGCTGTACCACACCATCCACGCCGTGCTCAACCACCCCTTCCTCTACTCGCAAAAGGCCTCCCAGCACCGCAAGGGCCCCAACGTCTTCTGGCGCGCCTCGTCCGAAGCCGCCGTCGTGCACAGCACCTGGATCACCAACATGCTGGACCTGGCCCGCGAGAAGGACCTGGTCTTGTCCGACCCCGTGCTCGCCCACGCCGCCGCCATCGCCGCCACCTTACACTTCTACTTCAGCCGCGCCGCCGACTCCCGCATTAGCCACGGCGCCGCCGTCAACCTGAACAAGTGCCGCTCGTTTCTGCGCCGCATGGCCCGCCATTGGCCCCTCTGTCGCTCGATTGTAAGTTAGGTGCCGGTCGTCATCGTCGTCGTCGTATACCACCCCCTCCACCTCCATCTCTATCTCCACCACCACTACCGAATACACCGTCCCAAGCATCTTTACGCTGTGGCTTCTGTTGACTTGTATATCCGGAGCCAGAGTGACACCCTCGACCAACTGATCGACCTGGCCGAATCGACGGCCGCGGCCACCGCCGCACAGTCCAACTCCAACAGTGTGGCCATGAACACGGCGTTGATGTGGAGGATTCCCGACCTCGCCACCCCGCGCGGCAGGGCCTTGACCGGAGACGGCCTGTTCCATCCGTCCATCCTCGACATGTCGCAGTCTAAAGCCCGCCAGGACCACACAAGCGTCGCCGGCCCGACTGTGCGGCCGGAGAACCCCCGAATTCGCCCTTCGCCCAAATACCTCGTCGTGCCTCCCGACTGGTTCGCGTCCACCACCACGGCGACGGCGGTTCCCTCCACCTCCACCTCTACCTCTATCTCTACTCCTACTCCTACCCCCACTCCTACCCCCACTCCCACTCCCACTCGTATCTTTGTACCTGCCACTGCCGCTGCTCCGCCGTCGGCGTCTCAGTCGTGGCCACGTTCAAGTTCGAACGTGGGGTTGAGTCCGGCTCCGGCTCCGGCTCCGGCTCCGGACCAGATGAGCGGCAGCCAGCAAATGCCCGAAATGCTCGGCCTTGGCTCCTCTTGGATTGAGGACCCTGACAACGAGACATTGATGGACATCACCTATGACTCTTTGGCCCAGTACTACGATCGAGGGGGCACGAATTCGAATTCGGCCTGGTGGGATTATGGAACTCTCTAACGGCTCCGCTCAGCTACTGTACAGTATGATGCTATGAGCTCCAATGGGAGAATGAAAATATAATAATTGGATTGCAAATAATGGTCATGACCATCCACGCCCCTGACAAGACGCTATAACTTACTCCTTCTCCTTCTCCTTCTCCTTCTCCTTAAGCCTGCTCCTTAATCCTGCTCCTTAAGCCTGCTCCTTAGTCCTGCTCCTTAGTCCTGCTCCTTAGTCCTGCTCCTTAGTTCTGCTCCTTAGTTCTGCTCCTAAGTCCTGGTCCATAACAGTATCAATGGCCCATCGACGCCATTGACCGGGTCCTGCGACGGCATCTCCACATGTCCGATCTCGTTTCTGAATGCCTCTAGATCAATGGGCGCCTTGCCCAACTGGTTCGTCCAGTGTGGTGCTCCCTGTGATGCCGTCCGTGAGTGAGTGGGACGGGACGGCCATAGCTCGGGTACACCATGGGCATGGGTCGTGTGTGCACCAGGTGACAGCCATAGCTCGGCTACACCATGGGTCATGGGTTGACAAGAAAGACAGGGGACGTGTGAGTGAGTGAGTGAGCTGCATGTGATGACTTGATATGGAGGGGGTGAATGAATGAATGAATGATACTGTATATACTACATACCTCGGGATAGACTCCAATATATTTATAGTCCTTGCTGCTCTTGGTGCTGCAGTGTCCAGTTCCCGCCGGGAGGACAACCACGTCGCCCGCATGGACTTCGACTTCAAGGCCGCCGTCCGTGGTGTCATTGTGACCACAGCCGAGGAGCAGGGTCGAGGACCCTTGGAAGATACCTGTTCCGGGACAAACAAGTCAATAAATGGGGAAAGGGGAGGGTCGCAATTCGCATTCGCGACGGGAAATCCAATCCCATCCTTATCCCTCCAAGACGCGACGGTGACGGTAGAAATGCAAGTATAGGTAATTACCTAGGCAGGTAGGTATACGGAGAACGGATACGGACCGTAGCATTCGTGCGTGTTTGGGTGGAAATGTCGTTGGCCGATGTGTCCCCAACAGCCCTTCTTGACCCACGCGTGGGCTTCGAGAAACTCGGCCGCCTTCTCTTCCGAAAGCGGCAGTGGAAGACAGTCGCGGTAGATCAGTACCGGGAGCTCGTTGTTCGGACAATGCTCCTTGGCTCTTAGACGGTATGTCTCCGGCGTGAAGACCATGGCGGCGAACGGTCTCAGTGGGCAGCTACCTAGATTCTCAATCGTTGACTGTGAGCGTGAGCGTGAGCGTGAGCGTGAGCGTGAGCTGTTCTTGTGTCATTTGACGTAGCACTATAGCTGAGAGGCGGGCATGATTATCATTACAGAGAAGGACGTTGGAGGGTAATAGTTAGTGGTGCTGTACCTAATCACCGCCTAATCCAACCCATGAGACGAGCCGGTCACCTGACCGGGCGACCGGCAGGCAGGTCCGGGCTACCACTACTGGAGCCGGAGTGGCTAAATAGAGTGGACGGAGTACGGAGTATCGAATACGGATTGTAGATTGTAGTGTGGACTCGGGGTACGCAGTACACGCAGTACTTGCTACCTTGTGCTGGGTGCTGTCGCGAAACGGCGGGGGTCTTTGCTCGTTTTGGCAGCTTCGGCTTAGGAGGCTCCCGTCCGATTGACCGAGTCTCCATGTTGATGGTTGTTCACGCCAATAATGCTGCCTACCTGGCTAAGACCTTTGATCTTCACTGTCAAACTGCCAAGTTCACAAGTGAATTCATACTTGATACTTGATATCTATGTCCCGCCACGCTCGTCATCGTCAACGCCAACGTCAACGCCAACGTCAACGGCCAACATCCACACTACCCACCGTCCAGCAGTGCCAGCGACGGGATGGTGAGATGGTGAGACGGTGAGACGGTGCAGCGTACGCCGACATCCCTACAGAGCTGAGAGTACACATTGGTGCACAGCCAGCTGATTTGTTGACAGTCCCGCTCCCGCTTGACAGGGGTTGTGATCACGATCTCTGTAATAGTTCGTCACCCTGTCCCTACCAGTTGCCAAACTATGATTACCCCTAGACGAGCTGAAAGATCTCTACCTCCTCGTACCACCACCACCACCACCACTATGGCTCCTCTAGGCATTAGAGACCCCACCGAGGAGCAATAACAATGGCTGGGTTTCGGCGGCAAAAGAAAGACTTTGAGTTGGCAAGATCATCGGTCACTTTGATGGGTGCGGTTCAGTGGCATATTCAGTCTCAGTCTCAGCAGCCTTTCACCTTCTCTACCAGCTGAAATTTCGATGTTTCAACTTGGAATTACACTGAGATCGAAGATAGGGACTCATATTGATCCCGTCTTCGTGGCGATAAACACGTAACATAACACGTCAAGGGAACGGGACCTTGCCGTCGACGCTGTATCCGGTATCCGTATAGTGCAAAGCAGAACACCCCTGCCCTTGTTTCTGCGGAGACAAAGGCTTGGGTTGGGCATCGAACCCTCCTTTCCACCAGGGCTTAGACTCGCTTCGGAGCGACCGTGGACTAAGCGGGAATTTGGCCACATTGAGGCTCAACAGCAACGGAAGTCGGGGGTGCCAGTCCCCGTAACACGACACACGACCCCGCAGGTACAAACAAGCCACTGGACACTGGACACTGGACTGGACTGCAACAGAAGAAAGTCCAGCTTCAGCCCACATTTTTTTCCCGTGCGGTACCACATCCCGCTGTGCGGTCTCGCTCTCTCTATAGCTTCTTGCCCGCCGGAATCCCAGGCCGTACTTTGGGATGCTGTTGATGCCTGTCGGTGACGGTGAGTAGGGCTCGTCAACTGTGTCTGATGCAACGCCTTGGCCTGAAGGTCTGACCACTGACCACTGACTACTGACTACTCGCCACTCCCGCCGTCAAACCGGAAGAGTTCTCCGTCACCTTGGCCCCGAAGACATCGTACAATTCAAAGACCCGCCATCGACAGTCGCAGGGCAGGGTCTTGGCCTTCAGGCGACAAGGCTGGAATACAGCTACATACCGTCCTGATCCAGACCCACCGACTCATGTAGGTGTCATGTCTGATCGCAATCTTAATGCTATGGACGCCAGCCCGTGAGGAAGGCCATGCCTGGCCCGGGCATGCCCTCGGCACTGGTGGTGGTAGTGGTTTCGCGAGCCTTAGCCCACCATCCCAGACTCTGCATCTCAGGCTTGTCGAGACCCTGCGCCAGGCCAACGAGCGGCCTTTCTAGGTGCCCCGAGCTTCTTGGTGATCCCACACGCCTGCTTTTCCGTCAAATTTCTCGACCTTTGCTCTGAACCAGCGCTGATTTTGCTGCTCTATTTGTCCAAGCTGGTGAGTAGTTCCCCCGGTTTACATTCGCATGTGAGTGGGCCGCCTAGACATTCGTACATCTACATGGCACGTTCACATTGGGCCGGTGATGTCTGAAGATCCATGGAGCGCCGGCATGAGTGCCATAAGGTTGCTGGTCTCCCGAGGGCATCTCTGGTCATCAAATGCTGTCGGTGACAGTCCCAGAGTCAGGCAGGTTTTAGATGACAGCATTGTGGCAAGTCTTGTCTCTGACATCGTCTCCCAACCACTGGTCGACATCTTCCAAGCACTGGTTGCGGAGGCGATACCTGTATCATCCGACTGGATCAAAGCCCGACCCCAAGGGTAGCAGGTATTTACTCCCTAACCGCGCTAATAACCCAAACCCCGGACTTGCGAGAATTTGTTAGCGTAGCGCGGCTGGGCCGGTTGGGCGCACACAGGGAGCGTGCTCGCCATGGACCGAGTCAGAAATTCGACATGCCCCCTTTTCTCCTCTGCATAGCTTCGCTGGCCGCGTTACCGGGGCTGATTGACAGGGGGGTCCCATTCGATAACACACTGCCACCTAGGGCTACCGCCGTCTCATACAGAGTCCAGTCCTGTACGTCGTACATAGATTCTCTGTGCAACATCCAGTCAGCCTACCGGGTCCTCGCCATCCGCGCCTGCTGCTTTGCTTGCAGGGGCGTGGGTGGCGTCCGTTTTCATCAAGTCTTTAGCGTCGCCGCCGGTCTCAGACAGTTCGCATTGCCTTATCGGCTTCCAACTGTACACACGAATACACGCGATCGGTGCCACGCAGAATCCATTTCCCAGGGTCAGGTCAGCACATGGAATAGGAATGGAAACTGTAATCCACGGACGCGGTGCCAACGGTAACGGCAACAGCTACAGCTTCCCCCGTCTTTCCTCCCTTGACACAGCCACTAACAGATCATCGAAGCGAGCACCATATTGTCAAGGGGGGTCGACGTGTCCATCTCCACTTACAGTCCTCTTCGAGTTGCTCCTCCAGCCATCGTTTCTACGAGATGCTTTCACCGCCAGTATCGCTTATATCAAGCGCGCACAAAGCCCGGGTCGGCGCAACGTGGCCTGGGATTATGGATCAGCAAAGGGACACTGTCTGTCCTTTCTGTCCTTTCTGTCCTCTCTTGTTTGGTGGGCTTTGGCTCTGGCTCCGGTTTCTGAGGGCTTAAACTAAGAATGGACCCCGGCTGGTCACGCCTCACCGCACCGGCATCTGGAAAAGTAAGGGTGACAGCCGCTGTCATGTTCCTATCCCCCATATCTTCCTTCAACTTGGTTCCAACTTGGTTCACGCCTCCCGTCAGGACTAGCAGCTGACCCACCCTGTCAAAAAGACGAATGGCGGCCCAATGTACGGGTATTCTGGCGGTCCGGTCTGCTGAGCCTTGGTCGACGCCCCTTGGGCATCGGTCCTCGTAGGTAATGCTGGCTGTTGCTGGATGAGGCATTCAAATGGATCGAGCTTCACCGCTTCTTCTGTTCCATCTCGAGGCGGTTTCTGACTCCAGCATATGGAACTAAATCACCTCACTTCATCTCCTTCAGAGATGCTGCTAATTGTACTATTAGATCCTCCTTTTTAAAGAGACCTTTCCCCAATATTCCTCTTGCCCATCCTTCTACTGCAATCTGTGTTTTGCAGTCCCTTATCGATTCCTGTACACCCGTTCGAGACTATGTCGCCACAAAGACCACATACACACAGATCTCGAAGAACACATTCTCCAATTGTCAGGGGACCAGGAGTTTCGAGCCCGTATAGCTCGGCGGGATCCATCATGCTCAGACGCTTCATTCAAGCAGAGGATTCTCTAGATCATCTGCACCTGGGAAAGCTTGACTCTGGTCCCAAACAGCGCCGAGAAGCACGGTTGATTTCGATTCTTGATAACATTATGGCTCTATTTGAGCCTGCCGCCTCTACGGAGGGGACGCCAGTCGGGCCAGACACCAATTTCGACAATGACCCGGACGCGGACGAGCTTGACGGTTATCAAGCCCAACGCCATCTTCAAGAGCATGACCTTGGTATGTGTGCAACACGCCGCGGGAGTAATATCGAGGCTGATGAAATATAGCCTTTGTTGGCGCACATCTCGGCTGACACTGACCCGTCGCACCATCCAATGATGCATTCCACATCGGCGTCCCTCGTGCCAGAGTTGACACCTGGACTCGGTATGCGTCAGACAAGTCCCTCCAGAAGTTTGGACTGGATAGGTTGCCTCACTCCGGTGCGGGCCACCGAGAAGCAAGGCGTATTCCGTTCCTGCGACACATGCATTGCGGGATGACTTGGCCCCATCACAACAGGATTTGCCGCCTCAAGTCCGACAGGCTCACACACGGGGTGCAGGTTCTATTTGTTTCTTTTCTTTCTCTTTCTCTTTCTATTTCGCAAAACAAGGTTGGCAGGGGGAAGCATATTGATGCCGTCGAAATTCGGTTGAGGCTACAGGACTCGGGCGGAGCGGGAGCCGTCCCTAGCGACACGCGAGATCCATGGCGTCGAAGCCGGCCCATTGGTGGCGGGGTGCTCGTGTTACGACAGGACGGGTCGACCATTGACTCTAGGTTGGGTTTGTATGGCAACTCTATCGATGACTTGCGTGTGTGAGTGTTTCTAGAGCCAACGGTTTCTGCGGATGTGGGATCCTGGTACCAGTTGCAGAGAGCTTTTATGGAGAGCAAAGCACCTAATAGCTGGGGGTTCCCTGAGGCCCATGCGGGGTAAATGGCCAAGGAGGCGCCAGTCCTCATTCAGTATAGATCAGTACTAGGAGTCTAGTGAGGAGACATCTTTGGCTAATTGCGTCATTTTATGTGGTGCAGGAAGCTACTAGCGCCATTAGCGCCATTAGCGTCACGGCTGCCTTGGTAGTAGCGCGACGCAGAGTCGGTACCCTCTAAGCCTGAGCCCTGGGTACTGTGGCAGTACGGTCCTTACCGGTAGCTTAAAGGATATAGGTACCTAGTACCTAGGAAAGGAGGCCTCAGCGTACAATCAGTATCAAACGTGCCTAAGACTCAGGGACAGCAGGGTGCACAGGTACCTACAGAATCTAGGTAGCTTAGGTGCCTATGTCACCGTGTCTCCTTCTAATACTTCCAGGCGCCTACCAGGTACCTTACAAAGTACAGTTTTCTCCCTCTCATCCTTCGTGTGCACGCGCACGCATCTCCATCTGCGGCTGATTTTTATCACATACCCTTCCTATCTGTCTCTGTCTCTTCTGCGAGAGCTGATAAAAAATGGCGTAAAGGCCATCCTCGACAATCGCACTCTGACCTTTCCGAGCTACATTCGAAGCATACAGAAGCGTCCTGCAATCGTTTTTGCAAGCATGCTCTTGTCACGAGTCCAACAAAACAAAAGAAGCGCGGCTGGCTCATCGGGCGACAACAAGCTTCAATCCATGACAGGCATCTATCCTTTAATACAACTACAATCGACGTTACAGTTCGAGACGGCAGGGCGTGTGCCTCAAGGCCCTGACATCCTGCACGCATGCTTGTGCAACATGTTCCCTCCTACACTACCGTTTGATGCCTCCACCACCTCTTTCCAGAGCCGCCACTCTCAAGGCGGTGAAGAGCTACATCAACCTGTGGTTGGCATTAGGTCACACAACAGGGAATTGATGGCGGAAGATGGGACAAATCGTATTTCCTCCTGCCTGAATAGCCATACCAGATTGGGACCTGTGTGACAAGAGAAAGTACCTCTGAAGGCGCTGCAAGCTGCACAACTATTCAAATACAATGATGGGTGTCATACATCCAAGTGGCGTGTCAAATTGGACCTATTCTCTTGACATAAAGAGCCGGGAACACATTTCAGGGTTGGTGTCAGAACGCACAGTCGGTTTCACTGCAGAAGTCCATGTGGGCAAATGTCCGGCTTGTGTGCGCATGCACGGATACTGTATCATGGTCGACGTCTCATGCTTTCCTACAAGGTTGGCCGTTGTCGTGATGTTTTCGGTCTTCAGTACACGGCACTGTACCTCCCTCAGAGATCTCATCATATGCTTCCGCTGGAATCTTTGCGGCTCACCTCAAAAGCCGATCATCAAGGTTCCACCTCGCAATTCCCTGAGGAGTGGTTCTTACGTGATCTATCATCAGCACCTGGGAGAACAGTTTGTCCCACACAGCTAATGCATCGGCCAGTCGCCGGATGCAACCAGTGTCTGGCTCACAGAATACCAATCTCCTTGATCTGAGAACAAACCAACAGCCGACTAACATAGCCGATGACCTGCCTCGAAGCATCGAACAGCTGTTACAGTGTTACACCCTCAGAAAAGAGCATGTCCAACATCAGTTTCCGTCACTCCTCTGTAAGACAGTCTAGAGGTATCAGTCACCTCAATTGTACGTCTTGCGAGAATTGCACTTTGCCAAGGCTCTCAGGACCGAGAAGCCCCCTTGATGGTGTCAACAGCCTTTACATATCGTGATAGGTGGTCAAGCTATTGGCGTGTTTTAAGCATGCATTTGCCGTACTACCCAGGATGGGCGAATTGGTTTGCAAGCTTGGTCGTATGCTCGTCATCATCCTTGAACAAGAACCAGCTGGCTGGTGCACTCATGCGAGGGAAAACCGCATTCAAGAGAATCCCTCGCTGCCGGGGCGCTTTCGGTTCGCGGGGATGCACGAGGTCATGTAAGGCCACCCAACATACTATACCTTCAACAGTAAGGGTATGGAGAAAGCACCAACCGCTTGGAACTGGCGGTATCCGGGAAGCAAATAATAGCGCGCATCTCTGGGTACCACATTTGCTTACACAGTTGATGCTACAGAATCATGCAAGGTCTAAGGAACTAGGCCGACGCTAAGCTGCTTCCCCGAGTCCAGGAGTCCTGAGTCGGGAGCTGGGTCTAACAATGCTGGCAGACATGGGTCATTGGTACATGTCCTAAACCCCTGTCCTATAGTTCGTTGGACTGGTCTTGACTCGACGTTGACAGTTCATGCTTCGTCCTCTCTTACAGAAGATTTCTCCCTTGCATGCCTGTCGCGGACCCCACTCACTCGAAAGGAAAAAGGAAAAAACGAGCCACAGTTCGAGCGGGGATGCAAGAAAACGCAGATACTGGCAAAAACGGGCTTCAGATCATGACGCTCCAACAGCTCCCAAGCGCAGTATTTAGATTGCTGGCGGCCATACGCTCGACATAGACAGGGGTAGGCCTGTAAGTTTGAGGACATTTCAGAAGATCCGTACAACTATGCTCACCACTTGACACGACAACTCAGACGACTTACAGGGGCCGATTTTGCTTTCTTTTGGGTCAGCGTCAGTGGTACATGATACTACTGGCGACAATACCTCATGAAACCGGCCTCTGTCAGCCAAAGTGGGAATGCTGATTTGTCAATGGACCACGTCGCCCTGCATTTCTACTCTGGTCAGGCGTACTGCTGGAATGCAGTGGGCGCTCGTTCGGTACCAGCCAGTATCGGACCACGACGCTGCCCATTCCTTCCCTGCGCCCTGGTAAGCGTTATCAAACATGCGTCCAAACCGATTATTGCAATCTCCCCGAACCCGCCGCAATGTCTACGTGGACGAATGAGCCTGGCTGATCCAGTCAAATTTGTTTTGCTGAACCGTGAAGTTCGAGGACGATGTAGCAGATCCTCGACCAAGCAGTATACAGCTTACAAGTTCAGGTCTAGGCTATTCTGGCGGCTATAAAGGCCATTATCTGCTCATCTTCTACCACGATTCCTGAGATTTCGACTGTTGAGTTGTGGCTACTGCCCTACTAGAACCATCCACTTGCTCGTCAATCACTTTGCAAAGCTCAACCTGTCACATTTGTGCACTTACGAAGCTGATCAGGTTGTTTTGGTGCTTGCCTTTGTCGCCTTGAGAAATGGGGCTCCCTCTTCCGTCCGCTCATCAAGCAAGAAGCAGTTCCGGCAGGCTGGCCACCTTGGTTAATGGCAGCCCAGGTCAATCAGCCGGAGGAGTGAGAGACAACACTCCCGGTCACACTATGGAGGCCGACCTCGGTACGTTGCTTCGTATTGATGTCGGGAAAAGGATCCCAACTCAAAGAGCCACAGCACAAGTCGGGTCTCAATTCGACACTGGCGCTGGCGCTGGCGTTGACACTGCCACGGTTACTGCCACCTCTTCGGCCAGTTCAACCTCAGCCGGATCTGAGAGCTGGAAAGGAGAAAATCCAGCTCAAGCTCAAGCTCAAGGTCCAGCTCCAGCTGCAGGGGCAAGGCTGTGAAGAGAAGACCTGGTCGACAAATACGACAGTGTGACGGTGGCAAGGGTTGATCACCATTGAATGTTGTGCATGTTGCGTATGTTGTGTATGTGGTGCAGGTTCATGTTTGCAACTACCCTTTACTTACGCTCGCTTGGAGAATCAGTTTGGCCATTTTGATTTTGATTTTGACCATGACTTTGACTTTGACTTTGATTATGATTTTGATTGATTCCCGAGGAACCAGGAGAAGCAGAAGGAGAAGTCAGGAGTGACAGAAAACATGTCATATCGCGGCCCTTACACAAGTCATGTTGCTCTGCATACAGACTATCCACACGGGAATGAACGGAATGCAATGCAATGGAATGGATTTTGATGGATTTTAATTTTCCTGGTTTGTCACACGGCACCTGTCACTTTTTCTTTGTATCCTTTTTCCTTGTACCCGGGGTTTGAGACGAAATGGTTGCACGGAGTACACCTAATGCTAGGAAACTGCAGCGGGTAGCTGTAGCTAGCTGTTCGAGCACATGGGGTAAGGGGTAGGAGGTATGTGTCTGTTCAGATCCCATGTCCCATATCCCATATACCCCACGAACACATACTTCCTACCCCTTACACCCACGTGCTGTGATGGTCATGGTCATGGTCATGGTCATGGTCATCATGAACATGGCCTGCACAACGACAACCACAAGCATGATGACCATCACCATCACAACGACAACCACAAGCATGATGGCCATCACCATCACGGCCGCAGCCACAAGGACAGATGCATGAACGCCCACCGCCAACGCCCAACGGCCATTACCTATGACCCATGACCTATGACCAAGATCAATGACCAAGACCAACCACCAACGGCTATTGGAAACGGCAATTGGAAACGGCAATTGGGAATGTGAACATAACGAGGACGAAGATGAGGATGAGGATGGAATAGGATGGGAATGGAGCATTCATTGCTCAGATTTCCTTTCCTTGCGAGGCCGTTCTTGATTTCCTTAAGTTCTGGCGCCTTGCGTACCTAAGTATCTGATCCGATCCGATCCCATCGGCTCCGAAACATTGATTTGATACGAGTACTTTGCTACAGTGTACGGTATACAATACTCCCAATCTGTCAAACTTAGGCCCCAAGGCACTAACATTAGGCATTCCCAGTCTTGCCTTGTTCTTTGACCAGAAGGCTTAGGGGCTAGTCTAGGCATCCCTAAGGTATATATATAGTCTGGGCTAAGGGTTTCCCCCATACCATAGAACATTTCAACCTTTGACATAATCAGGTTCCTGTATCCGTGTCAAAGTGGGTTTGTTGGCTGGCTATGACTATGGTCCTAATCTGAGTCTACAATCTGTACCGTTTCTTTTCTGCCGAATCGAATCGAATCGAATGGGCTGGGATGGTTACCGGTTCTAGGTTATAGGTTATGGGTTGTGGGTTGTGTAGACAGTTTCGGAGTGATTGTGGCTATGGCTCCTCACGGGACATACATACAGCCAGCCAACCAACCAACATGATATGGCATGGCAAACAATCCATCCGTTCATCCTTCATTGGTTAATTCGTTCATTCGTCATATGGCCCTGCTTCTCATAGCATACTGAGTTTCCATCTTCTCCGTATGCGTAGCGTATATTTCTACCCGTGACACCAATCCAACAGAACAGAAGACAGAAGCTGGTGGCCCGTCATCCTCACCCTCACCCTCACCGTGCTGTCCCCAAACTCATCCCCACCCTCACTCTCACCGAGCTTCCCCCAAACTCATCCCCACCTCAACATCCATCATGATCGGGCGACGGCTGACTTCAAGAAGATCGGCATCGAATTCGATGCGGCCGGCTTCGAACGCCACGATGATGCTCGACCCGCCGAACTGGAACAGGCCGACCTCATCTCCCTTGTCGACCTGCGATCCGGGCGTTTGGCATTTTCGGTTGATGTCGACGGTGCCGACATTGGTGGCGCCGATGGCGACGAACAGGACCTTTCCAAACTCGCGCGTGTCGAGGCAGACGCAGCAGCGCGCGTTCTCGGTCAGGATGTCGACGTCGCTCTGCAGACATACGGGGTCGACTTGGTAATATTGCCCGGGGATCTGCTTGTACCAGCTGACCGTGCCCGTGACCGGGGAATGGTAGCGGTGGTAGTCCTGCGGGCTGAGCCGGAAGCTGGCCACGGCTCCGTCGACCCAGGACTGTGCCAGCTCGTCGTCCTTGATCAGATTCGCAATGGTAAAGTTGTGGCCCTTGATCCAGAGGCGCCGCGTCTCGCTGACCGTCGGGTACACGACCAGGCGGGCGTCGGCCACCGCGACCGCTTTGGTCGGGTCATTGGGGGCGAAGACCGGCCGGCTGCCAGGCTTGTGTTTGCGCACGAAAAAGTCCTCGAACGAGCCGTACGCCTGAATGTCTGATGGGTCGAACTCGTCCATGTCGATGTGGTAGAAGTCGACGAAGGGTTTGATGCGCGATGCCGACGCCGGTGTGCCTTCGGCTTTGCCTGCCATTGTGTCAAGCTGGGTCAGCATCACCGACACTCAGAAAAGTCGGGCTTTCCATCACATGTTCGGGCCGGGACGACGCAGCCTAGGCTAATCTCGAATCTGTGAATGGCGGACTCCTTTTGCTCTTTCTCACCTTCTCGGATGGTCTTGTCGTGGATCCACAGCCGCATGGTTTTCGTCACGTCGATCCATTCTACCAGGCGGCTGAAGAGGAAGAGCAGCTTGAGTTTCTTGAAGATGGGTTGCTGCTCGCGCATGGGTTTGCCCGTCTTGCGGTCGACCGTCTGCCATCCGATCTCACGGTTCTGGACCAGCTTCACCTGGGACAGGCAATGGTCGATGGCGCGGTGCAGGAGGTCTATCAGGTACATTGCGCGGAACCAATTTTGCGTCTGTCACCTTTGCCTTTGGACTGGTCGACTGGACTGAATGCTGGCTGACCTAGCTAACGGCACCAAGTCAAGAGCAGAGTACACCGTACAGAAGGTGGAATGCAAAATCTAGCAAAGGAAGAAGCCGCAAGAAAGACCACCAAGACGTCTACAAAGGATTTGTGGGATGGAATCCTTGCCATCGACGTCATGCTTCTCAATCAAGAAATGCGAAATGTGATTGGCCAGAGAACCCTCGGAACAGTTATCCGAGAACGGGGGCGACCACGTGATCCCCCGATCGGGGTGCCCCAATGACTTCATCTCTCATACTTGATACCGTGGGCCTGGTGCCACGAGGGATGAACAAGCGACGAAACTACAGGGACGATGGTGGCTTATACTATGGGTCTGATACTTACAATCGTGGTGTGTGACTCAGACCGTAGTTGCGTCGCTGACTGGTGCTATCCATGCGGGCAGTGGGCATCCCCGCAGAGTGAGAGATGAGACACAGGGCCAGGTGGAGTCGAATAGGATCTGATTCTAAGGCTTTATCTTTTCGTCTGTAGTATCCTATACCCGAGTGTTTGTGTCTCTCCTTGGTAGGAATAGGACTTGGGCCGGGATCAAAGGTGACATGGAACCCTGCGTGGCGGCGGATCCCGCAATTCATATTCATGCATGGTTTGTCAAAATGGTGAAGGTGAAGGAACCGTGACGGCACAAGCAAAGTGCTCAGCACCTCAGGTCTCTTTCCTTGGGTCTATGCACCAATCTCGTCGACTCGACAGCAGCATTTCTCTTCTCGCTCAACTCAAGGATGTCCAGTCTACCGCCTAGACTCTTTGTAGCCTTGAATCTCGTGCAGGCTCTGGATCCTGCGGAGCTTGCGCGCCCCATAGGCTGAGAACAAGGAGCTCAGAACAACACAAGCGGCCGTGACGGCAGGAAATCCCCAGGGAGCCTCTTCGGCGTAATTGATCAAGTTCATGCCGAACAGGCCGGCCACCAGCGTGCCGGCAGCCAAGCCCAAAGTGTGGATTGCAACCCTGGCCTCCAAGAACATGATCTGGTTCCGCTGGACGGCCAGGGCGGAGCGGAAGGTGTTTTCCTTCTTGCGGATGACCCCGATCGCCGCCGAGGCCGATTCAACCAGTGCGTCGGCCGCCTTGTGGTACGCTTCCAGCATGTACTCGGCTTCCTGGTGGTCGCTGACATCATGCGGCTTCCCTACGCCGGTGTCGGTCAGGTACATAGCGGCGAGATCTTCGTCGGTGTCGAGCACTTCACGGATGGTCTCGCGGACCAGGCGAGCCTTTTGCTCAATCTGGCCCAGCCGCCGCGATCGCTCAAACAAGAGATCGAGTCCGGCGGCGGCCAGACCGGACTCCAGGCGCAGCTGCCGGGCGCTATGCTCGGCCTGCTTACGCGCCTCGACGAGCTCTTCCCGCAACGTCGACAGCACAGCGACCAGCGCGGCTTCCACCGCGCGCAGCTCGTAGGGGAGATCCGACACGATGGCCGCATCGTTGGAGTTGATGCCGACCAATCTCTTCTTGAAATCATGCTCGAGCACGCCGGCGGATTTATTGCCAGTGCCGGCAGGGTCTTTGGACACGCCGTCAACCAGCAGAGCTTCGTCGGCCTGGATGAGGAGGCACAGATCAAAGAACTGCACTAAAATGGTTGCGGGCCGGACCAGGATCCGCGTCACCGACTCGGACCGCAAGTCAATATCGCGCAGATCTCGATACCGCAGGTCAAATTGTTTCGCCATTTGCGTCTTGGTGAGTTCTGCATGTTTTGAGACTAGAGGATCGGCTTTGGCGAAGTAGGTACAGCTGATCTTCTCGTTGGCCGTGGACGGGGCGGCGGTGGACGCCTCGATGGCTGCTGGTTGCGAGAGAAGCTGCACAACGTCTTCGGCTTCCACTCTGGCATCGGGATCGACGCTTCTGGAAAGGTAGCCGGTCTGAGAATAGAGCCTCTTGAATACACTTCGGGGCCCCGAGTATGGGCGGCGTACGGATAGAGGTCGCAAGGAGATTAGCTTTGAAGGTGGCCGGCATGTCGTGCCCGAGATCGGGATTTGGAGCCCTAAGAAGCATGTCACAAACCGACCATGCGGATGCGGTCTGGTGGATATTCGCCTGGACATGCTCAGATGGCCATCTCCATCTCTGGCTGGAGTAGCGGGGAGCAACTCTCGAGCGAGCTGTAGATGAATGGCGAACAGTTAGTATGTAGTCACAGGTGGTTCGCTGAATCAGGCTGACGTTGCTGCCACGCCACCTGCCAAGCCTCTCGCTGTGCTACTGCACTGCGCGCCCCAAGGACGAGGACGAGGACGAGGACAAGGATGAGGACTACTAAATACTGCTAGTGCCGGGGCTAGTGCTAGTAGGGATTTATCGCTACAGCAGAGAGAAGAGAGATGCTGTTGTGTGAGTCTGGATGGATGAGGTGCACAGCTCACAGCTCATGAATGCTAACATATGAAATTGTAGCGAAAGCACCGACCGTGTCGTCCTTCTCTTTTTGTCGAACCGCCCTCAGCGACAGCACCAGTCGCAGTCGCTGCCTACAACCGCGCGGTTTACTGGACTTTCTGATCCTGGCGAAGGAGTGGCAGGCTATGTAGACCGGCTGGCAGGAAGACAAGCTGCGGGAGCTGGAACAGTCAACGGAACGGTCAACAGCCAAATCGAGCGATCATGTTCTGGAAGCTGGGCTAAGGCTACACTCCGAAGCAGACCCCTTCGTCCCCTCGTCAATTTAGCTATCATGAGTATCAGAACCACGTCGGGGTGGATCACGCAATTACAGTAAGAATAATCACAATCACTTCCAGATCGGCAGGCAAAGAAAGACCACCTCCAGTATGGCCGTGACCACCACCGCCCCAACCATACTCTGAATGACAATCTTGCGCTGTAACATACGCAGTCCTTCATCTTTGACGCGGATCTTGCGCTCAAACAGCATGAGCTTTCTCGCAAACCGCACCAGCGCATTGGGACGTTTGGCGGCCGCCCCCTTTTCTAGACTGTCGACCCGCTCCCAAGGTAGTTCCTGGCGGCGGGAAAATAGGAGCAGAAGAAAGCATGATCCCCGCCAGCCGGCGAAGAAGAAGGAGAAGCCAATGAACCAGAAGGGGGCGGCTGCAAGACCTCGCCATCGGACCGAGTGGTGGATCGAAGGTGAGGCAAAGGCGACCAGCAACATGGTCAGCAACCCCAGCGCGGTGGAAAGGATGCCGACGATGGTGACCATGCACAGCGTTTCAAATGTGCCGTTCTTGACCCCGAGGCGGATGAAGTTCCGGTGTGAGCAATTCTTGAGGAGATAGTACACATGGTCGGCAATGGAGGCCAGGGCTTGGGGTGAATCCGACTTCTGGATCTCGGCCAGAGCACGATTTCGCATGCTGGCAGGAAGGTTGAGCTCCTTGGGAGATCCGGGGACGAGAAACAGCGACGATATCTGCTGCAGCTCTTCCATGTTGGAGAAGTTGGCCAAGGTGCGCTCTGAAGTCTCGGACGGGCGGGACCAGAAGGGCCGGCATCGTTTCCACATGCCGACTTCTTGTGATGGCACCAGGCCCTCGACATAGCGCACGAGCTCTGAAACTGGTTAGCATAGGTGACTGACAGTGTGGCGAGTACCAGAAGCGTACCAAGTTCTTGACTGTTACGTTCTGGATCAGCTTCCTCCCCCGGCAGGACGCCCGTGTAAGTGGCATAGATACCCGTCTTCTCACTGGCGGGCCTGAGCAACGGGGTAGCATGGTCGGGGCCAGCCGCAGGTGTGTTCTCATGATACCGAGCCTCGTAGTCTCGAAACCTGTCGGACCTGTGAGACGACAAGCCGGGAGGCTCTCGGGCGAGGATGCTTACCACATGTAGAACTCCAGATTCTCCGGAGACAGCTCTATGTGCTTGAGGTACATGTAGAAATCATACAAGGATAAGGGGCTGCCTGTAGTCCGGCACGTCAGTACGGCTAACACAGCTGGTCTCTGGCCTCTGAATGACTCACATGTGTTGTTGCCGAGGACACGTTCGAGCGACAAATCATGGGGGATGGCGGCATCGGATTCCGACGAGATGGAAGGCGCTCTTGATCCATGGCCATGTTCGATGGCCGAGTTGGTATTCTGGATGAAAGTCTTGGGATCGCGATAAGAAGGCTTTTGGTACCAATGCAGCCACGAGGGCAGGATGCGGACCATGGTGCAACGGCTGTCTGATGTGTCTTGGTCTTGTCAATGCGTCGGTCTGTCCTGTCTTGTCTATACGGCGAATGCAGCAGCAACGGGGGAACGGGTACGGGGTAGGACGACCAGCACGCGAGATATATGCCCGCGCCGGGTCCCCAAGGTGTGTGCGCACATGGCATCGGATATCCGATTGCGACTGGGCTTTCCGTGCCTTGCTGCTGGCTGTTGGCTGTTGGCTGCTGGCTGTTGGCTACTGCAGAAGCTTGAAAGCTGTCGTGGCGAGGAGAGGCGGTCGACCGTTGCAGGCATGTCTCTCAATGCCTGTTTGGGAACTGTCCGTCGGAGTCGCCATCCAATGTGCTGGAAGGAGAGGCGAACGAGGTGGGGAGCGGGCGTCGCTAGAGCTGGGCTGGCGAGGGTCTAAGGTACACGTCGGTTCGTCTTCCCTGCGGAGGGGGAGCAGGGGAGGAGGGTTGTACGTAGAGTGGGTGGACGCTGTCAGGGTGGCCCTGCTCGAACTGCCCGGTGCCTGAATGCCAAATGGTAGCGCAGCCCCTGCGACCTGCGACCTGCGAAAGTTGACATTGACGTTGACACAGTACTACAGGACGTACCGTAGTACAACTCTGCTGCGCCTGTCGGTAGGCTCTCCCATCCTCACGATTTCAAACTGTGCTCGCACCAGCCCAGCCCCGATCGCGACGCAGCTGCAGCTCGTCAAACTCCGGATACAAGAAATGTTCCAAGGGAGACTCTCTTTTACGTACAGAGCTTCCTCGCAGCGCCACCCCTCGCCAACCTGCCCGGCCCTGCGCTGCCCTGCCCTGGACACCTGTCAACATGCCGTCAAACTCACGTAACTGTTTGTCCTGTGGAGGCTTCCCTGGTTTGCTGGCAGCCTAAACCCTTATCCCGGCCCTTCACCTCACCCAGCTCACCAGCTTGTGGAAATTGATGGCCTATAATCGTGAGCGCCACCGGGACTTGCCTGGTGGAAGGTTCGGATTGCATCTGCTGTGACTACACGTGATGGTGCCCTGATGCTGTCCAGTTGCGATGCTGCACAGAGTACAGAGTACAAAAGGACCGAGGACGGACGACGGAGGACGGGATACGCGCATCTACAGAGAGAGAGACTCCCTACACACCCGAGTACATGTAGCCTTCACCGCTGTGGATCGCACCCTTCAAGTTTGGATGCGCGCAGTGTTGAAGGTCGATATCAATCAACCGTGGATGACAACTGCGAACTGCAAGGCGGGCGTATCAATAGTCTCAAGCAAGGATGTCTGTCCCTTGCTAGATCTTTCGGCAAATTCCAGGTGGGAAGGGGGGTTCCTAAGGGTGTGGGTGCGAGTTTGTCAACTTTCCAAGGGTCAAACCCTGCCATAGACCTAGAGTGCCCCTCGAGGTCTTTGGATATTTCCTCGGTCACCAGTGGCTCCCTCCGAGGTGCCTCTGACCTCAAGGGGAGGAATCGACTTCAAATTCCCAGGGCGACTGAACGAACTTCGGATCGTGTACGGATGCCGAACCCTTCTACGGAGGATGGAGTTACACTAAGTCGAACTCAGTTCACAAAGCTCCTCTTGATACCCAGATAGTAAGATAGGTAGGTAGGTAATACTAGTAGTAGATACACTCAGGCCTAACTAAAAGACAGGCTTAAGGCGATCTCTGCCGGCGCTTGTGGAAAGCCGGTCCATTCGTCACCACCCCGAATCGTTTCTCTTTAGCTTCCTAAGCCCCGAAGTTGACGCCTGACGTGGCATCATAGGCAAATGTCCTACTACAAGACCCAGCTCCTGGTGTACGGACTACAGGACAGTGCTCCGTAGCCTGCAGAATTCCACCATTCTTGGTGTTATCTTACTCGGTTGTGAGAGCAGACTTCTCCACATACGTAGTTACTGCATCGATGGTCGGTTCAGACCTGAAGATTCCTCGAACACGTCCCACAAGGCTTGTCAGAGTCAGACTAGCCAGAGCGACCTGCAGGTTAAAGTGCCCAGCAAGGCTCGCTGCAGCTGTCTGTCTGTGGCTGTCATCTGCATCCCACTGCTACTGCTGCTCGCGCCCAATTGGATTGAATCCCAACACCCACAGGATACAGGATGTTCCTAGATTTGCTAGCCTAGCCACCCGTCCACTTGCCGATCAAGTACAGGCGGAAGGGTCAGGAACCCAAACGAAGCTGAAGGGGCAGGCCGACCACGACGCTTGACACACATTAATGATGGCAGCGCAACCGCCAACCGCGTTTCAGCGACAACAGAAGAATGGCTTGGAGATAGGGACAATCTCCTCATCAAGGATGCTTCGCTCGCCCTCGATGACGGCTTGGTCAACAGTGAGCGGCTCATCCCCCTGCTCCGTCGCAAGCATGACGCGTGCTATCCAGAGAGGAATCTGACCAGGAATATGTGGGATCTTCTGCTGGGTGATATTGTGTTACGACGGCTTGTTTGGGTATCACAGGAGCGAGCACATGGAACCCTCAATAGGTTCGCAACCCTTGCTCGCATGATTCAAGTGTTTCTCTGCCGATACAAATGGACTGCAAATGTTCGTTGAAAAGGTGCCAATGTTTCAATCAGTAGGCCGAGGCATCCTGAGAATCCTTAAGCTTCTATACCTAGATAGCGCCAGTGGCATGGACAAGTGGCACACAGAAGACGGGAACCGGATGATTGGAAAGCACTTACGAGTACTTCCTCTGGCATACAACATACAACGTGGACATGATTGCCACGTGCACGCCGATGTGTGCTCAATCTCTATGGGTCCCATGTCCATAGAGATCTTCCTGACTCGAGAAAAATCACTGGCCTCTTCTTCCTTGACACTTGACACCTTCGCGTTTCGACCTCCTGTCGACCCGGATCCGTGCAGAACCTTCTATCCACGTTGAACAGTCGGGTCCCCTCCCCGTAGGATAACCACATGATGGAAATGGAATGGACTGCAAATACTCAGGGAGCGGGGGTGAGAGCACGCTGTTGCTAGTCGGTGTCGACTGGACACTGGTCTAGGACGAGGACGATGAAGATACAGACACACCTCTCGATGACATCCAATACAAAGTAGAAGATATGAGGTAGGTCCTCGCTCAGTTCCGAGGCAGTTCTCGCACACACTGGCGGCAGAGAGTGCGGGGGCAGAACATAGGAACATCGCCGTCATACTCTGCGTCCTCTTAGCGACCAACAGGAAAATACCGCCAGTTTTCCTTCTTGCCCAGATCACCACGCTTCCTCGTTCAAAGACGCTCTGAGAGAGACATCTGTACAACATGGTTCTGGAGCCATTTACGGTCTCACGCGACAGATTGACCGGACCTAGGGATAGCACCGTCCTCATCACGGGAGGTAGCAGCGGCATTGGTCTACAGACAGCAATTCTGCTACACGACCTCGGCAACAATGTCATCGTGCTGGATCGCACCCAACCTCATCCTTCTGCACCCAAGTCGCTGATCTCATCGCCTCGATTCTTGTATCGACAGTGCGACATTAGCTCGTGGAAATCGCAGAGAGCAGCGTTCGAGGCCGGATTCCAGAAATTTGGCTCCATCGATGGAGTCTTTGTCAACGCGGGCATTGCCGAATACAAAGACCAGTTTTTCGGGGACGAATTGGACCAGGATGGGTTGCTCAAGGAGCCTGATCGACGGACGTTAGATATCGATCTGCATGCGGCCAACGACACAACAAAACTGGCCATCTACTACATGAAGAAGCGGCCCGACAGAAACAAGGGGGGCGCCATTGTCATGACTGCAAGCCTTGCAGGGTATTTGGCCAGCACCGGAGCTCCTCTATACAGCGCAGCCAAACACGGTACGTTTTCGGCGCGGATGGTCATCTTCTCGCACGACTGACTCCATAGATAGGCATTGTGGGATTGATGCGGGCACTGAAAAACGACACGGCCAAACTAGGAATCGGGGTTTCAGTTGTGGCGCCAGGCATCACCTTGACGGACATAGTCTCGGGTCGAAAACCTGGAGAATCTTTGTCGGAGTGGGCGAAGAGGATGCGGGGACAGGGAGTCCCAATCAACGACCCCTCAGAGATAGCAGATTTCGTGGTGTATCTTATGAGCTTGGGCATTGAGGCCAATGGCAAAGGGCTGCTGATCCAGGCCGGTCGGGCAGTCGACGTGGAACATGGCATCGCGACCTCGAGAAAGATATGGATGGGAGACGAAATGTTGGGACTGTTCCGAGGAGGCCGAAATGCCCCTTTGTTTCCCAATCGACTGTAGACGTAGATGGATGCACTCTCACAGCAGTTCAGACTTCCGTCGCTCATCTCTTTCTTCGATTGTGTGTCTGTATTTCTGTGGTTCTGTGGTTCTGTCCGTTGCTATTGTTCCCGTGACGATGCCGAACGGGAGGAGGTAAAGATGTTGGAGGGACCCTTACAGGGGTCTTGGTACAGCGATCTCTAGTGCGGACATCGAGAAAAGTGAAAGTCGAGACGAATAACCTGAGGTAATCAATGGCCGATCCTGCAGGGTCGAGGTTGGCGGGCTGATATGGTAGGTTGGTAAATTGGTAGGGATAATTAGGCTCAGAGTACTCCGTACTGTAGGCGAGGTGCTGGGCGATCCCATAGCCGGGGGCAGGCACCTGGCAGGGAATAGAAAAAGTAACTACGTACCTATACCTACCTCCAAATGAATGGGCAAGTCGAGCCTCGACCTGCGACTTGCGACCTGCGACCTGCGCAGCCACCGGTGATGGTCTGATGGTCGTGGTCCAATTTCGCAGATCCTTGCAGCATATCTCTGGTAACCTCGTCGAATTTGTCAACTCCAGCCGCGGTCAGGGTTTGAGGAGAGGTCATGGATCTCTTTCCTAGGCTCTTCCTAACATGCTCACCTATAATACAGTAACATCTGTCGAGCTCATCTTGCATGTTGTCAGCCACCCTCGCTTTGATTCTCCACCTCCTCTACGCCTCCTGTCCATTGTCTACGAGGGTTTCACTATTATGGGATTGAGATTGTTGAGATCATCATAGCGACACTTGTGTCGATATCATTGACAGACCTGGTACATTACGGATACATTGACGGCTTAGGCCCCCGGCTGTTGTCCCTGCTCCATGTCCGTCGAGGTGAAACATCTGAATGCCGACTCATCTTTCCTACTCATCTTTTCTCCCGAGGGCCGTGCTCCTCGAGCAGACCTCACCTCTGCAAATGGGGCCTTTTCAGTCCTGATAGATCCATGGCTTGTCGGCCCCTCCATCATAGCCGCGCCCTGGTTTGCAAAGACAGAGCACAGAATACCAAGTGCTATCCAACACCTCTCCGAGATAGGGGAACCCGACGTCGTGATTGTGTCACAGAATAAACCTGACCATTGCCACAAGCAGACACTCCTCCAGCTTCGTCCTGATGGGAAAACTGTCATTGTCGCTGAGCCGAGTGCTGCAAAGACAATCAAGAGCTGGAATTACTTTGATCCGAGCAGAGTCCGTGGTGTCCCCAAATATGATCCCAAGTTCAAATTTGGTCAGTCCTTGCGACTGCACGTGCCTCCAATCTCGCCTCTCGGCTTCCCAGGTGAACTCAATATCACGTTCATTCCAGCGAAAGACTATATGACAGGGTTGCATAACGCGTTTGGAATCACATATCAGCCCCCAACGCACAACAAAGCATTTGCTCCCGTCGCCACGATTGATCTGCCTCCAACCACAAGATACTTCCACATGCCTTTGACTCCAGTGACGATGCCGTCTTCGAGTCCTCCTCCACCCATGTCGTCCCCTGCTGTGCGACCTGTCTCATTTGACCAACCGGTTAGAGATCGAACTATTGTACTGAGTCCGCGGCTGTCGCAGATCAGAGGACACCGGCCACGGTTGCCCAAGGCTTCGAACACGGCTTCGTTCAGACTACCGGCATCACCCATTAAACCTTTTATCGAAGTCGACCCAAGACCAGATACCGGAGAAATCGTGGAGCGGATTCTGACGCTTCCACGTCCGTCACCACGCCTGAGGTTTTCCGTCCCTTTCAAACTGGATCCTCCCCCTTCCACATTTGCACAGGCTTTGCCTACTCCGCCAGATTCTCCAGGCACCATAACAGTTGCTACACGCGAGTCCACGTCCCCTCCTCCGACGGCATTATTCCCCTCCAGTACTGTGTTTCATGGACGCAAACCATCCAGTCGTTCCCATCAAGATTCTGTATCTAGTCCGGTCCCAGCGCTGAACATGTCTCCCGTCACCCCGGGTCGTCCTAAGGCCATATCGATCATCTACTCGCCGCATGGTCTTCCTCTGGATGACCTTCGGCCATACATCGAGAATCACCTCGTTCGACTACCAGGCGCGCTCCCATTGACCGTGCTTTTCCACTCCTTTGATCATGCCCAGAACCCGTGGTATCTTGGTGGCAACATCATGACAGGTGTGCACGGCGGGGCTGAGATTGCTCGCACCCTGATGGCGCGTTGCTGGATCAGCGCGCACGATGAGCCGAAAGACGACAGCGGTCTCAGCGTGAAGAAATTGCGTGTCAAGCGCGTCACAGTGGATGAGGTCGCAGAGAGTTTATGGGAAGGTGAGCATGGCCAGTGGTTGAAGGAAAAAGGATGGACGTGTGATGTCAGGAGCCTTGAGGTTGGTAAAAAGATGGTCATTGCCCCAGAAAAGGAGACGTCTTTCCCTCCAGTCTAGCGTCGATAAGGATCCGTCCGGACAGAAAGAGTCCTGACATTCTTGCTCAGGTAAGACAAGATCTATGCCGCAATGCTGCTTTGTCAGGAGAGCGGCTCGCCCACGCCGGCCGCGGCAGCATCATATAAAGTTACATTGACGCGTACCGGCCTCCAGCGCTGGTGTGAGGTGGTGTGTGGTCCATTCTCTCAGCCGAATCCCAAAAAGACAGGACACAAAGGATAGAGGGGACGGAGCTTGATAACATCCTCATCTCCTGGCCAGGAAGCTTGAACACAGCGATACATTAGGGCAAAAACGAGTCGAGGGCAACCTGAGCAGGAATGTTCGTCAAGACCAGTGCTTATCTAAAGGCAATGGATACTGGACAATGTAATATAATACAAGCATACAATATCGACAGGTATCTAGAAGTCAATAGCAACTCCGCTACATAACCCAAGTGCATAACTGTAGGCGGTAAGGCTTTAGGCACATCCAGGCCTAAGGAGCCCCGGGGAGAAACAGAGCTCAGGGACTATCTTAGGCTACTGGGTCCCCGGAAGTCAGAATAGAGATGAATCCATAGGCGAGTGCCGCCTAATTCCCCGGCGGCCAAGGCATTGATAATTAAGGAACCTTGGGGTACTGATCTTTTCCGGTCTAACCTTCAAGTTCCGCGGGGCATAGGCTCCTGTATCCGTACTCCGTATCTACGATACGGCAAGACGTCATACTGCGGCGGACGACTTCTTCCAACCTTCTCGTGTGCTGTGTACATACTCCGTACTCCGTATGCCCTTTCTCAACCCATCCTCGATCCTTCATTCTCTACAGCAGTCTTGAAGGCGTCTATCACGATGACTGAGGTCCTCTCGCCTGCCCAGTCCGCTGCTCTCTTCGACATCCTCACCCACTACGACACTTACGCCCAGATTCGCGAGTTCAGAAGACCAGGCAGCCTTGCCCACTATGGGCCGCCCTTCACAGCCAATCCTAAACTGCCATCCAGTTCTCCAGCCTTGCAGATCCTAGTCTCGAGGTTTGTATTGGACTTGCCAGGGCTTGCCAACCTCCCCGAGAAATGGTGGAGGGTCCAATGCCACGAGATCATCGAAAACCTCGAAAGGGCCAACCTCAGCGAGAGCTACGACAAAGGCGTGATTGGCAGCCGCAAGACTCTCGCCACCGCAATCTCTGCTCTGATCGAGTATCCTGTCCGCGGCGTTTACGGTGGCTTGCCTGAGATCAAAAACCGCGAGCACAATTACGACATCACCAATGCCGACGATCTGAATCGAGCCTTTCGTGATTTCATCAACGACGCCATCTATGGAGACGTCCTAGACGAATTGGTCCAGAAAACGGCGGAAACAGGGAATCTGGAGGATCATGGCCCGCTGGCCAAGGCGCTGCACGAATTCGTGCTTGTCAAGTGAGCCAGCCACTTTGTCAGCCTTCGTCGTCTATGCGTAGTCGGCTAGGTTGGGTCACCCAAGCCAGTCGCAGTCGCTAACCCTTCCTTCAGCCTTGCCTCCTTGATGCACTACACTCTCATCTTGTCACCCAAAGGCCAATATCTCCTGAAGCTCATCGACAACGCCAACAAACTAGTGCCTTACATGGTGGTCAAGCAGACCCTGAAGATTGGAAACGTGGCAACCATGATCAATGGCTTGGTCAAGATCGGCTTGGCTAAGATGAGCGTTGCCAGCGTGACAAATTGGATGGGCTTGACGCAGAATCAGGATGAAGGCATGAACCTCATGCAGACGTGAGCCGGCCCCACGCTCGGAATCTCGCAATGTATAACTTATTAACGTCCTGTTAGCATCATCTCCACTGTCTTGAACTGGGACATCAAAGACCTCGAATCCCGCGCGTCCAAGATCGAACGAGAACGAGCCAAACCTGGAAAAGAGCAGCTCCGCACACTCAAGGAGTACACGAATAAGCCCCAAGACGAACAGGACAGGATTCGAAGAGAAAGCCAAACGCAATCCATCTCAATTGTCATTGCCATCTTGAGGGATAGTAAATGCTCGTCGACCGAACTCACTGACTTCCATCACCAACAGGCCCTGGACTATCTCGCCATTCACCTCTCCATCCGGGATCGAAAACAACTGATTCAGTGCCTCTGCAAAGCCACCCCGGACCACCTGACTGTGTCCGTTAGGGAGGTGATCGACGCCTATGAGCCGGTCATACGACGGATGCACAAGGCCATTGACCTGCCATCCACGCTGTCCGACTTTGAATACTTTCTCAGAGACTTAATAAAATTGGCCAAAATCCACACCGACAAGTCCGGACAATCCATTGTGCCTACAGTCGGGGACTTTGTGCAGTTGCTACGTAAGCACCAAAGGGCCGGACATCTCTTCCTGCACCAGTGTTGTAAGAATGACAAGGAGCTAACCGGCTGGTATCTGGAATGGGCAAAGCGAACGGCATCGCATTTCAAACAGGAGCCTGGGCCCGACTCTAGTCCCAATGAGCCTGATCTTGTCGAGAAAGGCGCAGGAAAGCTTACAAAACCACTCAATGAAATCTTCCGATCACTGCCTGAAGAGACCCGATCCCGCATCACTCCGATCCTTGACTCTCACTCAGCCTTCCTAGGCAAAATGCATGCCCAATCTGCGTCGCGCTTAGCGAACGTCTTGAAGTCTCCGCCTTCGAAGAATCCCGCCATTGCAAAGATCTTTGCCAACTCATCCGCCAGCCGCCCGCCTTCCCGCGGTTCAAGTCCACCACCCCCAAGTGACCGCCGCAGCGCGTCAACGCCGACCTTGGCCGCGTCCAACAGAAGCAGCAGTGACGAGCCACCTGAAGTATTGTCTTCTCCAGGTCCAGGAGCTTTCTTGGCGCGCTGGCAGGATTTGCTTGACGCCTCGCCCATCACTCCATTGACACAATCGGGCCCTTTGAAAGCCGCAAGCAGTCCTGAAGTGGTACAAGCGAGTGCTGCCGATGTAGATGGAAATAAGATGGTGCAGTTTGGGGCCCAGGAGGCAAGGGGCGAGAAAATTCGCGTCGAAGACAGAGCTGGCCAACACAACAAGGATAAAGATCCAGCACGCCGTGACCGAGGAGCGCCGGATCGACAGAAGGAGTTGAAGGTCGTCATTGACGCATTGGGCAGCCAATTCCGCCAGCTATTGGCCGAGCAAGGTTGTCACTGGTCCCATGGTTGAGATCCCGGTTCAGTAACGACGGATGATTCAACGGAGCATGGTGGGCGCCGTTTCACACTGGGGAAGGATCAGATGTCGATATCGGAATCTTATCCAATGAGCTGATGGAAAGAGAAGAGCATTGGAGAGGAGATAAAGGAACAGAAAAGAAGGAGATACTATGGCCTCCAATGTGGCTGGAATGGAAGCCAGATAGGCCTCCTCCTGCTCTCTGCCCTTTGCTCTTTGCTCTTTGCTCTTCTTGCCCTGTTGGAAAAGAATGGCACGGGCCACGCCGTGTGGTGGAAACTCGGGGACATCAACAAAACAGCAGCTCTCCCCCCTCCTTCGTCGCCCTCAAAGCCTCAGAGGCACGGTCTAGGAGGGTATTGTCGGGAACCGAGCCACCTATCTCAACTCTAAGGCCGGTTCTCGCCCACAACCACAACCACAATCACACCGACTCACATCATCACATCCCCTGTGCCAAGAAGGGCCAACTCTGCATCTGCGTGGACGTGGAGGAGCCGCTTCGACGGAACCTGGTTCCCATGGTTCCCGTTCCAGTCCGCAGCGAAGCGGACAAACAGCTTGCGCGAAACATTGAACAGTCTAAAACAGACACAGACAGAGGCGGGGATGGATATCTAAGATGCTGACCGCCAGTCCGACTCTAGTTCTAGCATCTGGAGGGCAATCTACGTACAGATACATGGGTACAGTACCTATGTATAGTAGTATACTCGGTACATGTCATGACAGTAGCAGGGCTTAGGGACTCTTGTGCTCGCTCGGCCTAAGCCCTCTGGGGCAGCCCGAGCCCAACAACTTGACCTCCTTTCTCACCTTATACTGAAAAACATATATACTACACCCTGCCTCATTCAGACCACACCTTCCTGAGCCACTTCTTGCCAATACGCTGTGACACGGTAATTTCAACTCAAAAGGCCATCTTCCCGACTTCGTCATCAGTCAGTGTACGCCCTACCATTCATTGCCAGGTCATCATCATACACAACGCTCGTGATTCCCAACAACTATGCTAATGACGGGCCAACGCTGGCCATCTCTTGTCTCCGACCATCACCAGGGCCGCGTTTCCGCGTGTCAACGCCGTGAAGTGGTGATTCTCTCCTGGGGTTCTCCTGTGCGCCGCAAAACCCAACAAATGTGTCTAATCCCTGGTGGAAGTGCTTGCGTGCAGTGCTCGCAATCGGGTATCATTTCTGAACGCCATAAAAATGCTCCCAAATTGACACGTTAATCTTCTCTTCTGAAAAAAATAAAATCGTAACATCCCCAGTTTATCGACCTCGCATTTGCATCACTCTGAATCTCCGCTCGTCATCTTGAAGGGAACTCACATTTCTGTGAGAGGCCGACCGAGAATTGCTCATTCCTGTATCTGGAGGACTCGAGGCCAGACTTCCAGGTAGCCTGGGAGAATTGCGGATGTGAGCGGTCGGAGGTTCTGTCAGTGTTGGGGGGCTCTGTTCATGAACCACCGCTCCGTATGTGGGAAGGGTCTTTGATTGATCGGTCCTGGGGAGAGGTGTCTTGACGGCGGTCGAGTAGGAGGGAACCTTGGCTAAGTCTTCCATGTGATCATATTGAGGGAACGGTGTCCGAGTGCCAGATTGAGGTCCTTCGTCTTCTTCTGAAACCCTCCGCGAGATGAGGTTGCTTCCTGGCTGGCTTGGCGTCGTTGATTGAAATCCGGAGTGACTTCCGAAATCCTGAGGGCCGGCTCGAGGATAAGATGCTGAGTATTGTGCATCTATCGAGGCAAAATAATCCTCCTGCAAGTGGGCAGAGGAAGAATTTCTCCTGGAGCGTTCAGCCGGGTCACCCCGGTACAGATCCACTTCATCTTCCGCCACGGGACTGAAGTTGCCGCCCCGTAGATCTTGAAGCCTATTCTGAAGAGCTATGGGCGAGACATAAGTTCCATTTGTGATGGCTGTAAGGCTGGCCAGGTTCTCGGATGATGCGTGGCGACTGTGTAAGTAGGGCGTCCCTGGAGTCGACAGAGCCGTTCCTGGAGTTCTATAGCCATCCACATCCGAATATAAAAGATCGAGCGTATGTTTGCCATATACCGGCGGCGCGGAGTTGGCCAAGTCGTTGGCAACCGCTGCTCGTGACGCTTGTGGTGTTTGGTCGATCAGGTCATTGTTCTCGTTGATTGGAAGACTGGGTGATATGTAGAAGGTGACTGGAAGATTGGCTCGTAGCTCCGAAATGTGACCATCGGGATTATGCAACTGGACGTTGAATTTGACCTTGTGTCGGACTCTGATGCCTTTGACGTTGCAGTCCTGGAGGCATTGATTCAGCGATTTGGGCAATTCTAGATAGCGAGAGAATTGATAACCCTCTGCGACTTCCTCGATGATCTGCTCATCGACTTCCGGATTGATCCTGTAAAGGTCTGAAACGATGATCCTTTCGGTTTTCGTGTGGCCATTGCTGCCGGCCGAGATGCCCCATTCGGGATCGACGACAAACTCCTGCTCTTCCTTGACTTGAGTGGAAACATTTCCAATGACGAGGCCTTTAAGGAGAGATATCAACCTGAAATCGACTTGTACAAAGGAGCCGAATGCAACGGCCTTGTTCGGTATGCTGATAGAATACTCGATCTTGTTCGGCCAGATATTCTCCACGGACTGAAGAAGAAATTAGTTTCCCCAATTGTTCCGGCCGGCAAGTTCGTCGGGGCTACATACCATAGCATGGGAAAGTTCCAGGGCGTTGGAATCGAGAGTGCGGACGATGCGCAAAGGCTTCCTGACGACAATATCTCGGCCTCTTTTGCGACTTATCTCAGCCTTAAGGCGGTATATGATCCAAGCTTCTTTTAAGCCTTCCACGCTTTCCGGAAGAGAGCCTTCGAGAATGCATTGAAATGGCCACTCGTAATTATCTGGTTGCAGAACCTCCGTCTTTCCTTTCCCGGGCTCTCGGAATGTCCAACTCTTCTCAAAAAAGGTCCGTTCCTTGTATGCGGTTCGTCTGCCGGACATGGAGGAAGTGGAAGTGGTCTGCCATCTGCGTGCCATGCAGTCAGCATATGATCCTACCCACCATCGCCGGAACAGCCGGCGTCTCGGGAAAGCACTTACGACATATGCAGGATACCACTCAAAGTCAAATCGATGTGTGAGATGTTCAGGGGTTCAGTGAGGCACAAGACGACAGTCCCAGACAGCGAAGCGCTCGAGGCCTCATCCTCGCTGCCACGAAAGACGATGTAGTCATTGTGAAGACGGATATCGAAGTACTTGACGCTGCTGCTCGAGCCGGTATTCGACGTGTGGCCGCTCAGGAACTTTAGGGCCATGGCGGACGACTTCAACGAAGGGCTGGCGCCCAAATGACGATGTTCAGCAGGATTGGAACAGGAGTTGGAGGTATGTTGGTGACTCAATGCCGAACGTAAGACTGGCTCATGTTGACCGAGGAAGCATTCAGGCCAATGCCTGCGGTTCAGGCGGAGCAGTGGCCGAATATGCTGGAGGACGGAGAAAACATTAGATCAAAGTGAGGGAGAAGGAGAGGGCAAGGGCGAAGACTTGGAGCCGATGAGATTGTGCAGGTGCATGCAATGCAACATATGACAGTGGCAGCAAAAGGGCACCACGAAATTTGAGGTGGATTATGGCACGAGAAAAAAGATAATAGATGACATGAGTGATGGATGGAGGGATTAGGGATTGGGGATTGGACAGGCCAGGATGCAGAGTGGGCTTTGGGATGTTCCAGGTGCGGTGATGCAAGAATAGCCATCCACCACCGTGCGACCACCACGCCTCGAGGCGCAAGCAGGGGCCCTGAGCCCCTAGGACGTTAAGCCCAGGGCACCTTAGCACCCGAACGGGATACCCAGTTAGGCCATGTCGGCATGTCCTGTGCCCGCAACACACCTTATATCGTGGCTGATAGCGGACGTGAGGGGCATTGGGTAATAAAGGTGGAAATATTATGGAAACAGTGAGATCCGCATGCGCCATCGTAAGAAGAAGCAACGTACCGTCGTTATCAGGCCCTGGTCTACCGCCGCATCTTCAAGCGAGGCGCCTCGTGGCGGTCTCGCCGGTGGAGGGCTCAGGCTTGGGTTCAGGCTCGGGCTCGGAGCGCTGGTGGTGGTAGTGCCTGGAATAAGAGGCGCAGACGCCCTAGACGGCAGGGCTGCTGATGACGGTTTCGCTCCCGCTGCCAACAAATCCAACCCTCTTCCTCCCGACGCCGGTGACACTGACGCGGCGGCAGCGGTGGATCCTCCTATTATCGTCGCTGGTTCTTCGACATGTGTTTCTCCCAGTTCGTCATCTTCGTCTGCTTCTTCCTGTAACTGCCGCAGCCCAGAGATGCCGGTGTAGTTGTACTGACCCAGGCGGTTGCTGTCACCATCGCCGACACTGGGGAGGACAGGCAGAGGAGTCCGTGAGGTGGCGGTAATCGTGTTATTGCTTCTAGCGCTGGTGCCCGTGGTGCCGCCCAAGCCGCTTGTGTTGGCCTCGGTGGAGCCAAAGCCGCAATTGCAGTCCGGCTCAATAATGCTGATGCTTGTGGCCTGTGGTTGTTCTTGTTCTTCTGGAATCAGCAGCCCTTGCGACAATGATTTAGATGGTGCCTGTGCCTGTGCCTGCGCCTGTGTCTGCGTTTGGTCCTGCATCTGATCGTCTTGCTTCGTCCTCTGCTTTCCTGCCGGCATCTCCATCGTCTCTGCAGTCTTTTTTGCCCCTATCTTTGACGACTTCCTCAAAGGGCCCAGGGCTCTTCCGACTGGCAGTTCCCACAATATCGCCTTCGTCTCTGCTGATCGACGACTTCCGAGCGTCATCTTAGATCACCCGTTCGTTGTCCTCTTGGCTCCTTCCAGCCTGTTCTAGTCTGGGCGACTTTCAACTATCGCCCCTCTGCCGTACGCGATTTTGCCCGATACCTAGCTGATCAATGATATCGTAGGGAGGGAGAAAGCTCTGGTCACTGCTGATGTTGGCAAAAAAGACCTCAGAGAATGGACGATGAGCGATGACAAAGACCGTAATCTGAATATTTACAGCATGCTCATGGCTACCTTCAGGTATGTATGTCAGCGCAAATTCAGGTCAATCGATACATCTCAGCAACAAAGTTGAGGTTGAGAGCACTGGCACTACAAGTAGCAGGTCATCTTGCGATTAATCAAGTATAACAGTGGCAACCGATGCCCCCCACGGTGACGCTTGCATCTGCAACTGCAACCCCAGTACGGAGTACTCTGTAGACATCCCACGAGAAGATTCCTTATGCCTTGTAGCTGACACCAATAATGTTCCGGAAGAACGGCGTCTTTGCAAAAGCCGAAGGTTGTTCTAACTGGACGCGGAGTAAAGTAACACGCAGCCGTGGCATGAGAATTGCGCCGGCAATCCCCTGATAGTCAGATGTCCCGGTCGTCTAAGATACCTAGGTAAGGGATGTAGCCGATCTGATCTGGTTGCATCGCCTCGGCCTTGCCACATGGCATCATATATGCAGCGGTGCTTATACGAGTACTAGGGTCCGCTGCATACGGAATCTTTGTGCATCAGCCCTTCATCCCTGCCCTGAACTGGACTCTCCTCGAAAACGTCAGCCATATTTACCCCCGCTGGTGGCATGATCGGCCCGAACCCCAACCTATCGCAAGCCCCTGCTGGGACAAGCTCGGTTTCTGTCCTCGGTTCGCAACGGCAAGGATCTTTCTTTTCTGACGCCGTACCGAGAACGAGTGTTGCCAAGGGACACCTGATCAAGTGCCTGGCGAGAGAGCATGCTGCGGTGTTGCTTGCCAACGTTATCACTTTTGTAATCCACAAGCTTCTCCCACCGGCGATGTCCCAAGATTCTGCTCGCATCCAGTATGTTGCGGTCTCATTCCGGGCGTGACACGGCGAGGTTCGGTATCCGCCCTGGCTTTTTGAAGAACAGTCGCGCTGTGCAACCCTGGCCATGATCTATGCAAGATAGTACGGATACATGCAAGATAATAGCCACATGCGCACTGTGTTATCGAATGGTGGCCATTGGCTGTGGCCTGTTACACCACATGGCTGTTAAGGCCTCTGCTGCCCTGATAGGTCGATTTGACTGCTATTTGCGCCTTCTCGAGGACGGTCCCAGGTACGCACATGCCCTGATCCACTGTAAGCTCCGAGCTGTGCATCTTCTGCAGATGTATATGGGATTGGACACGTACCTTCCAGACAAGAAGTTATGATACAATCCTGTTCGAACGCTAAACCACTGAGTGGATGTTCATCAATCTTCTTGGACTGTAAAGATATGTTAGAATTTGCGTCCTAGTGACCGATGACACTGTTCAGGCTGCGAGAGGAAACATACCATGACAGGAGGTAGCTGAGCAGTCCGCGCTCGCGGCTCCACAGGGTGCTCGATGAACTCGGATTCGTCGACAATGTCCTGTTGGATACTACCAGTTCGGTTGGAGTCAGACCTAATCCTGTTGATTACACTGGCGCTCTCTGTCCGCTGACGTAGAAGAGGTACTGATAGTGTCGAGATACTACCTCTTGCCCTCGCATTGGCCTAAAATCTCATGATTAGCATCTACAAATCTTATCGGCATAGGGGACGTTGACTTCTGGTCGACGTACTCCTTTCGGTCGATGCAGCATGCCCACACTGAAATCCCAGAGCAGAAGCTTGCAGTCTTCCCCGACACTGCCGAAGCGGTAGTTTCGATCGTCACAGCGCCAGGGATCAAATGCCACCGCCGTGACCCATGAGTCATGCCCGGGGCATCGGGCAATGATCTGTCTTTCATGAAGCGACCAGATTGTGACCAGGTCGTCTTGACCGCCGGTAAGCACGTATTTACCGTCTGGCGACCAACAAACACAGGTGAATGCACCATAGTAAGATGAATATATGTCAGTTAACCTAAGACAAATCAGTCTCATGGCTGAGAAACACCCAGATCTCAATGTGTGGACCACTTACCTTTCCTGTAAGTAATCAATTATCCGGAGACAGCCATCATCCCCAACCACTGCCAGGTGCTTACTGTCAGGCGAGAAGGCGAAATCGGTAATGGCTTGATTTGATATTTTCCAACAGGCCACAGGGTTGGCTTTCTGGTTCGTCGAATTGACGCTCTTGGTGATGACTAGCGTGGACTGGTCGTCGTCCTCAATACTGATACCCTCATCCACTAGCTCCTCCGACACAAATGGGGCGTCTTCTTTCTCTTTGTCGTACACCACCAGGGTGCCGTCCATGTGAGCAGAAAGAAAGTGGTTTTCCGAGCCCGGGATCCATTTGATCTTTGCAACCGCCGAGTTGTTGATAATGCCATTCTTGTTGATGCGCGCATACTTTTGGGACATGGGTTCGTACCAGATTATATCACTGGCCGAAGAGCCCATCACAACGTCCATATGTGTCGGGTGCTTCGTGAGGGGATTGACATCATGACACAGCATGTGTGCTTTGGTGAAGAGTATCTTAGTCATGGGGTCCTGTTTCGAGCTTGAAGACAGGTCCAGCCACTGAAAGGCTCGGTTTATATTGGCAAACGCAAAGGTACCACCTTGGTCTCGTTCCACCAGCTTTCTGGCCAGTGCTTCATGCGGAATGACCCGAGAGACAAACGAAGAGTTGCTCTTGATAATGTTGTTCCTGGGTTTCCGTCTCTTGAGGCCATCTCCTCTACTGGCGATTGGTGACAGTGCCGCGTTGCCCTCACCAAAGGCCCGGACAGTACTCGATCTATTGCTGCCATTTGCCGATACAGCAGGATTGCTGATGTCACTGGACGTCTCAATAGATACCCTTGGCTCTCTTTCTAGTTCTTTGGTTTCTTTGGTCTCTTTAATCTCCTTGATCTCTTTCAACTCCTTGCCTTCCTTGATACTGTTCAGCCCTAACGATTTCCATCGTAAGAGACTGCTTGTAGCAGTATGAGGCTTATACAAGTCATGGTTGACTTGTTTCGGATTCAACGACACCAGCGACAATTTAACTCCACTAGTCGGAGGAACGACACTGGTTGCCAGTGGATTGGGGTTGACCACTGGGGCTTCTGAGGGATGAGGGGGAGGCGTCGCCAGTTGCAGGTCGTCTCGCAGAATATACGTGCCTAGCAATCGGTATCAGTGCATTTGGAACCCTAGTCGAGAGCTTCGCACCCACCTTCGCCAGCTTGAAATGTGTATTCTGCACCTTCTCGAAAGGTTAAAGTATTCGCCGTCTCAAGCGTTGTAGCCACCAAGCCGCTATTCGTAGGATAACGAGGGGGAGGAGGAATCGCACTATGGCAGAAACATCAGTCCGCGATAGAGGGTTGGTTGGGAAGGTTGGCATACAACATCGCTAGGGCTCACTGGTTGTCTGCGGGTGTGACTGGTGTAGTGGTTATGGATCCAGGATCCAGGATCCGCGGGGGGAGACGATGTGCCGGGGTTAGTCTAGACTTGACCACCGGAGACGGTGGCCACAGCTGGTAAGGGTGAATACTAGGTAGAAATTGATGGTTTGAGGTCGAGGCTGGTAAGATACATAGGTAAGGTAGAGATGGGGTGCGACACTGCCTCGTGTTGGGTGACCGAAGCTGCCACTCCGGAGCCGTATCTTTTGAGTGTGGGTCGAAATGCCACGAGTGGCTCACGACCCAGTGCGGGGTGGCCTTTGGCCTCTCCATGCGAGTCTGAGGATTTCCAGCCGGTATGGGAAGAGATGGTCAGCCTCACAGGGCCAGCCAACACAAATTCCAATGCGTCAGACCTCGCCATAGATAGGCATCACGACTCCTGTGACAGATACTCGTACCAGCTTCCAGCTAGAGCATGTTAGAGATAGCTGCCCTCGCACCCCCTCCGCCGTGTCCTGTGTCTAGTGCCGGTCTTCGAGGTATCTGGTCTGCCGTTGCAGTGGTTCAAGCAATTGCACTAGCGCTTCGTAAGTATCTTGATGCTATCGTTGCAAATCCTCCGGGCAGTATCGAAGGAGAAAGAGACTCGCGTCTGAATAAAGACTGAAGAGAAAATCACTACTGTCATATATCGTCCGGCCACTTCATCGCCGCCAGTTCTTCCCTCAGCACACTAGCAAGCTCCTGGCTGACAATCTCGAGGTCCGTTCGTATTTGCCTATGATTTCCGTCCTCATGGTTGCCGTTGTCTTCTTCTTGGTCCCGGCCGTCCTCTTCGAAGTTGCTATTTGTTCCATTGATGGCATGTCCCGACTCTTCTGCCTCCCTATTAGGCGCTGATTCTGCCTGCCTAGGCTCTGGGCCGGTTACGGCCAAAAGTACATGGTCGGCGATTGGGGAGATGACGGAGATGGCTCCCGTGTTTTGAGCTTCAAAGACAAGGCTGTCCTCGGACGCCACGGTGTACGCCGCCGTCATGGTCGTGGATTGGGTGCGCATAGCTTTAATCGAGGGGGTTTCATCTCTGCAGGCATAGGCGAGGATTGATCCATTCGTCGCTGACACCATGAGCGACGAGACATTCTCGCTCCAGGACAGCGCATCCCGCAGAAGTGCAGATAGGCGATCCGAGTCCAGTAAACAGACTTGACCCATCTTTCAGGTCTGAGGTGCTTGGCGTCGGTAACGGGCTAGGCCTGAGAATCCAATTGATAGAGCTTCACAAGCAGCTGGGACGGGCAACTGATGCAGCCAAAGTCTCAGAGACTCGGCCTGCGGAACGATGGAACATGAAGTGCAGTGCTACTGTACGGAGTACGGAGTAGTAGTAATACCACTACAGCCTACCTACAACTTTTGTAGTACGGAGTACGGCATGAGAACTGTGAAGGCTTGGCATTGTCATGATTCGATTCAGCTGCTGAACTTGAACTTTGGGAGAACTAATAACATAAGGTCCTACTACTGATAGGTAGGTGCCTCCTACCTACCTATACCTACCTAGGTACGGAGTACACGTAAGGTGGTTTACGGAGTACCGTACCTGTAGTTAGGTCCTTATAGGTAAGGTACGTACCTACCTGTAGGTACCTAGACCCCTCTAAGCCGGAGTATTTCGACAGGTAGCTTCGCTTGGTACAAACTATACTCGCACCTTTTAGGTGCATGTGTGTAGTAGTATTTGAGTCAGTCAAGCGGTTTAAGGTTAAGGTTTATAAAATATTTATATTTTGTCAAAGAATGAAATGAGCATCCGTACTACGGATTCGTAGCCAGGTACTACTCCTAGGCAGCAAATACTACCTATTTTGTGGTGGTTTATGCGAGCCCGTCTCCCGGGGTCTAGAAACTGGGCGGATACGGAGTACGGAGTGCTCCCTAAAGAGAACGGAGGATGTTGTGCACCACACTAACTAAGTATTAATTAATTAATTAGCACCTATACTGTCAGATGCGCACGTGGCGGGCTGGTTGCAGCACCTTGAATTTCCGGCCGCTTTCAAAGGTTGGGGAGTGAAGCAGCCTCCGCTCCTCCTCCCGGTTGATTGATGGATCCATTCAGGCTGCGAAACTGCAACAACTGCCCATATTCATCCTGTTGTCCTTGCATCTCTCTTCTCTGCTTCTCCTTCTAGTGATCTCTGCGCGCCTCAATGTCCTTGCGTCCATCCGGTACTGATTCCCCATACTCCAGTCGCAGCTGGCCTGCGGATTGAGAGCATCTGGGCTGCCCGCCTGAATTTCTACTTATCCATCCGCCATCCTTTCCACGAGACGTCCCCGACAGCTGCGAAACTCGAATCTCTACCTACCCACCTACCCTCAACCCTGAAAATCGACATGATCTAGACCATACGTCTCGTGCCGTTTTGGTCCTTGATCATGCCATTGAGAACCCTCCTCTCCAAGGCTGGTCCTCGTGCTGCTCATCGTCGACACAGTAGCATTATCGAGGATGCTACCGAGGATTCTGAGAGCAGCACACCCCCAGGCCGTAGCCGTGGGGATTCGATGAAGAGACTGAGCTTGGGTTTGTCTCGCACCAATGAAGAAGATACCTTTCACGCATTCTTCACCCATGAACCGGCAGAGATACAGCCACGACTCAATTCCCTTCAAGCTGACGAGGCCTCCCAACCTTCAGAACCTCCCAGCACTGCAAATCCCGCAATTGCGGTCTCCAGGGTACAAAGTGAATATTCACAACCGCCCGGATTGAGTAGCGGTCTTGATGGTGATGGCACTCTACTCAAACCACAACGATTCTCGTTGTTGGGTATGAGACATGCCTCAGATTCGCAGTTGTCGACAAGGTTCAGGAAACAAGAACCCGTACCGCCGCAAGATGCTGCTCGTACGTCCTATTTCGACTAAACTATCTGCGATATTCAGGCTAACTTCCTTAGCTCCCAGAATCATCACAACGGCACCTACCCACGACTTCGAAGACACGACTCAGAGGAAATCGAAACGCAAGTTGTTTGGTCGGTCACCCAGTCCTTTCCGTAAGAGCCATATTCCAAAATGTCCAGAGGAAGCCATGGTTATTGCAAGACCTTCTGAAGAACATAGCACCTCCTCAAATCTTGGTCTGGCCCAGGAAAAGAGCTCTTTTGAACGTTTACCTCGACCGGCGGGACTCAATGGATCGATGGCGCCGCCTGCATATGGTGACGAATCCTCCTCCTCGCTGGCGATTCCAGTGACGCGACTTTCCGATTCCTCTCGTTCCGATGACAGCTCTGGAGACCACCATCTCTACGCCAAAACTACAACGACTCACACTATTTCAACCACCACCACCTTTTTCAGACTCAAAAGGCGGAACAAAACAAAAAGACCACTGTTTCCGTTACCCGAGAAATTTGCAACCTCTGCGTTGGGCCGGACAAGCACCTCTGGTACACCCCCAGAATCTGGAGACGGACGGAAATCCATGTCGCCTAGCAGGAAATCTACTACTGCGGTCAGGTTCGATGCTGCTCCGAGCCGACAAGACTCCGCGGAGCCTTCGCCCACTCACTCGATGATTGCTCTTACAAACGCGCCTTTTGGCTCGCCTGGTCCAACAATCATGCGTCAAGATTCCACATGGTCTACCCACTCTGGCCACTCGACACCATCCGTAACGTTAGTGCCTCCGCAGACGAGTGGAAGAGGGCGCTCTTCGACCATGAGCTCGCTCCGAAAGTCAGCGGAGAAGTTACCCGATGCTGTGCCTCAGACAGGATCCGCCAGGACTTCAACATCCACCAGTGGAAGGCGAAGTTTTGGTGACCTTCTATCGCTACCTCATCGACTCCGGCAAAATTCCGCCCCGCCTCCCCGGCACGGGGCAGGCTTAAACCCTGGCACGCCCGGTTCCAAGTCCAACTCTCTACACATCCCCCGGGAGCCGGAACCAGAACGGGTCTATCCGCGACGGGAAGACGGTGATACCCCAGCGAGCTATGTGGAAAAGCTTGAGGCCGCCGTTCCGAGAGGTGCAATGGCAACGATACTTTGCAAAAGCGCCGATGACTTCTCCAAGACATGCTTGCGCAAATACATGCGGGGATTTTCTTATTTCGGAGATTCTATTGATATGGCAATTCGAAAAATGTTGACAGAGGTCGAACTACCTAAAGAAACCCAACAGATCGACCGACTACTTGCTGGCTTCGCAGATCGCTACCACGAATGTAACCCTGGAATCTTTGCTTCGACGGATGAAACAGCCTTTGTCGCATTCTCAATCCTCCTGCTACACTCGGATACTCACAACAAGAACAATAAGAGGAAGATGCAAAAGCAAGACTATGTTAAGAACACTCAACAGGGACCGGTTCATATATCGAGCGATATCCTCGAGTGCTTCTATGACAATGTGTGTTATACTCCATTCATTCATTTTGAGGACGAAATTGCCATCAACAGTCACCGCCTGGCTGCTCCCAGACCCAAGAAGAGCTTAATCCGACCCAGGAGTCTAGAAAGCCTGCGTGGGCCTGTTGACCCGTACATTTTGATCCTAGACAACAAGCTGGACGTGTTGCGACCCTCCCTCAAAGACGTGATGGATACCGAGGACTGCTACAGCTCGACGGGAACCATTGGCACCCTGGAGACAAATGAGATCCAAAAGGCCTTTCTCAACTCCGCAGTGTTGCAGATTGTATCTGCGCGGTCCAGGCCAGATGCCTTCTCCACCCAGGCTACGATCAGCAATCCTGGGGAAGCACAAGCTGGATTGGTGAGTATAAAGGTCGCCAAAGTTGGGTTGCTGTGGCGCAAAGACCCCAAGAAGAAGAAGGCGAAGCGCCCTTGGCAAGAATGGGGCGCCATTCTGACAGACTCCAAGTTGTACTTCTTCAAGGACGTGGGCTGGGTCAAGAAGCTGATCAGTCAATATGAAGCGTCTTCCAAGTCTACCAACAAAGCCAGCCCTTTGATCTTCAAGCCACCGTTGTCATCCTTCGACCCAGACGCGCTCATGTCGATGGATGACACTGTGGCTCTGCTTGACACAAGCTACAAGAAACACAAAAACGCATTTGTATTCATCAAGCACGGAGGCTTTGAGGAAGTTTTCCTGGCCAACAACGAGTCTGAAATGAACGACTGGATTGGCAAGCTGAACTATGCTGCCGCATTTCGGACCGCAGGCGTCAGAATGCGCGGGCTTCTCAGTTCTAGCTATGAAGCACGACATGTGCTTCGCAAGGATTCAGACTTTTCAACCAAAAGCGAACAGTCGTCTCAGAAAGACCGCAAGGTAGATCCTCAGGTGGCATGGGAAATCATGTTCTATCGCCAGCAACTCATTAACGAGAGAATCAGCGATTTCGATGACAAGATGGCAGCCGCTCAAAAGGAACTAGACAACCTTCTTCGCAATGCCCGGCATCTACTTATTCTGTTGCCGATTCAGCAGAAAACTCGAGAGGCTCTCGTTCTAGCTGCCGGCCGCATGTCAGCCAAGCTGAAGTGGACAAGAGTCGAATTTTGGAGAGCCAAAACCCATCGAGACATTCTAGCCAAAGATTTGGAGCAGGAAGGGGTTACGGCTTTCCCAGTTCCTCGCACGCCGTCAACCTCTACTCCTCAAAAGATCACTCCTCTAAAGACTAGTCCGGCAAATCTAGCACGACACATGACTGACACGAGCCATACGACATTATCGCCGATCAGTGCGATCTCGTCCAAGCCTTCCAATGTCACTGAACGACATAAGATCTCGGAGAGTGAGAGCAACCGACCAGAGCAGAGCCCATCTGACATTCCATCTACCACAAGCCCTTCCATATCTGAGCATGTCTTGTCGAAACAGGAGAGCAACCCGGACTCTCACTCCCTCATTCATCAGGCCTCCGTTACAAGTTCTCATCTTAGCCGAGACCGAGAACGACTGGCAACAACCACTGCGGTTGGTGAGGAACAGATCCCGCCTGAAGCAGGCTTGATTGGCAGCGATGGCTATGTTTCGATGGAGAAACGGCCGGACACAAGCGAATCAGACCGAGATCGAGTAGCAGCTATTACGACTCCGATCGATAATTCCAAGGTTGGAAGCGTTCGACGAAGTCTTCATAGGAGTTTGCGTGAAGGGCATTTACGAGACGGACACCACCATTCCCCCAGTATCCATCGACACAGAAAGGGGAGAGAGTCGGGATCTAGTTTCACAGGAACCGATGATGGGGGAAAGTCAATACAGAGTGAAGTGGAGGAACTAAGAAGAGGTACTGGAAGCTTCATCTTGCACGGGAAAAAGGCTAGTGTCATCACCATGTCTTCAGAATGGCAGAACATATCCAACGAGGATCGGTTGAGACTGAGGAACACCAAGACTGACGGAGATGAGAAAGAGGAGCATCTCGAGCTTCAAGACGATGACGAAGACGCTGTTGAAACAGTCAGCAACTTTTCGAAGCAGACTGAAGACCATCATTACGCGTCATTGAATTCGAGTCGCAAGCCGAGCCTGGCGACCACTGCGGGAGAACAATTCGTCGATGCCGAGACAGGGGAGGGGTGAAAGAATTAGAGCAAATGCGACCAAGGCTATAATAAGATCGAGGGCTTTTGATCTTGTTACGGGGTACTTTAGGAATGCACAAATGGAGTTGGCAGCAACGTGATGACTCATGACCAGAACACGACGGATGATAGAAGCACGAACTTGAAGATCCAGACCGGGCTTGAGCTTTGACTGGAAGATAGGAAGTTATGAAGATATGCGATGGCGCACCATGAGAGAGGGACAGGGATAGATTTAGCGACGGCCTTTGTTTCTTCGGGCGTTTGATCGTCTTTCTCTGGCAAAAAGGATTGTTGGTGTCTCTGACCATCTATTAGATGAACGGGCCAAGTCTGGTCGACGTTTTTCCCAACCTTCCAACTGGATCAATTGGAATAGGGAGGGAGGATGGGTTGCGGCGAAGCCAATAAAAGAAATGTGAACAGCCTTGCCCAAGCCTTTGAGGCATTGCAAAAACCAAAGTCCGCCTTCCACCTCATGTGTTGCGTCGCGAGAGAACGGCATTGCGGTGCCATAATTAATTGGCCCTAATTAGGACTGCTTGGTTGAGGGGGTCAAGGTCTCCTAATATCGCGCATTACCAACTTGAATGAATGAATGTTGTGAGTGCTGCTTTGAGATGCACGTACTGTAGAATTCTGAGGAGGGGAAATGTGGAGTGTAGGAAAAACCAAAAAACAGTTGGCCTGATCGTCGGTTTGAACGAGGCATCTTATCCTATCCGTACTGTATCATTCCGTTCAAAAACCATACACTCCGTCTGGGTAAGTAGAGGAGATTTAGAAAGGCACAGGGGCGAAGACTCAGTCTGATTATATAAATGGTTCCTTCGTTAGCTCGCTAGCCGACCCGAGGTTATAGGATACATAAGCCTAGTCTATGACACATATATCCAAACTGTATATTATAGATGCACAGATGCATCGGGTCCCTTCAGGGTCAGGGTCCGGGGGGTTTGTTATTCTCCCAGGTCTGCTCGATCAGCGCCTTCCGCAACTCGTTTCGAGCTCGCAGATCAAAGACGAACGGCTTCGGCTGGACATTGAATCCCGCAGTGTAGTCATACAGCGGAATTTCTATGCCGGGTCTTTTCGACACGTGCACGCCCCATGCCATCCTTGCAACCAACAAGTGCAACGAGTTTTCGGCGATGTTCATGCCCGGGCAGATACGTCGACCAAAGCCAAATGCCGAAAAGTTCTGCAGGTTGGGAAACTTGGACAACGGGGCGCGGTAGGTCGGATACTGAGGGGACAACCACCTTTCGGGATTGAAGGTTTCTGGATCCGGATAGAGCTCTGGGTCACGATGAATCGCCCTTGGAAAAGATGGTCAGTGTGGATTCCATTCGATTACCTTGGTTTGTCTTTTCTTGTCTTGTCATGTTGTTTGTCAATGATGCTGGGGATCAAACATACCATTGATTCGCGTGAACGTTGGTGCCTGCAGGGAAAAAGTGGCCCTCGTATACATCGTCCTTGACCAGTTCGTGAGGCACACCTCCCGCGGTTACTGGACGCCAGCGTAGCACTTCTTTAGCCACGGCTCGGACTGTAGGCAAAGCAGGCATGTCGTCAAAGTCCGGCATGCGGGCATCTCCCACTACTCGGTCAAGCTCTTGCTGGATCTTCTTCTGCCATTTGGGGGAAAGGCACATGGCTAGAACGAAAGACATCATGGCGGCGGCCGTCGTGCCAGTCCCCGCCTCGAAGAGTGTTCCAACAACATAGGCTCCCTCGTCGTCGGAAAGACCAAATTCGGCCTGCCTCTCCAGGAATGTCCTCATGAAACAATCCGGGGCCTTCTTCACATTCATCCTCTCCCGGACTTCCAACAGCAGCTGTCGGAACAACGCCATCTCGAATTGATGTAGTCGAGCGGCCTCTCGCTTGAAGGGAGCTAGCCAGGTGGGCAGGCACATTAAGACAGGGAACGTGTCGACAAGATACGAGCCCGGTGAGGCAACTCGTTCGACATTGCGGACGACACGGAGTGCGTCCCTGACATAGGGTTCATCGCCGGTCTCGATGGTTTTGCCATATCCGAGACGCATGACCACTGCACCCGCATATCGTTCAAAAGCTGACTCATATTTGTCGGGGGCTTTCAGCAAGTCGTACAACAATCTCTCAGATTCGTGAACCTGTACCGGCCGGTACGAGGTCGCAGCTGCGTGCATGGTCATCGAGTGCATTACTTTACGTCCTCGTCGCCACAGTTCTGTCGCTGGTCAGACCGAGACATTTCTCAACTCGTAGATTCTTCCTACCTCCGTAAGGAAGAAACAGCGGCCTCAGATTGCGCGACATCAGCTGGGCCGCCATGGGCAACTGTTCACGAGATGAATAAAGATTGCCTCGCTCCCGGAGGAGGTCATTGGCGATTTTCTCACTCGATACCACCACAATGTTTCGGCCAAAGACGTCGAGTCGGAAGATCGGGCCATACTGGTCGGCCCAAGATTTGAACTTCAGCCACGAGTGCTGGGGGGGAATATCCAAAAGGGTCCCTAGAACGGGCAACCCTGCGAAACCATCAGCTAAGAAAACCGAGACAAGGTCTGTCACAAACCAGGAGGACCTGGAGGTAGCTTCGCATCTTGAGGAATCCTTGCTTTACTGCCGAAAAAGTGGTGAATGAGAATACCAGCACATATGATGATACCCGCTCCGACCACAATGAGCGAAGGCATCTTTGATCTGCCTACTGAGCGGTCTAAGCCAGGCGCCCGTCAGAGGTTTGATAGCTCGCTTCGGACACGATGGCGATGCCGTGACAAGAATCAGCATTTATTCCCCCTCAGACAGTGTGGGGTGCTTCTATCTGCTCCCCGGAGAATCTCCACCATCGGGTAAGTCAGTATTCCTCGAGGCTGAAGCGGGATGCAGGTGTGGAGGTGGAGCGGAGGGTTCTCCTATTCCTACCATGAAGGCCGACAGCCGAAAACCGAAAATCCTCGAGGACGAGGAGACCAGCCACAGTCGTTCGACACGTCCGCATTCGCAATCTCGGCATGCACACTTCTCGGGTGTGAAGAGAACAATGCGAAAGAGCATCACTTAGCCTTTCGACTACACCATTTGCAGAGCCAATGGCTCCGTAAGGGCTTTGGCAGAGAATGGACGGCTTTACACCCATGAAGCGAATGTTTCTTCGTCCACATCCATTTCCCAGCTGGGTGCTCCTTGCATCGCAAGTGGTAGGGTGTCGAAGTCCCAATCCAACTCACCTCTGAAAGAAACAGCGTCAGATTTATCCGCCACAGTTGCGTGCATATTTACACGTGGGGGATTTGAGCTGGTGGAAGCATCCTTGTGCGCCAGCATAGTAGCGTTCCTGCGCGAATTCACCAGTGGTGTTTGCGCCGAGATATCTTCAGCGTGCTCTTCAACAGATTGTTGTATTGTCACGTTGGCTGGGGTATCTTCATTCTGCGTTTCCAACGCGGAGCTTTTAATATGTCTCTTAGTGACTGCTTTCGCCCTTAGTCTTTGTAAGCGTCGCCAGCGTTGTTCATCCGTATAGTGAGCTCGCCAATCGTGGAAGAAAATTTCCACTGCTTTCCAAGCTCGTTCGGCCAATGCAGGTACAGGAGAAGCATTCAGGCTATGGAGCAAGAAAGCTACTGCATCCCACTCAATATACTTCTGAAATAACCAGACCCATCGCGAATATTTGTCGCTTGAGCGAAGAGTGTGCGCATACTCAATGATTTCGACGCTGCTTTTGACTAGATCAAGAAGCCGATCTCGAGAAGGCCCCGAAGAGCCGCTCCATGCAGGGTGATTGATGGTGAGCTTGATTTTTGCTATGACCATGCGCATGGTTGTGACGGTGAGGAAACAGATGGGAACTCTGGTATCGCATTGCTGCAGATACCTTTCCTCAAGAGTCTTTTGCAAAGTGTCGACCGACTCATTCTTGTCGTGCAATGATGTGGCTGTGTAACCATTGTCCTTGGTGAATTTCGGAGAGAACACCCATTTTCTTACTGCATAACTCAGTTCAAAGCGGGTTAGAGTGAACAACATCTCCGTACGGTCGCGTCTTACAACGGCTGGATGGACCATGTCCACATCCAGATCAGTGTCGTTCACGTTAGAAGGGAGCTCGGTGTCGAAACTGTGCTCGCATATCACCGGGTCCATGTCATTCTCTTCCGCGGTCCGTACGTCCAGGATACATATCTGCCACCACAAGCGTCTTCGCATTTCGGACACGAATGGCGGGAGTCCTAGAGCCATTGGGTCACGATGGAGGCCTAGCTTTGTAGCCACACGGATGGCAAGCCCGGTCATTGTCCAGACATAAGTTTTGTCCAACGACTGTCGAGCACATATCAGGTACAGGGTCAAGGCTTGGAGGGTCTGAACATCAGGAGCACTCAAGAAATCCGCCCTTGCCAGCGCTTGCTCCAGGCCGTACCGGTAGCGGTCAAGCAGGTCTTGTCTCTCTTCCTGCAGGAGGGTCTTGCAAGAAACTGAACACTGCATACTGGTGACAGCAGCGTAGTAGATGGAGAACATCAAACTTTCAAAGGCGGGCGGGATAGGGTCTGTGGACAAGGTCGCCCACATGATTTGGCGTTGGGTGACAGGAGTGTGAATGAGCTTCAATACAGGATCGACACTTTCCAAGAACACCTGCCAAAGAGAGAAGATGCGGTTCTCTGCAGGGTGGAGCTGTCGGAGGTCCGAGGACATGAAGCTGAAGCCGAAGCCGGGGACGAGGCCATGAGGACGACGACGAGGCTCGCTCGTAGTGTGGGACGGCACTGAAGGACTGGCAACTGCGATTTTGCCCAAGTCTGTGGCTTGTTCGTTCTGATCCTCTTGAACGTCGAGGTCGGTCCACAGGTTACTTGTGACATGCCCATACCGACTATGTTCATCCGAGGTAAGATCGCCACATTCTGGCTCTGGACTGACCTGGGTTTCGGCAGAAATATCATCGACTGTATTGGAGGAGGATTGATCTCTTCCCGGCTGGAGACTTTCCCATGTCGCTGTCCTCGTTTCTAGTCGTTGTAGAGATGCCTCGATCCTTGCGAGCCTCGAGTCGACATCATTGCTGTTGTCCGGTTGGGCTTCTGATACCGACTCGGGGTAAATGCACTGCCTGTGCAGTTTGGTGCAGTAACTGCAGGGCTGCTCGCGGTTACACCGGATCTTGCGTTTCCTGCAGGCAGCACACGAACGGCCTGGTGCAGCTGTATGACGAGTGGTGGGCTCTTCCATACGAGCATTGTTTCTGCAGTCCAACTTGAAGGACTGAACCCGGACCAAAGAACCAGGCACATAGGTATGTATGTACGAGGTAGGTTAGAACTTGCAGTTGGCGGCAGAGAGAAGGACGGCGCGCCGGTGGGGTTTCCTGAGGCGCAGGCGCAGGCTGGCTTAATAAGGACTTGTATCCGTACGGAGTACTCCGTACAGTACCCTTAGGAGTACAGTGACCCTAAGCTTTAGCCTAAGCCTAAGCTACCATCAGGCTTAAAAGGCCTAAGCATTAGGAGCCTTGGGAGCCTCTGACTTGAGAAGCTCCTTAGCCGTGAGCCCCTAAGCCTAACTAAGGCTCTGCCTAATGTTACAAACGGTATTGTTGGCCTCCTGCTCATCTCACCCACTGGCAACTCTGAGCAGTATTGACTCTTATATCCTCTACCTCATCCTAGAACACTGGGCGAGCATAGCATAGGCCGAAGATGGCATGAGATAACGAATCGACAGCCTCAGCCTCATACCCGCCAGACTGGGCTTCGTTCATCTATTCACTTCGAAGACTGCAACACCGCTTTGACAGTCTCATCAAGACTCCCTTCGACCGGCAAGCCCAAGTCTGCATTGGCCAGCCTTTCCTCGGCCGCATAATTACACCTGATCCCTTCTACAGCGCCATACCCTGATGCCTGGACAAGGAGGAACATGCCCGTAAAGTTCCCCTCGGACACCAACTGTCTACCTTTGGCGGTTTGCTCCTCCGACTTGACCTTGTCCACGGTCCAGCTGTGTGCGGTATGCTCTTCCAATGACTTCAGGATGGCCGACTGGCTCGTGGTGACAGTGGAGGTGTAAAGGTATTTGTTCGCAGTCTCGGACGGGTGCTGAAAAATCGAGACAACTGCCTTGCCAATGTCTGCTCGGTTCGTCGCGGAGAATAACACATTCCCTCCGTCCCAGAGGACTGCCTTCTTGTTGGCAATGTCAAAGCCCAGGAACCCAGATTGAAGTCCCTGATCTTTGTTAATAGACGTGCGTGGCGTGCACACGGTGCATCCTGATTCTACTCACCCAGTCGAGCAGAAGACCTGTCGCTAGACCCGTCCAGCTGAGCCCAGAGCCTTCTTGGTCCTTCAAGTAGTCGAGGATTTGCTTCTTGGCCTCGAAGACCGGTACCAATTGCCGGACAGTGTCGCTGAGGGTGTTGGAGGAGAACTCCGAAGGGATAAACCTCTTGACGCCGGCCTTGATGGACGCATCGATCAGGGTTTTCTGCGATTGAAAGCCCGCAGCTCCGACTGCAGATATGACTGCATCTTGTCCCTGCAACGCCTTGACCAGGTCCGCTTCCGAATATGCGGTTTTAATCACGGCCACATCTGGTGGGAACGCTGCCGAGCTAGATGCCCTGGTGAGCACCGTCACCTCCAATGCGTTGGACTCCAGTAAGGCAGGAAGGATGATAGCACCCAGGTTTCCGCTGGCCTGTTGACATTGTCAGTGTCTCTGTCTCACCAAGCAGCGCAGTCAAGTCCACACCACTTACCCCAACCAGGACCACTTTCTTGAGCGCTGTGGTGGTAGCCATCTCGGATGTTACAGTGTTACAGAAGCGTCTGTAGGCCTGCCTGCCACTAGGAAATCCGCGGAGCTGTTCGATCCCATATATGGCTTTCCTTCAACCCATGGTGGGAGCCGCTGCTGACAAAAGCAAGGTCCGTCGACTTCTTTTTTCGGATTCAATGCAATCCATGAATACTGGATTGGAAATCACAAGAGTGCCCAACGGACCGACTAAAACGGGGCCCCGTCCTGAGTACAGTGTTTGCGACAACGACGTCCTGTGAAATTAGGTCACAGCCTTGGTCAGCCAGTCAACCTCGCGCGGACACAGCGGAGCCGGCCTCCGCACCTCCTCCTATTCCCTGTTCTCCCAGCATATTACTGTATTGTTTTCCGCCGTGCCGTGCGCGGCGTCCACGTCTCGGCAAGAGCGCTATCTGTCTCCGTCTCCTCCGTCCTAGCCTCGGCTTGCGCTACCTCCTGGTATGGCAGGCAGCGTGAGATGAAAAGAGGCACCGCATTTTAGGGCCGTAAACAGAGAGTCTAACGAGACTGGCACTGTAACTCCTGCCTCGTCCACGATCAATTATCTCGGGTGGGAGGCTCGGCTTCCGTGCAATTTGTATCTCAGAAATACCACAGCTCTGTTGTCTCAATGGAATCAAACCAGGCGCATGACGGAGTACGGAGTACAGATAAAGGAGAAGCCTGCAGTGGTGGTACACATCTGTCATCTATCCCGCTGTTTTACACTGGGGTCATCAACGTGTGCCCGCTGCTTTAAGGAATACGTTGTGTTCTGTGTTGGTTCCCGCCGTTTGCATTCGTGGGAAATCTTTCTTGCGCGCCATCTCCATGCTACTAACCACATGCATATAGTATTTGACCCAAAAGCAGAGTCTTGTGACCAAGGGAGGGGGATGATGGTGGTCGCGGCTTTCAAATGTGCTCCTCCTTGGGATATTGCAACCTTAAGTAGGTACCCATGACGTCTTGATTCTGGTTGACAAGTGACAATATCGATCAGTCTGGACGCCACGAGTGAGCGGCATCATATACCATGACGACCATTGTTTCAATCCAATCACCATCATCATTACCAGGTTTTCTTTTCGTTTCGTCAGCGCAGGATCCACCGTCCAAAAGCCTCAGAGGCGCTCGTCCTCTTTGACACGCCAAGTGGCTTGCTTTCAAGATCGCCAGAGGCGGTACTAGCGTAGGCAGGGTACGGAGTATTAAGAGGCGAACAAAGGCACATTCTGGCTGTGGTTGACCTGCGCTCCATGTCTACCCAGACGTTGCATTATCGATTCCATTGCATCCTACGCCCGCAAGCCCGACAGCTCGGAAAGAGCAGCGGCTTCTTCGGCCGACCGTCGCACCCATTTTCAGCGAGAAAGCCAAACAGGGGACCGATCCCTACTCGTACCATTCGAGCGTTCTCATCCACCAAGATGGCATTCACTACCCCTTCGCTCGATCCGCCGAAGCACGAAATGGCGTATTTCCCGCAGATGACCACTTCGCTGCCCAGTGAATCGGGCGACTTCCGCCGTGTGCTGTGGACGGGGCTATACAGCCAGCTGGTGCTCATGACTGTGCCTGTTGGAGGGGATATTGGCGACGAGGTATGTGGGCTTGGGCCTGCAACCGCAAGGCGAATGCCCTTCTCCAGTCATACCGCTGACCGATTCTCTTTCCCTTTTGTAGAAACATACCGTCGACCAGATCCTGACCTTCACGTCCGGCAAAGGCAAAGCGACCGTGGCGGGGGTCGACCAGGACGTCAAGGCAGGCGATCTCATCATCGTGCCCGCTGGCACGCAGCACCAGTTCATCAATACCGGCCCCACGCCGCTCATCTTGTACACCGTGTATTCCCCCGCAGAACATAAGCCCACAACTGTGCACAAGGACAAAGCGCAGGGTGATCGCGAAGAGGAGGAAGGCATCGACGTCGCGCCGGAATGGAGCCGACGAAGTAAGCAGGAGAACGAGAAGTTGGGCCTTGTCGAAGCCGAGGACGATTGAGAAGGGTTTCGCTTTCGCTGTTTGGAGGGATGGACCTGGTTCAAACCCCTAATTAGTCCCGAAGTCATTTTGAGGATGGTCGGCATGTATCCGTACTGTATAGAAAATCCTTGCAGACATGGAAGTGATGGTAAAATAAGGTGTCTTTCTCTTCCTTTTGTTGTGGTTCTGGTTCTTCTCGCGGCGATTCCCAACTCTGCTCATCTCGTCTTTCGGCCCACAACCTTGGTGAAGCCCTCGTCGTCCACCTCGGGCTGAATCTTCTGTCTCGGCCTGCGCGTGTCGACCAGCGGCGGTGCTTCGTCCATGTCGACGTCTGCATGGTCCGGAAATCCGTTCCATTCTTCCTCGTCCCCATCCTCGTCCTCGCCGTCCCAGTCGGTGTCTTCTGCATCTTTGTCCTCGCCTCGGACGAAGGCGACGGCGTCGTGGCCGCTTCCTTTCTTCTGTTTCTCCTGCCACTTGGCGTACAGGTCGTGCAGCTCGGCCAGGTCGCCGGTCTTGAGTTTTTCCACGCCGCTCCAGATGCCGCGCGCCGTGTCTTCGGCACTCCCGTCGTCGACAATGACCTCGAACTCGTCCACCATCACCTGCAGCAACACTTCTTCCAGATCGCCCACGTCGGCGAGCTGCGGAGGAGTCGACGTCAGCAGGTCCGACACCGCGCCCGCCATCCACGCCCGCTTGTCGGTCGAGATCTCCGCGGAGCCGCCCCAGGCGTTTTGGATCGCGAGCGTCAGGGCCGGCCAAGACCACAGGCGCAGCGACACGAGGAGGTCGATTTGCGACGATAGTGAGGTCGGAGGAGACTGCGCACTGGTTCCATTGACCTGGGCCATGGCTAGGTCTCTGGTACTCGGAGCGAGTGTGTGTTGGCTGGAGGCAGGTACTAGATACAAATACAATTTCGTGCTGTGTACAGATTCTGTTGTATGTTCACTCCGTACATGTAATAATAAAAGTGTAGGCTTAGGCTACCTAGGTTGAAATTTCCCAGGCTGCGTCGGGCCACCGTCCGCCGACCAGAGAAGCACGACTACTCCGGAGTATGCGTACTATAATGTAGTAATACTACGGAGTATTGCCGATCAAACACTCACCAGGCCCCGGCCGGCCATCTTCCCCTTATGCATCTCAGTCCTGCCAGAGTGTTCCGGTCGATCATGTAAGGAAGGGGTAACTAACGGTAAGGGTTAGGGTTAGGGTTACATAAGGGTATGATGCTCGTGGCGGGGGCCTAAGGCATGGCAATGCGATGTTGCTCTTATATGAGTAACTTCCTGCTCCGTCTCTATGGCAGCCAGTCTCAGACGTCTGTTCTGTGGCCTGCGCGTTCACTTTCACTCAACAGCCCAATCTTCTCTCCTCGATAGATTCCTGTCCAGGTCTGAGGCCCGAGGCCCGAGGAGTGAGAGGGTTTCTTGTTGTTGTTGTTGTTGTTGCAGGCTCTGAAGATCCAAGTGAGAGAGTTCTTCTTGTTGTTACAGGCTCTGAAGATCCAAGTGCAGAGTACTCTGGATTTGTATTCTGCCATCATAAAATACCTACTAAGGTACCCTTTGGACAGGACGGCGGGCGTAGAAGACGCCGATCCAGGGCTTTCCTTTTCCACATCCCAAATCAACGATAACTGGCAACGAGCAACAATGGGAGACGCCGACGCCATCCCGGCGGCTCCAAAGGCCTCAGCCTCAGCCTCAGCGTCTCCAGACGACCGGGCATCGCTGACAACTCGAAACATACCGACCATGGGCCTTTCTAGCGCCGAGAATCCTCTCACGGCGCCACTGCCGCCCGTGTCGTCGACCTCGCCGGCCGAACGGGCGGCTGCACGATTCCGCGTTGAGGGATGTGCCGTCCTCACCGGCGGTGCCGGGACACTGGCGCTGGCGTCAGCTCGGGCCCTGCTTGAACACGGGGTTGAAGCCCTGACGCTCATGGACCTGCACTCGACCATCGAAGGGTCGACGGCCGAGATTGCGAGACTGCGCACCGAGTTTCCCCCCGCCACCGTCCACACCGTGCCTGTCGATGTCACTTCGGAAAGTGAGGTCGATGAAGCCTTCAAGGCGGCCCGAGATCTGATGGGTCGGATCGATCTGCTCTGCTGTTTCGCCGGCATTGTGGGCTGTGTGCACTCCCTTGCTGCGCAGGCCGACCAGTTCCGCAGAGTCGTCGATGTCAACTTGGTCGGTTCCTTCCTGTGCGCTCAAGCCGCCGCCAAGTATATGGTCGACGCGAAGACGGGCGGGTCGATCCTCTTCACAGCCTCCATCTCGGCTCACGCCACAAACTATCCTCAACCTCAGGCGGCATACAACGTCAGCAAGGCCGGCGTCGCCCACCTGACTCGCAATCTGGCCGCCGAATGGGCCGTCCATGGCATCCGAGTGAACTGTATCTCGCCAGGCTACATGGACACGGTGCTCAATGCCGGCGACAATCTAAAGCCGGTCCGGGACATCTGGGCGAGCCGGTGTCCGATGGGCCGAATGGGACACATCGAGGAGATCACAGGGCCAGTGGTGCTCTTGAGCAGTAAGAGGGGAGGGAGATACATTACAGGAGCGGATTTGCTGGTTGATGGCGGCGCACTCTGCTTCTGAGGACGGGTACAAAATTGGCGGACCGTGGGATACGATGAGATTGTAGACTGTTGGCCTCCGGGGCCTCGACAAGGGACGAAATCTACCTCGGTGGGCCACCCACCTCCAAATTGACAAGAGACGTCTTAACATTCTTTTGGGTATCAGCGTCTGTGGCTTCTATGTTCCCAGGTGCCATGCTGGTTCTCAGTAACCCCACGAGTGTATTCTTCAAAGTCTGAACTGAACAACCCCCCCCGCGCCTTCGCTGCCGACAATGACAAATAAGCTCTTCAACACGCTCAAAAAAAGGCCACTGATAGCTGGCCACTCCATACTCCGTACAATATATGCCGAGTAGTTTCAACCCAGGCGACAAGCCCGGAGTCGTCGCGCAGACCACTTAGCCTTGCCGATTCAAGGCACAAGGGTCTCAGACATGGGACGGCGCCAACACGTAGCAACAAACAGGCATTGGCTCGTCTTTGCGAGTCCATACCAGAACCGGTGTTGGCACCTTCTCCCTCGCTGTGCATGAAGGATGGACGAGGCAACATGGTAAGATCAAGATTCTGCAGCTTCATCTTCACGTTTGACCTTTTCCTGATCCTCCACTGCAATGGCATGACGATCGCCCTGGGCTGGCAGAGATGGCTGGCCCGAACCAGAACTCGATGCTTCACTCTTTTGTAGCATTTTAACATGCCCCTCGATTCCGTGACGGTTCTCCTGTGGCACTTCGGGATCGATGGCGTTCTGATCCGGCCTGTTAGGCGTCCAAGCAAGATAGTCACGCCGAACCTCCACATAATCGTAGGCGAATTCCCCAAGCTGATCATCGTCCATACCGAGCAATTCGGCTTCGTCAGAAGCGCGAAGATGGAGACCCGGGATAAAGTTGACGAGATAAGCCAGGAGGGCGCTCATGACGAAAGAATACCCCGTGCATGCCACGATATACGCCAGCTGGATATAAAATTGTCGATAGTTGCCGATAGGCCATCCTCCAATCCCGGTACCAGTCTCGGGGTTGGAGCCTCCGGTGTTGACACCGTCAAGGCCGACTACGTAGTCGACGCCCAGAAGAGCATTGAAAATGAGGCCAATCATGCCGGCAACACCGTGCTCGGCGAACACGTCCATGGAGTCGTCGATTCGGACCCAGTACTTGACTAGATATGAAGTTAGTGCATGACACCGCAACTCCAGTGGCGGCAATCTCACTCTTGGTTGCAAAATTGCAGACAAAGCCCGTCGTAACCCCCAAGGCGACACTGCCCCAAGTGTCAAGATAGCCGGAAGCAGGGGTGGCTGCCACAAGCCCAGAAATGGTACCTGAACACCAGCCGACCATGGACAGTTTTCTAGCCAGTCGATAATCGAGAAGCACCCAGGTCACAGCCGCCATGCTAGCAGTCAAATTCGAGTTCCAACAGGCCATGACAGCTCGCAGGTTGGCACCAAAGGATGAACCGCCGTTGAAGCCCAGCCATCCAAACCAGAGCAGCACTGTTCCAAGGAGGATGAAGGAGACATTATGCGGCCGGAAGTTGAGCATCATCTTCTCTTGTCGTTTCCCCAGGACCATCGAGTAGGCCAACGCTGACATCCCGGAACCGATCTCGACCGGCCCGCCGCCTGCGTAATCCATCACCCCGTAGGTGAATCCCCACCCATTGACATTCCACGCCCAGCACGCAATAGGGTTGTAGACGAGCGTGGCCCACAGAAAGATCCAGACGAGGAAAGGTACGAGTCGACCACGCTCTGCAACAGCTCCTGCAACGATGGCGGCCGTAACAGCACAGAATTGCATCTGAGTGGTCGCATGTCAGGGAGATCATCCCAACAGTCAGAGGGTGACGTACCTGGTAGAAAGAGTATAGGAGACTCGAAACAAGAGGAGATCCGGGACTGGGGTTTCCCAAAACTTGTTTCAGGCCAAAATGGACGAGGTCACCAATGAACCCATTCTTCGCCGTGGAGGAGAAGGTGAGCGAATACCCCCAGAAATACCACTGGAAATTTATCACGGTGCCAGCAGCCATGCAAGCCCACATCATCGACAGGGCTGATTTTCTCCGTGCCAGTCCAGAATAGAGAAATCCAAGGCCCGGGACCATGATCAGGACGAGGCATGATGAGAGAAGAATATACGCGGTATCCCCAGACTGATACCATTTGTTCAGGTTTTCATGTCCTGGGCTACTGTCAAACTAAAAGTCAATCTGATCAGAGGCATGTTACTCACTTGAATCACCTCCAGTCTTCGCATTCGTGGCCAGAGTATAATCGGCTGGAGCGCCGGTCCAATTGTACGAGGCATATTCAGGAAGGTAGTTGGCAGTCCCTGACATGTTGGTAGATCGCGGTTAATTGTCCAACAGACGGAATCTGCACCTAGAGGCCGTCTATAGGCTGTTCGGCCGATTCCCAACCTGCTGGTTCTAAGGTAGGTAACCGCTCTTGCACAGATCAGAGGTAATTGACTTTGGATTGATTTGCTGAGGATAGCGGACACCCCGGGGGCAGAAGATGGAGCGTGGAGATAGTTGCAAAGTACAGCAGAACGGCGTCAAGAAAGATGAGGCATATATATGTTATGTGGAGGACTGCCTGATGATTCTTTTAGGCGGGCAATGGCAGGTGAGCTGTATTATGAAACAGCCAAAAGCAAAGTGAATAGGAACCTGAGGTACAGCATCTGCTCGAGGTTCATCTGAAGATTTCTCCTGCTAGGCGAAATCGGAAGGGCGTCATGGCCCAGCAGGGATGAGGTAGAAATTCGAATTGCCCTCGAACAAAGGTGGCGTGGATCAGTGGTGGAACCAACGTCACTCAGTTCAATGGTCGAAGCTGGTGCCTTTTGTGGGGTTTGCACGGCGATGCGTTGGGCCGGACCATCAGCGACGCCTTAAACAAGAATGAGAGGCCACCAAGGCCATGGTTTTTGTCGGCTGAGGTGATGCGCGTATAGAAGCCCCGGTCAGCATTATTGAGCGGATCGAAAATCCATCGCTCCCTCTTGTTTCACCTGATCCCCCGGTCTCCTCACCCACAGCGCCGAGCATCTCCAGCGCCTTGGCCTGGTGGTGAGACTTCCATCAAACGCCAACAGAAGAAAGAATTCTGGGGAAATGTGACTCCACCTGATCAACAGAGGGACAGCAGCGTGAAGCCTAAAGTCTCTTGGTCTTGATGCCGGGCATCTGCCAGGCCCTGAGCATGTCACTCCTGTGTAGTGGTTGGCACACTCGCCCTACGACAGCTTCAGAGTGTAGGTCGAAAATCCTTCCGACTTTCGTTCCGACAGTCGGGCAGGATCGTAGAAATAGGTTTGTCTCTCGTAATGCCAAGGGTTGCTGCTGAGGACGCTGGGATTGCTTCTGTGTGTCTGCCCGGGTGCGTATCTCAGCAGTCTGTGCTGTTACTCATTTTGTCGACGAGCACAGAAGAAATCTGGGTGAGTCAGTCCAATCAGAAGGCAGAGCCTTATCTCTGGACCCTGCAATAAGGTTGTCAGGGGGTCCAGCCCGGTCTGCAAGGGCAGAGCTGCTACCGGGTCTGAGATCGCGCCGGCGAGACGCCAGTTGCGAGGGGCCCTTGCTAGTGGCGAGGGCCCCTGCTAGCCTTATGCGAGTTTAAAGCCTCGTCCACCAAGTCAATGGCTTCCTTCTCTTCCCTCCCGGCCCGAAGCTGGTCGACTTTGCACTCCGTACACCGCACAGGAGTGTCCTTTGACTCGAATTGTGGCACGCCTGGAAGCCAACATTGAAGGCGCTGTCATCTGCACCGCTGATTCGATAGACTAGTGTGGCTTTCTGGGGAGAAGCAAATCGAGATCTGAGTTTCCCCGTGTGTATCCCCATCTGTTCCGTCCATCAAAATGTGCATCCCGACATATGTCATGTTTCTGGAAGTGCCGTGGCCAGTTAGTCCAAGTCCAGTACGAGCTTGCCGTGCTGAAACAGTTCGACACGGCTTGCTTGATCCCACTCTCGCTTAGATTTCACAAGCTCCAACTCAAGACAGTGGTCTGAGCAAAAGGAACGTTGAGATCACCCTGTGTGCGTAGGGGTCAAGTGACTATCTTTCCGCATTCTTGTTTTACTGCAGGGGGATTCCTTTTTTCTTCGCGCAACTTCATGTCAACAAACCCAACCCCCGGTAGCTGGCTCCCGCAGGTGGATAAAGAATGCGCGAGTCTGTGATGTCAAGAGTGCGAAGATCGCGCGACTCCCTCGTTCTCCCAGGTCCGCTGAACTAACAGTGAGGGGAATTATTGACGATATCATGGCGATTGGCTCTGTTATGTCACTTGATCAACAAAGTCGAGCCCATCGGAGCCCGATAGAGCGGCCTGCTTCTTGTGGCCTGCCTCGCCAGTCGGTCGATTCTTCCTCAGCGGCGATACTCCCACGGATTGGCTTACCTTGGCCTCATATCTTACCGTACACATGTGCGCATTGCAAGTTAGACAGGCGCCGGTAGAGCTTGATATGGTCTAAGTCTATAACACCTTCAGCCTCATGCAGTTAACAGCGATCACTGTGCTCGAGCTCCAGTCCAGCACGGTGGCCTTTCTTCTCCAATGCATCACTGCGCCTTGTGGCTCAGGCCCGTGTATCTCGTGTGACCCTCATCCATCCCAAGGCTCTGCCGTTGGTGTCAACCATCGCCAGGCAGACATCCTTGGTGGTACAGTGGCTGGAAATATGGATTGTCTGTCAGGGGTATGTCTGGTTCTCAAGAAGGGCTTGGTAGTTGTAGGGCTGTGGGTGTTTCTTCTGGTCTCTCTCCTTGCTTGTTCTGGAGGCTGAGCGATTTTCTTCTGTCCTTGCTGTTGTAGCGGCCTGGCGGCCGACACAGTCACGACTCAGTTAAGTAGGGGCGGAAGGTCATTCAAGGCCTTGTTTAGTGTCCCTATTGTTTCCCGGAGAACATCGAAGAGCAGTTTGTGAGGGTGGAGGGATTGACAACAATAGAGGTAGCTAGGCGCAGTCAAAGGTGGAGGGATTGACAACAATAGAGGTAGCTAGGCGCAGTCAAAGGAGGAGGGAAGAGGAGCCACAGGAAAGGGAAATCGCAGTTCCCACATTCGGGTATCAGCACCTCCACTGGCAAGTCTATCATCAAGGGCCAAACCTGTACAATGTACACGCCACAACTTGGATGTTGAGTGGGAGCATAGCAATTGAATCGGCTGTCGCTCTTGCTAGAGATCCTCTACAACTAACATCCCCACAAACCCGTCCTGACTAGCTCATCAGCACCGTCACCACGACCGGCAGCCCAAGTCATGTCGTCAACGTCGTGTGTATCTATCCCAGCTTGTCTTTCTGTTCTGGCCATGTGTACCAGTCTGAAAATGTCTACTTTTCCTCGGGCAACGATCCGTACATCGTCTCGACAATGATGCCAGTGATTTCTAGATAACCGGGTTAGCGCATCCATCCTTTGCTCTGGATAAGATGGAGCAACAACTTACGGTATGGGTCGGCGTTGGAAGCAGGTCGGCGGTCCTCGAAATAGCCCTTTCCTTCTCTTGCGCAGGCTCGGGGAATTCGCACAGATGAGCCACGGTTGGCAACACCCCAGGTGAACTTATCAATGCTTGAAGTTTCGTGCGCACCAGTCATGCGGAGCTCGTTGCCTTCACCGTATACCTTGATATGTTCGATGTGACGCTTCTCCAGCTTCTTCATTGCCGCCTCGATATGCTTGATGCCGCCCTCCTCGCGCATCTCCTTGGATGACACATTGGTGTGGAGGCCGGCGCCGTTCCAGTCACCCGGGATCGGTTTGGGGTTGAAGGTGACGACAGCGCCGAATTCTTCGGCGACACGGTGCAGGAGCCATCTGGACACCCAGAGTTGATCGCCCACTGTGACTTCCGTCAGCGCGATCTTGGAAATGGAAGGGCTGCGCGGCTTGACTTACATGCGATGCCCTCAACAGGGCCAACTTGATATTCCCACTGAGCAGGCATGACCTCGGCGTTGGTGCCGGAAATGTCAATACCAGCGTACATGCAAGCCTTGTGGTGGGCCTCAACAATGTCACGGCAGAAGACACGGTTGGTACCGACACCGCAGTAATAAGGTCCTTGTGGGCCAGGATAACCACCCTTTGGCCAACCATACGGCCAGCCATCCGGCCCCAAAAGCGTGTACTCCTGTTCTAGTCCGAACCAGATTTCATGGCTTGCATTGGCTTCCATCAATCTGGCAGCTTCATGTCGGTAGTTGAACTTGTTCGGGGTGCCATCGGGATCCCAGGTCTCGCACATGACGAGAACGTTGTCGCCCAGCCGAATGGGGTCGGGGAACATTGCCACCGGTCGGATGTAGACATCGGAATTGTTGCCCGGCGCTTGGGCCGTGGATGAACCGTCAAAGTTCCATTCGGGAAGGTCATCGACGCTCTTGGGAGCCTTGTCCAGGGTCTAGAAATTGCCAAGTCAGTAAGAATATGTTCTGCAAGTCAGATCAATTTAGATGTGTCAGTTCGCCGCTGGGCCGCGTCGAGTGGCCATTAATAGTGCGGGTGCAGGTGACATTGACGTCGCCTCCAAGTGCCGAGACTGGTAGATCGGGGATTGGCGAACAAAAAGTGGGCTTCCCAAGCAGATAGAAGAACGAGCCACGGCGTTCTAGCGTGGCGCCGCAAGGACCAGGGTCCCAACGTGGGGACCCTGCACCAAGCAGAAGCCTGTTGTTCTGTGGCCGATGGGCCGAATCGTTGAGACGGAGGCTGAGCCCAGGCGCAGATGCAGGCCGTGTCTTTGTGGTGGTGCAGGTGTCGAATTTGAATGACTGGGCTACGAGAACTGGTTTGGTGCTCACCTTGGTCTTGTTGCGCAGAGAGTTGGTGCCATCAATCCAGATGTACTCGGCCAGAACCTTGCCCTTTTGGTCCAATTTCATGTACTTGGCCAACTGAGAAAGACGTCAGAAAATCGTGCAAGAGGGGAGTGGGAGAGGCGCAATGTGAAGGAATGCCGGATAGACTCACGTTAGAGGCATTGGAAACGTAGACAGATTCACCGACGCCAGCCTGCGATAATTGTCAAGTCAGGTCGTCAACTGCGCAGAGGCTGCAGAAGCAGACTCACCATGATGGGCAGCAGGAAATGAGGCTATCGAGAAGAAGGGTCGAGAGTCGATGGAAGGCACGACCAGCAGGAATCGTGTATCGAAAGCACTGGCGTCTGGGGGAGAAGAGCAGGAGGAATGTGGAAGACGGGAAGATGATAACGGAGAGGAAAGAAGCAAAGAATAAATAAACGGGATCTGAAAGCAGCAGTGCAGTCAGTACGGAGCAGGAGAGGCCAACAGAGCTCCGACAAGGTAGGGATGGCAGTTGGGGCTAGTAGGTGCGCCCACTACGCTTACCTACTATTAGGCTCCTTAGGCCCCTCCAGCCTACAACTTAGGTGGCTTCTGAATCTTGGGGTGCCCTTATGCCCTCGTGCCCAGACCCTGCTAGGCTTCCTTCTGCGACAAATAGCAAATAGATGCCTTACATGGCACACGTCTCAGCAGATGCACCCTGGCTTCGCCACCGCCAACAACCCACAGAGGATGATCCGGACAGCTATGTGACTACTCGTATTTCCATTCATCATCTCGTGAATTATCGGCCCCTCTCCTGAGGCGGGGGGAAGCCCAGAACATCCATTCGGTCCCCAGCAGTTGGCTCTGGGTAAAAGCCCGACCGGATATCTAAGCGGCAATAATGGGCATTCGAGTGGTCAACATATGCACCTACAGGGTCTCTCTTTAGCCCATGGCGCCCTTAGCCCCCACCATTCATCCACTCAGGAGCGGCTGATTGCGGCGACTGCGCGATAAGAAAGCCGACCGGGTTTTCCTTCGCAAGATGGAATGAGGGGATCCTCCCAAGCCCTTGACGAGAGCCGTGGTGGTCGACGGTGGTCGACGGTTGGTGTGACGGCGGACAGCAGAAGAAAGAAAGAGCGCAATAAAGAAAGCATCGGTGAGGGCAGCTGCGAGTCCGAGGGCGGTTCAACAAAGACTGTATGTGCTATTTACTGTACGACCGAGGACCCAGACAACGAGCAACTACCCGACTCGAGGGAGCTCTAAGCCCTAGTAGGTACCAGGTAGGTATGCTCTGCTACAGGTGTCTCGGTGTTATTGTTTCCCGGTCGCACAGTCGCACAGTCCGCCTTACCCCGTCACCCGGATAAGCAAGCCACGCAGCCATGTGCGCCGTATCCATCCACAAATTAGAGCTTTTGAGCCTTTTGGCTTAATTGGTGCAGACTATTTGACTGGCCCTTTGCTATTCACCATTCTTGCTTCTGCCAAAAGTCGAGTGTCACCCGTACCGGCAGTCGGGAAACGGCCTGCAACCCAGCTCAAGCTCCCGTATTAATCATTCTTTTGGGGGGGGGAGGAGGGGGGGGTTCCGAGTCCATTGAAGGCCAATCATAATGCGACGATAAGCAAAGCTCAACGAGCAAGTCTGCAAGGCGTCGGCCGCGCACCCCAGCAGCCACCCATGCTGTTGTTGGTTTCTTTTAGGTATTGACGTTTCCTTTTGCTAACAAAAGGCAGCCATTGGCTGTGTTCTGACTGACAGTCAGCTGAGGGCAAGGGTTCTTCTGGAGAACGAAATTGAAACCAACCCCGCGTCCGTAGACAATCTACAGTCTTCAGGACGCTGGTAGGTGACTGGGCACCTGACGGGTGCGGACTCGGTCACGTGAAGCCGGGAAGACTTTGAATCGGGTCACATGACATAGGCCCCTCCAACGTGTTTCGGTCTTTCGGGCTTCCTATGTACCTTACCTATAGTACTCGTATACGGAGTACAGATTTACTGCTCCATATGGCATACGGAGTACGGTGTACGGTGTGCAGATAATAGGTACTCCCGTATTGTGTAGGTAGGGTGTATAGACTACTCCGTATAAACAACAAGTAATTATATCATTAGTGCCAACTACCTGACCTTAGCCATTCGGATGTACGGAGTACAGTACTTCGTTCAAGGCTGAACCCCCGGCCGAGGCTGAGCGCTCCCGAGCGGGTGATGATGTTTGAGATGTCCGGATCCTTCCGCGAGGTCATCTCCACCGTTGCTGAGTCCATGTCGTGTCTTGGTCTATGTAGCTGTGTCTCCGTGTATGTCTCCTTGGGTTCTGGGACTATGACTCTCACGTCGTGCCTTTCTCAGCAGCAAGGTCCGGGCTTCCTTTTGCCTCGACTCCGACAAGATGAGTTCCTTTTCATACTTTGTCCACAGACGAAGTGCCTGATTGCGAACCTCATCGTACTCTGGCGTGGGTCGCACATATGGACGCGGCGCCCTCGTGTTGTTTGCCGGTACTTTGAATTCTTCCACCTCGCGTTGTCCTTGGGCGATCCGAGCGCGTCGAATCCATCGGTCAGTCTTCTCCGTATCTCGCAACCGTCGCCGCAGGCTATAGTGGGCTCCCTTGAACGTATACGCCCCTAATCCAAGAATGCCAGAGATGGGTTTTAGCACTAATCCACCGAACCCTTTCGCCACGCCTATGGGAAACCCCACCATGCCTTCTTCATGCACTTCGAGATAGGGGATCCGGACCATTCCCGTCACCCCGTCGTAGAACCCCAGGAAGAACTCCGTCCCCGCAGCTTTGACTCCTGCTCGGAACCCCGTGATTCTTGCGGGCGACGGTCGCACAGTCTTGTCTCCATAAAGACGAGGCGCATTGTGGAACCCTAGAGCTAAGGCATTCCATATCTGCATGGGCAGGGACACGATCACGCGGGTGGAGTGTCCAACGCCTCGCCCAACGTCCTTCAAGATCACCCTCGCAGAAGGTTCATCTGACATGTCGGTCATGATCCGATTTAACCCCCCGCCGCCTGCAGAAGGCTCGTTGTCGGGGTCTGAGGGAGCAAAGGGCAGCCTGACTGGTTCGGCCTCTCCCTGCAAATTGAGTTCATTCTCCAGCCGAGCCCGCTCTTTCTTTTGCATGTCTGTACTGGTGCCTCGAATGGCATATGCAATTCTCCCGGGCAAGACTAGCGCGTCCTTGGTCGATTTCGTTTTATGCCTTCGTCTGTGTTTTTCATAGTGCTTGATGTCCTTTTTGGTGCTTTCGTGCATTGTGGCTAACCCGTAGAAGGCCTCTTGAAATGCCTGGACCAGTACTCCACCAGCTCCAGTGATGGGCTCTCCAGGGCCTTGGAAATCGGTCCATTCGCGGATCCTGTTCAATTCTAAGTCCGACCAGTGCAGCTCTTTATTCTCCACCAACAAGTCAGCTGCGAGAGCCGACAGTTGAATAGCATGACGCTGAACCTTCCAGACCGCGACTCTGTCAACAAACAATCGGCAGCGCACCGAATGCTCCCCGTCGAGATCCAAGGCGCGATGGAAAGAGTCCACTGCATTCTCCGCTCCATCTCCTTCTTTCTCGATGCTTTTAGCAATCTCTTCTGCTTTGGCTCTGGCCTCTGGCGCAAGACATTGACGAATGCCTTCGGCAAAACTGTCGCTACTGAGTTTCTTCCATGGAAGGGCCTGTTTGGCCCCAGCTCCAGCCTTAGCAACCATGGCACTCCAAAACGGTTGGTCACCAAAGAAAGGGACAATCATGGTGGGCTTGCCGAATCTGAGCCCAGCTGCAGTAGTGCCTGCACCGCCATGATGTACGACAGCGTCCACCTTGGGGAACAGCCAGTCATGAGGGACATTGTCAACCATGAAAACGCCATCTGGTTTCTCTATGCCATCGCCCATGCGACCCCAGCCGCGGCTGATTACTGCCCGAACGCCAGCTTTCTCGATGCCTTCGTAAATCATCTTTGTGAATGCCACCGGATCATCTATCCCGGAAATAGATCCGAAGCCAACATACACAATTGGCCGTTCATCTGTTCTCTCCAAGAATTGGGCGAGATCTTGGGGAGGTTTGTATGAGGATGCAAGGTCGAGAAACACGTAGCCCGCAATATCAATCTCTGGACCCCAGTCACGGGGTTTGGGGACCAGGCCCGGTGACCAGAGGTACGTTATCGGAACTTTGAGACGCGAAAGCTGTCCGGGAGCCCACAGTGTTGAGACCGGCTCCAATCCCAGTGTGTGAACGCGGAAGCGATTGATGAGGTCGCCCAAACCTTGCCAGGTCATGAGGTCGATCAACGGATAGCTCATGAAGTTGGTGTAACTTTGATCGACATTGGTCGCTTTGATATTGGCTAGAGGATGCGGAAAGGCTTGGGTGGGAGAGTATGGGAAGGTGAAGACCAAGTGTAGAGGGATACTCAGCCTTTCAGCGCAGTGATAGTGTGCGAACGAGGGCGGATTCGCAATGATGGCATCCGCCACAAATGGAGGTTTAGATCCCATCATCTCCAAGTTGGCACGATCCGTCTCGTCGTCTGTGGCATTTATGCAGGCCCTCCAGAACCCCTGAAACATCTGAAACATCGACTCGCGTCTTCTGCCTAGCTCCCCAGACTTCAGAGTCTCCAGAGAAGGTATCAGCCCAGGATTTTTCACCATGAAAGCCATCAGTTCGGAAGGGTCGCCGCCAACGGAGAAGAACTCGAGACCGGTCTCCTCTTCAACGAACTTCTTGAATGTAGGGTGGGTGGCGATCCTGACGCGATGGTGGTATTTATCCTTCAAGATTTTCCCAATCTTCAGGAACGGCTGTATGTCACCCCGGCTTCCAATCACCATAATGACTATGTTCATTCGGGGGATTTGCAGATGTGGTTTGGCTTCGCGAAAGTCAGCTTTCGCCTTTTCTTCCAACGATGCCGCCACCACCGCCTCCTCCTGGCCTTGGAGCGAGCTGAGGTGGCGCTCGAAGGTTGCACCGAGAGCCTTGGCCAAATATCCAGTGTTGGCCTTCTCGCTGACAGAGATATTTAGCCTGCCATCTTTGGCCAAACCACAACGTGACTGAAAGAATTCGTTCCCAACTCTAAGATGCAAACGCCTGGGATTGGTGCGGACACCATTGAGGTGGGCTTTGGACAATAAGTGGTCCGGCTGCGTCCACGACTTCCGCAACTTTGGGTGATATTCCTCATCGGAGGACCATCCTTCAGAATCGCTTCGTAGCGTAGCCCCTCTTCCATAAATAGAAGTATCTATCGTAGACTGGTGCCGTCTCGCCGGAGCAGGCAATCTCTGTACAACCGGCCGAGCAATTTCTGTATCGAACTTGCGAGCAGCCAGGGTCGGCCTATCGCCAGATCCTTTCTCTGCGGCCTTCGCGTCTAAAGTCCTTCTTTCCGTCTCATTTGCAGAGTTTGTGCCATCATACAACGTAGTATCCGATTCAACCCTTGAGCCTGCCTCTGCTGATTGTCTCTGAGGGAATGTAGTGGAGTTATGGAAAGGTTCGGTAGACGGATTCGACTGAGCATCGGTAGGTGCCGAGGCGACCGGAGCGAAGCTATTCGCCATTTGCGGGAGATCAATGCGTCCAGGGGAGCAGTGATTCCTAGATTCACGTATAGGATGCTCGAGCCATGGTATCCGAGGAACTGGGAGTGCGAGGATCTCGTGGGTGTGACCGAGAGTCGAAATGGATCCACTGACACAAAGGCGAGGCCAATGATCGAGACGTTCTCTGATGATTCAGTAGATATTCGTTGAGACCGATACCTCAGATACAAACATAAAAGAGTGACCAGGCGATCGAGCACAGCAGTAAAGAAGTGATAGGGATGGAAGATGGAAATTTCTCAAAACAGACACTGCAACATACCATCTTGCATGTGGCCGTGGTTACGGAGTACAACGACTACGTACCTAGGTACCTAGTAGGTCCTGTCTGCGGCTGGCTCCCCATGATGGCTTTTCATGGTGGCGTCATAGTGTGTGGCGTTACTGGTAGCCTCCGGGGGCACGTACTATTATGCCTAATTAGTGGTTAGCAAGGGGAGGCTTAGAGTGTTTCGCACCCATGGGTGCTTATTTCACACACACGCTAAACTATATTTTGATAAATGTTATGCAAATTAGCTCTCTTTTTTATATTATTTACTAAAGGTACTACGAAAGTATACTAGCCACAGTACCTGTAACCACGCCGATAACTACCTATACTCACGCCTATAGCTCTATCTATAATTACGCCTATTCGTTACTTACTTACCTAGGTATATATACTACTATTAGTGTATCTAGTTGCTGCATAGGCACTTACCTATAATTATAGGTATTATTATAGGTGCCGTTATAGGGGTGGTTATCGGCGTGACTATTGGTTTGGCTGTAGACTCTCGGGGGGCACTCTAATAGCAGTATTCTGTAAAGAAAATCAGATCTTATTGTAGTTTAGCGTGGGTGCGAAATACTCTGAGTGACCTTACTGGGAGGCTAAAGGGGCATGCGTTCATGCCTATTCGTACGGCACGTCAGGAACTTACGGCGCCTCCCGGAAACCGTCAGCACTACGAGTACTCCGTACTTGCTGGGACATGCTAATTAGTGGCAACCTCATGCAACTGCTACGTACTACGTACCTATATTGGTTGCAGTAGTAGGCAGCCCAGGCAGCCTCGACAGGTAAGAAGCCTCTTCCCTACGCACCACGTTTCTCCAGCTACCTACCAGATGACATACGCTCCTATATGCTCTTTTAAATTCGATAACATCTGAGAATTCTTGACAGGAAGCTCGGCAACGTGGACGTCCCGTCCCTCCTTTTCCGGGCCACGATCGCAGGAGCATGCCTAGTTGTATGTAGGTGTCACCCGTGTGTCTGTCCCTGGCGCTGATCTGACTCGCCAGACGGGGGACCGAGAGATCCGCAGACTCTCCCCTGTCTCCAGGCATCGTCGCGGGTGCAAGGATCCTCCAAGTCTAGTCAGCTCCCACCATCCGAAGCACCATCGACCCCAACCATATCCTTCCATCTGTAAAATTTGTGCTCAGATGGACTGACACATGTCAAGAAAGTGCTGGGCTCGAAGCAAAGAGAACCTACGGGAAGGCTGTGGCTTTCTCTTTGATGAACCTGATGAACCTCTACAACCACAGCCTACGCGAGGTGTGCAGGCTCTTAGGAAGATTCATAATTGTGTCAGAAACAGGTGCGGGCTTAGGCGTGTATCAGCTATGCAATTATCCTAGCCTCGCCCATCTCGTTGACTTCCCATGATTGTCATCATCCCAACCAGCAGCTGCAACCGACCGAAAGGTGCCAACACAGCAGGGTTGACAGCTACTAGTTGCGCCCTTTGCCTACTCAATATTGTTGATAATTCGAATCAAACAACTGCGTACCTAAAGATCAGAGGAAGGTGTTTGGTCGGGTCCGAAGCAGTGGTGAGGTCTCCAGGTCCAACATATGTTCAGCACCGCATCATTCTTCAGCTTGTGTTTCGAATAGCTGGCATTGACGCCTTGGTCAACATTCGCGTCGCACAGTTTCCCGATGGTGTCCACGGACAGGGCCATTGGGGCAATCATGAGGCTCTTGCCGGCACTTGCTAGAGTGCGATGGCAAACAATACACGTCCCCGTTATACCGACTTCCGGCAGGTCGTCTTGCCATAGAGGCTGCTTGTCGGATCAAGTCTCATGCCTCCATTGTCATCTCAATCTCTTCCTCACGCCCCCGGCCTCATCCTTGTCCTTGAAGTCTGCTGCCATGTGCGCCGGACCTGATGCAGTCTTTGCTCGATGCCTGCTTCGATGACAGATCGTTGGGTTGTCGGGGGGAACAGGCGGGCTTGGAGACATAGGTTATACATTTGTCGAATTACAGTGAGCCTCTCTGCCTCAGGTAGAGCAGTCCAACTGACATTGACATCGGCCCAGCTCGACCTGGGATGAGCAGCACAGTACTCGTTATGGACTCGGCGCGCAAGGTCCTTGAAGTTGTCGAAATGCCGGTCACTGAGGCCGAGCTTTTCCTGCACCTGAGTAGGCGTATCTCGCAGTCTGATGGGCGAATTGCTCATGTCGACTTATCCAGGTTCAAGTAACAACCGTGCGGCAAGAAGGTCAAGTCGGAAACAGAAGGAATACGAGAGCTTTTGTTGAAGGAAACGGCGAGGACTCACCTTCACTTTCACATCTGCCCTCATGATAAAGCTACGGATGGATTTCCGTTCCTTGTCACCGCTCAACTGTGCGCAGGTGATGGTATCCGTCAACGGTACCCCTACCGCATCGCTTGGCCGCTCTGCACATCTCGGCCAGCTCTCATATCTAGCGCTGCCTTTCCAAATGGGTTTTGTCCGCCGCCTCCAATCAAGCATGCGTGCATGGTTACAAGACTGGCTCTAAACATGCTGCTGGATGTCCCTTACATATTGTCTCGGAAGCCAGCATTCGCGTAAGGCGGCGGAAGACCGGGTCCCGGAACGAGGATGTGCGGCCCGAAGGAGGCTGTGGCTGGTTTGACCTGTCCAATTGAAGCCTGGCATGCAGCATATGCCTGACCTCGGCAGCCTATTATGTTCAAACAATGAGCCTTGCAACAGGCTCCGTCTTGACACCGGTCCCGAAACACTTTGACTGTTTCATCTTCGCACTCCCTCTCACGTCTCCCCTTAGCCTGATTCGACATTAAGTCTCGCACCCGAAGATGGTTTCGTTCGACACGCGTCGCATGTCGACTTCGCATATGCTACAAGTCCCCTCTGTGCTCACGAGGAGGTTTGTTTCTCTTCCCTCCTGTTCACTTTCTTTCCTCTCCTCGTGGTGTGGTTGACGGCCTGAGTTTCGTTCATCCGGTCGATTTTCTTGCTTCATTTCAGGCGACAGAGCCATCATTTGATATTTTTGACCGACAATTGTATTGCTACGAATCACGCAAAACGACGCAGCACGGAGCAGGCCTCTGAACAGTTGCTGCAGCCAACGAAAATGTCGAGTACAAAGACCCTCATCTTGACTGCGACCTACCCTGCCGATTTCTCACCGCCGAATTCGAGTCGTCACCACCGACTGCATCGGCGCATCATTTCCGCTCTGCATATCGGAGGCTTACTTGCTAGCTTGATTGCCACTGCACTGTTTTCCGCCGCAATCCCGAAATGGAACGCCAACTTCTTTCACAATACCGGGCCATCATCAGGTGACTGGACGGACGGGATGCCCCTGGGGCCCTTGACCTTTTCATTCCTCTATCACGCTATCGTCCTTATCCACGCTCGAATCCGGAGCGTCCGGCACTCGAGCATGCAGAGCCCGATGCCCTCACCGTCTCCTCGCTGGATCTTCGTGCACATTACGGTTCTCGTCCTGGTGCTGCTTAGCCTCCTTCCCGCCCTATTCCTTGCTGGATACGGAGCCCTGTTCCGCGTCTGGCGCCCAGCCATCCGCACGCAGTCCGGGATCCTCGTTTGCAACATGATGAATGTGTTCTCGCACGAGTGCGAGCCTGTGCTCTACTACATTGGAAACCTGCAGATCGGGGGAATTGTCTTCGGTGCCTTGGTCGGAGCCGTTCATTTCATATTGTTGCTTGATGCTCTCCGCGGCCTAAGACGCCATATGCTAGTCAAGCAACTCCAGCGTGAGAAGCTCGCCCACTATGGCGCACATGAAGGCCGCGCGAGAAGGAAGGGCTCTCGCGGAAGCAGACGCGACCTTCGCACCCGCCACGAATCAAGTCCTAGGGCCGGAGAGGTTGCAGGTCAGCACGAACACGACCATCGGCATCAGCACCAGCCTCAACGTCCACAAGACTATCCCACACAAATGGCAGTTGCAAGTCCTGACTCTCTCGGCGGAAGCGGGACCGGACCGCCTCCACAGCAACTGCAGGATCGGCCTCCCTACTTCATCCGCCCACCGGAGCAGAGCCGCGCTGGCGTCTCCCGCTGGCAGGGGTGATTGTGCGATTGATGCTTCCGGCAGATGTCGTCGTGCGAGAACGGAAATTGAGGATATGCAAGACAGAACACGCTACGACAGTTGCTGCATACACCTGTTGACCGGGTGATCATGCAGTATGTTGTCTAGGCTGCGTCGACTGCAAAATAGTCGGCTCTCTCACCGTTTATCTTCATCAGTGTCATTGGAAACTATGTAGTCTGGACTTTGGTGAAAGGAAGAAAGATATGTTGGACTTTCCAGTCTCCGTTTCCACTTGCTAAGAACACCATCACCGTTGGGTGATGTTCTGCCCGTAATCAGGCTTGCCTCTCACTGTCCTGATGTTGATGTTATCCCTGCCAGGACGGATGCCATGCCTGTGGCATTCGTAATTGAACCCTACTCCGTCAAACCTCCTAGTCCGAATGCTGTGCAAAACCCGTTCCGTCCCTTTACGTCCATTCTATGCCCATTCCCATGCAATTTCATTCAAAGCCATCATGGTGTTTTGCAGCTCTGAGGATTCTGTCGACACGCAGCAGCGCAACTTTTGTGTTTCAGTGCTACCACTCTGCGCAACCTAGTCCGTGGTTGCTCGGACATGACCAAGGGAGCAGCACCTTTCAACACCTTGTCCCCGGGCCGAGCCAACAGTAGAAAGTCTTCTCCATCTCGCGGTTCATTCTCATTCTGTTGCCCGTGTATCCACTGATTCGAGTCGATAAACATACCTAGGACAAGTGGAATGCTCCTTGTCCTTCTCGGATGGCAACAAACATACGCTCCTTCAACACTGCCTGTGAAGAGTAATCGGGGAGCTTGAGGTAGTTGACACAAGTCATGACACTTGGCAGATAGTCATCTGACGTATAAGGGGGTTCACTAGGCTTGCAAACCACGGTGAACATCGGCGTCAGGCTCTTGAATCCTCCGATGGGAAGCTTGGGACTGCCAGTGACAAATTGCAAGAAGTCTCTGCGTTGGGCAGGGTTGAGTTCCGACATTGTCTGCAGAAGGTTTTTGACGCTCTTACTATCCATGTTGTAGCCATGATCTGCCTTGACCGAGTCCATCAGTGTCTCGATGGACCAGTCTTCTTCAACGCGACCAAACAACATGACTAGCTCGTCCGGTGTGAACGCCTTTAGACTGGAATATGAGAATACTTGGGAGAATCCCGCCTGGAATGCCTCGATCTGGGATCGAACTCCACTTCCCAAACTCAAGTCGAGCACTCGGTCAATGTATTTCTGGACATTATCGATTGTAACGCCGACATTAGATCCGTTTTCGATCAGCTCGATGCCAGGATAGCCGGGAAGGGTGAAGTCCAGCATGAGATCTTCCACTCTCGCATCGTGAATTGTGATGTTATCGATTGCTTGCGCTTTCTCGATCTTGGTCAAGGACGAGTCAAGCTCGATCTTCGTCTTCGCCCGGACGAATCGTTGCAGCTGCGCAAGGGAATTTGCCAAGTCCCGATCAACAGTGCGCAGGAGGGGAATTGATGGAACCGTGGTTGATACTCCTCCTACCTTAAAGAATGTTGGACTGAAGGATATGTCGATGATTCGAGAGTCAAGCATCGATCGAGCGACAAACTTTCCGAGAATCTTGAACAGTAGCAAAAGCTTCTTGCCCGCCTCTCCAGGAATGTCGGCATCACTCATCGGCGCAGGAAATAGGCCGTTGCTGCCAAATGCAAATTGATCTTGGTGAGCAGAGTCATTCTCGCGCCACATCTTCAGCTTCTTCTTCGAAAACTCCTTCGACACAGACGAGTAGAATTCAAGAGTAGGACCCAATCCCGTGCCCACTTCTTCAAAGTACTCAACTTCTAGGACACTTGGCGAAGCGCCATACATGTCCATAACCTTCATGGCGGACTCGAGGATGCGATGGCGAGAGATACGGACTTTCTGGCGTTGTGGTCGACCTAGCAACGGTCGGTCATCTCTCCGGCGATCACGCCGGTCATCATTCTCTGACTGGTTGTTCTGCCAACGAATCATAGATCGGGAGTAGCCAAACGAGGTGGACTGCAAAAACAGGTGCCGGGTTTCAAACGGAAAAAGGAATGGGAAAGAGCGGGCAAGATCTTCACTCCACTCTGGCAAGCAATTGCTGGCAACGATCAGAGGCTCCTCAAGTTGACGATTCATCTTGGCAGTCAGCTTGGTGTTGATGAAAGACGCAAGAGACTCTTGGTATAGCTTCAGACCTGCCTGACCAATCATTTCTTGGACATCATCTAGATTTGCGTTGAGCTCGTGAAGAATCCGGAGTAAAGACAGAATTGACGATGTGACTGGATGACCGTCAAGCGAGGCTGGCAGACCATCACCGGAGCCTTGCTTTTGTGATTCACCCCAAACAGAGAGACTTGACAGATCAGGTGGGGGACCGCGGACCTTTCGAAATTTGACCGTGTGAACTCCTGACCAGATGGTCCGAGAAATTTGATCTTGGGGTTGATCGCGATTGTAGTGGACAGCTCGGTAGATAGTAGTGTTGTTGGGGATAACCTTCCCGTCGATGCTGAATTCAATATGCCAATCCTGCGGCGTGCTTGCTAGTGCGGCGGCATATGATGGACGACCAGCTGCTGTGGCAGGGGATGGCCCAGGAGACTGGTCTGAGGATGGCGGTCGAGTGTTCCCAGGGATTGGAGTACCCGGTTGCGGTGTGAACACTCTTGTTCCATCCTCTTGACGAGCTGTCACCTTCCCAGAGGATCCAATCTCCATGTTGACTGCCCCCGGTTCTGGCGCATCATCATCGGACAGGTCGTCTTCGAGATCTTCGACGAAAGCTTCAAGAGCACCATCACCTTCACCGTCGGGAGCATCGTCATCTTTTAATACTCTCTCGTCTGCACATTCAAGTTTGTTGCCTACGTCCTCGGAACTTGGTTCAGGGGCTAACGCAGGTGGCAAGCTTGATGAGGATGCTTGGTTTCGTCGAGCTGACCGCTTACGGTCAGCCTTTTCGACAGATTTCTTCTCTACAGCAGTCTGCTTCTCCTCAGATCGTTGTTTTGTTTGGGACGAGAGTCGCATCGCAGCCAGAGGATCCGCAGTCGCAAGAGGAGCTGGTGCACCAATGTCCTGCCCAAATGGGGAGAAAAGGCCTGATTCTGCAGCGCCTGAAAGGTGGGCAAGCCGTGCATTTGCTATTTGCTGCAACATATCCCGCCGTCGCTGAGCCGAAGCTGGACGTTCGGCCGCAGTAAATCGAGGGCGAAGATAATCGTCCAGGGCTTTGAAAGTAGCAATTGCATGGATGGAGACAATCATCTCTCGATATGCAAGGGGAATGTCACTCTCAGTATCAGCTGAAAGCCTCAGTCGCAGCTGACGTGAAAGCATTGAGGCGGAGCTGCTCCGACTGTTCTCGGACGCATTATTGTTGACGGTGAGAACCTCGAAATGTTCGGCACGGCTCAGCAAATCCTGGAGTTTCTGAATGAGTACGCTGAACGGTGTGACGGTGGACAGAGCTGAACTTGTTGTGAGCCTGCTCTGGTTGATTGGTTGCATGAACGCTGACACAAACTGTGCCCTGGCAGTGCTGTGTGCGGTGGAGAGGTCTTCAGACAACACTTGGACCAGGACGCGGATGATACCTGAGTCCAATAATTCTGAACTTGTTATGCTTTCAAGGGCGTCGCCATCGAAGTAACTGCCCAGACGAGTAAACAGCTGATTGCTGCTTTCCATCTGTCTTGGCTGGCTGTAGAATGCTTCGATGTCGTTGGCGAGTTTGTCAAGATCAACGCGAATCTCCGAGGCCTTCTCTTTGAGTTCCCTGCCCTTTGTTGTGTCATACTTGTCCAAAAATTTCTTTGCGCGCACTACCACCAAGTCGGAGATTCCAGCAATGGCAAGTGGAGAAGGCACTTCCTCGCCATCAGAAGAATCAGAGCTCTGTGAATCGTCTAAATCATGATCATGCCTGACTGCAACATCGTCTTCGTTGCGATCGTCGTCATTGTCTTCATCTTCGGGATCTGCACCGTCGTCGTCGTCGTCGTCTTCGTCGTCACCGTCTTCGTCGTCACCGTCTTCGTCATCCTCTTCGTCGACTCCGTCGTCGTCCCGGCCTTCGTCGTCCTCACCGTCACTCCCACGTTCGTATTTGGAAGGTGTGCTGGTGACACTATCGATTTTGGTGGCATTGTCAATACCTTCGTTGCCGCGACCGGCCCCTCCGTTGCGGTCACTGCTAGTGGCACTGGACGGTTTGTTGTTGTCCAAGGGTAAGGGTCTCTCGGCAAGCTTCATAATTTCGCCAATCACCCCTTCGCGGTGAAACTGGTACTGGTAGATATCTTCCAGTCTCTCGAAAAGTAGCTCTGATGCCTGAAGAGCAAACATGACCAGGCTCGGATGATCCTCTTGAGAGAGTATCGAGGCGAGGAAAGAAGCATATGGTACAGGGCGAAGCGCCTCTTCGATGACAGAGGTCTCGAGATTAGACAGAATTTTCAATTGAGCGATGAGAACCTTTTGTCGCACGCTCAGGTTCACTGTACTGGAGTACGCGTCGGTCAATGTTGGCAGGAGGATCATTGCAAACCGGCGCGTCTCTTGCTTGCAATCCTCAAGCAATTGGCGTCTCTTCTCAGCTTTCGAAGAGCCGGTGGCAGGGGCCTCGTCGTTTGCGAGCTTGTCGACCAAATCGTCATAAATTTCCGGGTCCATACCGTTGGCAAGCCTGGGGCGAGGAAGGAGTTCGCAAATGACGTTTAAAGTCTCGTACACTTGCTCACGAGGTCTATGGATCAGGGCCTGCATGATGACCACGCTATCGATCTTTGAAGCAGCATCAGTAGTCTCGGATGGTGGCGAGACTCCTGCAAGAATCTGGTACAAAGTGTCGACAACATTCATCTTCAACAACTCGGCGGACAACCTCGGGCTAGCTCGAGCGACGATCGCGAGCACACGCAGAAACTCCGTATGAATGTTGGCCCCGATCAGATTTGTGGTGCCGGGGAGGAGGAGCCCAAGGATTGCTCGCAGAAGTGGCACGTCGACCAATTGCTCCAGCTTTGCCGGACTGTGCTTGAAACTATTGATGACTCGAGTAACGCAGAGGCAACCTTGCTCAACTACCTTTTGATCATGGCTTGACAAGACATTCAAGAGGATTGGCATGACGTCGCGTATGACTGGAAAAGAATCGTGCGGTATGTTACGGCAACAGTTGGCGGCAGTGGTGACAGCAGTTCGCTGGGTACTGGTGGCAAAGAAGTCTAGAAACTGTAGACAGGCTGTCAAGCCACCCTCCCGAACGATCGCTCCCGGAAAGTCGACGGAAATCTTGGACAGTGTGCTCAAAGCCTGTTCGGCGACGTCGATGTACTGGATATCAAGCAACTTTTGACACAGAACCGGGACAGCGCCGCCATACACAACGTTGGCAACAGAGCCCCGCAAAGCCTCCATCAAGTTGGCAATGCATCGGCAAGCTAGCAGCATGATCTCCGGATTCTCCTCACCTGTGATTGAGTTTGGTTGCATCAGAGCCACGAGCTCCTTGACATAAGGATCTGGAGAGAATTGGCCAGAAAGGTTATCCTCGTTGGACACCAACAGCAAGTTGGACAGTTCCTCGAGGGCTAACATTTGCATCGTAGGATTGTCTGCTTGTCGAAGGTTGTTCAGGATGTCTCTCAGTCTCGATGACATGCCACTCATCATTCCGCTCAACGCTCTAAGTGTACTCGATAGACCCGAAGCGACGCCACGGCCAGGGCCGAATAAGGCTGCGGAGAAAGGATCGGGGGCGTCATCGTCGTCCATTTCGCTCTGGTCGTCTCCGTCGTTGCTGTCGCTCTGGGTGGATCGATGTGATGGTGGAAGGCTCTCTCTTGCTCCTCTAACAGGTTTTTCATTCTCTTCCTCGTCGTCCTCTTTCATCGAAACATCCTGATCCTTCTTGTTCAAACGGTTCTTCTGACGGCGTGAGGTCGGTGTCTGGGCTGGAGGAGAGACGTCTAGCAGGGATGTTAGCACGATCAAGACACCGGCCGAGGAATAGCGTGTACCTGATGGCGACTTCTTACTGTTCCGACTCGGCGGACGCTTCGAACTTGATTTTGCAGGTGGCTGTCTGGCCGAATCGTCTGTGAATTTTGAAGATGAACTGGTAATATTAGCTGTGGTCCTGATACCATCATGGTCTCTGTTCACCCACTCATTATTAGACATTGCCGGCTCGTTCCCAGCGCTTCTTCTTCGACTGGATCGAGGGACTGGAGCTGCGGGTGTTGGTTGGGATTGTGGCGGCTCAGCTAACTTTGGCCTCTTTCCCCGCCGAGTAGATGGAGGGCTCGTCTCTTCTGGCTGTTCGGGGCTAGGGGCCCGACGGCTTGAGGCCTTTCGCTTCCTTGATGAGGTGGCAGAAGGATTTGAGGCTTGGATCGGATCGGGAGAAAAATCGGATGAAACGCCAGACTCTGCACCGAGCCTCGCGGATGAACGAGTGACTCTGCGAGACATGAGCAATGGTCCTCACCAAGAGAAACGTATGCAGGAGTGTCTGTTAAAGTACGAAGAGGATTGCAAGCTCGCAAAAGAGGAGAGGAAGTGATCAAGGTATTTGGATCGAATATCAAAGGCGGGTCGAGGGGTTTGAAATCAAAGGACAACCAAGGCAGGCGGAAGGGCCGAGCACAAGGTTCGGAGTGCAGTCTGCAGAAGCCTTTACGCCGTAGATACAGTGAAGTGAGGAAGTACCTTTGTCTTCTGGAAGGGGTTGACTGGGAAGAAGGTGAATGAGCAGAGGCAAGTGTGCCTGAAGCACGTCGGTTTGTGAGTTGCAAGTTTGAAGGCGAGCGTGCGGGCAGATTTGCCATGTTAACCCGCCATCGAGGGGCGGCCGCGATGGATGGACGGGGAAAGAATTACAGATGTGTAGTCGCTATACAGTAGATGGAGGGATAGAGGTTGAAGATGAAATTGAGATAGTTCAGGGGAGACAAAGATAGACAGTCCTGCGCAGCGCAGTCGAGTCTGCTGGTTAGACGTTGTACGGCTGGAGGACGAGGATGAAGACATCGGCAACGCAGCCGCTTGACAATCTAGTCCCTCGATGGCGCAGGCAAGACTCCAAGACCCCCAACGCCTTCTGAGTGGATGACGAACGCCCACGAGCACCGTCCCTTATTTATAGGTAGCCACCGAGACACGAAACCAAGTGATTAGACGCCTCTTGCCACGTACTTGTACCTGGGACACGGGTATTAGTCTTCGACGTCTCGTTTCCTTCCTGCTACATAGAGCAGCATTGTTCTGGATTATGGAGAGCGTCAAGGGCAACCTTCTGTCAACTTGCGTATCGTTCTGATGAGACCTGAAGCCGCACCGACTTGGTGCAGTCCCAAACTTCAATTACCTACTTGGCCCTTTCCAGGCTCCCTTGATGCTAATGATGTGATGGTCTATGTTAACCTCGTCCCAGACATCCTAGAGACAAGTCATCCCGACTCCGGCAGGTGACTGACCAACTACCGCCTTTTCCATCAGAATCAATCCATGGAGAATCGGCCAGAACCAAGTCAATCTATCAAAAGCTATGACATGACCACAAGCTGCAGATCGCTGTACTCCTTCCGGCTGAATTCTCATCGCAAAGCCGCCAGATCGATGCGGCCTGCCAGGTTCCGAGGCCTACAATCAGTGAATCAAGAGGTGCATGGAACAGAAAAGGAATAAACAAGACATGGTGCAGCCATCATATACTATATCTTGACTACCTAAGTTGCTTGAGTAACTATCCACTCAAGAATGGAAACAGCAATCTGATTGATACCAAATGGCCTGCACTGTAGGAACGTTCAAGTTCGACCTAAGTGATGTACGGATACTCTGTATGTGCACGTAGTAAATGAGAGTACCTAATACATATTCCCGTACCGTTGCGGACAGTACTAAGGCAGTATGACGCCAACCTGGCGATACAAGTTGCACAAGGCAAAGGGCAACCGAAACAACAACCCGAGGTGTATTTTTTTCATCATATCTTTGCTTATTCCACGGACCTTGACAGTACTATCTGTGTAGGCGCTCCATCTCTCCAGCGACATGATCTCGTCTTGCCCTCTTCTTACTCCTCTCCTCTACCCCACTCGCTCGCCATCTTGCCCTCGATCGGGGCGCACTAGTTGATGGGCTCGCGTAGCCTAAATGGGATCAACCGAGGGCGTCGCAAAGCAAGAGTCACTATTACTTCGTGCTAATCACTGAAAAGCTTGCGCCAACTCCCATCTGCCGACGGTCGGGGATCTCTTTGTCTCCTAACAGAGTGGTCAACCGGTGGCTACGGGGGCTAACTGAAAGCCCTCCAACTTACACCTCTTCATCCTCCACACAACCAAACCGGCCATCTGCCAACTCCAGTTCACTCAACTCGGGCCATGAAGCCCTGAGATGCTGAGTCGCTCCTCGCTCCTACTTCTTCCCCCGTCCCATTCACCACTTTCAGCCAGTCCTCTGCGCAAGCTTCTGGCTTCACTGCCCTTTGTCGCAGGCAGCCATCATCTGTTGAGAGGCTCGACAGCCCCGCCACCCGTCTCATCCACCTTCTCGACTCCCGGCTCTGCTCGTGACAAATCAACAATTTCCTCGGCCATTCTCCTACCCTCCTCACGATCGCTGCACCCTTTCCAACCCGCAAAAGCGGCCTTCTCTCAGCGGAGGTCGACTGTGCTTCAAGCAATAACCGGTGACGCCGACGCCATGGACGATTACCGCTTCCCCGATTCCCGGCTCAAGAAGAAGATGGATGACCCGTCGAAGACACCGCTTCTACTTGTTGCTTGTGGATCCTTTTCTCCGATTACATTCTTACACTTGCGCATGTTTGTTATGGCCGCAGACTACGTTAAACACAACACCAATTTCGAGATAGTTGGCGGATATTTGTCGCCTGTGTCTGACGCTTACAAGAAACAAGGCTTGGCCCCTGCAGAACACCGGTAAGCCTGATACTATAGTTTAGAGTTGCAATAGCTAACAGTCTCGCTCAGAGTAGCAATGTGTCAACTCGCAATCGACAAGGCCTCTAACTGGCTCATGGTTGACAGTTGGGAAGCCGAGAAGAAGGAATATCAACCCACGGCCAAAGTCCTGGACCACTTTGACCAAGAGATAAACGTGATGAGAAAAGGGATCGATACCGGAGACGGCACCCGAAAGCCCGTCAAAATCTCCCTACTCGCTGGAGCCGACTTGATCCAAACCATGTCAACTCCTGGGGTGTGGAGCGAGAAAGATCTGGACCACATTCTTGGACGCTACGGTGTTTTTATCATTGAACGTTCCGGCACCGATATCGATGAAGCTCTGGCAAGCTTACACAATTATCGTGAAAACATCCACGTTATTCAGCAATTGATCCAGAACGACGTCAGCAGCACGAAGATCAGATTGTTCCTCCGAAGAGGCATGAGTGTGCAGTACCTCATCCCAGCTCCGGTGGTAGAGTATATCGAGCAGAACCACCTATACGGAGACGAGCATCGGTCATCCAGTACCCCTTCTATCGTCCAGGACAATGACAAGGGCAAAGATAAAGAAGTCGAACCAACAGCCTGAGCTCGCTTGGAGTTAAGCAAGCAAGTCCATGAGCTCTATTTGTTCAGCTGGGCCTTGAGGGCCCATAGTCCGAGCGGGACAGCTGGTAATAAGAGAAGAGCCTTTCCGTCACTGGAAGGAGTGCGCCGCCTCCATGGAATATGTGGAAAATGATTGTGGGAAAAACTGACGACAAGTCCATGTGTCGATTACGTGACAAATATGCGTATGGGGCGGCAAGAATCTGGCTTTTGACCAACTCATTAGATGGGTCGAGACTTTGGCGTTCCTAGCAAGCGGATTTTTACCGTGTCTGGAGTTGCGCGCGGAAGTCGGGGGATATAGTCTGGCATCTGCGAAGTGGGATATTGACACTTGGAGGCCATTAAGTGAATGCTTCAACCTGCTTTGATTCATGTCTATAGATTAGACAACGCGCATTCGAGACACGGAATTCTCTACGAGAACTGAGCTTCCCAGACCATGGAAAAAGGGCCGCCTCCCATATGCAACTGTTAGTTAGACAAGGGTTGCTTGGGCCGCGAGAGCAAGATTTAGTTTGGGTAAAGTGAAACTAAATCCGTGGCCCCAATATAACTACGGCATTCATCTTACGCACTGTGGCTGTTTCGGCCTGCAACTGTCCTGCTTTTGATGCGAGACTTGCCCAAATCAAGAGCTGATATTATATGTTGCTCATTGATACAAGATAGAAAATATACTCCTGACGGAAGGCGCAGATCTGAGAGGAAGACAGATCTGATAACATGCCGACGACCACCCCTGCCGCTGGCTGCCTTACATTGCGGGCTTCCGTGCATGAGACAAGCACGGTTGGGGGCATCAGTATATATAATCGACTTCCCTGCCCCTTACCAACCAGGAACAGTCTTCGGCTATATTTCGACTTATAGTCAGTTAGATGACTAACCAGCAACGTACGGCGCACTGCTCGCCATAGCCGAATCCGTCCCGATCCTACCGGAGCCTTGGTTTCCAGCGACTCCCGGGTGAGTCTTCGCCCATTCCTTGAGCTCGGCGTGGTCTTTCCCCGTGTACTTCTTCAGCTCCTCGTCCGAAAGCTGGACGCCCCGGCCCTGCTTGGATTGCTGGTACGAGGCATATTTCTGGCCCAGCCAGGACTTCTTGCGTGCTCCCGCGGTCTCGTTATCGGAGGAGGAATGTTTCTTCGAATTTCGGTGCTTGGACTCCTGGTTCACCGGGTTTGCAGGGTCGTTGGACGTAGCGAATTCGTCTTTGGCAAGCGACGATGTGGGGTCCTGACTTGCCGGTTCACCGTTGGCATGCGGACGTGTCTGGGCTGCCTCGACAGTGGTGGAGTCCCAGTCGCCGCCGTCGAGCGTTTGGTACGGCTTCAGTTTAAAATCGCCATCAGCGTCCGCCGCCTGGGGCCGCGACACCTCATGAGGATAGCTGGCTGTAACAGGACCGTGCTGGGCTGACAGCTCGCCGTTGGCAGCCGTATTGGTCTCGCTCCCATGTGGTCCTGCTGGCCCATCATCCTCCGCGCGCCCGAGTTGCGGAGATGGCTGATCTGGCTCTGTGGTTGAATGCCTCGAACGGCTCGGCTTTGGCTTGACAGTCTCGTCCGGTGCATACTCTGTCATACGCCTGCCTCGCGAATCCTGGTCATAATCGACGGTGGAGAAGTTTGTGTTTACCCTTCGTGCAGGCTCGCCTATCTCTGTAGTTGGGGGATTGTTCACGGCGGGCACATCCTCGCCCTTCAAGCTGGAGAATCCACAGCCCATGGCTTGGTGACGACAATGCTTGGTTGAATTAGATGAATGCTGCTGCCTCGATCATAGAGGCGTGTCTCGAAAAAGTCAAATAAGCGACACCGGCCTTGCTCATCGGTATCTCCGGATAATTACTGTATATAAAGGCTAAGGGCCAAGGCCAATGTGCTGCAGAGTTGCTTTGGCCGATTTTGGCCAACTCCAGTGAGAATGTCTTCTTTTGCTGCGACGGGTCGACAACCGGAGGAACGGAGGTTGGGGTGGGAAAGAAGCGAGTGGTAAAGGATGTATGTAAAGGATGAAGTCGGCTCTCTGTCTTCGACGCTTCCTGGCGAGCCTCGACATTCCCGTCTAGGTGCCGTCCAAGAATAGACCCCATCAGGTGGTACAATATGGGGCATGCCAGTGTAACGTGCCGAATAGCGCGCTGTGGCAGAGCTCTGGGGCCGAACGACAAGTGGTCGCCACTTAGGCGGTACGTTGCCTCGTAAGCCTCCCAAGACCCCCTGTTGGTGTGGAGTTGAAAGCTTGAAGTTGGCACCCCGAGGCAGATTCTGGGGTTCAAGGTTCAAGGGCCAATTGCCGATAGAGGACCCTGAACAGTGAACACACTGTACGGCGTACTCGTACACTGTACGTTGCTCGCAGCGCCCCCTACGATTCAAATCTTTATGTAAGACCAGTCTCCTGCGACTGACTAGGTAGTTAGATGGTCAACGGATGCGACGCCGGTGCAACCTGGATGGTGATTTGAGGTTCTGGATATCTTTGATGTACCAGTCGGCGACTTTGGTGTCAAAGGCAAGTACATCTACATCCGAGCCGGCGTAACCGACAAGTACTCCCTCACCCAGAGATTTCACCCTTCCATTGACGAGCTTGGCTCTTTCCATGGCTGGCATGGCAATGTCTACTGTTCCCAGCGTATCGCTGGCACTGAGATCCAAGTGTTGACAGCGGCGGGTATCGCGCTGGACAGGCCGTTTACGGAGCAGAAGTGGAAGGAAGTCACTAGAATACAACAACTCAACGTGAGCGAGAGACGCAGGTTGTCGGCCCCAGATAGCCATACTGATATTATACAGGTCACAGGTACTTTTTTTCGCTGCTCAATAGGCCGCAAAGCAAATAAAAAAGCAAGCCACCAGTGGCAGCCTTGTTCTGATCGCTTTTGTTTGTGCGCACTGCCCGATCCCTAGACATCGGCTCTCCGCAGTACCAAGCTTCCAAAGGTGCTGTTAAATGCCGAGCACGGCCATGAGCGTCGAATTGGCACCTCAGGGCATCCGGAGTAATGCCTTCTCTCCAGGATACATCGAGACAGACATGAGCACATCCTTGCGAGAACAACATCCACATCTGGCAAAGCTGATGCACAGTACACCTCCCTTAATCAAGATTGGAAGTCGCAACGATCTGACCCGCACAGCCCGTATACTTGTTGAGTGACGCCGCTTCGTATACCACAGGTGCCGGTGCCGACATTCCTATTACTGTCGATCTTCATGCCGGCAGAATAGAAGCTGGAAATGATCACACGCACAGAGTGGAGCCAACACACGGCCAGAGCAGCCGAGATGCAACGAGGCTATAATGGCTTAACTCCTCGGTGAATGCTGGCGATGCCACCAGTAAGATTCTCGTATCCTTCTCCGGGTGTGACGAACCCAGCATCTTGAATCATTGCCTTGAACTCTTCCTGGGATGGAAATCGTTCGATACTTTCGACAAGGTATTGATAGCTGTCTCGATCCCCAGCGACGAGTTGGCCTATCAGTGGGATAGCCCCAAAGCTCCACCTTTTGTAGACTGCGTTGAACAAGGCGCTATTGACGTGGCTAAATTCAAGGCAGGCAAACACGCCGCCGGGCTTGAGGACTCGAAATGCCTCGCGGATGGCTGCATCTTTGTTCGTAAAGTTCCGGATGCCGAACGCCACCGTGTAGAGATCGATAGAATCAGATTCAATTGATGGCATGGACTCGGCATTTGCTTGCATAAACGATAGCCGTCCAGAGTGTCCATATGGTGTTTCGAGCGCCCTCTTGCGACCCTCCGCCAGCATGTCTGGGTTGATATCTGCAATCGTAACTCTCGTTTTCAGATCGAGGTTCACATTCGTGGCGTGATCGAGCATGCGGAAGGCAATGTCGCCAGTTCCTCCAGCGACATCTAGGATGTTCCAGCCGGATTCACCATTTCTGCTGCCAGGGTTCAGGGTCCGGACGAAATAGTCCTTCCAAAGCCGGTGGATCCCCAGAGACATCAGGTCGTTCATGGTATCGTAGGATGAGGCTACCGAGGAAAAGACCGCGCCAACTATAGCTTCTTAGCATGTGGACAGCAGAGCAAGGGTTCATCGGCGTTACCTCTCCCCTCCTTTTGAGCTTCGGAGATGGTCTCGAAGCCAAAGTGCGTAGTCCGCTCATCTTCACCAGGGAGTTGCTGTGGTTTCGATGGACTGGTGGCAAACGCCCTCTGTACAGCTCTGGTCCTGACATTGCAGGCGCGCAAGGCTACAGGACATCGGGCTATACTGCGAAACATAGCTGCGGCGAGCAACGGGAAGTGCTAGTATGACACTGCTTGCCCATGATGTCGGACGGAGTGCACTTTTTCCGCAGCATCCTCTCCGCGCTTTCAGTCCGCTCGAAAGGGTTTAGCCTTTGGAGATGCAGCCGCAACTAAGAGTCTCGATGGACCGCAGGCCACTATTGCTTGACCGAGGATAACCGCGCTCCCTTCAGAAGCCATACGCTCTTATTCCGACCTCTCGTCCTTTGCTCATCTCTTTCACCTTCATCAGCACTTACTATGCAGTCTCTGTGTTGGTCTGTTGGGTCTTAGGCAGGTTGATCTTCCGGAATTGCATCATGAAGGGTCGAAACGTCTTACGGCCTCTAGCGGCATCCTGCAATAACAGATCGGGGGTCCTCTTGCGGAGAAGAGGAATACGATGGGCAAGCGATAGTTGGGCTCCTGGCCCTGCGCAGAAGGAGGGATCGGATTCGTATGTATCAGTCTGGACTTTTTCCTTTATCGGAAACCGTTCCCGCTCTGTGCTGTGCTGACGTGCTCTTCTCAGGGTCAACTTCCCTGGCGCCTTGAAAAGCAGGTTCACCGCTACCATGAAGTTTCAAAATCCTGCCGAGGAAGCTGCTATGCCGACTTATCGAATAATCGATGCTGATGGAAATGTTGTCGATCAATCTAGAGACCCCAGCTCAACCCCTGCCGAGGAAATCATCCAGTGGTACCGAAATATGCTTACCGTCAGCATTATGGATTTGATCATGTTTGATGCTCAGCGCCAGGGTCGGACCAGCTTCTATATGGTTTCTGCGGGCGAGGAGGGAATCGCTGTCGGATCTGCCTCTGCCTTGTCACCGGACGATGTTTGCTTTTTGCAATATCGCGAGCAGGGGGTTATGGTGCAACGAGGATTTACTCTGAAAGAAATGATGAGCCAGCTTTTCGCCAACAAGGACGACAACGGCAAAGGACACAATATGCCTGTGCACTACGGCAGTAGCAAGCTCAACGTGCACACAATCTCGAGTACTCTAGCGACGCAGATCCCTCAGGCATCTGGGGCAGCATACGCGCTGAAGATGCAGCGACTTATAAATCCTAACGTCCCGCCCCGGATTGTGGCCTGCTATTTCGGTGAAGGAGCGGCGAGCGAGGGAGACTTCCATGCCGCTTTGAACATTGCGGCAACAAAGTCATGCCCGACTGTGTTCATATGCCGCAACAACGGGTTTGCGATATCCACAGCAAGCATTGAACAGTACAAAGGCGACGGCATTGCTAGTCGCGGCATGGGATACGGTATCGATACCATCCGAGTCGACGGAAACGACTTTTTTGCAGTACGTGAAGTCATGCTAGAGGCCCGGAAACGAGCCCTTGAGGGAGACTGCAGGCCTATCCTGGTGGAAGCCATGAGCTATCGGGTCAGCCACCATAGTACCAGCGATGACAGCTTTGCATATCGAGCGAAGAGAGAAGTGGAAGAGTGGAAGCGGAGGGACAACCCAATTACTCGTCTGCGAAAGTGGATGGAGAAGAAGGGCATCTGGGACGAAGACAAAGAGAAAGAAGCGAGAGCATCCATTCGAAAAGATGTCCTTCGAGAATTTGCAGCAGCGGAAAAGCTCAAGAAGCCACCTTTACGATCCCTTTTCGAAGACGTTTATGAAGAAATTACGCCAGAAGCTCGCACTCACATGAAGGAGCTGAAGGAGCTGATCGAGAAATACCCGAATGAGTATGACCTATCTCCGTTCGAAGGTGGCCTGAAGTCTTTGCAGTGACGCAGGCCTTTGCGGCCAACAAGCGAGCCAAAATTGCAACCCACCTCCATCAAAGCGCAATGATGAATGATGTGATCCTGGATCAGATCTAACAGGGCTCGGCCACGAGACAGACTGGTGCCAGAGGGGTCGGGTCGGGCCTCGTTCATTGACATTACTGGAGTCTACGGAGTACTAGTCCGAGATTGCGGTAGAGGCTCGTCATAGAGAAGGGCATTGTTTGTTCTGGATGTGTAGGACCAGTCAAGGACGAAAGGTGGAGGGGGAGATGATGGACAGCCTGGTATCTGTGGTATCAAGGATGGTTGGTGGCTTGACCGTTGCCAGGTTCCCGGTCCGGGTCACGGGTCCCGGAGCCCGGAATGCTGGCGTGGCGCCGGGTCGCTGGAAAGGGTTAGCCATTGTGGCTTAGCGCCGCTACCAGCCACCAAGTCGTTCGCCGGCACCTGCGCTGGACTCACCAACATCCAGCCTCCTGGCATTCCATCCAATATACTTCTAGAATTCAGAGAATTTCTGTGAATAGGCGGCTTCCCAGTCTCCATCACCAAGGGACTATGTTTCATCACCTGAAGTGTTCCTTGCTGATTGATTCCAGCATCCTGTGATGAGTCGCTTTGTTCTCATGCCGTGACGTTGCGGTTGTTTACCAGCCTCCTCCGTACCATGGTCACCTCGACTACTTTTCTGCCGTGACCCTCCCAATTCTGCCGCCGTTTGTTTAACTAGTACTTGTAAACCTTCGTTCTACTGCTTGCTTGCGTTCCTGCTTTGCTACACCATTGGTCTTTTGCCAGCTTGTTTGTCTCATCCATTGTTTCTGCTCGCCGTCCTGCATTTTCCCGGAGTTTGGAGCCTTTCGTCCTGTGCAAGCATGTATTCGACCTTTGCAGGCTCATTGCTGAAGGCCTTGATCCTCTCCTCACTGCTAGAACCTGCTACGGCACAGACTTACTCGTCATGCAATCCCACACTTCAGGGTAAGTGCTCACACAGAATTCTCAATTGACTAGTCACTGACCTCCCCCAGGTGGATGTCCCGCGGACCCTGCTCTAGGTCACAGTCTAGACATCGATTTCACATCTGGCTCCTCGAGCAAATTTACGGCGTCCGGTAACCCAACCTACGACTCCAATGGAGCAGCATTTACAGTGGCGAAATCGGGCGACGCGCCATCCATCTCCTCCAAGTGGTACATCATGTTCGGTCATGTCGACTACGTGATCAAGGCTGCTCCAGGCACCGGTATCGTCAGCGCGGCTATTTTGCAGTCGGACTGCTTAGATGAGATTGACTGGGAGTGGCTTGGTGGTGACAATACTCAAGCTCAGAGCAACTACTTTGGAAAAGGAATCACGACTACCGGCTATAATCGAGGAGCTTTCCACGGCGCAGCTGACAACCATGACACCTTTCATACATACAGCATTGACTGGACCGCTGACCAGATTGTCTGGTCAATCGACGGAACCACTGTGCGAGCCATGACTCAAGATCAGGCCGAATCAGGCCAGTATCCGCAGACACCAATGTATGTCAAACTGGGGGCTTGGGCTGGGGGAGACCCATCTAATCCACAGGGAACGATTGAATGGGCCGGTGGGCTGACAGACTACTCTGCTGGCCCCTTTACCATGTATGTCAAGTCTGTCCACGTCACCGATTACTCGACCGGGTCCCAGTACTCGTACTCGGGTACCAGTGGCACGTGGCAATCCATCGTCTCCAGTGGTGGTCAGATCAATGGAGAAGGCGACGGCACACCTGTATCATCTGCCCAAGCACCGGCAGTGACCTCACACGTCTCGAACAGCGCTCCACTGGCCTTTGGCAACGGTGACAACACTGATTCCGTCTCCGCAACTCGAACAGGCTGGCCATGGTCGGGAACGGCAACTGCAACGGCTGTGACTGTGGTAAGCGCTTCAATACCTGGGCTGACAAGTCAGTTGCCCCTCTGCTCCAGCTCGGTTGTTTTTCCCGCTCGACTGACCTGTTTACAGACCCAATCCCCTTCCTCGTCGTCTGCGCAAGTGCCATCGTCGGCTTCAGAATCGGTTTCTCTTGAGGTTTTCACGTCCTACGATGGCCAAGGCTTCCCAACGCTTGTCACCATCGAGTCTGCAGCACCAGTGACTCCCAAAAGTTACGACAGTCAAGGATTTCTCACCACTAGCACTCAACCTGCGATGACTGTAGCTTCATCCACAAAAACACAGCTGGTAACGCCGACCACGAACACAGATGGTGGAGATGCGAGTACGGCACCCGTCTCGCCTGCAAGCTCAGCCGCAGGACAGCCCGAGAGCCCGGGCTCTACAACTACACCCAACGAAAGTACGATTAGTCCAGAGTCCAGTTCTACCCCGGCAAGCAGACCGAGTACTTCCTCAGTCAATTCTACTGAAGCTCCTTCCACCACCCCGGTCGGCTCGATTGTTGCGTCTGGTACAGTCACCAGCTCACATGCAGGTCCATCAAGCACCACTCAATTTGACACTTCGAGCCAGACACGAGCTAGCACCACCAGTTCTTCGACAGATACTACGCTTCCAGGTTTGACTACGACTTCAGATACCGATACTGCACCCATCCCCAGGTCTACCACCACTACTCCAGGAAACTCGAATGCTTTGCCTTCAAGCACATCCGCCGAAGTTCCAAGCAAAACCACGAATACTGCATTGCCCTCAGAACAGACTACAACTTTGAAGACATCTAGCAGTCCAAGCAAAACCACGAATACGGCATTGCCCTCAGAACAGAGTACAACATTGAGAACGTCGAGCAGTCCAAGCGGAACGCAAACTCCGGCAGCGCCTCCCACCTCGACCGGAACCCCTCCGGCGGTAAACGGTGCGACCGCAGATCATGGTGTGAGCGGTCTGGGAGGGTTGTTATGCTTCGGGGTTTGGTTGCTTTCGATTTATTACACACAAAATTGACGGCATTTGTCAGCAAATGAGGCTGACATGGCAGACCAGTAAAGGTGGCGTTGGCGGAATCCCCAGAAGGCTCAGGTTCAGGCTCAGGAGTTAGGGTGAGGGAAAAGGCTGTGGCAAGCCGATGATGATTGATGACCGTGATACCCCGATAAAATAAAGGCCTTGGATGAATCTCGAAATGTCAAATACAGACATTGAAACTATGCCTCACACTGCGACTAGAGTGCGCACAAAACATACTGCGTGATGCTGGAAGGTACCTAGCATAATCTTAATACTAATTATCCAGAGCCCTGGGCTCTTTGTGAAATCCTGCTGGTCGTCAAATATGCACATGGAGGACTCTGTAAAACCCATTTCTGTGTCTGGCAGGTTGGTGGAGCGTGCAGAAGTCGACGGACGGATCAACGTCATTTTCAGCCTCTCACTGTGTGAACTTTGTGAACTGCGTTTTTGGGCCGGTGTTCGGGGCCCGTAAAAGCGCCACACCCGCGCCCTCAAAGGCTTGTCCATCCCACTTCAAAGAGCCCGTAGCCAGCAAATTAAGGGCTGCACCTTTCGCTCGAATCCTGTTCCCGTCCTCTATCTCCTTTCTACGTATTATTCACCCCCTTGTACCAACCGTTCCCACCGCCATTATGGCGGCAGTCGCTCCCGTCGATGTGACGCAGACCCATCCCTACACCTGCAATTCCTGCGCAGTCGCTTTCCGCAACAGCGATGCCCAACGGACTCACATGCGAAGTGACTGGCACCGATACAATCTGAAGCGAAGGCTAGCCGAACTCCCTGCCGTGTCGTCAGAAGACTACAACGAGAAGGTTCTTGCTGCGCAAGCAACGAATAAGATCGCCGCCGCTCAAGCAGCCTTTGCAAAATTATGCCCAACCTGCCAGAAGACGTACTATAGTGAGAATGCGTATCAGAACCACCTCGCTAGCAAATCACACAAGACGAAAGAGTTGGTGGGCAATCGAAGTTCAAGAGGAGATGAGTCTGCAAGGATTGGCTCGACGGCATCTGCTGTCAATTCTACGGCAGAATCAGAACCCCGAGATCCAGAAGCTGAAGCCGAATTTGAGAAGGTGGTTGCTGGGATCAAGGAGACTTCCCTACAAGATGTCCCTGCGATAACACGAAGACCGTCCGCACCTGCTCCGGACGCAGAACCTCGAGAAGATCATCCTATATCGCCCGAAAAACCTCCCGTGGCTTCCATCCCTGTGTCAAGATGTCTCTTTTGCAACTACGATTCCCCCAGCGTCAAACTCAGCGTCGCACACATGACGAAGATCCACGGTCTTTTCGTTCCCGAGCAGAACTACCTAGTCGATGCGGAGGGTCTTTTGAGATACATGCAGGGCAAAGTGTATGAAAACTTCGAGTGCCTGTACTGCCACAAACTGAGAGGGAATGCCGAAGGCGTCCAGACTCATATGCGGGACAAGGGCCATTGCAAGATTGCTTTCGAGACCGAAGAGGAAATGGTTGAGGTTGGGCAGTTTTACGACTTTTCAAGCACCTATTCGGACGAGGACGCAGACGATTCAGACGCGGAGCTTGAGCCGAAACCAAATGGCGGGATGCATTTGGACGGTGAAAAGCAGGGAGAGGCAGACGATGGTTGGGAGACTGATTCTTCGTTCTCGTCGCTTGATACCAACGATCTCGCGTCGGTGCCGAACGACGATCGCACATCATCATATCAGCGTCTACCCATGCACCGCCATCACTCGAATACCGATCCAAGGCCGCACCGAAACGCGGACGGGTTTCATTCTCATGCACACCAGCATAACCATGCTGCATTCTACGATGAATATGAGTTGTATCTCCCCAGCGGGCGCATAGCCGGCCACCGCAGCTTGCGCAAATACTACCGACAAAACTTGCATTCGTATCCCACGGCGGCAGAGAGAATGGAGCGAGCTCAGAGACTGATAGAGGAGGGAAGTTCGGATGCTGAGATGGAAGACGTGGAAGCTCTTCCGGCGACGCCACCTCGAAACAGTCTCATGAGGCGTGGCGAGGCTGGCATGCTTGGTGTGACGGCCCAACAGCGAAGAGACGTGCGGACCCAGGAGGTGCGAAGTCGACAGAATACACAGCGTGCACAGAACCGCTATCAAGCCAAATTGGAGAAGCAGAACAACTTCCAGAAACACTTCAGGGTAAGTCTCCAACAACGAGGTACATCCTCTGACCGCTCTTTGCTGACTATTCCTAGGACCCATTGTTGCAGTGATGGGAAGTGGGAAGCCATTTTCTTGTCAGCATGAGTGGACAGTACGCCGCGTATACACGTGGATGTAGCATCCATCTAGCTTGTTCGGGGAGTTTCCCTTTGGCATCAACATCGGCATCCGACTTGCTGCATAGCGTGCATCTCATGGGTTAGAGAAATATAGGTGGCTCGCCGAAAAAGACTGACTGACGGAGGGCTGCTGGGCGCGACAGAGCGGCAAAGCGGCCCCAAAAATGTGCCGGATTTCCGAGTCGGTCGCGGCATAATGTACGGACGGCTCGAGTCGGTCCTGAATTAGATGATAGGCTTATCAATACTATGGATATGTCTACACCTTGCGCGGTGAACCGGCCAAATAACATGGTCTTTGTAGGCACCTAGTAGGCATTTGAACAATCGATGTAGTACTCGCTCGAGCCATTGTAGCCAATTCATCTGGCCCTTGTCATTCCTCTCCGCGTAGCTCGACGACGATTCCAATGAACCAGCCATGGGGCCATGGGTCCTTGTGAGTCCAACAAGTAAGGACAAGGCTATAGGGCAAAGGGGTCTCCGCTCGACCACCGAGCCTAAGGAGGCTCAGGAGGCTCGTTAGCCGTCCATGCCAGCACTGGCACTGCGCTCGCTCTTGGCGCCAAGTCTTCGCTCGGAGCTTCGAGTTTGAACCATCGACAATAGCAACGACAACAGCAACAGCATCGGCCACGACAGCTATATTGACTCTGCGCTACATTGTCTTGTATTACACACGTCACAAAGCTCGAAGTTGTAGCTCACACCCTTGGAGCCCTTCAACAGGCATCAGTATCTGTCCTCGCCGACATCGAAAGCTCTCCTGTGCTCCCTCTTCAAGTAACTCAGCAAATCGAGGCACCGACCCGTGGTGCTCGACTCTCGCGACCAGTTCATCTCCCCTCCTCCCATCTCAGTGATCAGACTCATTTTCCCAATGGCCAAAAAAGGTACGACTACAACATCCATCGCTATACTGCCCATCCACAGACACGGAATCTTTGTACAATCTCCAATGTCTTGTCACACCTTCCCACCAAGGTTGCCATATCTATCCGCAGCCACCTCGAGGCCTATGCTTGTCAATTCCCTTCTTTTTTGAACGACATCAGCTGACACCTTATTTCCTTGCAGCTAAATCACGTACCATTGCCGTCCGGCTCATCAGTATGGCCATGACTGGTTACTTCCGGACGCTAGTGCGGCCTCGTGCATCCCGCCCCCTCAGCATGCTCAAGTACGACCCTGTGGTCAAGCGGCAGGTCTTGTTCCTGGAGCAGAAGAGAGGCGGGAAATAAATAAAAGACCGAAATAACACGGCACGACACAACTCACCAAGGATGACTGGCAGAGGACGGCGCCAAAGACCGAGGAAGCGGACGGACGCACTCAAAAAATCAAGTTCGTCGCACGGATCGGAACCATACATAATGGATTCGGCCACTGGCATAGCCACGAGGCAGGGAGGCCGAGAATAAGACGGTTGCAGTGTGCACAAGAAGCAATGTCTGCTTCGCGAATAGACGAACACGTTGGTCGACAAGGCCTTTCAGCAGTTCTGCCTGACATTGTGTGGTGTTTGTTGGTTGAGGGTTGGGGAGTTTTACGCATGGACGACACAACAGGGCACGAAAACGTCTGGTGACGTTCGTTTCAAGACGAGAGGAAGACGAGAGGAAGACGAGAGAGAGAGTGCGTGAAATGATTGGAAGTCATCCCTCATCGAGGCCAGAAAGGCATCACCTTGAGGCTTGCTTGCCTCCCAGAGCAGGACATCCCAAGAAGAGCGTCAAATGCTCCACTCATGTGTCGACTTCGACTAAGGCGCGAGCCAAAGGGGGAGGTCGAGGGTTGCATCAATGGGACTCTGTGCGGCACACACACACACAGCACGATTACAGACACGGACATGTAAAAAGAACGGAGCAGAACACAGGCTACGGCTAGCAAAGAAGACTCATGCAACCTACTGACACTCAAGCTCGAGTCCGGAATTGGCTCGTCATCTTGGACCCACCCATACTCCTATTACTCTCCACTCTGATCAAGCTACTGGGACAGAGCTCCCTCTAGTATCGACTGAGAGAACGGCCGCCTTGCCGGAGTTTAGTCGCACGCATAAGCAGCGACGGAGAGACGCGGAGGGAGAGGGAGAGGGAGAGAGGGATGGAGATTGGAAAGGAGCCGGTTCCAAAATGCTGGGAATGGCGCGAGACCGCAGCAGTGCTCGACTCACTCAACATACACCATGGCATAGTATACATGTATAGTATGGTATATTTTCGGCTTCTATCGCTTCGCAGTTATGCCCAATACAGTACAGTAATCCGTATCAAGACCGTCAGGAAGAACGATCCGTTCTCAACCTGCTGACAGGTTCAATCCCATTGAAGGTATAGACCAGGTTCTTCGGAAGCGTTGCCGGATCCATGACGTTGCCCCATGTTCAATCCAAAGAAACAATACTCGTATCGGAGTGCGAGGCAGACGAAGACTGTTCAGAAGAACGATGGAAGTTCGTCCAGATCGATTCATTTTTAGTAGCTAATTCCTACCCGTCACAACGGACTCACTCTCCTCTACTAAAACTAAGATGCATCTCGTCACATAACTCTTGCACAAGCATCTCCCTCGATGTCCTGTACTGTGGTGGCCGTCCATCTATCTAACCTTCGACCCCTTCAGCAAGTATCTTTCAACCCTGTCGTTATAGAATATGGCATTCCTGGCAGTTCCGTCAAGTGATATCAAATGCCCCTCCCCTGAACACTCACTCCCCTTTCCACCTCACACTCTTTTCAATCATCGCACAACCGCAGTTCAAACCTCTATTATGATTTCACATGCTCTATTATGTCGCAAATCGAGTGGTATATTTGTCCTGCCGAGAGCCTCTTCTAGCTGGTCTGGATGCTCGTTGACTCTTTCCCGGAGCTGGAGCATTCGTCCCTACCACACTGCTGCTCTTCCGAAAGGTTTGAGTCACTCTCGACGCAGCTTGGTCTCCTGTTTGAGGTTTTTGAGTTGAAGCACGCGGAGGCCTAATGTCCAGGTTGGCAGGCCTGCGTTTGAGTCGTCGAGGTTGCCCGTCGTTCTCGTCGTTCACCTCATCACGCTCTACCCGTCTTTTGGCAGCAGAATTTGGCTGGTACCGTTCACGCATGACGGCAGGGGTAGATTCTCTTGGGACACGAGGTTCAACCGTTGGTTCTGGGAACGGTGTCGAATCACGCGTGCGTGTTCGAGGGCCACTTCTCAACCCTCTCGGATTTCGCCCCAACGTGGACGCACTTCGATCATAGGACAATGCCTCGTTGTGGTCACCGCTGGCGGGAGTATAGTCAAGGTCGTCATCAGGTCCGGACACAACACCCGAGAGATTGTCAAGTTGCGAGTCGTCTTGGGCGACCTGGTCCAATAGCATTTGGTCGTTCACTGAACCATACGAGCTGGAGGGAGTGCGTTCCGTGACTTGAAGATGGCTTGGAGGGTCGATGTCCTTCTGTTGTGGATGATTCTGCAGTTGCTTATGAGAAAGTCCAGTCTTCGGTTTCTTTCGAACAAGATTGCCCATGGAATGTTCAGGGTCGGAGCCATTGTCAGTGTACTCGCTCAATTCCGAAGCAGAATCTTCTTTGTTTCCAGGTTGTTGGATTGTAATCTCGGTCCGGCCACCATCGTCTTCTTGAGGAGGGTCTAGTTGAGTGTCCGGTACAACAGTGCAACTTCCAGGCAATTGATGCGTCACAGCAACATGTGCAACATGTCCTGCGTGAACTGCCTGGAGCAGATTGTTGTCGGAATTTCCAGCGCCAGCGCCGGATCGATCTGCCGCCCTTCTTGGATGATGAACCGGGCCCGTCTGTTGATCAAGTTTAGCATTGGACACCGCACCTTCAAGGGTCAGGATCTGGTTTTGGAGGGTTGAAATATCCTCTTCTTTGCGCTGTAACGCTTCTTTGATGCCTGTCGTCTCAATGGATCGCGCATTGAAAGCTCCAAGCCGCTCTTTCAATTGCACAATCTCGTCCTCTCTATCCTGGACGCTTTTCCTGAGCACCCCGATCTCCTCATTCTCTTTCCGAATGTCCTCAAGGTCTGACTTGAGCGAGACGAGTTGCTCTTTGAGTGAAGCGGTTTGCCCTTCTAATTCAGGTGCTTTTGCCGCTGCTTGCTGAGCAACGGCGAGAACGGATTCTAATTTAGCAACGGCAGCGTTTCGTTGGTGAAGTTCGTTCTTCACATCAGCCATTTCACGGAGCTCGTGTTGAGTTGCCACTAGTTCATTTTCCAATATGTTCTTCTCCTCCAGCACCATGTGCTGCTGTTGTATCTGCTCTTCAAGAACTGCCGATCGATGTTGCAACTGCTGCATTTGCTCTGAAAGCGATTGAATCTCCAGGTTCTTTTCGTTGATTTCCAGTTGTTGAGTTTTATGGTGCTCCTTCAGATTCTCGAAATCCTTGAGGCGTTGTTTCAGCTCAGAGAGTTCGGCAGATTTCTCTTGCAGACTCTTGTTTGTTTGCTCTAAACTCTCCTTTCTCTGCTGGACTAGGGCCAGATTTGCTTCCAATTCGCCTATTCTAGTTTGAAGCCCATGGCCTTCGGTGGCTATGGCCATTCTCTCAGCCTCAGACTTTTCAAGATGCCGCTGGACTTCGGACTGGGACATCTTCAATCGACTGATTACTTCTTCTTTTTCTTTGTGTTTCTCCTGCTCATGGTTCAACTTGACCTGTATTTGGCGAAGCTCAAGCTCCATCTGGTCCAACTAGGGTTGTTAGCAGTGTTCATTTTTGTAGCCATTCAAGTCATACCTGCTCCTTGCTCCTTTGCTCTGCGGATCTCTGGACATGATGGATCTGTTCTTGGGACTTCTCGAGCTCTTGCTGAAGGGCCTGCTGATTCGTTTCGCTCTCAAGTAACTTCACCTTTAGGCCTTTGATCTCTTCCTGTTTCCCCTCCTTTTGTTGTTTGCATTCTGCCAACTGAGAACAGGCCGATTGCCATTTTGTAAGAAGTGACCTGTTCTGATTCTCAAAATCAATAGACTGCTTTCGAGTAGCCTCCTTGTGATCACCCAGGGCAGCAATGAGTTTTTCGGTTGTGGACTGCAGGTGCTTTTCACGGCTTTCTGCAATACTCTTGCCATTGCGCAAAAGTTCCACAATTCCATCGGCCTGGTCCGACCTTTGATGCAAATGAGCTATTTCTTCTCTCGCTTGGATGAGTTCCTTGTTGCCTGATTGCACCTCCGAGAGTAACGTAGCGGTTTGTGCCGATGTTTCATTCTGTAGCTGTTCCTTGAGAGCCTCAATGGCTGCTTGGAAGGTCTCCGAGGTGGAGTTTGCGTGTGTTGCGTGTCTACTGAGAAGCTCGTTCATGGATCCTAACATCTGTCTGAGCGAACCTAGGTCGGCGTTGGTGGATAAGCCACTGTCAAGTAGTGTTTGTAACATCTTCCGGCACTCCATGAGTTGGCCTTGCTCCACGCTTTCGTCCACATTCCTCGTTTCAAGAGCCTCTAGTTGGTTGGTCATGCCTCGCAGGGTTTCATTGAGCGCTTGGTTCTGGCAATGCAGTCTCGAATCATGTTTGTGTCTCTCGTGCTGCATCAGCACTATGTGTGTCTCGAGCTTGCGGCACTTTTGCTTCTCACTGCGAAGGTGTTCTGCTTGCGCCAGCAGCAGTCCGTCCATCCTGTCAACGGCTGAAATGGTTGATTGAGCCACAGTACTGAGGTCGCCAACCTCAGATCGTATACTTCTCATTCTTCTTGCGGCATCTCCGGAAGCTGAGCAAGCATCTTCCAACTGCGCACGCACTTCATCTCTGTCCTTTATCAAGTCGGTGAGCGATGCTTTGAAACCTAGGGCCTGTGTCTGCAACACCTCACAGTCTTTGTTAGCTTCAAGTGCCCACTTCTTCAGTTTATAATATTTCGCTTTGAAATCGTCTAGCGCTTGCGTGAGAATCTCCTGCTGTTGTACGCTCCTATTCTGGGTAGTTATTGCTTCCTTGAGGGCTCGAGCTGTGAGTTCCTTTTCGCGTACAAGGTGCCTGTTTTGCTCTTCAAGGCATGCTAGCCTATCCATAGCCGTAGCTGTCTCTCTTGCACGTGACATTAGTATGTACAGAAGATCTTCCTCAGATGGTTGTTGCGGGTTGCTGTGAGCAGGTGTCGGTTGGCTACAGAACTGCAGTCGTCGGGCTCGGGCTCGTCCTGGAGCTTTGCGAACCTTTGATGAATGGATCGGTGCCTGACCGGCAGCTTTCGGGCACTGCTTGACAGCATTGGTTGGCGAGGGAGGCTGATTATCGATATAATAGTCCTGTGCCGCCATATCGGCGACATTTCCATCGAGGGTCTTCAATGCCGTCTCTGCTTGGTGACAGAAAGCAGAGCCTATAACTTGATCATAGTCGAGTTGGGCCTGATCACTTCTAGAATTATTCTGCAGGAGCTCAGTCCCTGACCCGGAAGCCATCTCCATCTCATTGGTTACTGGGCTGTGCACTTGCCCAAACTGTATGCCATTGTCTTGTGGTGCCTGGTACCCATTGTCGATTTCGGGCTGCTGCTTGATATTGGTAAGGCCTGTAGCTGCTGAGACCAATTCAGGGTCGCCGTCTTCGGAATCCCACTTCAACTCATTGCAACCGTTAGACACCGAAGGAGTCTCATGCAAATCGTGGTCGGTACCCATAGTGTTAGGACAGTCCGGCCTTCTTGATCTACTTCGTTAGCTTCAACACGATGTTTGGGACATTGAAGAATATCCACTACCTTGCAGACGGAAGAGACTCTGAGATAGTATGGCCATGGCCCTGGGTGGCATAGAAACCCTTCTGTTGTGGTGATATCTCGACAGTAGATTGTCCTTCACTTTGTCTTTCACTTGTCGGTTTCGTAGGGACTGTTCTCAGGTTCGCAGGCATGAAGGAAAATCCAGGTTGACCAACCCTATTCTTCAAAGTCTGTGCGATTTGAAACCGTTTAGGAGCGCCAGGTGAGGGCTGGTTTGAAGTATGTACGCTAGTTCGGTCTTGAGCCAACATCTTTGAAAATGGTGTCTCTTCGACGGAGGCTGAGACCGACATTGCTGAAGGGGTTTGAGGATCGTCCAAATCGTAGTTAGGATTGTGGTCAGCATCTTTGTTGGAGGAAAGGACCGAAGGTGAGCCATGCGACGACACGACCTCTTTACGGGGAGGACCTTGGGGAGAGAAGGCTGGGTCGTCAGTCATGGTTGTGAAAGTCAAAGAAGTACAGCAGTGCCAAAGCCAGACCAAGGAAACATGAACACGGCAAGTAAAACAATTGTAAGTCGGGGGAAACCAGCGTTAACAGCCTGCAGGCGGCTCCTTCAATGCCTTGGTCATTTGTGCAGAGAATTGATAGATGGACAGAAGGAAAATGAGAGTGAGGGAAGCAAGAGAGTTCCAAAGCAAGGCGGATGTCCTCACGTGCTCTAATGGCCCCTTCCACCTTGCTGACGCAATGCCACCGTTTGTACGGAGTATAGCAAGGGGGAAAAACGTTGCTCGAATAGAGCCTAAACACCTACTTCAACCAGAACGAGAACGAGCGACCTAGTAAATGGCCATCAGCCATCTCCTATCCCCCATCCTTCAGCAGCGACTCGCACTGCGCCTTAGGCCGTTCAGAGAGAGACCAGATCCTGGCCATGTCCTTGAGTACAAGTGCGTGCCAGTACTGACCTAAACTCACTGCACTTCCGCCCTCCAGACACTGGACGTCAGCGATTCTGCTCCAAAATAAGAGTCTCGGTATGACCATACACCACCAGCATCTTCGACGTGGCCTTCGTCCACGGTAAGGAGGTAGACAGGAGTTTCAACAGCGAAAATCAAGGTTGCCTTTTAGCCATCCAGGCTCCAGACCTCTCAGAGGGAGACAGTGTGTGTCCAGGAGGTGAGGTAAACAGAGAGGAGATATTTCGATTTTCGGCGGCAATATTTTCCTTCCACAAGAGGTATCCGCATAGCGCGTCTGCGAGTTGGTGGGATGTATAGTGCAAAATGGCCAGTTGTTTTCAGTGATCAATGAAGTTGCTGTCTCAGGAATACGGACCATGACTCTGATAATACTCCAACCGCGCCTATCGCTTCATCATCATTGCCTTGCATGCCTCTCTCGTGTCTCGTACCACTTTGCATTTCAATCCAATCGATACCAAATCAGATCAGATCAGATCATAACATAGCATCTCCTCTCATCTCATGTCCTCATCTCCCCTACTATCTTCCAAACACTTTCTTCCACATCGGGGTCTTGGGGCTGTCCATCTCGAAAGACGATGACGGTATATTCACTTTCGGTGGCCTAGGTCTCGAGCCATCTTTTCTCTGGTTCTTGACACTGTCCGTTTCGCTGGTCTCCACTCGGATCGCAGAGGCGGGCAAGCCCTTTTCAGCGTCGTAGACGCGGTTTGATCGGCTACTGTAGCTTCTCGGACCGGCCTCCAGTCGAGTGTCTGTTTTCTGCGACCGATCCCCCGAGTTGTCGGGGTATCTGTTCTTCGTCGCGCGAGGGAAGCTCATCATTTTAGGTGTCATCGGTGACGTGACGGCCTTGACTGCGCTTCCGACCCTCCGCACAGATCGTCGAAGTCCTTCCTTGATCTTCCACTGTTTCTTTTTGGCCAGAAAATAGAGAACAGCCAGCGTGACTGCAGACGGGGGGAAATAAGCAACAACATGTCAGCATTGTAGTGGGACCACGGTCTAGATCCATCAAAGGTGGGCAACTTACTGCCCAGAACAACCACAATACTGACAACAACCGCAATGGCCACTGTCGCCCCTCGGCTCAGGTTCACAGAGCCTGTATCTGGTCCAGCGGCTCCTGCATCGGCCGAGTCCTGAGGATCCGACCCAGAGCCAATATCACCAGGCTCAACCCCTCCAGCTGCGCCTCCATCATCACTCTGGGCAGAGGCTAAGCGTGCATACAGATTGAAGCCCAGTAGAATTGCGAGACAATGTAGAGAGGTAGGAGAAGCGTAACTAGCCATCGGAGCTCACGACCTCGAAGCTTGGGATCTGGGATCGCCTCGCAAACGTCCCTCGTGGTAGAATTCTCGCGCTTTGCCGCAGGACTTGTATTGGGGCGGGCCCAGGTATGCGACCAAGGTAAAGGGCGATGTGTCGTAGGATCGAGTATGGCAATATCACACCACAATGGAAATAGACAGGGAATGACAGCTGGACAAGTCAGCCGTGTGGGCGTCGACTCACCTTATGTTCGTTCATGCAAGGCGACAGCGCTTCTCGAACCGTGGCCACACCACCACATGCACTGCCCACGGCCTGACGGCCTCTACGGCCATCTTTGCGCTGGAAAGGAACGAACAGACGGTGTGATGTTGTTATTGGAGACCAACTATGAATGTGAAACGAGTGAAGACGGTGTGAAACACTTGGTGACGCCCATCGTAGCCGCCGGCCTGGGCCAATCACATTGCCGCATTGCACCCATCAACACCTGGCCTTGCACTGGCCCGGGTGACTATGAATAGCGACTTAGAGAGCCAGCTAGAGAGCCATGGGATATCGAACTCGCCAAGGGACGCCAGAGAAGGGTTGGTTCGGTGATAATATTCCGTACAGAGCGTGATCTATTCACGCGACACCCATAGTATCCAAGTCCCAAGTGAGCACACCAACCGCTCCATGGCCCCTTATGGACTGCTCTCTATCAGCTATACAATTGTTTCTCATGCCGCTTATCATCCTGACATTGTCTGCAGATTGGCATTGTACCAACTCGCCGATGTTCCTCCTCCAGGAAGTCTCCGGCCGGCTACTCATAAGGTTTCCCATCCGCCGGCGTTGACCTCACTTTCAAGCTTCCTGGCGACCGTACTCCAGACGCTGCCATTTGTCATCAACCAAGTGTCCCTCAACAGCTTGTCGTATCTCTTTTGGTTGAGGATCAACTGGTGTTTGGACCGCAGCCCTGAATCCGTTTCGCCATGCTTGGTCAAGTATGGCGCTGGAAAGAAGGAACCATGACTCAAGGTGAGAGACCCAGGAGGGAGCGCCTGAGCGCCATGGCCAACCCTTGCGCGATCATACTCAACCATCTTGGGGTCCCGGACTACGTGCAGTAGCGCCACATGACACTTCCGGATGAAGAGGAACATGCCAATTGGGCTCGAGCATTTGTCCACATGGGCATTGCAACCTCCGCGCATCTCTTTAGTAAGACAGCAGACGGTTTGAGAGCAAAATATCTCACCGCAGAAGAGGCACAAGGCCGGGTCCGCGACTTCTTTGCCAGTGGTAGGACACTTGCGTCGATGAGATTCTTCCATGAGAACATCGAAGTACTTCGGAAGTCCGATCAACTCAAAGGGAGCGGGATGGAGCAGCCTGATACCTAGAGGTGTGACGCGCAAGCTGGCATGCTCCGTCGATGAGGCGCCGCTCAACTCCATCCTGATCGAGTCGGAAATCCAACGAGCTGCTCGGTCCTTCAGGGCGCTGGAGCCCGAGAACTCGTCCAACGACATGAGAAGATCGCTGATCCTCGGCAGCTGGAAGAAGTGCAGAAGACGATCAAGCTCGGGGAGGTTGGCTTCCGAACCAGCCGTGGTAGGGAAGTCGATCCCATGCGCAACATGGAACAAAATCGCCGACTTTCGAAGAAATGCAAGAGCATACACCTTGCATAGTCTGAACAGTGCGCCCGCTTCATTCACAGACATCCGCCGTTTCGACTCGCGTAACTGGTCAGCCAACAAACTGGTCTCGGAGCCACCGTGTTGAATGTGATGCTCAATCCATGCGATCACACTCTGTATGCTGCGTAGCTCTTCCGAGTTGGTGTCCAAAGGCGCAGCATGTCGAATCTGGTTGCGCGACAAGTTCTCAGTTGCGGAGAAAAATCCCTTGGACCCAAGCGTGAATGCCAGCACAACTCGCAAGAGTTCCACGGTCAGCAATAATTGCAGAACATGGCGAAGTTCCAGCTTTTGTATGTGACATAACACCACCGTGGCTTGCACAAGCACTTGGAAAGCGTCCGTTCGCAACAGAGGCGATGCTGGCTCAGAACTGTTCAATTGGAACTTCTGTTCTGTCAACGTCCCTGCCAGTTGGAGCTCGATTCGCTTGCAAAGCTCCTTGTATTGAGTCTCCACTGGACCCTGTGCGGTCAGTACACCGGTGGCTGTATATGCTCGAATGGTCGACGCAAGAGTTTGTAAGTGGCTGAGTGTCTGTTGAGGCACGCTCGTCAAGACCGACGTGCCGAATTCGGCTTCGCGGCCCCGATGCCCTATTTCCACGGCTGCAACTGTATTTGCGAGGGTGTCAACAAGAACCTCAACGTGGTTCACCTGAGCGTCCCGACCAGCAGGCGTCGGTTGAATAATCCACGAGACAATTGATAATGATTCTTGGAGGCGCTCATAGATGCTGGCGAGGTCAGCAAACGCGGCGAATTCAGGTATATCTGCCCACGGTTGGCCTGTATGGCTCATGCTCCAGTTTCCTGATACCCATCGAGCAATGGCCGGTATGAGAGAAGGGTTGGAAAATGTTGTCATGGTTTCGAGTTGTATTTGTGCGGCCAGTGAGTCAAAAGTACCATCCTCAGCCAGGCTTGAGGATTCAGTGATGGCCGAGAGATCCTTGTCCAGAAAGAAGTCGAAGTCTTGTGATACGTCTAACGAACCAGGGTAGGACTGTTTTGAATGTTTCCAAACAATAGGTAGGAATGTATTTGCCAAAGCCTTGCAGAGGGGGCAGACAAATTCCTTAAGTGCGATCCGCTCGGGATGATTCCTAGCAACCTGCTGCGCGTGTCTCCTGGTGATCGACTGGTAGTAGTTCTCGAAGCAGCTGAAGTGCATAATATGGCCACAACTCGTAGACACAGGGCCTTTCATGGTGCAGTTCTTTGGCCACCCCTTGCCCAGGCTCTGGTGGTCGACGGCGACTTCGTGACCTTCAGCCGTCAGACGCTTCACCTGCACATGGTTGGAGCCGGCTACTCCAAACGGACGTATAGACTCAGCGGAGCGATCCAGGTGGTCCGGAACTGCAAAAAGCTCGCCAACAAAGTCCTCGTCCGTCACGTCAGTCTCCCGTAAGATATGAGCATCGCTGATCATAGCAAACGTGCCGTACAAACGCGAATCAGACGTATCTTCTCGGCATTGTATGCACAACCCAGAGGGATATTTCCAGTGACGGGTCTCTGTGCTCTTGGGTAATTCGTCTTCCGGAGAATCCAGATCCTCGTCACCCCAGTCGATCACTCCTTGTTTATCCATGAAGTTTTGCTGCTGCTGCTGAAATTGAGCCATAACGCGTGCTTTGCGTTCCATGGCTTGTTTCTTTTTGGCTTCAATTTCGCCTTCGAAATTGGCCGGAGATGCAGTGTCGAACCTGCCCAAAGGGAAATCAAGGTGCTGGGTAGCGCTGACGAACTGTTCAGGCCGCTTCTGATTGAAAAGCTTTAGAATGTGTCTGATCTTGCTTCGGCATGCACTATATTCTTCCATGAGCCATATTTCGTGTAGTAGGCGAACGATTGTCCGGTCCGTGTCATGAGGAGACCGGAAATGTAGTACAGTGGCATCGTGTACAAACGAAGGCAAATCAGGATCGCTTCCCGCCGGATTGTCATCCAAAGTGGCGATAAGCACCAGCTGGAGGACAATCTGGAGGAATGCCTCCGCACGGGTTGCCGAGACTCCTGTCTTGAGCTTGTAGCTGCTCGCAGCATATAGTAGGGCTTTGTGGATAACATCGGCAAAGAGAGAGGTATGCACGACTGCGCAGAGGTCGCTATATGCCTCGCAGCGGATTGGATGCAGCTTCGGCTCAAGAACAATGTCTTCGGGTGGTTTGTTCAGTTTCTTGGCCATCCACTGTTTGTAGATGTTTTCGGCTTCATCTCTTTGATTCTTAGTGAAATGAGAGTTGTACGGGTCCAGTTCCTGCAAATATTCATCCTTGAGCTCAAACAAGCCAGAATCATGCAGTCCTTCGGGTGGGCGATATTTGGTCATCTGATCGAGCACCTCCTGTAGCTGTTCATGGTCCTGTGTTCGCTCCGTCAAGCGAGCACACAAATCTGAGTACGACAGCGGCTTGAAACACAGTGTATGCGCAATGTCTTTGCGCACTGCTAAGAGCTGTGATTCTGGGTCGTCTCGATCTGAGATAAGCGCGTCACGGTCCGATAGCAAGTTGATCAAGAGATACATGAAATCCTCAGCCAGGTCCAACATCTGACTATCCTCGCAAATGTCCAGAGAGGCAAAGCCGTTCCGCAGCCACTCAGTTAGACCGAATCGATCGATCATCGACGCAAGAACGCGACCCGGGTCGCATGTCACGAGTGCGGTTTGGAGAAGGAACAAGTCTCGGTGATGGCCAACGTCGCGGTGAGCCACGCCCTTATACTGCATCATTTGATGTCGCAGGCTCATGCCGTTGCGGACCCACAGGTTTGCTCTCATCTGCGCCAACCAGGCGCACACACGCAGGGGGAAATCAAACATAGCTAGCAGAGCGTCGTCAACAGTGGTGAGAGTCGATTTGATTGTGCTGTCCCGGGGTGCGGGAGTGAGATCTTGCAGATGTGAAAGGAAAGTGCGGGCAGCATCCCGGAGTGCTATTATAGACTGCTTCGTTTCCTTTCCGCCTTCAAGTAGCCAAGAAAGAGTGTAATGAAGAGGGTGATGGAAACTCAATCCTCCCTTTTCCACGACAAAGTGTACCACCTTGTAGGTGTCACCTGTTGGTATCTCTCCAAAGGGGCCAATAGTGTGGAATCGTACATGATCCTTGATCTCGGCTTGATCGAATCGTCGTCGCTCTAAGCCCACAGAGTTGATGATTGCGATGCCTGCTGCATGTGAAATCGCCTCACATGTTGCTTGCAAGGTAGACGGACTACTGTCCTTCGAAACATAGTAAGCTTCCGCGAACTGCCGACACAGCTTGTTGATATCCCGTGTCAACAGCGAGGCACTTATCCAGGCGTCTGTTTCATACTCGACATGTTCGCCGACAGCCCTGATGTTCGGACATATGCCTTGAGAGAGCTTGGCCAGGTCAAGAAATTGGAAAAGGTACTGTGGTTCGCTGCGCGCCTTGGCCTGTACAAAAGGAGAGGCAAGGAAATATCTGAGATCGGAGAAAAAGTGATAGAGCCGACGATTAGCAACCGAACCAGCATCGAACCCAAGAGTAGCTCCGGGGTCAAGGTCTTTCGGGAAGCCTACTTGTCGAGTAGTCAAGAAAGTGTACAAGATAGCCATGAGATTGGTGAGGAAGTTTCCCCGTTCGATCACTTCCTCTGTGATAGAGGGGGTGGTCAGCAATTGCAGCGACAGATTGATTATGGAATGGTCTGGCTCTCTGTCCGCCACGAGATAAAGTTGGGCGAGCGTCGTGTACAACCCAGAGAATCGCAAACCAAGGATGCGTTTGAACTGAGGGATGTTGACCAGCGTGCTAATGAACAGGTCTCGAACATTGGTTCTGGCAACTTTCCACAGGCGGAGATCGAACAGGATCATGGAATCCACCCTGATATTTTTGGTCAGATCTTCGTAGGCAGGAACATTGTGGTTCTGCGCAGATGGACCGAGTGGTAAGGATTTCCAATGGTTTGGCGGAGTCGATTGTCGGCGACCTAAACGAACAGAGCTCGCAGGTGTCCTCGGAACATTGAGATAATTGGCATTCCTGTCGGAATCGACTGGAGAGGTTCGACGTCCTTCGCTAGCACCACCCTCCGGCTCTGTTGTACCTTGAGTAGGGGGGATTGGTGGTGGAGGAGGGGAGGTGCCATCCATCTCCATTCTATCCGCAACACTCAGATAATTGCCGTCGCCGTCGCCGTCCGTGTCCATGTCTTCCGCATCATCTGTCACATCTGGATCAACCGACTGCTCAATAAGAGCGTGGTCGTGATCGTGGCCAGCCGCTTCAAAAACTGTGGCTCTGAGAATGAAGTCGTTCATTTCCCGATCGACGTCGTCGTCGCCAGGGTCGTCATCGTCGTCGTCGTCATCGTCATTGTCGTTATCGTCGTTATCCTCAAGGCCGTCACTAATCACGTCTTCTTCCAGGGTGTCCACGGCCATGGCTCTTTGCAGCGCGAATTGGATGGGGTCAAAAAATCTCAGCCTTGCTCTTTGTCGGAAATACCGATCGTCCTCCTGGCCGTGGTCGTCGAGATCGTCTCTTCCCACTTTAGCATTCCAGGCCTCACTGCCCATGCGCCAGATTTGGAGCATCTCTTCACAGATTATACGGCGTAAGACGTGACTGTCACCAGAAATACTACATCCGGCAATGTCGGCCAGCCACTCGATAATGGTACCACACATTTGTTCTCGGAATGTATCCCTGGATGATCTGATTGTGACAGTGACCTTGATCTCTTCAATGACTTTCGCCATCTTAGTGAGTTCTTTCAGATCGCGGGAATGCCTGACAACACTCCTGCCCACCTCATTTGCTTCCTCAGCTTTAGTCAGACCGAATGATTCGCGAGCACGGCAGGCTCGAGAGACTTGCGACTGCACCTCACGAACAGTGTGCTTCTCATCATTCCAAATGACCAAGCAAAATTCAGGGTTTATTTCAATCTCATCCCCGGACACGTAATGTTCGCAGGTGAGGCGACTCCTCACTTCATCCTGGGTCACTGAATCTACCGTTTTTGGCATTCGCAGGTTTTCTGGGGAGCAGGATATCACATCGCAAAAGTAGTCCAATACTGTGCTGATAGTGGTGCGAATAGATTCTTGCAAATCAGGCGGCAGAGGAGAAACATGCTCGTCTGTTGAGGCCCATTCATCACTTGTTGTGTGGATGGCACATTTCACCGGTCTCTTCCATGCTTCGTCGTCGCCACAATCGCAGCACCCACTGTTTCCGGCGCTGAGCCCGATGGTATACTGGTGTCCTTCATGGTCACTGGAGACAAAGCACCGAGAGCAAAGGACGGCAGTTGTGTCATCGGTACACGTGCTGCAATGATAGCTAGCTTCTCCTGCCTTAAAAATATGCCCACATGGATGGCCCCTGGCAGCAGCAGTGTATTCAGCATTCTCTTGCACTCCTTGCGCATCCTGTAGCCGGCAGGATGTTGGGAATCCGTCAGGAAAGAGGTTGTGGAAATAGTCTAACCGGTCGTTCGTGAGTGATCGAAAAAGGCCCTCCAACAGACTGTTCTTAGCTTTTCCGGTGAAGCGGTAGGCATGCTGTCGTGGATGGTCGCATAAAGCCTGGCGGAGTTGGCGTTCTAGGCCGGACATTGGTGTAATCATATCGGAGGAACAGAGGTACCTGCGGTCTGCATTTGGTCGTTCACCACTATGGGATTTGTTACGAGCGAACTGCTGCGCGGTGGAATCCGCGGTTGAGGACTGAGTGGAAGGATTTGGAGCGAACGCGATGTATGTTGGTGACAGCGGTGTGGATGTCCTAAATCTGTGAGGTCGCAGTCACCAATATCAAGCAAGCCTGTTCGCTCCAGTGCAGGAGAAGTGGCGAGGTGGCGGATTGGGATGCAAAAGGTTCCTCCTAATTTCGCAATATCTATTACATTCCTGTTTGTCTCTTGATTCTCTTGTCAATCCAAACCTCGAACAGCAGCGACGGAGGCTTCCTCGGGCCGCTTGTTGCAATGATGTAAATACGTGAGAGTCCTATTTGGGTTGAACTTGTTGCCGCTTGAGACACCCCATATGCAATAGAGGGCTCGCAAGAAGAATCCAGGCCGGAAATCAAACTACTAACGTGCGCTCCCAGGAAACCCCCTAACAGTACAGCGGCGCTTCAACCGCCTCTCAGGATTTGCCCAAAGAGTCTACGTACGTCGACTACTTCCCATGTGGACTCGATGTGACTGCCCAACCGTTGGAGCCTTCAAGACAGATTCCTACCAAGACATCGACCATGCTTTGGAAGGAGAGAGACTCAGTCTGAGCTTCGGCGAAGTCGTTCCACGGCGTCCTTCAATTGGAAACATTGAGGGGCTTGTGCCTGGTCATGCCGGATAGACGCACCTGGACGCACCCATACACGTCCAATCACACGAAGAAGGCCACGATTCTCACCATTCCTTGAGCCCCGGCGGCGCGTCTGAAAAACGACCGGTACCAACGTGTATCTGCCTCGATCGTTCCCTCTACACAGCTCATTCCAACAGCAGGTAGGATATTGCTGGCTCCGAGTGAACATATTAGGACGGCAGACGTTGCAGGAAAACAGCGCCATTTCCGTGGCCATTCAATCCAGGAGACAGCCAGCAAGGCGATATGAAAGTGAACCACAGGTATAACGGCAAAACACTATTCTTGTCTGGGACGGTAAAATTGCTCGATGGAATCCACCATATGGTAGCAATAGGCTTTCAAATAAGTCTATGGTTGTCCTTCGTGGTTATGTATACAGAGAGTCGGGGCCGCCTCTGAGGTTGTGTCTTCAGCATTGTGTCTCTTTGACTTCCCACCGCCCATTGTTAGTTCCACCGCCAAAGTTTGATGGTAGTGAGACCGATCACTCGTCCTCGTCTTCACCAGCAGAGATGTATTTTTGCTTGATATCTTTCCATTGCCGCTGTGTTTTCAAATTAGAGCTGATTCGTAAACCCAGTTCCACCATGTTGTAGGGAAACGTACCCCTTTGTTCCAGCTGTCCCATAACCGGTCCGTAGCAGCGTCAAATCCACTGCGAGAACAAATCAGTCGCTATACCTGGAAGGCCAGGGATACTCGGGGAACCCACATTTCGAAGGCGAAGGCGCCCGCAAAGATGGCAGAGAGGAATACAGCGTTTCTGCGGAAAACGGTGCTGCGACTGTTAGCAAAGAAGAACGATTCTGCTTCGCGCCGGTAGGGATCGGTACTTAAAGATTCCGTCCGAAATCCGCGTCTATGATGGTCAGCACAGCTTGGGATAGATGGCGCATTCTGACAACATACCAGGGCCGACATTTTGGAGCGTCGAAGCGTTGATTCAATGGCGCAGGTGGTGGTGAGATCGACTCTGAGGCAGTTCTTTAATAGCTTGCAGTGGATTGGACGACCAACTTGAGGTTCTGTAGGAACTTAGATGAATCGAAGCTCCGAGCTGGACGCCAAGTGGCTAACCTGTTTAAGAAGTGCTCAACGCCGCTCTACGCCATCAGCCTCACTTGTGTTCTCCGCCATCCTAATAAGTTACATACTATATCGTGATGTTGATCTTGGGACTAATAGAGTTAGGACCGGATTTGTATATCGAATATTCCGCCTTGAAGCAGTGCTCGGAATAATGAAAAGCCCAAGGATGGGATTTGTTGAGAGCAGGCTGGTGATTTTCAGGGGCCCAATCAATCCAACACCACCCCCCTGCTCTTAAGGAAGGGAACAATCCTGTTGAATATATCCTAATGAGTACACCTCCAGTATCTGGTTCTCATTCTGACGCAGAGAACATCCCCAGCCAAGGGTCAAGCATGAAAAGAATCGTAGGAGGTTCCTACTGTTAGTTTTAGCATACATCCTGGTGGACTAGACGCCATTCTGGCACAATCTAGCTGCTAAGGTTCTCTATCTGGGTATCATAATGGGTACTGTCACTCGAGGGCTATTGACGTTGCCTCTAATTCGGATCAGAATCGAGCCTTGGGGGACCTGGCTCTCTCTGTTTCCCTCCGCAACCCGGCCGCTCACTTACTTCCAGGCGAGCATCTCACCATGCACCGCCAAGAACCAGGCATCTTCCGTCTCGGCGAATTTTTGCACGGCAAGCAGCGTGTCTTGAATCTCGTCCTCAGTGATGCCAGCATCTAGCCAGCTCTCGCGAAAGGGGTCTCCCTGAGTCAGCTGGCCGGTGGCACGCCAGGCTAACCACTTCCGGATCTCCGGCCCGGCGGACACCACGGCTCGGGCGCCGATATGGACCTGACCGGCATCGGCGTTAAAGCCGGCCTTACGGAGAAGGATTGGCATGTTCGTCGACGGGGACTCTGCGCCGGGCACGCCTTTGTAGATCGCCCGACCTAGGTTGCGCACCCACAGCCGGTCGAGGTCTAAGCTCGCTGGGTAGAAGTGCTGCTGCAGCGCGTCGCGCGTGGCCAGGATGCCGCCCGGCTTCAGGACTCGTCGCATCTCAACCAGCGCCCTCAGCGGCAGATCTGGCATCGGCATATGCCCCAATACATGAGCAGCGTAGACGACGTCGAACGTATCGTCGGGATAGGGGAGTCTTTCCAGGACGTCGGCTTCCTTGAAAACGACGGAGCCTGGCCCCTCGGTGGGGGCGTTGACCTCAGCAGCCAATGTCTTCGCCTTCTCTAAAACGTTTGCTGAGATATCGATGCCGATTGTTGTGCCTTCGCTGGCGTACTTGGCCAAGCCTGTGGTGATTGTGCCTGGTCCGCAGCCGACATCGAGAATGTAGTCTGTCTTCTTAATGAGCGGCACCAGGAAGGCAGCCTCCGTCTCGGCCGTACGTCTCTGGTGGTTTGCGAGGGTGTAATTGGAGTAGCCCTGCACGTAGTTGCTCGGTTGAATGTTTTGCGCCATGTCTGCTATGTCTCAGGCGGGGAGGCCAATGTCTTGTGAAGTGCAGCCGTCCAAATATATGTCTGTTAACTGGTCACCTAAACCTGGGGGATGATGGCCGGTTTCAACGTTGTGCCCCGGAAATAGGCTTTACAGGCCGTATGTCCCTTAGCTGCATACGCCATCTCCAGGCGTTGAACCGTACTGTTTACTACTCCGTATGTCCCGGTGGTATTAAGAAAGGGGCCCACCAACATCAATTCCCGGTCGGCCAGTCTGGGCCGGATATGGATTTGTCATCCGTTAGAATCTCATGCCCGCCTACATCGGTGGTAGGGAAAAGAGTAGCGTTCTTGAAGGTAGTGAACGGGTCTGTGATGGCAGTAGGAGAGTAAGTTGGCTTGGTTTGAGAGAGCGGTCTCTTTGAGCTGCCCATCCTGGATGTCGCTATTGTCCTTCTCCGTCTATTATGAGTGTCTTCAACTCCAGACACAATGTAACCTCCAGCACCTCCTCTTGAACACCTATTCCAGGATGTGCAAATTTCAGAGCTCTGGGGTGGTTTGCCCTGGTAGGATGTTAGCATAGCGTCTCTATGTTCCCCATCCGCATGACTTGCTTCCAATCTTAGACTCGTGAGGACTCTCCTCGGGCTGTGAAGGGAATGAACTCCCTTGGTCGGAAGTACATTGCATAGCCAGCCCAGGCAGCCACAAGGACGACCAGGACAGCCATGATTGCAATGAAGATGACTATTGCCGTTTCCATTTTTTTGAAAGATGCAGGTAGACAAGGAGAGTTGCTGATCGAATGGACAGAAGACACTCTGGTTTGGATGGCAGTTGGAGGTTTCTTTCTGTGAACAATGGTAGAAAAGCAGTTGGTTTGTGATGCTCTCATCGACGTCCCTGTAGGTCTGTGGTTCTGATGCTCGATACACCTTATAAGCCATTGCTCTGGCGGCAAATAGCTCTGTTTGCGATGACATCGTCCCTTTTGGTGAGGCCAACAACCGCGATTTCGCTGCACCCTCTTCTTTGAACGACTGATTGTCACCAACACAAACAAGAGTACACCACAAACATCTCATGCACGCACCTTTTCTCTGCTGCTCCTCGCTCTCCCAGTGGACATTCAAAGGGTCCTTTGTACTGCCATCTCTTCTGCAGCCATCATCGTCATCCTGCCATTCAATCCCTTCCGTCCCTCATCTCGTCTTCCAGCCTGACCACAGCAGGAAAACAGACCATGACGAGAATAAAAGCCGGGACACGTACCCCTGCCGACGGTTTCGACGCCAGTACATCTGAGCAAGTACCAGTGATCGTGTCAAGGGCACAAACCGGAAATAAAGGCTGGAAAATCCTCAGTTCCAAGGATGTCGAGGCCGGCGACCCGATCTTTCATGAGAAAGCTCTCTTCCTAAATGTGGCGACCAAATACCAGCGCCCATGGAAAGGTCCGGCCGCCATCGGCAAAGAAACATTTGGCGCACTCATAAAATCAGTCGCAGCATTCATGCAGGATTCGGTTATCATGACCCGTGCGCTTGAGGCTCCTGTTCCTGAAACTGACTCACTTGGGTTTTTGAGGAACTACTTTACTCGAGATGTAAAGCTCCCAGCAGGAATTTCCGAGGAAGACGTTCTCGAGGGGCTATATGGCCAATCCCCACGGATGGAAACACTTGAGGGACAACAACGTGCACTGGAACTTGTTGGTCGTTTCTTCCGAGATGCCCTGGCCCTGGAGGTGGATAGTGGTCCGGAAGCAGTCTTTGCATTTTCCACTTTCGCCTGCGTTCTCAATCATTCTTGTCACCCGAATGCAATAGCCATTCCCAAACCTCGTGTACATCACTACGAGGGTTCGGACACTTTCATAGGCCATGTGCACGTTCGTGCCCTCCAGCCTATCAAGGAAGGCGACGAAGTAACCATCACATATGTGTCTGGTTTCAGACCTAGCCGTCAGGAACATCAGTCCGATATTGCCAGGTTGTTTGGGTTCAGATGTGAATGTGAGACATGTGAGTCCGATAAGCTCGACCCGAACCAGCGAGACTTGAGGAATGTCGTGTATCGCCTTTATAACGAGCTGTTGACACCTCCAAGCGTGGTGGACATTCCGGCTCCACTGGTGTATCGCAGAGCAGCTCTCGTTCTGGATGGTTTCGACGCCCTTGGGATCGTTCACCACCCGAAGAGGATTGTTTACGATATCTGCACTGTACGGGCCTGGGATATGGCAGACTCATTGCGCATGCATTTTTTCTCGGCCAAAGCGCTCGAATGGGCATCGGTTGCTTATGGTGATCTACTTGGCCCGGAACTCGAAAGAATCCAGCAGCGCGTGCAGATTGCCCTTTCAGGCGAGGTCGACCCTGGTGACGGTTCTATCTGGGGCCATTCCACTTACGTAGAGTATGACATGGACCCAGACTTGCTGGACGACCTGATGTTCATGATGAATCACGACCGAAATGATGAAGTGTACCACTGTTTGCGTGTCGTCGGCGGAAAGATTGAAGAGATTCCTGAGAAGGCCAATAGAAAGCGTATCCAGGCAATGCTGCAGCAGCAGCAGCAGCAGGAACAGCAGGAGCAGCAAACCAAGTCGCAAAAGGAAGACCTGCGAAGCATCGACGATATCGTCAGAGAGATAGAGGCAATGGACAAGCCAGAGTCCAAGAAAGCCTCCAAGAAGGCGAAGAAGAGAAGCAAGAAGAAGGCAGAGGAGGCACGGGAGGAGGATGAGGACGCCTTGCCTGCTCCCGCTTCTGCTCCTGCTCCCGCGCCTACTCCCGCTCCTACTGCTGCTCCTACTCCAGCTCCAGCTCCTGTTCCAGCTCCAGCTCCTGCTCGGTTTCGATTGGGAGATCTCAAGCCGTTCGTTTGTCCCTTTGGCGCCGCAGACGGCATCTCGAAGCAAGCATGGTTGCAGAACAACGCAACCAAGGAAGCGTTGCGTTACGAGCCACGAGACATAGGACACCTTCTCGCCGCCAAAGACGGCATGGGCACGAACCAGGAGGGGTTCGTGCTCAGAGCCCGTCGAGACTCAGTCGCTGGCCGAATCCAGGGGGAGAAGGAGTTCTTGGAGCTGGCCGGGCGATTGGGCCGAAAGATCAGAACCCATTCCTTCGGGAATGACGGTTCAAAGAAGGACCTGCTGAAAGAAGCAGAGGTCTGAGAGAGCAAGGGCTGGTGGAGGCCTGGTTGGTGGAGGGGGTTGTGCCTTGGGTCTCGGTGCCCCTTTAGGGGTCGAAATGTTAGATTTGCTTACTCCCATTGAATAGAAAGGAGATCCGAGCCTCTGGCAACGGCCGAGGCAACAAAATGCATTGTTTGACTCAGTATATCCATTGATTACTAGAGTTGTTGTGAGTGAGGCTGTACTCGACGAGGAGGAGGAGGTGTAGTCGGCAACTTGAACAAACACTCTTCCCAGAGCGGCAGGTTATGCGAGACATATCACGTGATATCACGTGCCATCAGGTATGTTCTTCTAAAGGTTATCGCGCATTGAGTATAGCGTCTTTTTGGTCACCAACAACGTCCGTCGTGTATTTTCGAACTCAGACGGTCTCCATCAGTAAGTATTCTCCACGATCTTGAATATAGCAGTCTCCGTAAGAGAGATACTCTACCTGAGTAGTCTTGACCACGGCGGCCGCTAGTCAAAGAAATATCTCTTCAACTTCTGTTAGATACGACTCCCTCTCGTTTCTAAATATTACCTAATAGACTGGGCGTTCTCTTTAGTTACAGTGTACTTTGATGAACTTTCTACCGGACGGCTTCCTAGATATTGATTACTAGTATCCTAGGTAGAGGTCTCCTGGTTTATACGGTATATCAGCCTCCTTAAACAACCATCTGGAGTTCATCGACCACATCGGCCCTGCATCACACAAACTACGGCCATGTCGCACTCCAAGCGCAACACATCACTGGCCTTTTTCACCTCACACGAACGCTCGCTACTCAGATCGAGCTGGGGAAGTCAATCGACCCGCCTGTCGCGAGAGTCATTCCTGCCCTTCGGATATTGTCGCTTATGTCTGGGGTTCGCCAAGAACCCTGTCGCATGTACAGATGGAGCGGCCGATGGGAAAGGAAACAGCACGAAGGTGCATCTGTTCTGCCGAGAATGTGTGTTGAACGATCTCATGGCGCAGAGGAGCGAGATCAAGCGGCTAGAACGAGAAAGCGTGCTGCGTGTCCAGGAGGAGCATGAAGCCGCAGCGCTAGAGGAAGAGGAGCGGCGACGCCGGGATCTCGAAGGATTCGAGAGAGCTGAGCTGGGCTTCGACGACAGTTACGACTATTCAACTTCTACGTCCAGCAGACCGGGGATCAAGAGAAAGCGCCAGGCGGAGGAGATGCACGCGCATCCTACCAACAACGTCAATGCACACGACCAGAAAAAAGCAAAATCCTCCGAGTCGAGTTTTTGGGTTCCGGGATCAGATGCGTTGGCAGCAGCATCAACGAAGAATTCCAAGTCGTCGCAGAAGCTTAAACTTCACCCTCTATGTCCAGCCTCGACACCTCAGACGAAGCATAGCTACTCCCTCAAGTCGCTCGTCATGGTAAACTTCACAGAGAGCGACCTCGATACCGCAAGCAGCGGAGATGAGCCGGCGCGGATATGCCCGAGCTGCAAGAAAGTCCTGGCTAACACGTCGCGCCCTATGCTCGGCACAGCTGACGGGTGCGGGCATGTAATCTGCGGAGCATGCGCCGACCTGTTCCTCAGTAACTCTGGAAGTGAAAATTCGAAGCAAGATCTTCATGCGTCGGACACGATACGTGGTATGAAGAATGGCGGGGAGGGGGAGGAGCACGAGCAGCCACAGCGGCCACGAATCACCTGTTATGTCTGCGAGGCAGACCTGAGTGGCAATTCTGCCATAGCGGGCGAGGAGAAGGAGAACGATAACGGGAATGGCTCGAAAAAGGACAGGAAAGACAAACCCGAAAAAGAAAAATCACGGACTAAGGACAAAAGGATAGGAGGCAGGCTGGTCGAAATCAGTTGCGAAGGGACCGGGTTTGCTGGCGGAGGGACGAATGTCGCAAAACGGGACGGCGTAGCCTTCCAATGTTAAAGTCGAGCAGATTGAGAAGAATGGCCAATGACTTGGGCAGAAGCTATCGTCCATCGTTCCTGGTGGCTGCTCCAGGCCACAAGTTTCTTCAACATGCGGATGGCAATCTGCCCGTCAGCCCGACTTATCTTTATCAGAAGGTAGTATGAACAACTTGAGGTGATCTAGAGAAGACCAGATTGCTACTGCGTGGTTCTGCTTATATGTTTTGGGTATCAATCGTGCCACATGCCACATGCCACATCCTCAACGCGAATTCGTTAGGCCATCCAGAGAAGCATCCGTGTGTGATTCTGATCCTGTCGGGTTTGTCGAGAATGATCCAAAGGAACCAGTCGGCACACATTATCAACCATCATCAATCCTGCACCCGGGGCCAAGTCGCGATTCAAACCGTGCCCCAATGAACTCCTCGCTGTATCCCAAGCATGTGCCTCGCTCCGTACGTACAAGACACGGCCACGAGAATGCCCCCAACGTTTACCAAACGGGTTTATGACTCAAGAACATCAAAACGTCTCGTGCAAGTCGTAGCGTTCAGTCACATTATTCAACTGTCGCGAAGGCGGCCTCATCTCAGCCGCGCTGTCGCCACGGACAAATCCAGAACTCTGTCGCCTGGCAAGACCAGGTACTCGTGTTGGAGCGCCACCCAGACTAGGCCGTTTCGTCGGACTCGGAATGGCGGAGCCGACATCACTTGTTCGTTTTGTAAACGTGGTCCGGCGCGGTGTCGGAGTCACCACGTCTGTCAAGTCCGTCGGGGTTGGCATGATGCTGCTCTCCTCATCTAGCGCTCCATCATACCCATAGCTACTCAGGCTGCTTTGCGGGCGAACCCTGTCGGTCGAGGCGTTGGGGGCATGATTTGACCCGACTCCACTGCCCAAGGCAACCCGGAAGCCAGACACGCTGGCCCGACTACCTGGACGACTATGACTTGGCGCGAACGAGGACCGCCCTGATATGCCACTGGCTCTGGATGCCGGCCTATGTAGCGGAGGTGCGGCCATTCCACCTCTGCTCGGGGAGGGAGGCTGCCGATTCAAGGACGGTCGACTTGCTTTCGGTCTGACAGACGGAGTCTCCTTCCCCTTATCAGGCAGAGATTCCACCCCGCTGATGGTGCTCCCACCAGTACGCTTGCGAGTCCGAACCGTCACAGACGAAGGAACGTGGTTGCCCAGCGCCGATCCACTCCTAGGGGAAGCCCTTGGCGGCGTATGCACCGGCGCCGGAAGCTTCGATCTTGCAGTTTGCACGCGTTGCTCCAACTTCTGCATCTTCCCGCGCAAGTCCCTAAGATGGATGATAGATGTCGATTGGGGCAACCCTGCCTGTCGAAAAGCCACCGGCCCATTTTTGGACAGGCTTTGCCGGAACGTCGATGAAGGCCCCGTTCGTGACAATGCAGCCACTGATGTGCCTCGGACATGCCCATGGGGTCTGGTCGGTACGTTGTTGTTGGAGGTGGCGGCGGAGGTGGAAGCAGTGGGTCGGTGTGTCGAGGCAGTGCCATTGAGCGAGGGTCGAACCTTGGGAAGTCGTGGTGTTGCAAACGGCTTGGATACGTTAGCCGATGCGTCCGATATTGGAGGGGAAGGGGGTGTCGGGGCGTCGGAAATGCCGGAGGATGAAGGTGCCTTCGTGGGAGGAGTGTCGAAAGTCGGGGAAGAAGCGTTGGTGGTGGTGGGTGACAGCTCAGATCGAGGCGAAGCGGATGATATTGTAATGGGATGCAGCATCAGAGTCTTGTCTCGTCGGGCCAGTGTCTCCAAAGCCTTGCGCAGCTTTTCCTTGGTGATATCGCTCTCGATCTTCAGGTCGGATAGTTCGTCTCGAAGCCTTTGGGTCTCAATTCGCAGGCTTTCTCGTTCTTGCTCGCCACTGCGCATTTCCTCCTCCAACAAAACGCTTCTCTCGATTGCCTGATTGTACTTTGATTCCATATCCTCTAGAGACGACTCCGTGTTCCGTTGCTTTCTCTCGAAGTCATCGTTGGCGACTTCAATGTCACGCAGTCGCATTTGGAGCGTTCGATTTGCATCTCGGAGTTCGGTGATCTCCTTTTGTAGGGTGTTTTGAGCGCTGGATGCTTCGGTCTTGGACTGCCTGTATTTGGTCTTCCATTCGTCCACCTCATACTGGAGATTGGCTGCCTTCTCCTTTAATTGGCGTTCGCGCTTTTCCGATGCCTCGATATCCTTTTCCAACTCGGCCTCAAGATCCTTGCTGGATGCTTGGAATTCGGCAAGTTCGGCCTCGAGTGACTCGTATTGCGCCTTGTAGTATTTTAGGGAGTCTTCGAGGGAGGTACTGGGGCCTGGGGGCGAGGAGGGGACGCCGTCGGAAAGGGGCATGTTTCGTGGGGCGAGAGTTTGGTGAGTTGTCGCAAGGGATCACTGGCAATCCAGGAATCTGGTCGAAACGGCGTTATTATACTGGCAACAATTCGACTGCCATGAATCAGGTTCTGCTGCCTGCTGGTGCTTCGTGTGGGTTTCGAAGCGGTGACCGTGGAGGACGTGTGCGGGTGTTGTTGAGGACTGTTGAGAAGTTGTTGTCGGCAGAAGATGAGGTGCTATGCTGCTATGGTTAGTATCACTGTTTGCCCGCGACGGAGCGGTGGCCGTCAAGCCTTGTTGTCGATTAAAGAATGCGGGCTGGCCTCATCTTCTTGCAGTGGTGATAATCGACCGGCAGCGTGTCAACACAACAGCGTCACGGGCGGCGCAGCAACACCCAGGCGCCAAGAATCCTTACCAACGACGCGATTAGTGCCTACATGCACCTAGACGTGTCCCTTGTAAGTACCTACCAGGTACCAATACTAGCACCTAATGTTACAGGGGACTCTCAAGGTACAATAATGTATCAAGGTACCTTAGGCAGCATCGCATTGTCAAGCATTGATACGCCAGTAATCTCTCTCTAAATATCATTGACATTCGTATATAGCATGTCTATGCTCTGAGGACGGGTACTCTGTACCTCCAAAACACCGCAGGATTAGCGTTAAGTCAACTGGACCGCTAACCCGCCTACGGATAAAACAGTTCAAAGGTTTTCTGCGAAATACCATGTCCATCACAACCATCTCACTCCCAACCGCAACAGCAAACATTTGACCAACCTGTAAACCTGTCGACCCTCAAGCTGTTCAACTTCAGTTCCAGATTTTACACCCTACAATTCCCTCCCCATGTCTCGCAACAGCAGACTCGCGCCGGAGGCGAACCGGATCCTCTTCATCAAGAATTTGGCCTACAACATCGACTCACCGGCGCTCTTCGACCTCTTCGGCAAGTTCGGGCCGGTTCGACAAATCCGCGTGGGCACATCGAACGCCACAAAGGGCACGGCCTATGTTGTCTATGAAGACGTGTTGGATGCCAAAAGCGCATGCGACAAGCTGAACGGCTTCAACTTCATGAACCGCTATCTCGTCGTGCTGTACCACCAACCAGAGAAGATGAAGACGGAAGTCAAGGAAGACCTTGTTACCCGACAGGAATACCTGGACAAAATCAAGAAAGAGCATGGAATTGACTGAATGAGACGGGCCGGTTTCTAGACGATTGAATGAAAATTGGCTTGTTTCCAACGCCCCTGGCTGGCACACCGACGGTCTGCCAGTGGATTGCGCCGTGGCCGGAGCGGTAGAAGGAAACAGAACAGACTTGAGTCTTGTCAAGCCCAGCCGCCCCAGTTCTGATGGACGGAAACTCGCGACAAGTTAGGATTCCGACACAATATGTGGGCACGCATCACGACGATGTTGAGTCAGACGGTTGAGGTCCCGCGCCCAACGCCGCAAAAGGGAGCTGGGACATGAAATCTTGAGTGTGCGGTGGACGCGACACAGAGGCACAGGGCCGTAGCGACAATACCATATGCGAGAAGCTCCTCGCCTGCTTGGTCTGGATGGTCTGGCAGAGCAAGGTATATCCCGCAGACACGCGATTTTCCACTCTCAAAGGAGGTGAGAGTCTTTTGCATGTTCTATAGTCTACTCCTCAGAGAGCCTCTGTACTGCTCTCACTGGCAAGGCCTGAGGAAGGTATCAGGCTCTCCAAAGTATCGCCACTGGAGTAGCGGAGTATGGTGCTGTCCAAGACTGTGATAGCTACATATTATTATTAGTCCTGCTTGCGCATTTCTCCGCGCGAGCCTTACCTTTCTTTTTTTTCCGTAATTGATTATTAGGAGGGTTCTAGACCTCTTCCATCCCTGATATGTCTGGGATCTCCAGGGAAACTCGCTGAACGTTCACATAACTTTTGTATTGGGTGCTAGCTAAACCGATGCGACGACAGGTAGACAGCGAGCAGATCACTGCCTCCCCCTACGCCTGGCCCCATGACGCATCCTTCAATCAAAGGACCACGGCTCTTGTCATTATTGACATGCAGCGCGATTGTGAGCATTTCCTGCCTCAAGATTCTGTCTAGGTCGAAGGACTGATTCACGACAGTCTGCGAGGTTGGCGGCTACTTCGACTGTCAAGGGTACGATGTAGGCAGCGCTCGAGCACTCATCCCCATACTTCAAACCCTTCTCTCTGCCGCTCGCAAGGCTCAATTTCCAATCTTCTTTACCCGGGAAGGTGTGTAAAAGGTATGCCGCAACTGGTGCCCCTGACTGAAACTTCCGCAGGCCACAGACCGGATCTTTCCACTTTGTCAAGCCGAGAACAATTTCGCTCGAGAAATAACCCGCGCCATCTGGGGATTGGGGACAGAGGTCCATTGGGCAGATTCCTAATTCGTGGAGAGGCCGGACATGACGTTATTACTGAATTGCAGCCACGTCCCACCGATCTCCTTATCGACAAGCCGGGACGAGGAGCCTTTGCTCACACTGATTTTGAGCACGTTCTGCGGCTTCGTGGGATCAGAAATCTGATCCTAACCGGGGTAACGACCGACGTTTGCGTGTCCACAACCATGCGCGAGGCAAACGATCGGGGATTCGATTGCATCATTGTGGAGGACGCGACAGCAGCAGCAACACCGGAACTGCACCGTTTTGCACTGGAGTCGGTGAAGATGGAAGGTGGTATCTTCGGTGCCGTCGCACACTCCCGACATGTTATTGGAGCCTTCAATTAGATGCATCCAAGCAAAGGATCGAGCAGTAGAGAAGCCAGCGCAAATATTGTCTCGCTTTCAAGTTTGACGTGACGGGCTTGTTGACAAGACTGCTGCCGTAAGATGCTTCAAGATGGCGGACGACATCAGCCATTTCCAAGGATTACATCCCCCTAAATGTGTTGCCAGAAGCGCTTCTTCGTTCTTGATATCGTCCGGTCTTTTTGGAGGCATTATCGCTTCTTTCTGCTGCTTTGGACTTCCTATCGCTTGGTTCAAATGTGATCAGCTTGTCGCCCACGGCACTACCAATGCCAGTAGGCCGCTTCGCTCGCTGAACAGGCTGCAAATTCTCAGCTCGAGATCTAAAAGATCGATCATGCGGCGTTTTCGGACCCGTCTTCGACCCCGACGAAGTAACTCGCACTTGCATCTGGTCTCGTCGTTTCTCTTTCTGACTAGGGCGACGTTTGTAATCTGCAGTAGATACTCGATCAGTAGTCTTGTACCTGTTGGGTCCCGCTGCATTGTTATCTGAAGTATCCTCATCGCTTGACCCAGGCACCTCATCAAGTTCCTCTTCCTCAACTGCGGTAAGCCCTTTTTCGCGATCATGATTAGACGGTGGAGCGACTTTTGTGCTAGCATTAAGTTGCTGGAACTCTCTTGAGGTTTCATCCACGGCGAAATCCTCATCCCGGAACAATTTTGCAAATCGAGAATCCGCGAGCAGACCCTTCTCCTCCACTGGAGTGGTTCCGGCCTGACCGGCTTCCAGAGCAGCGCGTTCGTCACCACCCTGGGCCAAGACTCGTTGAGCACGTCGTTTCTCGTTCTTCTCCTCGCGTTCAAGGATTCTCTCCACCATCTGGCGATTGACTTTGGCTGTAATCTTTTTCTTTCCTCTAATTCGGCTTTCCCGTTCTTTCTCGATCCTTTCTTGGACACGTTTCGCCCGTTCTTCTTCCCAGCTGGTGGGGTTTGCAATAAGTCTTGCTTCCTCATAGAGACCTTGGGCAACGAAGAAACCATGCATGTAAGGTCGGAGAAGGTTTGTCTTTCCAACAAGGTGATCCAAGTTTAGCATGCGAAGTTGAGCTGGGGTCAGGAATTTGTAGTTGTCGTAGACTTCGCCAACTTTGGTCCGAGAGAACGCGTACGGATCATTAGGATCGTCGGCCATTTCTTCCACAACATTGTCAAGGAAGGAACACCATCTGGGGGCAGGGCCAAGTTGAGGGATGAAGAAAGCATGCTGCTGTCGACCTTCGTTGGCTGTCAAGAACATTCCACTATCCTTGCACCAAGCCACGCAATTGATATCGACAGCTGGCTCCACCGACGTCCACGGTGTACCGTCTCGCTCATCCCAAAGCTTTAATATCCGCCGATCCGCGGAAGCCACCTTCGGCTCGGAGATAGAAGCTCGAGTCATGCTCGGTTGAGTCAGGTACTGGACATAGTGGATTGGATATCCATAACCTTGATCCTTTTTCAGGGTTGGGACCGGAGACCGAAGATCGTAAAGGTAAATGAGGCCAGAAGAGGTTCCAACAGCGTTGCTGATGCCCGCCTGATGGAAAGCAAGTGCTGTAACTTCAGGACGCCCTTCGTAATCTGTTGGCAATGCCAGGGTGGCTACCCGAGCCCTCGACCTGGTGTCCCAGTACTCCACGGTCCCGAGAGAAGTGCCGAAAGCCAGAAGGTTATGGCTTCCTTCGGCCACTGCTGCAACATTCACGCTGCCAGTTCGAATGCCTCCTTGTAATGCGCCGCCACCCACAGAGTGCATGTCATCCCCCCCGACATCTAACTCAAATGCATTCATGAAACGGCCCAGCTCAAGGTTGATCCTGAAAACCTCTCCCATCCCGTTAGAATTGACCCCAACGGCAGGGACTAGTAGTTCGGTGTTGCTCCGGTCATATGCAAGGTCCCGACCGTAACGTGGGATCCGGAGAGAGTCATGACAGCCTCCCGGAGTATGGAATTCTATGCTGCGGTCCTCCTGCAGATGAACGGTTTTGGAATAGTCAGAGGACAGGAATAGAAAGGTCTTGTTCAGAGTATTTGTATGCCTGGCCCAGGAAAGTGCAAGATTGGGGAGGTAGTGTGTATGAATCTGAGGCTTGTAGGTGCCGGTGCTCATGACCCATTCGCCATCTTCACTGATGCGAACACATTGACTGGCCTCTTCAAATTCAAAATCCTGCAACAGTTCCACTCGATTGGCATATTTGGGATCCTTCTTGCGCCTTTGCTTTTCTGGCAGCCAGTCTGGGAGGTTTCGCGAGGTCGATGAGCCCGAAACCGTGTACACGGGCACTGTGCTGTTGGTGATTCTCATGGTTGACTAGTTGAAGGGAGCAGGTGCGCAAGCATTATGGGGAGAGGGACATCAGCCTGCAGCGGGGAAGAAGAATCACAGCCTACTTCTTGTCAGCATACATGATACATGCCGGTGGAAAGACAGTGGAGGTAAAAGTGAGTGGCCATCGTGTACATACCTGGTGAGAGGCAGCCTCCAGTCCGTGGCAAGAGAAATTTTTGGAAACGCAGGCAAATTCGGCACGGCCAAGGGAGCGGTCACGTGCCGAGGTCTCACAATCCGCCAACAACAACTCATCAAATTAGTAGCAGTGTTCAATCTGCCTTCAATGTCTAAAAGCACACCAGAGCTGGCCTCTAGTATCTCGCTATATCACGCTCTCGCCGTCCTCGATGTATTCCTTCGCTTGAACCTCTCTGAGTCGGGCAGTAGCGTCGCTGGTTAGACGAAATATTCCAGACCAACCTCGCAACCGTCCTCCTCCTACTGTGCTTCCTGTAGGAGTCCATGGTCTAGACTGGTTTCCTGCATCAGTGCCACGGACAGTGCAATGCGCCGCAAAAACTTCCAACCTCTATCGTTGTGCCTTCTGTGGCACTTGATCGAGCTTCTGCCCAACGGCTGACAGTATGACGACCACTCTCGATCTCCCAAACAACTACTCCACCAACGTCTTCACTCTTGTAGGTCTGACTGCCTCAGCTCTCTGCTACGCTGACAGCTTGGTAGAATGACTTTGCAGAGATTGCTTATATCGTTTGCACAGTTGCAACACCGCCGACCCAAGACGCCGTAGCAAGTAGCTCGACTCCGGAGAACATTCTTGCTCGGCTCCGGAAGACAGAGCAACAATTCCGCGAAGCTTCAATTCTCGCAGCGCTGGATGTCGAGACCCGTCAACTATTTACCTTTTACAAAAAAGTTGATATCGCCAATGCCAAAGACCAGAAGACGCTATTGAGCAAATTCGGCTATGTCCTCCGTAGCAATACTTGCACTATAGCCTATAAGACGGCCGCACGGCTTCCGGATTTGATTAAGCCGGAGCAGGCTCGATTATACCGCCTCTTCACTACTGCGGTTGTCTCTAGCATCAAGCTTCTTCCCGATGGCGATTCTGCTGTTCAACCGGTAGGGCCAAATCTCTACTTGGTTGAGCGAACGGCATCAGAGGGCATGAACTCATTTGAGTCGATTAGCAAGTGGAGCCTCTATCGTATTGACCTGCAAGTCATTCCAAGCGGCCTTCTCGTTTTGACAATAGCGAAAGATGGGAACTTAACATTCCTCCGGATGTTAGAAGTCACCCAAGACTCCAATCGACTTCAGCGCCTCATGAGAGATTCCACTGCGGTGTATCTTGCGCCAGTTGGACGGATTGCACGGTTAGCCTATCGAGGTATCGAGTCTAGAATCGCCCTCGCTGCGGACCATCCTGGACAAGTGCTTGTCGGAGATCAGACCCTGGACGTGTGGAAACAGCTGTGGAAGGAACTGCTACCGCCATGGCTGAAAGAAAACATGACCACAGCGACTGGTACTGAAGATCCGGGCTGGATTGAGGCAGAGATTCCAGTGCAAGAGGTTGATGCAGAGTCAAGACGTAGTCCAAACTCTCCGAGTTCGCCTCAGTCCTCCGACGAGAAGGTCATTTGGAAACCCATATCTTGGCCGGCGAGTCTGTGCTTTGTCCTAGACAGTCATTGCACTGACCCTGTTAGTCCAACTAGCAGTGACGAAGATCCCATGCAGTTCGTGCAAGATTGGCTCACTGGCACTGGAAAACAGCCTGCGTCTACCATGATGGCTGGCCGTTCACACCGAGACACAGGAGAAGATGATGATGAACTACTCTTCGCCGACGAGGACGCATTTGAAGATTCAGAGCACTTCCAACCGTTTGCGCCTCCAGCATTTCCGGGCAGCCAAAGCATCTACCCTACGCCTCCCGATGTCCTGATGGCACATCCTACCCCAGGACTTTCGTCAATGGACGGAGTGTCAATGACCCCTGCTAACCTCGCCCGAGGACCGTCTGATGCGGTACAGCAGTATGACTCAGAAATGCAAGACTTGGAGGACGTGTCAGGGCCTGGCGGCCTCTCTGGGTTCTACGATGAGGACCTTTTCGAAGAGCTGCCTGATGATCACTTTGGCCAGGAAGGCAACGGCGACGAGCCCAATTGGGATTTTTTCGATCGTCCAGGCGGTGACAACAAGGCGACGCCCATGGCGACGTTGGCTCGAGGCGAGATCTTTTCAGCGAGGACCGAGCTCCCAGATGGCGCAAAGAGCGCTGAGGATCGGCTGGCTAACGACGACATCAGAATGCGGTGGGAGCATCAGAGCGACAGTAACAAGGTTACAGCACCCGCCAGCACGACTTCATGGCCCGAAGGGAATATGGAAAAGCAGGATTCTACGTCTAATACAGAGAAAAGAAGTTTTCCTCGCCAACTCGACCTGGAGAATAGGTCCCAAACCTCCCAGAGATCAGGGCATCCAAAATCGAGATACAATGTTGTCGCAACTCATCCTAAAGGAGCAGGTCCTAGTCGCCGGTCAAGCATGTACGATGGTATACGCCCCATGTCAACAACCTCTGATAGGGACAACAGATACATGGCGGATGGCGATTACTGGTTTGACCCAAATCCAGAAGCTCCACAGTCTTCGCACCCATCTAAATTCGCAACTATCTTTCAAAGACCTTCATCGAGTTCCTCCGGAAGCGGTAGTTCCGTGGGCAGCCTCTACCCTTCATCGGCTCTCGAGGCCTCCGGAAGGAAATCCCCTGATTTTCCAAGACAATGGACTGAATATCAACAGCCGCCTGATGTGGTCAATAGTCTCAGTGAGGTTGATAGGAAGTCAGCCGAGCATGAGATCCAGCATCTTCTCACCCTACTGAAACCTGGTTTCCTGGAGGTCCCCTCGATAACTGATTTCGGATCGCATGATGGACTCCATACGATCCCAGAGGTCGGCTCCAATGAGCTCATGCAGATCGCTCATGTACTTGTTGAGCAAATATCACAAACGTCTCTAAACACCACAGAAATGCGTCTTAGTGAGTCGCCCGAGATGCCTGGAGACCTGCTGGGTGTCAATGTCGACCTAAGTGGCATAAATACGTCTACAAATGCGTCATCTGTGCAGCAACTTGTCCATCTCAAGGTGGACAGCAACAACTCCAAGGGACAGGGAAAAATTGTAAAGCTCCTTCCTAGCCAAATATGTGTTCGACGCGCGGATCAGCCACTTTTGGCTTCAGCTTCTATCTTGGACTTTTGGGATACTTTGAACCTGCAGCCCGAAAGCGGCGTCAAGAATGTCACCGCCTTCTGCATACACCCAGATGCTCGAAATGTGGCCGATGGTTGTTCGAATCTCCTGCATCGGATGGCAGATACTTACAGCAGCTGTGCGCTCGGATCGCATTCGACAGGACGCCTACCTGGTGTGACTGATGATGGACTAGTGATATGGGATCAGAAAGGTCCCAGCCGTTCCGGTCTCCACGAGACCTGCCAGAGATTGGGCAGTGCGCTTGCCACAGCTTCTAGTACCAACGACACTGTCATCGTCTACATGATTAGCCAGGATAAAAGTGCGGCGGCTTATCTCCAGGCATGTCAAGCATTCTACACACTGTTTGAATCATTCAGACGAGGACTGGGAGACCGGCAGGACTTCTTCGACATTGCATTGCAAGTCATACCACCGGACTTCATTGCAAGCCCGGAGACGTTGGTGATACATCCTCAAAGTACCTATATCAAGTTAGCGATAGAGGTTTACAACCGCCTGCCGCCATCAGACCTCTCGGGACCACCGGCTGCTGCCGGGTCTGCGATTGTGCTAGCGAAGGCAGACAGTTCTGTTCATTTTCGACTTTCTCCAACCTTTACCTCGCCACTATTCAAGAATGGACCGTGCCTCCACCTTGCATATTCTATCAGTGTCAATGGACGATGGATTACTGCGGCCTGGACCGACGAACTTGGCCGAGTTGCGTTGATCATGTCGTACTGTATTCGCTTGTACGACCCGGCGCGCCAGAGGCCAAGGCAAGAGATATTCCAGGAAATGTGGGAGGTATCGCACGACATCATGGGAAGAGTGCACAGCTCTTGGCATTTGGCTGTCGTGAAGCAAGGTCATTATGAGCCCGCCGAAGTGCTTGAGTGGCAGCAGATTATCGACGGTTCCAGCACGTCGCGGACAGGATGCTTGACACTGCTCGTCTCGGTCCAACTTGAGCCAGTTTTGAGGGTCTTTCCACCACATGCTCAATCAAAGTCGGGTCAGCCAAGCTTACAGAATACATATGGAACCCCAGCCTCAACGCCACAAGCCAGTATGACGTCGCCTGATCAGATCGTCGCCGCTACACCTACACCTGGTGGAAGCTCAAATCTAAATGCGCCAACTCCCTCTGACCCTGGGTTCGATCCCAATATCGACGGCGATCTTACACTCCTCGACCCGACAGAGGAGAGCTGGGGCCTTATCCTCCCGTACGGAGTCAATCAATCAACAAATATGGTTGATCTTCATCCCGCATTGGCAACTGGATTGCTCATCAAACGAAGAGGCCCTAAGATTGAAGACGGATGCATTGCGATTGAAGTCAGTCTAATTAGGTCTTCAGCACCTGCGACGGCAACTTCCACCGAAAGCTCGAACGACGAATTGCTTGAAGAATTGATAGCCCAGTACCGCGGTCTTGTCACTCTAGCCGTAACGCGAGGCTGCATTGATCCGCTGATTGAATGTGTCCCATGGCACATCGCAGCGTCGTCGAGAGGCTCTCGGATCCTTGGAGAAGTCCTGTAGTGTGAGAAACCTCTCCACGATCCTGGTTCGATTTAGGAGCGTGGGGAACTGAGCACCAGCAATATCCTAAACGTCTCTGCTTCCGTATTGATGGCGCTCCAGCCGAGACTCGGCCACTGGACGGATGAGGTTTTCCCGGACTGGAAAATCCCCATCACTTACTGGACCCCCTCTACAGACGAGAACAGAGTAGGAGAAGCTGCTTGAGCTTGCGCTTCTGAGTTCTGGGGTACCATAATTCCGACGAAGCGATAGAGCATCCACCTTTTTTACGGCTCCGCTCTCACCTCAACCGTCAGCTCACCAAGACATCGGGAAGAGTTCGAGCCTTATTGCCCTTGGAATCTGGCAGCAGCATGACGCCTGACTTGTGGACCTCCTTCCACGAGCGTGGAATGGCAGGATCACCGGCCAAAGACTGCCGAGAGCCTTGTGCCAATCCCAGCTAGGCCGTGATCTGATTAGATGCGAACTAATTTCAAAGGCTGAGCACATCAGTGATGCATGCCCAGCTCGAACTTATGTCGGTTCGAGGGACCAGTCTGGAAATCGATGATCATTCTCTCCCTGGATCCCCAAGCTCCCCCTGGAGACTCGGGATTGAAGGCCGAGGAAGGTTTTCTGTTTCTCGGCATCGCTACCCAAGCCTCTGATACCCACCAGCTACTGGGAAAACTCTTATCAGATAAGATATCTACCAATACCCATCGAGCCCGACGAAGCACTCCTCCACAAGTATTGAGTGGCGCCCTTGGCTAGCATCATACGATCATCCCTATGTCGACACCGAGACTGTTACTCTATGCGTGTGCTTGTGCTCACCATGCGCGACTACTGGCTGGACTTGATGGACTTTTCACACATAGCGCTACCACCTTGACAACTCTCCACCCTTTGCAGGGTAAACCAAGGCGCCTCTGCCACGGGCACCCCGATCGAGCATTGACAGTGGGCTGAAGGCTCTGAGGTATACATAAGAGGGCCGAATTCTCATTAGTTCCAAGTACAATGATTTTTTCATTTTCCGGCTGCTGTGCACAGGCTCAAAGAAGTCACGGACAAGACTCTCTTTCTTGACATCGAACAATGTCTTCCTCGGGCGGATCTCAGGCCAAGGTCCAAGAGTTTCCGAGCGACCAAAAAGATGGGCTCTACCGCACTCAAGAGAACGGCGAACAGCCGTCTGATCGGCGTGACTCGATCCTCGTCGACGACAAGTCGCCTGGTGTGGCTAGGATTGAGGCAATGAACCAAGTCATCACCCGGACCGATCGAATCTTTCTCTTCATCGGTGTCTTCCTCATCGCATACGCCTACGGCCTCGATGGAACTGTACGTTACACCTACCAAACCTATGCAACGGCGTCATTCAAGAGTCACTCCCTACTAGCCACTATCAACGTCTTGCGCGCGGTTATTGCGGCTGCGGCACAGCCTACCGCGGCCAAGATAGCCGACGTCTTCGGGCGTCTGGAGTTGGTTTTCGTCAGCGTTGTCTTCTATGTGGTCGGGAGCATTATTGAAAGTTGCGCGACCAATGTCAACACCTTCGCTGGAGGCTCGGTTCTGTACCAGATTGGCTACACCTGTGTCATGCTTCTCGTGGAGGTCATCGTTGCCGATATTACCTCCTTGCGGGCTCGGGTCTTCTTCAGCTATATTCCTACCCTGCCCTTCGTCGTCAATACGTGGGTCAGCGGCGATATCACCGAGGCGGTCCTAGCCGCCACGACGTGGAGATGGGGTATCGGAATGTGGTGCATCATCTATACAGTGTGCGCAGTACCACTAATGATTTCACTGTGGATCGTGGGTCGTCGTGCTCGGAAAGCCGGTGTTTTGGATAAATACAAATCCCCGTACGAGACGCTGGGAGCGAAGCATTTAATCGTGGGACTCTTTTGGACCTTGGATGTGGTCGGCATTATCTTGCTGATTGCTGTCTTTGCTCTCATCCTAGTTCCTCTGACCATCGCGGGCGGTATTGCATCCAAATGGCGTGCCGCTCATGTCATTGCACCACTGGTTGTCGGTATTCTGTGCATTCCGGCATTCGTTGTCTGGGAGCTTCGGGCTCCTCGTCCTCTTGTGCCATTCTACCTGCTGAAAGACCGGGCAGTCTGGGGTGCATTGGGAATCGCGTGTACCCTCAACTTTGCATGGTACATGCAGGGCGACTACATCTTCACGGTGCTCCGAGTGGCCTTCGATTTCAGCGTCAAGGGAGCCACCAGGGTCTCGTCGCTCTACAGCTTCACTTCGGTTATTGTTGGCTTCGTCTTGGGGTTGATCGTCTACAAGGTTCGGCGCCTGAAATGGTTCATTGTAGCCGGCACCTGCTTGTTCATGGTGGCCTTTGGCCTCCTGATTCACTACCGGGGGTCGCCCACTTCAGCTGGCCAATCCGGTGTGATCGGGGCACAGGTCTTGCTTGGTTTCGCAGGAGGCCTATTTCCGTACCCAGCTCAAGCGTCCATTCAAGCAGCCTCCAAGCACGAGCACGTTGCCGTCATTACCGGAATCTACCTTGCAACATACAACATCGGGTCTGCATTTGGCGGCGCTGTTTCTGGGTCGATATGGACCCAGGTGTTGCCATCACAGCTTGAGGAGCGCCTCGCTGCATTTGACAATTCGACCCTGGCTGCCGCAACATACGCAGACCCGTTCTCAGTGATCGCGGAATATCCGGTTGGCACTCCCGTCCGGACAGCGATCATTGCGGCTTACCAACATGCTCAAAGACTGCTTTGCATCACGGGCATTTGCCTCTGCGTGTTATTGATCGGATTTTCGTGCTGTCTCAGAAACCCCAAGTTGGGCGACGAACAGAGTTTGCCAGAGGTCGAGGAGAAGGGTGTCCGCTGAATGGCAACAACAGTGTGGTGGGAAAGGAACATGTGTAACATATTGTAAATATATATTCCGTATACATATACTCCGTATGCATGGCACTTCTGCCTAGACAGTATTGGCACTCATAGGTCATACGCTTCTACAGTAGGTACCCTACGGCAGTTCCTTCACCATGTCCAGACCCTCGGTGTCCAGTGACAGCAAGAGAGTGTGCGTGTGCCCCGTGTCGAGAGCAGCTGATGGCAGGTGACATTGATAGATGCCCCTCGTTGTTTGGTGAGTGGGCGCTTCACAAGACCTCGCTTGTCCATTAGTGGCTGCTCTGCTGTTTTCCCCCATTCAACATTCACCCACGAGTGTATTGAAGAGCAAACGGTGAGAAGAGGGGGCCTTGAACATCATCTAGCGACTGCCAAACTGTTGTGGTACTCAGTACTCGCAGTATCCGTGCGGACTCTATCCACCGTCTGTGAATCCGTCAGCTCGATTGGCGACGCGCTTGTCAAAGGCAAGCGCCACTCTTTGTCTCCGGCATCGCCGGTGTTTGCTCCGTCCTGCTGCACCAAGCTGTTACAGTGTCTCTACCAGCTAACCGCCATGGCAGTATTGTAGTACCATACGCCTCCGCCGCAATACGACGCCGTTATGGCTGCCCCTAACCTTCCCTCAAGGGTCAAGACCACCAACGACTCTGACGATGAGGCCACACCGGACGGCGATCCCTCGAGCACCTCGGGTCTCCTGATTGAGCGTTTACAGGCTTGGAAGCATATGTGTGGATACTTGGAGAACTATGTCTCTGCCGTGGCCAAAGACCAGGCAGCCAGGGCCAAGGATCAAGAGAAAGTCCTGAAGACATTGTCCACTCCCCTCCGTGAGGGCCACCATTTCGATACAGCTCTGGGGGGAGTTGCAAGCTTTTTCGAAAATCTCCGCGCCAATACCCAAGCCCAGAGCATCCTGTACACGGAAACCTCCAAGAATCTGACGGGCTCTGTTCTTCCTATTCTCGAGCGATTACACGCCGAAATCAAAAACAAGAACAAGGAGATCACGGGCGGAGCAGGCAAGGGCGCGAAGGCGGTGGAGCAAGCCCGGGCAACCTCGCAGAAGCATATTGAACTGCTGGGCCAGCAGGCCGCCCATTTCGACGCGACCGGTGGCAACAAGGTCTCTGCACACCATGACCCCTATGTGGTTAAGCGAGGCGCCTTGCACCGCCTCAACAAGCAGCTGCTGGAGGAAAACAATAACAGACAAGACCTGATTGCAGTGCAGAACTCTTTCGCTCAGTTTGAGGCCCACATTATCACGACTGTGCAGACGGCCTTGGGCTCTTACAACCAGTTCATGAGCGGACAAGCGGATCGTCTCAAAGCAATGTTCGGGGACATTGTGTCTACTGCCAGCAACATCCCGTTGGATTTCGAATGGAACGGCTTCCTCAGACGCAACCAACATCTTCTTGTCAACCCCAATGCTCCACCCAGAAGCATGCAAGATGCCTCTTTCCCCAATGAGAACCATCGTTCCACCAAACCCATAATTGAAGGATCTCTCGAGCGCAAACATCGCGGTATGGGGGCTCTCAAGGGCTATAGCAGTGGCTACTATGTAGTCACTCCGGCAGGATTTCTACACGAGTACAAAGACAATGACAACTTCCACAAGGATCCCGTGCCTGAAGTGTCATTGTACCTTGGAGATTGCATTGTCGGAGCCTTAGATGGGCAGAAGTTCACGATCAAGGGCAAGGACTCGTCCGGAGGCAAGTTCGGGCAGAAGATGGCCATGACTTCGGACTTTCAGTTCAAGGCCCACACCAATTCGGATGCACAGCTATGGCAATCAGTCGTTGCGAGCTTCGCCCAGTCCTCGAACAGTTTGCCTACGAGCCCAATCGAGAGTCGGAATGTGACTCCCATCACCACCAACATCGACGAGCAAACGCAGGGAGTGACGAGCGGGCCGAACAGCGCCAAATCACCGAATCAGGCGTCATCTGCGACTCAGGCTGCTGCCGGACCATATCATGGCGCTCCAGCCTCGAATGCACTGGAAGAGCGAAAGTACGTGGAGAAGTGAGGGAGTGCGTTCTGATCAGGGGATATGATTTTGGCCAGAAATTGAGACTTGGGAATTTCTTTTGTGTCTTGTATCCTGTATGAAGCGCGTTACACGATTACCCCATAATGGACACCCAACCGATGCCCTTTTGATAGCCCGCCAATCCATCACATTACTTTTGACCATTAAGAAGTAACATTTGCTCTGCATCCAGCCTGTGCGCCGGGTAGTCAGGTTCTGTATCAGGTGGTGCGAATCCGACGAGACCGCTTTTGGGCGGGCTGAACTGCCTCAACTCGACGCCAGCCTCCTTCAGGACACGTCTACTGGCGTCATCCATGTTATACCCTTGAGTGTAGACGACCTCCTTGACGCCGACCTGGGCGATCTTGACACTGCACGTCAAGCAGGGGCATGTGTCGCAGTACAAGATTGTGCCGTCCCTGATCCTCTCGCGGCCGGCCTCGAGCAGCGCGTTTTCCTCGGCGTGCAGGCACAGACAGGTGGACAAGGCGGAGCCGCCGGAGCTGGCGTTGTTGCAGCGCGCACAGCCGCCTTCGTTGCAGTTGGTCAGGTTGCGTGGAGTGCCGTTGTAGCCCGTGGAGATGATGCGGGCGTTGTGGACCAAGACGCAGCCGACACGGCGTTTCATACAGTTGGATCGTTGGGAGGCCAACGACGCCAGGGTCATGAAGTAGGCGTCCCACGTGGGCCGGAGCCGGACGGGCGAAGGCAGGTCTAGGGTGGCGAGGAAAGAGTAGTAAGACGGAATGGTCGGGTGGGCGTTGAGGATCTGCAAGTGCGAGCGGGCTAACAGGTGTGCCGTGCCTGTCCCGGGGGATGATGATGCTATACATGGACCGACTTGGGGATGGTCATTGGGATGGGCGTGAGCTTGAGTCTGGTGGGAATGAGAGTGCAAGGTAGCTGTGGATGAGGTTGAGGTGTTGTCTGCCGATGCCGATGCCAATACTGCCGCCCGCGATCCGTAGAGTTGGAGGTCGTTGTAGTAGATGAAGTCGGCCAGGGGCATGGGCGACAGATTGCGGGCGCGGCAGCTAATAACAGGGAAGGGGGTCAGCGGGAGCCATGATCTACTGAGCGTCGACATACCGGTCACTGAACCTCCCGTATCGGATGCCCACCGGGGCATCGACGTTGAGTAATAAGAAAAACGGACGTCTCAGCAGGGCCTCGAGCGTCGCTTCGTCACAAATGTCCGTCAGCACCCAGTGTTCGCGCCATCGCCTGGTCACGAACTCGAGCAGGTTGTCGACGTCCGGGAAGGTCAGGCCCCGCGTGCCTCTTTGGTCGGTTACGCTGGGTAGGAGGCGGGCCACAGTCTCGGACGCGGACCCGGACCCGGACGCAGAGACAGAAGAATCAGACGAGGTCTGTCCGGGGGAAGAGTCTCGCGGCGGGCTGTAATTGTGAGGTGGTTGAAGTTGCGACGGGCTCGGCAGATGTAGTCTCAGAAACCCATGGTGTTGGACCAGATACTCGGCCGTGCTGTGCTTGCCGGCGCAGATGGGGCCCGTGATTCCTATCAGCATGGTCGTCTGGTCCGGTCGATGTCGGTGTCGGTGTAGTGGTAGGTAGTGGTAGTGAGAGAAAGCTCCTCCCGGTCCGGTCCTCTTTCCGCTCCCTGTGACCCTCGACTCGGCATTCAGACAAGTCAGACGACCAAATACCCGTCGAGTTCTGAATGTTTCCAGCAATGTCACCCGCTGGTGGTTCCAGGCTGCGCTCGAGGTTCGAGGTCAGACGCGTAAAGTGGTCGGCGACGCGTGATGCGCTGCTGACTAAACCCCCGCCAATCGAAACACCTCTCAGCGCATCAACAACCGAGCCTTGTGAGGTTGTAAGTATGTAGGCTGGTACTGTCCTCCGTCCTCAATACCTATGTCACCACCACCTCCCTTCTCTCCCACCGGCTCCTCCTCCTCCACCATCGCAGCCACAGCCACAGCCCCAGCCCCGGCCAGCGAAGGAGAGACGATCACCTGACTGATTTCTTGTCGCCCTTGGATGTATGTAGCCTGACCACGACGAGAACCGCCTTCCAACCACCTCGCCACTGCTATACCCTGCTCTCGGCTTGCCAGAGGGAGCTCCATCCCGTCTTATTGTGTATGATCGCCGGGCTATCTGTGCAACAAGCAACTCCCCATCTGACCCTTCTCCTGTCCGGGCGCGGTTGCCTGACTCCGGCACTACTCTTCATCGATCTCCAGTCGGTATCCCAGCTCCAAGCGCTTCACGATGCAGTACGTCCCCTTCGCCTCGGACATCGAAATCCCCTTCTATGCCGCCTTGGCATCGCACAAGATCAACCATGACAAACTCGACGACTCAGCGCGTAAGCTACTGGGCCTGTACGAGATCCGCCCGGGCGATGCAAAGGAGCATTCCTGTCGGATGCAGATCCGGGCCAACGCCCTTACCAGCGACGAACTCCCCGCGGGCTGCTACCGTGCTGAGGGCATGATCAAGAACTTCAACACCATCGAGGACTACCGCAACAGCGACAAACTTGCCATGATCCAGCAGGCCGGCCGGACCATTTGGGACGCCATCAACGACGGCACCATCTACTCATGCCCTTCGCTGCTCGTGTCGTTTCTTGCCTTGTCCTTCGCCGATCTCAAGAAATACAAGTTCTACTACTGGTACGCATTTCCTGCCCTGGCCATGGATCCACCCTGGGCGCCGGTCGGCCAAACCTCCTCCCAAGCCGGGCTTCCCTACAAGAAGCTCAATTCCATCGAAAGCACCACCCTCGTAGACAGTGTCATGACCTGGAAATACGGCGTCGACCCCAGACAGCACGGCTTCTTCCTCGCCAAGAAGCTCCGTGCTACACCGCAAACGAATCCGATGGACGAAGAGTTCGGGCCGACGTCGCCACAGTCCCCGCTGACGCCGACAGCCGGCCTTTCATTTCACTGGCAAGTCGCCGGCCTGGCAAGCTATGAGAATGGTTTCTTCAACGGCGCTGACCCGGAGGATCGCTATGTCTGCTTCGCCGACCCTTCCAACTACAGCGAACCTGGCGCCGTTGCACCCGGCTGGATGCTGCGGAACTTGCTGGTCCTGGTTCGTCAACGGTGGAAACTCAGCAGAGTGCAGATCCTGTGCTACCGCGAGACACAAATGCGCAGGGACGCCGCGCGCAGCGTCATCTTCGACATGCAAGTGCCGCTGCCAAGTCAGCAACAAGACCAACCGGAAGGAGAGCAGGAGGAGCAGGGCTCGACTACGAAGATGCCTAAGGTCGTGGGGTGGGAGCGCAACGGGGCCAACAAGCTGGCGGGCCGCATGGCCAATCTGACTGAATACATGGACCCGAAGAAGCTGGCGGACACGAGCGTCGACCTGAACTTGAAGTTGATGAAATGGCGCATCAGCCCGAACTTGGACCTTGACCGGATCAAAGAAACCCGATGCCTGCTCCTCGGCGCCGGCACGCTGGGCAGCTATGTCTCGCGCAACCTACTCGGCTGGGGCGTGCGCAACATCACTTTTGTAGACAACGGGTCTGTGTCCTTCTCCAACCCGGTGCGCCAGCCGCTGTTCACGTTCGACGACTGTCTCGAGGGCGGCAAGAAGAAGGCCGTCGCCGCCGCCGAAGCCCTGCGCCAGATCTATCCGGGCGTCGAGGCCCAGGGCCACGTCCTGTCCGTGCCCATGGCAGGCCATCCCGTCACCGACGTGCAAAGGACCAAGGCAGAATACGACCAACTCAAACAGCTTATCAATGATCACGATGTTATCTTCTTGCTCATGGACAGCCGGGAGTCCAGGTGGCTTCCTACGGTCATGGGCAAGTCGGCCGGCAAAATCGTCATGAACGCCGCCTTGGGCTTCGACACGTACGTGGTCATGAGACATGGCGTCAAGCTACACCAGAAGGACGACGACAGCAACCCAAACTCGCAAGCTCGGCATGAATTGGGATGCTATTTCTGTAACGACGTCGTCGCGCCCGCCGACTCCATGAAAGATTTGACGCTCGACCAACAGTGCACCGTCACCCGGCCCGGCATCGCCGCCATCGCTTCCGCCTTGCTTGTCGAGCTTCTCGTGTCCGTCCTCCAACATCCCGCTGGACCCAGGGCCCCGGCTGCTTCCTCGCCCTCAGCCGACCGCGGTGACCACCCGCTGGGCCTTGTCCCGCACCAGATCCGCGGGTTCCTGTCAAATTTCACCACCCTCAATATCGCCGGTCAGGCGTATGATTGTTGTAGCGCGTGTTCGGAAAAGGTGCTGGCTGCGTACGAAAGTGATGGGTGGGAGTTTGTGCAAAAGGCGCTCAATGACAAGGACTATGTCGAGGAGCTGAGCGGGCTGAAAGAGGTGCAGCGCTCGGCCGACGCGGCTGCAGCCGATATAGAATTCAGCGAGGACGACACGGTTGAGGACGACGAGGGCGAGTTGCTTTGAGCTTTTTGGACTTTGGCCACGGTTGGACTCAAGTTGTTGTTCGGCGCTCGTGTGGCGACGGCAGATGGAATGGTTTGGAAGCAGCAGCAGCATCAGCCCAGCCCACCGTTCATCCGTCCTGGTGCCGAGCGCGCGCAGGGGTCGGATATCTGCACAGGTACGGGCGGCGCTGCATAACGTGAACATGTAAGTGTGCATATGGAGGTCCCATGGCATGCCATACCGCATCGGAAATGTTGAAGGGTTGGAACTCTACACTAGCCTTGTAGCCATACTATTATCATTCCGCGAAGACCGCATCTTTGTCGACCTTGGCCAGGCGCTTGATGCCGACGAAATACGCCTCTCGCGATTCGCTGCGGGAGCTCTCGGGCTTTTCGCGGTGCACCTTGTGGAACATGGCCTTGAGGCTCTTCTCGAGCGCCTTGTCTTCGGCGCCCTGGTAGAATTTGCAGACAAAGTGTCCGCCCACTTTGAGCGTGTCGTAGCTGAAGCGCAGCGCCGCTCGGCAGAGGTCCTACAGGAGAGGTTGCTTGGTCAGTATGGAGAGGATCTGGCGTGGCAGTCGATGTGCAGGAGCTGGTGATTCGGTCTGCGTATGGGTATGGGTATGGGCGTGGTCCCCGGCTTATTTGTGGTGGTGGAGTGGTTGACAGTCAAGGGGATCGTTACGCACCATACTTCCAGCATGATCTCGGAATGCGTTCCCGCTGGTGTTCATCAACCTGTAATAAGGGTTACTGATGCTCCTTTTGTACAGCCCGTCCAGCGGGTCCCAGGGTTCAGACATGTCGCTCAGCACCACGTCGACGAACCTGTCGAGGTGGCCTGATTCTGTTTCCGTTTCCGTCTCCGTCTCCGTTTCTCTTTCGTGTTGCTTTGCCGAAGAGGCATTCGCACCACCAACTTCTTCGTCTGCAGTATCGAGTCTCTCGCGCTCAATGTATCCCGTGTCGACGTCCTCGAGTAGGCCTCGGTCAAGATGTCTGTCCTCGCTGGTCGAGTCCGGAAGGGCAGGGAGGAGTGGACGGCGCAGTCGGCCGCGCTCCGGATCGCGGAGGAAGGATTTGATCTCGGCCTGAACGTGCGGGGACAGAAAGTCGCCTTGGATCGTCGACACGCCTTTCGGCGGCTGTACGGGGAGCAGGTCGACGCCGAGGATTCGGCCGCGTGGTTTCGTCAGGTCGACTGCTACCTGGAAGATACGGACATCGTTCAGTAGCCGTACATTAGGTATCAAGGGGGCCGATGCATGCGATCAGAGTTCGACCAAGGGAAACAGTGTCGTCACGGCCACACGGCAAAGAACCTGTATCGTAGCCGGAGCCGACCAAGACGATACGTCTTTTACTCCAACCCTCAGATCGCCATGACCGCGAAATGCAAGGAAGTGTTGTAATGTATATTCGCCTTACCTGGCTCCAGCTCCCTGGCGCAAACCCCAAATCCACGACCGTGATGCCCGGCCTGAACAGCCTATACCGATCATTGATCTGCAATAGCTTGAACGCCGCACGACTCTTCAGCCCCTGCACCTTGGCCGCCCGCGCAAACTGGTCCCCATGCTGCCGGTCATTCCAGCGCCGCGAACTCTTTGAGCTCGAGCTGGCGCAACGCCGCTCGCTCGGAACTGCCCAGTGTAAGCAGCGTGATTGTGGCGTGGAAGCTGAGCATGTAGCTCCAGCAGGCGATGAGATAGAGCCTGTCCAGCGGAGACATTGCAGCTGCAACAGCTGGGCCTCGCTGCGCAGAGAGGACCGAATCGGGAGGGAGTGTAGTGGTAGTGATGCTGGTAAGAGGCCGTTCGGTGAGCAGACGCGGGACCGGGGGTTACATGGTCGCATTTAGCCTTGCGGGTTCAAGCAAGAGAAGAATGATGGAAGGGGGCACGTAGAGGACGAGTGATTCGGTTCTAATTGCGCTGTTGCATTTAGTAGAGAGAGGGAAAGATGATAATATTTATTTTCTGTTCCGTCAATGAGAGCCAGGCATTCCCCTCACGGCTAAGGAGACTCAACTGAAGCCTAAGCCTAAGCGGCATGGGTTTGCTGCTTTTTACGGACGCAACTCACGCCGCTCCGACAGGGCCCTTAGGCCAATATCTCACAGTTTCCTTGCAAGCCTGATCGTTGACAGTATTTCTTAAGCACACTTCTCGAGGTTGAAGAAGAACAAGGTCCTAAGGGGCGTAGCTGTCGTCATGATATGGTCCGGTGTATACACATTTACAGCATAAGCATATCATACCCGACATACGCGACATTCGTTCACTCCATCTTTCCCCTGATAGACACGGCCAAGGCTCCCGCTCAGACATCCATGTGACATCCTCATCGCTCAGAGAACACTAGCAGCCCTCCGGTCCCTCTTAAGAGGCGAAAACTCCGCCAACGTCTTGCCTTTGCCTACAGGCTTGGCCTTCAGGGTGACCTTCCCCAGCGCGATGCTGCCACGACCAAGGCTCCTAACCTTCGGAGCTGACGCGCTGTCCTCTTCGTCATCAAAAATGTTCGTTCGTTTCGAGACCTTATCCTTCTGCGGTATCTCTTTGATTTCCTGAGTTTTCATGTCGGCGTGGTCTGGTTGCTCGTTATTTTCCTTGTCACCGTTGCCATGGGCGTCATCTTGCTCGCTTTCCAGGTCGGAGTCCTCTTCAAGGAGCTGTGACAGCTGTGGCTTCTTCATTGTGGTGTTCCCCTTTGAGTTGGTGGTTTCTTTCAGCGGCAGAGAGCGCTTCAATTTGGTTGCCGATGCGGTTGGTTTCTTTGCTGTGGCAGGCTTGCCGGACTTCTTGTTGGTCAGGTCGGCTTCCGATGCATTATCTGTCTCTTCAGCAGCCCCATCAACTTGCTTTTGCTTTGATTTTTGAGGCTTCTTCCGAGGTTCTTCTTCCGCCTCACCTGGTGTCTCGGGCAGAATGCTCAGAGTGCGATTCAAGAAAGGCGTGATAGAGAACGTCGACTTATCGCTCAGACTGACTGAAGCCCGTTGCTTCTTTGCAGCTGGGCCTCCTTGACCCGGCGTTCCAATTGTCATGTCAGGATCGAACCGTGCAACATTCCTCTTTCTAGGATTCGCTGTGGTGGTCCCGCTGAGTCTCGCCTTCGTCATCTCCACCGCTTGGGCCATTTTCGCTGCTTGCAGTTGTTCAATCTCGTCCTGCGCCTCCGTGAGTTGATCCTTCGTAGACCGGAGTTTGTTGCGAAAGGCATCGAGCTTTCCCTCGAGGATTTCCTTTTCGCTTTCCCACTGCGCTGTCTTCTTTCTGTGTTCGCGATCGATCTTCTGTGCTTCACGTTGCGCCTTTGCAAGTTCTTTCTTCAGTTCTTCAATCTCGGAGTTGTCCTGGTGCACACTCTTGTGAGCGTCACGTTGTGCCTTGGCGAGCTCTTTCTTGAGCTCTTCAATCTCGGCCTTGCTCGCCCGATCGTTTTTCTGGGCGTCGCGTTGAGCTTTAGCGAGTTCCTTTTTGAGCTCATCAATCTCCGAGCTGCTTTCACGATCATGCCTCTGAGCTTCGCGTTGGGCGTTGGCCAGGTCTTTCCTCAGTTGCTCAATCTCCATCGTCAAGGCCGAGTCTTCACGAGCAGCCGACTTCTCCTGAGCTTTGATTCGTTGCACCGTTCTTTTCTCTGTCTCCAGCTCCACCTGCAGCGAGTTCAATTCTCGTTGCAATCCCAGTTTTTCAGCGAGCAGATTTTGCTGTATCGATGCTTGTGATCTGAGATGTTCTAGTTCGGGTTTCATTGTGTTGAGCTCTCTGGCTAATGCTAGCTTCTCTGACAAAAGTTTCGTCGCTTCAGCGCTTGCAGAGTTCAAGGCATTCACCTCTGCTTTGAGATGGTCTAGGTCTCGGTTTCGTACTTTTAGGTCCACCTGTGTCTGCTGCAGCTCGGCTTCGAGGTCGGAAAATTGCGCCCTCAACTCGTCATTTATCTCCTCTAATTGATTCTGCGTGTCCTCGTTCTGCAGAGCTTGGTCTTGGAGTTCGCCGCGGTCGTCTTGAAGAAGAAGTAGCTGAACGCGTAAGGCCCGCACGCGCTCTTCTTCGTAGATGCGCTCTGCTTGGCGGACGGCGCGTTCGTAAGCGAGCTCGAGATGCGTCGACTTGATGGTTTGTGCGATCTCCGAAGTATTCATGTAGGATATTTCTGCTTCCATTTTGAAATGTTTCTAGCACGAACAGATAGTGCTCTTAGATGCAGTGGGGGAAAAGGCAGCAATTGTTTTCCATGGGGTATGTTTACCACATCCGCAACTGGATTAGTGTGTCGAGCTTCGTTCCGGATTATATTTCCTCCGACCCGTCAAGACTTCAGACCATCCTTGTCAGATACTCTGCCGTATTGGCAGTTTGGCCTTGTACGGCAGACTATCAGATACGAAAGCCTAGTCTGCCTGATGGACCCGAACCCCAGCAAGACTCAAGAATTCTTTGCCCATATTCTCGTCTTACTAGCCTATAGTAATCATTAAAGAATTCCTATCGGGGAAACACGTCGGGCATTAGTATGAATACCACAGCACAGATGATTGGTCTGCTGACAGGAGTTAGTATTGCCGAGGTCAAGCGGCATTGTCCTGGCGAGACGCGAGGCCCAGAGCAAGGATGTTTTCGATCTCTACTCTCTACGGAGTACTCCGTACTGCACCTTACGTTGGCAGATGTTAGCTTGCCCCAGGAGTATACACGGCAATGGCCGAACTTCCTTCCAACAGACCTTCAACTCGGGGTCGATATACGGAGTACGGACGGCAAGCCTTATTAGTTAGCCATGGGTCTGGAACGGAGTCAAGCTTACGAACAAGCATCGTGACTGGAGGCTTATCTCGATACTTATCTCTGGCCCCGCGATGCAATGCTTTAGGCTCAGGCTAAACCATTTAAGCTTAAGCAGTAAGTGCTTAGCCCCGACTATAGGCGAATATTTCGATAATAGATGCTACCAAAGATACTGAATACCACCTCACTGTGGCGCCACACTGCAAAAATGGGTTATATTATCATCACAGTCTCTCCCCCACATCACACGACAATACAGCTTATCTTTTCCTCCTCCTCCTGTCTCTCCCCCTGCTCTGCAGCAGCCGGACCTGCTATCAGTTCTCTTCCGCTTCCTGTGGCAGACGGAGCCCAATCTCACATACCGACTGCCCGGCATGGCTTTTGGTGATCCAGAGAAAGGAGACGACAGCAGAGACCTGGAAGACAGCAAAAAAGGGCTTGCCGGCATCTCCATCGAACCAGGAGCCTCGTCGCCCACCGAGCTGTATAACAACACACCCGTCAAACAAGACAATGGCTTGCTCTCCAAGCTTCGTCGGTTCGAGGCCCGCATGGATGCTAAGTTCGGGATCGAGTCGGAGGCGATCAATCGCAAACGAGCCGAAGACAAGCGTCCGGTGCGCTGGCATGAAGAGTTGACCATGGCACTACTGTGGGCGTCTGGGACGATGAACACATCGTGCTTCGCGACGGGCTTTTTGGGGTGGGAATTCGGCCTGAGCCTGAAACAGTCGATTCTCATCACCATCTTCGCCTCGATCCTGGGCGGTGCAGTGACCGGCTACTGTGCGACGTTTGGCGCGGCGATGGGGTTGCGCCAGATCTCGGTGTCGCGCTTCAGTTTCGGCTGGTGGCCCAACAAGATCATCGCGGTGCTCAATGCCGTGCAACAGATCGGCTGGGCCGCGGTGTCGTGCATCACGGGCGGGTTGGCGCTGACGGCGGTTGCGGATGGGCATGTCTCGCTGGTCGTGGGAATCATCATCATTGCGGTCGTGGCGTTGGCTATCAGCTTCGTCGGGCTCCCTGCCATCTTGGTATATGAGCGCTACGCCTGGCTCATCTACTTTGTCATCTTCATGATCATCTTCGGCGAGACGGGCAAGTACGCCGACAACCACACCCCGGCCTCTGTGACAGGCGCGACCTTGGCCGGCTGGGTGCTGTCCCTCCTGGCCATCGTCTACGGCAGCTCCGCCTCCTGGTGCACCATGGCCTCGGACTACTACGTGCACTACCCGGCGAACGTGTCGCGGGTCAAGGTGTTTCTGATGACCACCTTCGGCATTGCCATCCCCACCAGCATCGGCATGATTGCGGGCTGCGTCGTGGCCAGCGCCCTCAACGTCCGCCCAGACTGGAACCAGGCCTACAGCGACGAAGGTCTGGGTTTCTTGATCCAGGACATGCTGCACCCGCGCGGCTTCGCCAAACTGCTGCTGACCCTGCTGGTGCTCAGCGGCATCAACACCAACATCATCAGCATCTACTCCGCCGCCATCTCCTGCCAGCAGTTCAGCCGCCCCTGCGCCCGCATCCCGCGCTTCATCTGGACTTTTCTGTGTTTCGCTGCCATCCTCGGCCTCGCCGTCGGGGGCCGCGAAAAGCTCAACACCTACCTCCAGGACTTCCTATCCCTGCTCGGGTACTGGTGCACCTCCTACTTTGTCATCCTTCTCATGGAGCACGTCTGTTTCCGCCACCGAGACTTTGCCAACTACGACCTGGACGGCTGGAACGACCCCAGCCGCCTGCCGCTGGGCCTGGCCGCTCTCACCGCCTTCGGTCTAGGTGTCGTGGCTTGGTGCATGGGGATGGTCGAGACCTGGTACGTCGGCCCGTTGGGCAAGTTGATTGGGGAAGCTGGGGGTGATGTCGCCAACGAGTTTGCACTGGTCGTCACCGCTGTGACTTATTATCCTGCTCGCCGTTTGGAGTTGAAGATCTTCGGGAGGTAGTCGGCATCTTGAAGAAAACCACTAGTAAGTAGCCGAATTGAACAATAATACAACCGTTGTTTCCCCTATATAAGTCATCCCGCACTTGTTCTCGTCTCTTCATGTTGTTATAACCGTGAAGTTAGTGACCGTCCGTCCACGGCGGGCGTCGGCCCGGTCGCTTAAATCGGCCCTTGGTGTAACGGCGGAGCATTCGGAGCTGATGACAATTGCGCAATTCCGCAAAAGGTGGCGCCGTAGCAATACTTCGTCTATGAAGTCGTCGAGCTTGACTCATTGACCGGCGTTTCATATATCTACGGGGTATATCCGCACGTCAAGGAGCGGACGTTGACTTTCCAGAGACATATGACATATCAAGGCACCAATCTTCAGTGAGTTTCACAGTCTCGACGATCCAGTAAGATCACGCACACGACAGCGGACCTGAGCAAGCAGAGGGAGTCAGAGTTCTCTATTCTTCAAACGTCTGGGTGACTGGTGACTGCCGCACACCTCTCGCCTCTCGCTCTTGCCTCCCGTTGATGATTTACAGGTTTCATGACGCCGGCCATCTCGTTTGACCTTTGACCTTTGCACTTTTCGCTCTCACTCCTCGCATCCCGTACAATGACTAGAAGGTTGATTGCGCGTATCAAGGCGAACCCAGCCCGGCAAGTATAAATAGCCCTTCCCATTCAGTCTGCTCTGCTTCGATGTTGCACCAACTCCCAAAGAGTTGGACCCAAAGAGTTGGATCGCACGCTCTTGATAAGTCGAAACCGACGGGCGATCGGGTTGGAAAATGTGCGAGAAGTGGATCGATCACTTCACATGCGGCCACAGGTGGACATACATGCAATGCTGGAACAGAAGATTCCACCGACCCCGGATAAAGCATATGTATCGTGCTGTCCTGTGCAGCCGATGCCGCCGACGCCGAGCCCGACACCGAGGTTGACTGTATCCCTTCTCCCCCATATCCATATGACAAACGCCCTTAGTCCAAAGATTAGATAACACATACCTCTGTCTGGAGAGAAAGAGAAAGAATCAGCAAAAACACCCAAGACCGGTGTTGCTTCCCATGTCTACTATTGCCATTCTGGGCATCAGCCCGGGGAAATGATGTTGGACAGGTGGTAGCACATGTTGTGGTCAAGGAGCGGACCTTGTTGCTCTTGGATTGCATCCGATGTATGGCGAGGCTGCCTATGAATACAGATGGGAGATGGCCTCGCTTTCTTCGCCAACGCTAAAATCTTTCCGTGCTAGGCAAGGATTGGAGTATGGAGAACAATAGATACTATCGCATGCACACGGGAGGAATTGTTATGCCATGCCAATTACACCAGTGTGCCATAATATAAGACGCCATGCTGATGTTGATGGACAATGAACGGCATCAAGTCCTAGAGGTTCTCCGGTCCTTGCAGAGGCTACTGGGTAGCTATTATAGTCATGGTCATGGGTGCGCAGAGGCTTCGGTTGTTTTGCTGGGCTTCTGAACCCTGTACTTTGCCTAGTACTCGTGACTCGGTATACAAATTCGACGGCAGAGCTCCTGAGGATTCCAACGTCGGCGCGTCTGGTCTCTTCTGATCTCTTCTCCCTTCTTTCCACACAGCCTTGTGACGAATCTTTCTGTTCTCTTCCTCCTACTTGCTCTTCCTCCTACTTTCCCTCCTTCTAATATAGGAAGGTGGGAAACATGAGCCATAAGCCAGGAGCCACGAGCCACAAGCCCCCCGTCAGCCAAAACGAATGTAACTATGGACCCCCATGATCATGATCAGCGCAGAAGCGGACTCCAGACAGGCCCGAGGAACCAATCGGGCCCTGAGCGAGCCCACATAACCCTGAGAGAATACCTTAAGGCTTAGCCAGGGCTAAGGGGGCAACGGCCCGAACGTAACGTCGAGGGCTAATGCCAGATCACGCCATCTCCAGTCGCGATGGTGTCGGCAGGGCTTGTTTTTATTTGCTCCGACACCCCTCTGGGCCTGTTGAATATCGACGACGGCGGTGTGTTTGGGGATTTGGGATTGGACTGCGGAATCTCTGAACTCTACGGAGTACATACATCATCGTCCCCATGTCGTAATGGCAGGGGATGTGTGATTTGTGATGTGTGCACATGGAAAGGAAGAGGCGATCGATATGATTGTGCCGGTGCCACTGCATATAAACCAGGTATAGAAATCAAATAAATTAACGAAATACTGTATCCAGAACGATTGTACTTTGGCCTCGCTTCGCCTTTGCTCTGCTTTCCTGTGCGTTGCTCTCTGGTGTACGGATAGGATACTTTACTATACGGACGAGAACATATACTGTACACAACACATCACCCCCAGCTCGCTTTCAGCCTGGGTGAGTGACTGTTGACCAATCAATCAATATTCTTTTCGAGGCCTAGACCTGATTCCTGCTCGCTTGCTGGATCTGTGTCTGCGTCTGTGTCTGTGTCTGTGTACGTTGCCGAAAGGACGGTCGACGCTCGAGTCGAATCTGCCCCTGACCATCTCTTCGTCCTCGCTTCAACCATGGCGTCGCCCAGCGAAAAAGACAGCGTCTCCCACACAAACCAGACCGGGTCCAATGCTGCCACCGGCCCGGTAGACGTCTCCATCGACAAGGAGACCGACGTGGAAGTTCCAGTCCCAGCGGGCGGCGTCAACGAACGGGCTCTCCTGCGCAAGCTCGACCTCACCCTCCTTCCGGCCTTGACGCTGCTGTACCTGCTCTCGTTCCTCGACCGAAGCAATGTCGGCAACGCTCGGATTGAAGGCCTGGCCAAAGACCTCAAGATGACGGGCGACCAGTACCTCACCGGCTTGACGCTCTACTTCATCGGCTACGTGCTGTTCGAAGTCCCCTGCAACATCGTGCTGAAGCTCTGGACCCCGCGTGCCTGGCTGCCAACCCTGACGCTCGTCTGGGGCGTCGTCGCCACTCTGATGGGCGTCACACAGTCCCGCGCCGGCTTCTTCGCCGTCCGCTTCTTCTTGGGCGTGGCTGAGTCCGGTCTCTTCCCCGGAATTGTCTTTTATCTGTCCATGTGGTACAAGCGCAACGAGCGCCACTTTCGCGTTGCACTGTTCTTCAGTGCCGCCTCGCTGGCCGGCGCGTTTGGCGGCATCCTGGCCTGGGGAATCGCACATATGCGTGGCGTCGGCGGGTACAATGGCTGGCGTTGGATTTTCATCTTGGTAAGTCGCTGTCCTCGTCGTCCCCGTCCATCTTATTCGAATGAATGCTGATGCCCTCACTCGGTAGGAAGGCTTGCTGACCGTGGTTGTGTCGGCGGCGTCGTATTTCTTCGTCTACAACTATCCCAGCACCGCCAAATTCCTGACCGACGATGAGCGGGCGTTCATCCACCAACGGCTCAGGGACGACAGCGACGCCACCCACGACGAGGGTTTCGCCTGGCGGAACGTGCGCAAGGCCTTCACCGACGTCAAGGTGTTTCTGTATGCCTTTGGCTTCCACACCCTCTCGCTGCCCCTGTACACGCTGTCGCTGTTCATGCCCTCCATCATCACCTCTCTAGGCTATACCTCTGCACAGGCACAGCTGATGACCATCCCGCCGTACGCCATCGCATTCATTCTGACTGTCACGTTGGCATTGCTCTCGGAGCGCTACCGTCTGCGAACCCCGTTCATCCTGGCGTCGTCGTCGCTCGCCGTGCTGGGATATATCTTGCTATTGTCCGACCATCGACCCGGCGTCTCATACCTGGGCACCATCTTCGCCGCCGCCGGCATCTACCCTGCTGTCGCCCTGACCCTTGCCTGGCCTGCCAACAACGTCAGCGGGCAGACCAAGCGAGCGATCGCCAACGCTCTTCAGATCTCCATCGGAAATCTCGGTGCTGTGCTGGGCACCCAGCTCTATCGCACCGAGACGGCACCGCGCTACTACCTGGGCCACTCCTTCGCACTGGGATACTTGATTGCCAACATTGTGGTCACCATCACACTGTGGTGGACTCTGAGAAGAGAGAATCGGCGGAAAGAGGCCATGTCGTACAGTGGCGATGCCGATGCGCCGTGGCTCGGTGACGACGATATCAGATGGAGATTTCATTTGTAGCTAGCCATTCCTCCTATGGCAGGCCATGGCATCTGGAGCATTTGTGTCTCAATCAAACCTCCGCGTACACCGAGTTGGGCGACTAGGAGGTGCACTGCTGGAATGGGGAATAGACCTGCCTGATTCAATTGCTTGATCAAGTTCCCGAGCACCATGGCATCACAGTTTTCGTCTCTAGCACACCGCCGTCTATGGTCCTGACGTTCATCGAGGATGGTCTTGAAGCACTCGAGGCATTGTCTGATGAACTTCTGTCGAGACGATGCAATCTTGTCTGCTTTACGCGGAGATGGGATGTCTTCAGTTCGCTCAGGCAGGGAAATTGCCCCCGGAGTGCCTAGGCCAAAGACTGCTCCCTTCAGACTGGGATAATGTGAGATGACGACGAAGTGGCGCTGTGGCGGAATCACCCTGAAGACGATGGTGTTCCGGTGTTGTAGTTCAGATCAACAAGGAACCCCATCCTAAGGTCAGACAAGTAGTCATGCTCCGGCTTGCCTGCCTTCACATGCAAACCAGGGTTGATCGGGGCTATAAATGCTTCCAGCCATTTGATATCAAGACCTGCATTTCGTTGATCAGGCAGTCAACACCTCTCTCCGATCTATCCACACCGGTGTGTTCCCAACTTTGAAGGCGTTTGCGCACCACCCACTTCTTCAACCAATCCGAGGTGAACCAGCGACGGAGTCTATTTTCCCAAGACGCCCGCAGATATCCCAATAGCGACATCCTGTGGGTTGCCGAGTTAACCAGATCATATGCAGGTTTGTTATACCCAACCCGAACATTCGGGTTCAACCAAACGCCCTTTATCGCCGAGATTGGATTGTCTTGATGAATGAGGCAGCATTCGGAAGCTTCAAGGTGGGTTTGAGCAAGGCTGTCGGCAATCCCACGGAATTGAAGCGAGCTGGTGGTCATGCCAGTGCTACCGTAGAATGGTCCGGCATCCATGGAGACCATCCCATTCCAACAACTCGTCACCGGAACTGGTTTGTTCTGCTTGATAGCACTTCGTGATCTCCATGAACGGAAGTAAGGCCAGGTTTGCATGATGGTTTCGTGCCCTTCCAAGTCTCTCAATGCAAATGTATCGTAATATTGAGGAGGTCGGGCAAAATCCAGAGAGCAAGCAGCAGCATAGTTGCCGCCGTTTGTGGCGAGTAGAGCCAGCACGTCATCTACCTCGAACACGACATCATTAAGAAACAAAATCTTGTCAAACACCACGCCGGATTGTCGCAGTGTTTCCAAAGGTGACAAGGACAAGTTCCGCAGTCGAGATAGGTAAGGAATCCGCCTTAATTCACGCATATATCTGGGCGTATCAATCCATCCTGACGGCCCCGGTTGCTGGGATATTTCATCCTGATGCGTCGTCTTGTCGAGAACAACCGTCCGGTTCACTCCCAGTTTGTCCAGCTGTTGGTCAAGTTCGCGCAGTGCCCCCTTGGAGTCGTCCCAACTCCCGCTCTCGTACACTGAGATGTATACATTCTCGACCCCAAATTGTTTGGCCAGTGCAAGGACCGCCGTATTCCAGTATCCTCGGAGAACAGCTTCGTTATTCCAATGTATGCTTGCAATAAATATCTTTTGCGTCCCGGCCCCTGCTTCTCTATTATTGGCCGTTGTATCTATGCTTAGGCGATGGTAGCCGACGACGTCGAAAAGGGTTATCAGAAGGATGGCGGTAATAAGAGTAGTCCTAACATGCTTGCGCAGGCGTCTGGGGATCACGCCCATGTTTCGGGGTACGGGTAGAAAGCAATCGACGGCGACATTAAGGGACGCGGCGGCAATAATCAAGGAATGTGTTCGGCGCCTTCTGCAGCATCGCCAACATCTCACGGAGCAATGGTGGAGGAATGGGATGGCGGTCACAATACTCTTCACAGAGTAGACCAAGATGGTCAGATCGAACTTCTGCCGAGTGAGGTCGCAGTAACTACCTGGTAGTACTCCGTACTCCGTAGTCGGTCAGTAATTACCCGCCAATAATCAGGGCCAAATTGACCACTGACAAGACAACTTCAGGCGCCAATCTGTTCATGTTAGCGACCTTTCCATCTCATTATTTTGCTATGTTCACGTACCAGCGACAACTTGAAGAATAACTACCTAGCAGAGGACCGTCGTTTCAGCCTGCAGATGACAATTCATTTAGTTCAAGAAGAACAGCTCGTTTCACCATGCCCTTGTATCTGTCGCTCTCCATATCAATTCCTTCGGCTTGCGTCCACAGGAATCTCCCAATGTTTCGTGCTAGGTATTCCCGCTCTGGAATGTCTTAATAAAATTGGTCATATCTTCTTCCCAATGATTCCATTCGGATTTGTTTCAAGGGTCTGGGTACTTGACTGCCGAACAGCTCTCGAATTTGGACGGATTGTACTATTTTCTCTCAAGTATCTTGGACCCTCGGCGGCAGAGAAATCAACATTGTCATATCCTTGCGGAATTGAGTGCTCTCGACGCAGACTCGAACCAAGCCGATCGGTACCGGGGCTTTATCGAAACGATCCTGAGGATGACAGAAAGAGATTGCTAAGGGATGCGAAAGGAGATAGATTGAAGTTGAAGTCTATGAAGAGCAGCTAGGCCAGTATTTGTTGAGTGATACACTTGTATCTGTCTTTCTTTCACCCGAGAGTGTACATCAAACTAGGTACCGGCAGAATCACGCCCAAGTACGGAGTACTACACGGTAGGTATTTCGCGCTCATCCTTGGCTTCATTGCTCAGCGCACATTACGAAGTGTTCGAATCTCACTGTGGACAGCAAAAAAGAATCCGAGACTTTTTGGGAGAAACAAAAACTCTAATTCGAAACCCTACCACAGGCTTGGTGGTAGAGGTTCGAATCGAGGGAAACCCCCCAGTTGAAGAGGAGGATTCTTTTATATCGATCGTTTCGTCAGGTCGGAACCCCCGGTATACTCAATCCTTCAGCAGTGAAGGAGAACCCAGGTCTGATACCACACCCCAGACGTCTAATGTCGAGACTATCGTAGTGGGCTTAGACAGAGGGGTCAGCAGCAGCTTACTTGTACCGCTGAGCCCAGTTCCAAACTGCCCCAGGGTGGGTGAAAAGGCCTTCCTGACCTCACCAAGGGGAATTGTTGAAGGAATTCTGCGTTTACAAAACATAACCTCTCATTTATTTTTAAAAGTGCTAGGCGGGTGCTATTGTATGGATTTCCAGTGAATAACACTCGGTACCGCAGGCTGAGGACTTGGCACGTGTTTGATGCCTCAGGCTGCACGCGAGGTTTTGGTCATTTCTGTCGATTGGCGGTGTCTAAATGCTACGATCTACTATCACGCCACAACATTCAGATAATGGCCAGACTCGACTGGAAAATAAACTTGCGAGACCCAAGGCTGGTCTATTGATGCTCTGTATGTTGGATTCCCAGCTTGAAGAGTCGACAGTGGGCGAGAATAGGTGCACCTTCACTTATCAACTGTGTGATCGTGCTATTGACCAGTACGAACACATCAGCCAGACTCAGCCTGGCCGAACTATATCATATATATATCTCGTCGCCATCATGATCAGGGGCGTGACTCGCGTTGTCGATAGAGCTGCAAGGCTGGCAGCTCTGATATTGGCTAGATTCTTATGCTCCGCCCTACAAAGCGCAGGGCTCCGCCGTAGCTGCTGGTACCGCCGCAATGAGGCCACGCTGGATCAGCGACCTGGTGAACTTGCACCGTCCAGCAGACCCAACCCCAACTCAAGCATCGGCAATGCGTTTTCTAAAGTTGCTGGCGCTGACAGCGCTGTCCTGGACTGCGGTCGCCGCCAAAAAGGCAACCACGAATAAATTTGACACCTACTTTGCCAAACAAGCTTCCTCCGCACCCTTTGAATTGGACGAGAAAGGATACAATGACCTGACTACCTCACCTCGCGACTACTCGTTGGCTGTGCTTCTCACAGCTCGAGACGCAAGATACGCGTGCGGCGTGTGTCGAGAGTTCGATCCGGAATGGAGCATACTGGGCCGCAGTTGGCAGAGGGGTGATCGCAAGGGAGAACACAAACTGCTCCTCAGCACGATTGATTTCGATAATGGCAGAAACGTCTTTATGAAGGTAAGTTAATACCCACACCCGCGACGAGGGCTTTGCTAAGCGAGACATAGCTTCAACTTCAGACCGCACCTGTCCTCTTGTTCTTCCCTCCTACCATCGGGCCAAACGCGAAACCAGATGGCCAGCCTGTCCGCCTCGAATTTCACGGTCCTCAAACTGCCGACAACATCCGCAATTGGCTTCTGAGGCACCTGCCTCCTGGCGACTACCCTTCGATCTCGCGCCCTATCAACTATGCCAGGATTGGAGCCTCGATCACAATTCTCTTGGGGGCATTTACTTTCATTACCGTGGCATACCCCTATGTGACCCCCATCATTCAGAACCGTAACCTGTGGGCTGGTATCAGTCTGATCATGATTCTGCTCTTCACAAGCGGACACATGTTCAACCATATCCGAAGAGTGCCGTACGTTACTGGAAATGGACGCGGCGGTATCACGTATTTTGCTCCAGGGTTTCAAAGCCAGTATGGCATGGAGACTCAGATTGTTGCTGCTATGTGTAAGTATGGCTCTATACGGAAAGCTCGCGCTCCGCTAACGTCAACTAGATGCCTTGCTCGCGTTTGCCACAATCAATCTAGCCCTCAGAGTGCCGCGAATCAAAGATCCTCGCACCCAACAAGTTGCCGTCATAATCTGGTCTTCAATCCTCTTTGGGGTCTATAGCTTCTTGCTAAGTATTTTCAGAGTCAAGAATGGCGGCTATCCTTTCTGGTTACCACCTTTCTAGGGGGTGACAGCGATTCGATACCTTGAAGGCGAATATTGCTGGCCTTAGATACATCTCATCATGTGGATCAGCCTCTAGAGTCGGTCTGTAAGGGATAGCTCCACTGTAAAGATAAAATAAAATGAAACCTGCTTTTGAAATCTCTTGTTGGCCTTGATCGAAGCAAGCCTGGGCCTGAGCCCTGCGAAACCTCCTGAACTGGGCAGCCTCGAGGCTTAGGCTTAGGAGGCTTCCCCAACTTTTTTGCCAGTGGTGCGGAGCAATGCCAAGTGACATGTTGCGTCTGATCTCTGGGACCACCATTGTATGCGTGGCAGGATCATTGCTACAATCCAATCCCGTGTACGGATACAAGTATTGTCATAGTTCATGATAGCTTCCTTTCACAGCAATATATTCGTTGGGGAAAACGTTCACTCTTTTGACCTTGCATCCCGTGGAAATGGAAGACTTCTCACAATCACGCGGCGACGACGATCTCTTCGACGACGAAATCGTGCCTTTCGACGCCCCTCCATCACCAGAGAAAGTTGCAGCTCAATTGGAACAAGTCTCGCTCGAAACACCACCACCACCCCCTCCTGTTGAACTCAAGCCTGCAGAGCAGGCTGTATCAGAGCCCCGGGAGACGACATTTCCAGGGTTTAAGCCCAAGTCAAGGACAAGGGGAGCACCTGGCCCTGGCCGAGGAGGCACGAACAAGAGAGGTGGATTGGCAGATTCCAAATGGGCGACAAAGCCCACGAGGCCTACAACGACAGATCCATCTACGCAGGAGCCAAGTGAGGAGCCACTGTCCAAGGACACAGCAACCGCTTCAGAGGTTGGAACAAGCCTCGACCCAGCGATTCAAGAGGGAGAAGGAGATCCTACAACCGCCGTCTCGAATTCAGCGTCCGGACCTGCCAACGCAACCAATGCTCGTCCTCCGGCTGTGCGGGGCGACCGCACGGCGACAGGCGGGGTGCGAAAACCCAAGCTAACAGAGGAAGAACTCAGTGCTAAACTCGCCGCTGCAAAAGAGAGGTCACAGAACCTGGCGGCTGCCCATGCGCGAGCGCAGGCAGACGCCGCGAGCTTCGAAGAACGGGAGCGCGTGGCGAATGAGACGCGGGAGAAAGACCGCGCCGTGCGGAAAGTAATGGACAAGGAGCGAGAAAAGAATCGACAACGTAAAATGGCCGTTATGGGCGGGCGGGAGTGGGACGCCGGCAAGAATGAGGAGGATTTTAAGACCGCACAGAACGGACGGGGTGGGCCCCGGAGGTTCCAAAGCAGCATGACGCCAGAGCAACACTTTCAAGCTGAACAGGACGATCTCAGGATGTACGAGTGGCATGATGACCGAGGCCGCGGGAGAGGGAGAGGCCGGGGCAGAGGTGGGCGAGGACGGGGCCGGGATGGTCCTGGAAGAGGCGGAGGGTTTGGTCATGACAGCAACCGACCCGGGCATCAGCAGTCCGCTTGGTCTGTCAACGAGGATTTCCCTGCTCTGCCTGTTCCAGCCTCCACGCGGGAAGAGGCAACAAACAACACCACTACGAGTACTTCAAGACCAGCCCCGCAAAGACTGGATTCCGCTTCGGGGGACAATGCGGGTAGTTGGGCGGAGCAGGTCGAGTCCAGCGAGGCACTGGAGAAAGCGGGCAAGCCCTGACACCTTGGATTGATGAGGCATATAAAAGCAGCCTGGGACAGAACAGACGTTATGAATTATTTTGTTGGTCTCTTGTGAAAAGACTTCTATGCATCCTAGCGTTCAAGCGGCAGTGGACCTTTTGTTGTTGGGCATGACCTGTTGACGTGCCAGTGGGTATCTCGAGCATATGCCTCATACAGAATTTTGGGCAGATTCAGAGCGAAATAAGAACCAGTGACGAGCCCCCCAAACGCCTTTTCCCCATCCATACACCGTCTCCCAACGCCATAGGGTCATCTTACCATCTTCCTCTACCTCGTCCGCGATAGCCTGCCCCTCCCCTATACCCGCCTCGCCCTCCATAACCTCCGCGGCCACCCCAACCGCCTCCCCCATCGCCGTACCCGCTATCATCGTACCCTCGTGGACCAGCAGCACTGCTCTCGTCTTGTCTCAAAGGCGGCGGTCGGCCCTTCAATTCCTTTTGTAACTGCTCGTATGTCCGGCGCATCTGAGCATACCCCAGGTGCATCTTGCCATAAAAGTGGTCGGCCAATCGCCTGTCATTGTCCAGCCGTGACAAGTACGCGCCGCAGACATCGCAGACTTGCAATTTCTGATGCCCCGAGGGGCCACTCGTGTCTGAGAGCGCCTTGAGATCCCGTTCTGCCTGCTCTTTTGCCAGCTTGGCTGTCCGCACTTTATAGAATTCCGAGCATGCCAGTGACACGGAACCAATCTCCGCAAGGCAGTTGACTTCTAGCAGACCCGTGTTGATAGTCTTTGTGAGATCCGATATCGTCTTTAGCAGGTTGTTGGTCTGTCTAATCTCGTCTGGCGTCTTCTCTAGCCGCCGCTGTGCCTGGTCTATCCTGCGATTGCAGTCGTCGATGTATTTCTGCACATCCCGCATGTAGTCGTATTCAAAACCATATTTCGCTTTCTCCGCGGGGCTGAGGCCTTCGTACTCAATCTTCAGGTTCTCGGGATGCGCTTTCGGACACGGGCCCAGATCTTGCTTCGTGTTCGTGAACAGGTCGTGCGGACATGTACCAGCCAAATATGAGCGGCAGACAGTGGGGGAGGTAAGCGTCAGACTCGCGCTCCTTGACGAGCTGCCGGTGCCCATATATTGGTCGCCCATCAGCTGCTCGAGCAGCTTGCGCTGTTCGGCGGCCATGTTGGCGTGGCCTCGCTGCTCTGCACTTGGTTAGATAAGGCTTCGAGGCAATGGATGGACCGGTTGTTAGCTCTTTGAGCCTTGTCTGTCCGAGCTACTGTGAAGAACGTTGATCGGAAAAGAGGGCGTGGGCTGGTGTTGGAAAGCGTCGTCCGTCCGCATATGCAAAGATGTAAGTGGAGCGAGGGTTTGCGGTAGAACTGCGGCAAATCCGTCCTGCGGTCACACCAAAGTGTCGTCTTCAACCGCGCTCACCTCGAAGAACCCCTTGTAGTATACTGCCGCCTTTGACTGCGTCTCAACGTGACATGTTCTGGTGAGCCTCCTTGTGATGATGCCGGCATGTCCCGGTCTCTTTTCCTTCTCTTCGCTGTTGCCCTTTTCGCTTTGAGCGCCTTCGCCTCCGATTACTTCGAGCGACTGACCCTGACGCCCCTTCCGCTGGGCTCTCTTCTCGCGTCCTTTGACTTCCGGGCAAACGAGACCATAACAGAATACGAGGCGCAGAACTACAGATATTTCCCCCGGTCCCTAGGACAGGCGTTAAAACATGCAGACACGAAAGAGCTCCATCTAAGATTCACTACTGGACGCTGGGATCCAGAGACCTGGGGCGCGCGACCATGGAATGGCACGAAAGAAGGCGGCACAGGAGTTGAGCTGTGGGCGTGGATCGAGGCGACATCAGAAGATGAGGCTGTCGAAAAATGGGCGACTTTGACCCAGTCCCTCTCAGGTCTATTCTGCGCGTCGTTAAACTTCATCGATTCGACTCGGACTACCAAACCAGCCTTGTCATTTCAGCCGTTGGGCGCGTACGGGGATGACGGCCAACACCTCCATCTTCTACACGGTGTACTTCCGGGAGAAGTGGTATGCACAGAAAATCTAACTCCATTCATCAAACTCCTTCCATGCAAAGGAAAGGCGGGCATATCGAGTCTACTGGATGGTCACAAAGTATTCGATGCCTCTTGGCAGAGCATGGCCATTGATGTCAGGCCAAAATGTACCCCTGGAGTTGAAGAGTGCCAGATGGAGATTAGCGAGACGATTGATGTGGTTCTCGACATTGAGCGGTCCAAACGCCCTCGAGACAATCCAATCCCAAGACCAGTTCCGGTAGAGCAGCTCGTGTGCGACGAGACTAAGCCTTATCATTCTCAAGACACTTGTTATCCTCGTGATATGGTCGATGAAACGCCATGGTCTTTGAAGGAGGTCTTTGGGCGAACGATGGCTGGGGCGTGTCCACTCGCAGAGTCTGAAGGCCCGGAGGCAAAATCCGTATGCTTGAACGTTCCCCATGAACGCATGGTCTTGATTGGTGTCAGTGGATTCGAGGTCAAAACGGATCCGGGCCAGCCAGAGTCAAGGTGCTACCAGTTAATGCCGTTTGAGGAGTTCGATATTGAGCTCCCACAGCAGACCGTCGGCACCAAAGCGGAACTTGGCCATGAGCTGCTGAGGGCAGAGAGGACAATAACAGGCCATGGAGCAGCCCGAGGAGGGATGCGCACGATCTTCACCAACCCTTCGCCGACGGAGCCCGTGAGGTTTGTTTATTTCGAGAGTCTACCTTGGTTCATGCGGCCGTTTGTGCATACGTTGAAAGCACAGGTAACGCGCACCGAGTTTCCGTTCGACTGGCAGATCATGAACGACATGTACTACCGCCCTGCTATCGATCGGAACAGAGGCACCCAGCTTGAACTTGTCATGTCTGTGCCCCCAGCGAGCACAGTCATGCTCACCTACGACTTCGAGAAAGCAATCCTACGATACACCGAGTACCCCCCAGATGCCAATCGGGGGTTCAATGTCGCTCCGGCAGTCATACGAATCCTGGAGGCCACCAATGAGGACGGACAGTCCAACGACGTGTACATTAGGACAACAAGCTTGTTGTTACCCCTGCCCACCCCGGATTTCAGCATGCCGTACAATGTCATCATTCTGACAAGTACAGTGATGGCTCTTGCATTTGGAAGTATATACAATCTCATGGTTAGGCGTTTCGTGGGTGCGGACGAGGTGGGAGATACAAAGGTTCGAGGACTGGTCAGGAAAGTTCGGGGCGCTATTGTCTCATTGAAGGATAAATTCAGGGGAAAGAGAGAAAAAGTAGAGTAGGAAATGACTACAGTCCTCATTTTCTGTACAACAATGTATTTACAGTCGAGATGGTAACCACCCGGGACAGCGGCGGACTTTGCAAGACCTTCATCACCAACCTGCTGCACCAATGCTATGCGTGAAGAGACAGCGGATACTGTATGGTAAAGGCTCTCCTCGCCTTACGGGATGATGGCATAAAGCGATCTAAGCCTCATATCCTAGAGTTGCTGTGGAAGATTTCTGCTTCAGCGCCGTCTTGCAGCTGCACTCTCTGTACCGCGTTCGGCCATGCTGATAACCTCCCCGATGCCTGCTGCTTCTTGTTCGTCCTCCAGGTTGCGGACCTCCTCTCTGCAATCCCACCATCTCTCCTCTGCCTGCTCGAAGGCTGCCTTCCGGATCTCCTTCACGGATTGCTCCCCGAGCGTGGACGCGGTAGCCCTCGCCCTTTTGGATTCAAGTACAAGCCCCTGCCATTCCTCCGAGGTTCGTGCGTAAAAGTCTCTCAGACTCTCAAACGGACGGGGGAAGGGCCGCGAGTCCTGCTTTGCGCTTGTTTCGGGCTCGGTCTCCGTGGCCGCCTCCGGTTCTATGGGTGGGACAGTCACTTCTGTCGGTGCCGTCGATGGCGCATCGACCGACATATAGTCGTTGTCCTCGTCATCAGAATCCATATCTGAATCGTCCTCCTCTTCATCATCGTCGGCCATCTCATCGTCGCTCTCTTGGCTGGTCACGTTCCAATTGACAGGCTCCGTGTAATAGAGTTCCCTGACGCCGTCAAGCTTGCCGAGATCCACTGCATAGAGATCTGAAAAGGTGATCTCCAGGTCCTTCTTCTCAAAGGTGCCGCCGAATATGTACAGAACGTCGTCCTGAACACAGAGCTGGGCGTTAAAGCGTGGGTGAGGCATCTCGAATCGCACGGGGACGTCTTTCTTTGTGGGCTCAGGTTCGTCGTCATGACGAACCTGTTCTATTTCCCTTGTTTCTGCTGCCGAGATTGATCCCTTGGTCTGCAATGCTGCTAGATTCCGCAAGAGTTCTTCCTCGTCCGCCTTTCCCCGGTCTCGGCCTCGGGGTGCTTGTGTCTGTTTCTTTCCTCCAGTCTTCGGGCGTCTCAATGTGAGAGGAAAGAAGCGGTTCCGATCAACATTCCAGATGAACAAGTCATTGAAGAATTCGCTCTCGATTCCCTCCTCGCTTTCCTCCACATCGTGGACGCCACCAAAGGCAACCCCACGGCCTTTATGGTAAGACATTGTGGTACCCGCACGTGGTGGGTTAGGCGCGTTTGCAGGCCTCTTGCGCCGTTCCCAGCGTAGGGTCGGTGGCGTCCCGCTTGGAGCCTCTGCGGCAGGAGGCGTGATTCGAAGAAACCAGGAATCCTGATGTACATGTGGCTTGAGGATGTTGCGCACCAAAGGCCCGCTCCCTTTTCCCTGTTTCCCGCTTGTGGCCGTGGCCTTGACGCGCGAGTAGCCTCCGTAGAGGACGGCGCCGGTCTCGTGCGGGAGAAAGCTGAACGAAGAGCGCGGGTCAGGCTTCTGGGACGCCGTTGGGGCCTTCATTTCGTGCCAGATGTTCTCCTTGCAGTCGTAGATCCAGAGATCATTCAGATACCTCGTCTGCTGAGATGTGTCCTGGAACCCGCCGAAGAGGACAATGTAGTTCTTGAAGTAGGTCATTCTGTGGCCGCTACGAGCTGGTGGAATTTTACCCTTGGCGCGTGGCTCAAGTTTCGTCCACTCTCGGGTCTCGGTATCCAGATGCCAAAAGTCATGGTAATGGTAGAACTGGTTCTGCTTGGGTGACGAAAACTCGCCTCCGGACACATATATGCCGCCGGTGTTGCCGCCCCGGCAGGCTGCATGGCCGCTCCGAGGCAACGGGCTGTTCCCAGAGGAGACCTGGTGCCACTCACCTTTGTCGACGAGGTAGACAAAGAGGTCGTTGTAGAACGACGCCGTGCTCCCGTCGTGGTACTCGCCGCCAAATAGGAAGAGCTCGTTCCTGTTGGACGGCGACGCCACCAGGGTGCCGGATGACCTCGGGCTGGGAGGGCCGCAGGGCTGTTCTGTCACCTTCAAGAACTTGGCCTGTTCCTCGGCGTAAGCCGCCAGGACGGCGTCGAGGTCGACATCGTCGTCAGCGTCCGAGTCGGCATTCAGGGCAGCCGCTTTCGTTTTATTCTTCTTCTCCCCCTTGGCTGCTTTTCTCGACTGTTTTGCCTGCACTCGAGCCTTTGCTTCGGCCTTTGCCTCGGCGCTCTTTGCCTTCTTGTTCTTCGCCATGCCTCCTCACGATGTCACAGAGCAGTCGAGTCCAGAGGCCTATTTTGAGACTTGAAAGGGCACTGCCTCTGTGGCTTGTCCTCGGGTAGAGGCAAGGTCAGTTTTTAGAGGCTCACTGATGTTGATGCGTCTTCCAACAAAGACAGACAACATTGGACTATCCTACCTAGGCATGGAGAGAGAACCCTGACCGTGGGAGGCATGATTCCTGCACGAGTCCTCACCTAGTATACTCGGTTCGACTTTTTGTCGCTCCACGTGATCAGGAAATTAAGTTGTCGACAATTAGGTAAGCCAGTGCTATCTGCGTCACTGGCACCTAACTGGTGACTGGGTCACTGGACTGGGCGCGTCTCCGCGACGCGTTAAGTGGATCCTGGACCCGAGCAGAGCAACATCTAGACTACGTACTTTGCCCGCCACTGTCCACTTGAGTATACCAATTCGTTTCCCAGCGACACTACCGACGCAAGATGCGCCGTACCTATGACCAAGAACAACCTCAGCCGCTGTCTCGCATGGCTTCTACAGAATCCGCACTCGTTTGGTTCTCTGACGCATATTTCTGCTGTTGCTGATGCGGGGATTGGCGACGACGATGAGCCTGTGTTGGCAGATGATGAGATGGCAAGGTTGCAGCTTGCGCCCCAAATCCAACCCAGAACAAAGCTACTTTCACAATTAAACCATACCTCTGGCTTGCCGACTCCCGACCCATCTCGAGCCTCAGAAACCTGCGAGCCGACGCGGAGGAGGGCCAGGCAGAACATCCTAGGCCCTTCCAAGACTCAACCCAGCCCACGTCCAAGAACACCCGTGACGAGTTTTGACGACATCAAGTTCGACGATTCTCATGACATCCTTGATATTGACGACATTGACCTCGCCGCAGAAGACCTCACCACTTCTTCCTTCGGCGACTTCGGTCCCCCGATACCTCTATGGAGAGAAGACTCTGCTACTCGGGTTGAGCCATTGCCGAAAAAGAAAGGGAAGAAAAGAAAGAGCGAGGAGTTTCATGAGGATCTATTCTCTCCTCGATCCGCTCGAAGTACAAAGAAGCGTCTAGATAAGCGAAGTCCCCCGAAGACATATCCTTTCCGTGCAAGCCAAACCCAAGCCTCGGAGGGAGACCATATTCAGGCCGAAGTTGGATTGAGCCCTGCAACGGCCCGGATTGTAAGGAAGCCGGTAAAGGAAGAGGACATATTCCCGGATGTTGACATTGGAGAAATACCGGATGATCCAGTCCCTTTACAGCCGTTGCACCCCACTACCGATAGGACTTGGCCTCACCTTCCCCCCCAACAAAGTCGCGTGCAGAGAATACGGAACGTTGTTCCAGATTCTGATGATGAGGATAACTTCGGTCTAGAATTGAAGCCCAAGCGGAAGCCGGTGGAAAGTACCGACTTGGAATTCGAAGATGACCTTCACCATCACGCCGGTGGTTCACAGACATTCGCAAGGGAATCGAACCATCCTCCTCGAGCATCGGGATATCAAGAGGCACAGGGCAGTTTGTTGTCATCGCAGAAATCGCCTACTCGGAGTCCCAAGGCTCTTCTGCTCAGCCAATCTAGTCCGAAGCGTGACAATACACTCCAAGGCAGCTGCTCAAGTATCGACTCGACGGGTCTTCTGGCGCAGGAACAGAGGCGTGTTGTCGGTAGTTTCGTCGTCAATGGACGCGAACAGTGCAAAGGGCTCCTGGAACGGCTTGAAAAGTCAAAGAAAACCGTGAACCGCCAAATTATGGATGAGATGTGTGAATTTAATGTTGTATCTGACGCATTAAAGGAGAAAAAGAAGACAATTGCAACAAAGATCACAGCAGCTACACAATTGCTAGAGGAACATTCTTCAATATCGAGATTGCAGGACCAGCGGAGGCGTATGCTTGAGCGACGTGATGAATTGGAAGAAGCCGGTCACGAGATCAATCCGGATGATCCCGAGAATGTCCTAGCATTACTCTGTATGGATATCAACCGCGTCAAGCACGAGATTGAAGCTCGAGAAGTGGTGGTGTTCCAGTTGCTTCAACAAGCAGGGGTGTCCACAACGAGTGACTTTACGGAGCAGGCCTCTTTGGGACCAAGTGTGTCTGGGTCTCTACTCGATGATATGTCTGGTCAACAAGTACTGGTCGCCTCGACGCCAAAGGTAAATCAGCAGATGTCTCCTTATTCGAAGGAACTTGGCCATTTATCAACACAGTCTGTTGTGCAGACACCGTTTGCGAAGCGGTCCGACACTGCCCACCTCATTATGCAGGCATCAGCCCCAATCTTCTCACCAGCGTGTTCTCCAACACGCACAGTGCCATCTGCGATGCCGCCCCCGAGTGTAAGACCTCTTCAACCAACCTCCCAGGTCCCGGAATCTCCAAACCGGAATCGGAGCATGCTTTACGAGTATGATCCAGGTGACGACAGAAGCTTCACTAGAACCATGGGAAGCCCGCGAGATCTATCATTCGAGGAAGACGATTTCGAGGATGACATGGACGATGAAGAGATGTACAAAATGATGGAGGAAATCGAACAGAACATGCCCGCCTTCAAATCGACTCCCCACGAGAGCAACCGGGCTGCTCTGAGTGAGGTCAGCGACAATCCCCGCAGAGTAGCACCAAAGAAACCCGCTAGTACCCATGGAGCGTCCTCCAATTCAGCTTTGATGCAACACCCATGGTCGAAGGATGTTGCTTCGGCTTTGAAGAAAAGGTTCCATCTCCATGGATTTCGCCAAAATCAACTCGAAGCCATCAATGCCACCTTGAGCGGCAAAGATGCATTCGTCCTGATGCCTACCGGTGGCGGGAAGTCTCTCTGCTATCAACTCCCATCGATCGTACACAGCGGCCATACACGCGGTGTAACTATAGTGATCTCTCCCTTGCTGAGTTTGATGCAGGACCAGGTGGACCATTTGCACAAATTGCGCATCCAGGCTTTCTTGATCAATGGTCAGACAACGGCGGAACACCGATCGAATATTCTCCAGAGACTCAAGAACCCCAATGCTCATGACTATATTCAGCTTCTATATGTGACCCCTGAAATGGTGGGCTCAAATCACCACATAATCCAGGCCTTTGAGTCCCTGTACAAACGGAGGTTACTAGCCCGTATTGTGATCGACGAGGCCCACTGTGTTAGCCAGTGGGGACATGACTTTCGACCAGATTATAAAGCGCTTGGGGAGTTTCGCGCTCGTTTCCCAAATGCGCCGATTATGGCCTTGACAGCCACGGCCACGGAGAATGTCAAGTTCGATGTCATACAGTGTCTGGGCATGGAGGAGTGCGAGATATTCACTCAGAGCTTCAACAGACCAAACCTCACGTATGAAGTAAGAAAGAAGGGCAAGGGCAAGGCTGTGCTTGAGAGTATAGCAGACACGATCAATAGGTCCTACGAAGGTCAAGCCGGCATCGTTTATTGTCTATCACGGAAACATTGCGAACAGGTGGCTGAACAGCTGTGCAAAGACTACGGAATCGAGGCGCATCATTACCACGCTGGTCTGCCATCCGAGGAGAGAATCGATATTCAGAAAAAATGGCAGGCCGGCGACTTCAAAGTGATCGTGGCCACCATTGCATTCGGAATGGGCATTGACAAGCCAGATGTCCGATTCGTCATCCATCACACCATTCCCAAGAGCTTGGAAGGGTACTATCAAGAGACTGGCCGAGCCGGTCGAGATGGCAACAGATCCGGCTGTTATTTGTATTACGGTTATGGCGACACAGCTTCCTTGATACATATGATTGACACGAATGAGAACAGCAGCATGCAGCAAAAAGAGCATCAGAGGAGTCTCTTGCGGAATGTCGTTCAGTTCTGTGAGAATCGCAGTGACTGCCGCAGGTTCCAAGTTCTCGACTATTTCAATGAACGGTTTGACCCAAGGGATTGCCGGAATGGGTGCGACAACTGCGCCTCCAGCAGTACGTTCGAAACGCATGATTTCTCAGAGCATGCTCACAATGCAATACGCCTCGTCCAGCAGATATCTCGTGATAACGTTACAGTCTTGCATTGTGCCGACCTGTATCGCGGAGGCAAACCGAACAGAAAAATGCTCCAGTGTGGACACGACCAACTCCGCGAGTATGGCTTGGGTGCCGAGTTGGAGAGAGGTGACGTCGAACGCCTTTTCTACCGGCTCATCATGGAAGACGCATTGATGCAGTACAACAAGAAAAACGATGCCGGGTTTGCCACGCAGTGTGTCCAGGTGGGGCCAAAGTCTCACGACTTTTTGGAAGGCCGACGACCACTGAAGATCCAAGTTCTGGTTTCGCCACGGGGCAAGCCATCAGCCAAAGTCTCTGTACAGAAGAGCCGAAACAAGACGCCCAAGACAGTCGGCAAGCCACCCGCAGACGACTATCCGGCTTCGACAAACGTCTCATCGCCGTTGCAGCCTCGCTCCCGTCGAAAACTTGTCCGTGGAAATCGGCCGTTGGACTCGGAGGAGGAAGCATTTGCTGGTCAGTCAAGCGACAACGAAGAGATTTTCATCCCCCAGCGCGGCAATAAGAAATCTGCTGTAGGTCCGCCAATCACCGCCGACGACGACATAGGCTCTCTCAACGAGATTCACCAGCACATCTTGGAAGACTTTGTTGAAAAGGCGAAAAAGGAGGTCGAGCGCCAAGTCATTGCGAAAGGCCTTCGCCAAAAGCCGGTAACCGACAGAGTCCTACGGCAAATTGCCATTCAATTTCCGCAAAGCCAAGAAGAACTTCAGGAATTGACCGGTCTGAACCCTGAAATGTTCCGGCGACTGGGACCGCCGCTGCTCCGACTGATTACGGCGGCTTACGACAACTACGAAGCAATGATGCGAGCGCAGGAGGGCCGACCTGATGATCCTAACCATCAAACAGTGGTAGAGATCAGCGATGACGACGCTGAGACAGGACGGTTTTTACAAAGCGATATGGATGCGGATGAATCTGAAGACAGTCACTATTTCAGCATACCGGATGAAGTCCGTCAATTCAATGAACAGAGTGAGAACCCTTGTGTGACAACATTATCTATCATAAGTTTACTGACGGACGTGCAGTGTCCCAATTGCCCACCTTCAGCCCCAAGGGCCAGCAGGTCCGATCGAAGAAGTCCCAGTCGCAGCCCAGACAGGGGTCGGGATCGGGATCATGGACTAGGCGCGGTTCTCGCGGGTCACGGCGCGGTGGCGGCAGTACCAGAGCAAAGGCGAAAGGGGGCAGCGGGTTCGGGAGGAAGAAAAAGAGCGATGCTAGTACACGTTCAAATGCCAGCACAACGGGGCTAGGCAGCTTTGTGGCCAAGGGCAGCAGAGGTGGACGCAGTGGAGGTGGGATTGGCATGATGCCGACGTGAACCAACTCCAGATGGGTTCTGCAGGTGAGAACGAGAATATCAGATTCATCAGGGGCGGCGAGGCTCCCGTATGCGTATTTCCACCGACCTACGCTGGTATCTCTCTCTGTCACGGTGTGTATGCACTCTTCTACTCTTCTCTGGGATCGAGTCACTTTTCAGTGGACTCTTTTGTGGGTGTGGGTGTGTGGGTGCCCGTGCTAGGCACACTCCAAGTCATGGCCGTGCTGTGCTGTTGTTATGATTCTGGCTCGTTCTTTCCTGTTTCTTCAAAACTCCCAGTCTGGTGTCTGGTTTCTGTTCCTTCCCTCTGGCACTGCCGCCTGGTGGCTGCCAAGCACCTTCCTCCTGCCCTCCTGCAGTGGCGCCTTCTCTTCTCAGCAGCAACAGCCGGGGCATTTGTTCCTCTCCTCCTTCTCTCCCCATCTCTTGCCTGCGCCTTTAACGTCAAGTGTCCCCGTTGTCTCATCTGACTCTCTCTCCCTCCCAATCCCAAGCAGTCTCTTTCGCCCGCTGCTCAAGTTCTCCGTACCCAGCGGCATGGACCACACCCGTCCGTGATGCCTCTCGAAGAGATCCATCCCAATGTGCGGAAAGATGTCTCCTCTACTGATCCCAAACCACACAATGCCGCCCCCGCGGTGTCCACCTCTCTCCGTTCCAATGCCGTTCAAAGCATGCTGCGAACGACCACCGAGTTAGGTGATAGCGGCCCCTTTGCTATTCGACCATCTCGGATCCCTCGCGTTGGGTCTCAAGTCCAGTCGACCAGGCGCCGGTCTGGGTCCTTCGACACCTCCTTCGCCTCTCAGCTGCGTCATCAGCGGTCTCCACACAGAAGACGCTCCCATCGACGCCATGGTCCAAGGCCTGTTCCATCATCCTCTGGCTTGTCAGGCCGAGAAACTATACACTCCAACACGGCCTCTCAGCACTCAGGCTTCAGACCCAGAAGAGTTGGTCACCGCCACCGACCTCACGGTCTCCAAGCTCTGGCTGGGCCTGGATTTGGACCTCATGGCCTCTATACCCACAGATCCCTCATTACCCTACGGAGCCAGCGGGACTTCCAAAGCCTACGTTCGAGCTCGCCAATGATACATCCAGGCCACATGCGAAGACCTGGTCATCGAGCTTCCTCACCTGCCTTTAGTGAGGTACAACCTTACAGACACGGACCAAGGCGAGGGTTCCACCGAGCGGGTAGCATTGGGACTGTTGCCTCCTCCCCGATCTCCATGTTCCCAATCCGTCATGGGCTTGCTGGGTATCGTCCTGATTTGGAGAACTCCTACTCTTCGTTCGTTCGCATGCCTTCTCCAGCAGTATCTTCTGCGAATGTGCCAGGTGCCACTGCAGGCCCACCGTACAGGACAACTACCCCATTGTGCAACTCGCTCCAGAATTTTCGAGGACCATGGAATCACAGCGCAAGCTCTCTCAGGGGCTTGCCAAAGTCGCCGACGGAGTCTACTACGCCTCATTACTACGACTACTCCGAGTCTTTCTGGGGAGAAGGTAGCATCCGGCATGCCGTGGATCCTTCCGCGGCCAGCTTGTCCTTCCAGCAAGATCAGACTGACTTGGAAAATCAGCCGTTGCCGGACCGCCGCCAGGCACAGTCTCCGTTCGGGACCTTGCCAGGGTCAGCTTTCCACCCAGCTGAACTACCGACCAGACACAATCGTCGATCAAGTGAACAGTCAAAATATAGCTACGGTGGTGTGGTCCCGAGGCGCGTGTCCAGTCTAGCTGCCGCAACGACTCCTTTGAGGAGTAATAGTCTGATGAACAAGGTCAGCGTCTCTATCGTGCCTAGTCGATAGGCCATCGTTCCTTACATGTGTTTACGTGCTGATTGGTATCTTAGGGCGTCAATATGACAGCTATTCATCATCAAGAGGTTCCAAGCAGAACGTCAAGGGAGGACAAAGACAATCCCCGCACATCAACAGCCTCCCGCCGAACTTGTGGGTCGACACATTCGAGTTCGTTCTTCCCGAACGCGAGTCGCAGTCCACGCGACCTCACATTACTTGCTGCCCGCGTCCATTCGCCAATCTGCGATCAACGACCTTCTGACAGATCCATCTCTCAGCTAATTGAGTACGACAATCGGTATGAGGAAGGAAGTCAAGAAAGTGCAGCGGCTCAGGGCAGCCAGATCCGTCCTCGATGGGAGCTGCCATCGTTCACGTTCAGGCCTCTTTCTTTTGTCTCTTGCGGCCCTGTGACTCGAGATCGGCCAAAGACTTCTGGAGATGTTCCGTCCAAGGACACACTGGAAATACTATCACCAATGCCTCAGCGGCCCATGTCGTCACAGAGCCAAAAGAGGTTCAGTCGCATACTCGAGATAAAGGACACTTTTTCTCCAGAGCATATCATTCCGTTGTTTCAGAGTCAGACCCCTTCGAAACTCAACGTTGTCAATGAGCAACCAGACATACAGTATCCCGATTTGGCCTCAAGGCCGCAATCCGACCTCGAATCTAGTGTTAGTGGGATTCCTGTTGAACTGCAGCAAGGAAATTCGATCGTCGGCACGGCCTGTTTGGAGTCCAATTTCGGCAATAGTCAGATTACCATTCATGACAGGTCGACGGTCGAATCACTCCTAGACAGACATATCGAATGCTTGGGTCTGGATGACGATGGATTCAGTCGATTCGAGGCACAAAGCGACTCGGGCCTCTCTGACGCTGCTGGTTGTAGCAGTGCAGAAAGCACTATAAAGATATCCACCATTGTCAGAGAGCTACAGTCGCACTCGAAGCTGAGACCAGCAACCTCAAGCTCCTTTCGACATTCGAGTCTCGCCAGTTCTGAGAGGCGTAGGCTTGTGCCGCGACGCCTATTTGCCAGCATGGACTCGGGAGTATCACCCCAGGCAACCTACGAGGACCTACGAGACACATCCGGAATAAGCTTGTCATTCGCTGCCACGATGCTTAGACAACTGTCCTCAGGCTGGCAGACACTTCCTTCATCGAGTGAGCCGATGTTGGTCCGGTCGGCAACCAAAGCTTCCTTGACATCAGGCAACATGGGGGACATCGACACGGACCCACCCCAGACAAGATTCAAGATCAGACCTCTTTCAGAACGGGGCACAAGCTTGTCAGAAACCAGCAAAATCTGGGACGATGGAGAGACTTTGCAGCCGCCTCAAACGTATATCAAACACCGCCGGTCGAAAAGTGATGTCCTAGCCAGGCATGCGTCCCACCAAAGAAGGCGAATGCGAATACTGTTGAAAGCCAAACGAAAATCCACCAGTCTCGGTCAAATCATTGACATCAACCGCAGTGAACAGCATTTGCAAGACCCTAGACACGGTGACAATTGGACAACCGAGAATTCGCCTGAAGATGTCGCCCCAAAGTCACCAGTCGCAGGCTGCGTGGAATTGAGTGCCGAGTCGATTGTTGTGCATCCTCCCACGACAGCGTTATCATCGAGTCTGTCAGTTTCCAACTCGGTTCCCAAAAGATGGACTAGCATGCTAGCTTCCATGCCTGAGCCTGTCAAGAGAGGAATCGATATTGTTCGCAAGGCATCCGTACGCACCGTACATTCCCACCGAAGCAATGCCAGTGTGATTGAACCTTTGAACAGCACGCGAATGAGCTCTCAGACACCTCGACTGGGTCCTGTTCCCCAGCTTGCACCACCAGAATTTGGCCCGCCACTAACGTCGTCCGATCTCAATCTCAGCCTCCAACTTCCAAATCCGCCTCAAACATCCCGGCCGCCTTTGCGTCACGTTCAAAGTTTCTTCTCTGATGACAGCTCAGCTCAAACATCGAGATTGCAAGGCAAGAAACGATTCGACCTTCATAGCCTGAAAACTGGATTGACAAGGTCATCCGGAATGTTAGGGGCCAAGCACAGTGGTGGGCAACATGTCAACGGTGTGGAGTTGAGCCATTCGTGCCAAATGAAGGGTCAGCGATCCTTTGAATATCCTCATTCGCCATTGGGAGATACTGTTCCCATGACGGATTTCGCGTACAAAAAGCGTAAGGTGCTGGACAGGTTCAAGGAATGGTGGAAGAGACAATGCATGCAGAAGACTTTGTCCATGATGAGGAAGAAGAACAACAGAAATGTGCGCAACGGAGCTCTTGTATAGAAGACGATCTCTTCCTTCATGCCATGGATTGTCGATATGTGCTGCATAAAGGTGCTTCGTTGGTGGAAAGTGGTGAGAATGAATAAGGGCCGTTATGAGGATATTCAATGTACAGCTTTCCTGTACGAATATATGGTATAAGGATGACATAGAACAGGAATTACAAGACATTTGGCAGTCTTCTTCTCCATGAGCTGGCACAAGGCATCTTCTCATGATGAAAAAGAATGAGAACGACATCAGGAATTGGCCTGAGGCGTAGAGTGACTCGCACTTGGACAAACACAACTCTTGCAGATCCAAGGCCCAATGGGTCTCGACACACCCCATAGCAAACGAAAAGGCCAACTCATGGTCACCAAGCTTGAATCCAGCCGTACCAACTCACACAAGAACACCGCCTTGCAATGAGTGGGTAGACGGATTTGGGCTTGGTGACGTAGAGCACGTGCCGACGGCTATGGGAGGAAGAAACAACACCAGGCTCTGGAGCTACCGAGTCCGGGAAGTATGCAGCGTAGGCAATTCTTCGGCAGACCCGTGAGTTGATTTGTCTTCGTGCATTTGTCTCGCCGTCAGAGACGAGATCGCAAACTGAGGGAAGGATTGCTCGCAGCGGGACTCGAACAAGTTCGAGCAGAGCGGTTCGGCAGCATTCACCTCCATGTGAATGGGTCAGGCCATGCTGTTGAGTAGAGAATTGATGCAGCCCTCGACAGGTCTAGATGGTATGGTATGTGGGTTTGTGCACCATGAAGATGCAAAACCATGTATGGTTTCAATGTGGATGTTCATATCCGCCTCATCTTTCGACTCCTTGGTTCAATAATAGATGGTATGTGGGTTTGTGCACCAAGATGCAAAACCATGGATGGTTTCAATGTGTATGCTCCAATGTGTATGTTCAGATCCGCCTCGCCTTTCGATTCCAAGGTTCAAATCAACTCTTGGTTCCCAGGCTTGCGCGTGAGCGACTCGGCTGGATCCATGAGAGGTTTGGCAGAATTTGTCTGGGAGCGTCAGTGAGGCGGATTCCCACGTGTTTGGTAGTTCTGCTCAGCATCGAATTCTAGCCCGTAGGCGGGAAGCGTCGATGCCGGCTTTGTCTGTTCCGTGACCATGCGTGCAAGGAGCATATCAATTCAGTCTCCCGAGCTCGGTGCTGATCAGACAACTCTGAGCTCAGGGGTTTTTTGTGTCCGCCGTATCCGAAACCAGGGCCCAAGCGCTGTCTCGTCAGCAAGCTGGCTTTCGAGTTCCAGCAACCTGCCTCCTGGAGTCGCCGTGCAGGACCAATCTCATCCAAATCCATTGCAAACTCAGGCTCATGGAATCTGGGAATCTCATCCAAATCCATGGCAAACTCAGGCTCATGGAATTTGGGAATCTCAATACTCTGCCATCTCGTCAGATGTAGCAGGCTTTCAAAACAATCTGTCTGTGCTCGCGCAACAGGAGAATGTATCCATTGCACCAGGATATCCTCGTTGCCTCTCAGGCATCGACCTAGACTCCATGACCGCGTGCCTGCATCATGTCAGGGCACACGGCCATGTATTTAGCCGTGAGATTCTGATGCCGAAGGGTGTCCAAGGTTCTCTGGGAACGTAGTTTTCCAAAGATGTGGTTTTCCAAAGTTTCATCGTCAAGTGTGATCTCGACGGTATTCATCTGTTGGAGCGACTCTCCCCCCTGGGCAGGTCCCAGGGAGGCGGCGTCACCAATCATCTCAGTGAAACGAGCGAAGACTCCCCATGCTGGCCTGGCCGGCCATATCTTCAGGTGACTCGTCGATTCATCAGAACTTCTTGCATCGGGTGGTGGTCTCTCAGGGTAAAACCTGGGACGCAAGGCACATACAAAGATTCCATCAACGGCCCGCTCCAAGCTGGGTCGGATGGCATCTGTGTGCTTTGCTGTCGCAAGTCTAGGCATGCGTTCGTGGGCCACATGCGTAAACAGAGCTCCCGCACCCGCACCATGACGAGGCACGGCACAACCCCGTCTACCCGTCTACCGTCCGACCCTTTGCGTATTTCAGACATTCCAAGAGCAGAGCCAAGGGTTCCGAATGGAGACGAGGCGTCGTTATACACGACGGTTCTTCATGACGCGCTATACCAGCTACCATGGTGGCAGAGGAACGTGCTATCACTGCCAAACTGCCGCACCACTTGCGGCATCCCAACTCCATGGACCATGCAGGCTAGCTTTTTCCTTGGAACGTCCATGACATTCATGACATTCATGAGAGATGTAGGATGTCCCTTCTCCTTTCCCGGGATGGCGCCTCTGGCGGTCGTCAACAGTTTGCCGAGAGAACCTGAAGAGTTGGACATCTGTCAGGGCCTCTGGGAACTGTTCGAAATGCTCCTGGCTCCGGCCACCATCTAGGGGGATCGGGATCGGGACTGGTCCAACACGTTCTCTCGGACTCGTGACACTTTGTAGATAGGCAACATGGCGTGCAACTGAATGCCCCATGATTTGCGAGGTCCAAATGGAGGTCCAAATGGATGTTCCAAATGTAATGTTCAAATGTAATGTTCAGATGTAATGTTCAAATGTAATGTTCAAATATAATGTTCAAATGTAATGTTCAAATGTAATGTTCAAATGTAATGTTCAAATGTA